GATGGACTATGATTAAATAGCCAGCTCGCGGTGTCGACCATATCCAATGATGTTTCTCATTCCCGCAAATAGGCTAAATAAAGTAGTCCCTCGGAATTGGGCGACGACAATTGGGCACCAACTCCACTATATTTAAAACAAACTGTATTACTTGCGTGAAATTTTGTCATACCATTTTTTATTGAAAACCGCTAAAAATAACGCTGTGAGTAGCCCACCATATGCCACAGAAAACGAGTAGCCCAGCTGCAGAAAAAAATAGCATGTGACCGCAATGCAGCAAATAGATGTATATATATATATATATAACTATAACATTATAAATATATATACAACATATATACTTAACTTACTGAATTTCATCATTTCTAATATTTTATGATAGCACAATAGCTATGCATTACTGTATATGATTTTTATTCACAGGTATAGCATCAATAAACTTCATTTGTACCCAGAGATCTCGGTTTGCAATTGAGGTAAACGGCAGAGTGAAACCTATTTAGACTTCCACATAAACCGGCTTCAATATTGATTGGCATATTCAAAAAATTGATCCAAAAACACCAGATGGGAAAATAATAGCAATAATTTTTCATCGATTCGAGTTTTATATTTTGTCAAGGTTTTTACACTTTTCGTCAATTAAGGAAAATAATATTTTTGGGTACTCCTAGGATACAAAGTTCGACCCAAAATTTATCTATCTTGGTTCTGTAAAGTGCTTTATACAACTTATTTTGTTCGACCTCGAAATAATATTTGTGAATGGCGGTGGCTTATGGACGAGTGTACGTGATTTATCAATTTTTCCGCTTGATAAATTACACTTTGAGCTGAACGACATATACACGGAATATTATGAAAAATAAAACTACGTTTTATTGGTATATCTACCATGCTCTTACCATATTTGTTAAATAACTTCGGAAAAAGTATTTTGATTCTAGTGAAACTATTGTGAACGAAATTACGCGAAAGATTTAAAAGTTTCGCATTATACAAATTGCATTTCTTAGTTAGCTTTTGATTTAACCTTGCATGTTTCAGTTAAGTGTAACTATTCACTAAAATTGGGGTATAGAAACTAACTATCCTAGAATAGGTAGGTAATTGCTCGAATGCTTTAACTCATTCACTGATGAAAATTTAATTCAGTTATTACTATAATATTATAAGTGGTATGAATTTCTGGTGACATCCCGTGGCTAAACACGGTAATAGCAATTTATGCAAGCAAGTTCTAAATATTTTAAGGTAATGAAATAAATATTTAGCATTTTACGGAAAATCGAGGAAAGTCGAATCCCACCCTTACATTTTGCTTAACCAAGGTGAAAAGATTTGCTTGTCGTTCAAAATTTGCTGGTGACATATCCCAGAATTGTTTTGTCGATTTAAATCAAGTTATCCGATGGGTTTTTCCATTTATATTAATCGTGATCGTACAATCAACAATGAATTAAACCACAGATATGTTTTAAGGATGAGTAACATCACGAAGAATTCTGTTTTTATAATAAAACAAAAGGTTATTACGTTAACTGTTTGATGAGATTAAACAGAACACTAGAACTTATTTCAAACATTCAAAAATATACGTCATCACTGCGTCATATGTTATTTGATTTGCATCATTGTGAATATTTATATTCGTCTTCATATTATTGACCGTCTGACCGTTGTTAATGGACATTGTTTGAGAATTTATCCCAATTGCTGCCGTAAAAGAATCAGTCAGTTTGCGTCAAGCAGCGTTGAAACGTTTGTCATAAAATACGCAGTAAAACATCTTCCTTTTGTAATTTCATTCTGAAAGATTGTTTGCAGGGAAAGTCTGCTTTTCGTTGTCAATTTCTTAGCGTCCGCACAAATATTACTGTCTTTGTGACTCTCTGTTGTGTTTTCGCAACCAAATTCTAATTTTAAATTTTGTACAAAAATTATCTTTCCATTCAAAACAAACAAAACTTTACTTTAAATGTTGTTATGTGGCTATATTAGTTTACTAATCTTTCAAGCAATGTACTTATTGGTATCCGCAATTCCCAAAACCATGACGTTTCCCAGTAAAAAAGTGAATATTTTTTATAATTCCTCCTATAATATCCACACAATATTTAGAACGTTGTCATCAATATGGCTGGCAGGTTCAATTTCATTTTACCATTTGCTCTTCCTTCGAGATTCCAGACGATACTTGTTTTTATCGAATATACAGTTAGTTTTAGATTGGAAAAAATATACAGTGAGATATTACAATCGAATTCATATTAAATCCAAGGATAGCTTCATATAGACGCATTGTATGATGAAATTAAATATTATAAACATATAATACTGGATCAAGTACGCGTCTGCGCTTCTTCACATGGAAGTCGTTTTCATTGCTTGTCAACGCTCCTTAGCAAACCATCACCATTGTCTTTGAGTTACTCAACTACCGTCGTATTTCGCAAGGTAAATCTTACTAATATTCGGCTTGTTGTATAAAGGCGTTACCAAGTTTGCTTCGGTCGTTCTTTTCTCTAGACTTTTCCCGACGTAGATGTTTTATATCTATTTACCGTTAATTTCAAGACCCGTCATCGAAGAACAATTTCGTTCCAATATTGACTCAAGGAGCCCAACTTTTACGAAGAGTAACTTCGAGCTGACGCCTTAATTTAATGTAAAAAATAGATAGATGAATGACCACTCAAGTATGGCGCTGGAAAATCACGGTTTCGGAACGTACTTTTTCTGTACGCCAGGTATGATGCACGACGACCTTTGACCTTATGGGACAAACATGGGGATGCGAAGTGAGACAACGTTGCCTAGGCGTAGTCGTAAGATGTAAAAGAGAAAGCAAACAATCTGGAAAAAGACAAACGCCTAGAAGTAAATTCCAACATGAAATTGTCGGGAAATGTAAACACCGGCATCGATAAGTTGCGGATTAATACTTCCATTCAACAGTTGTAGTTGACCGGTCTCTTGATGACGGACGGGGTTCAAGACGGAGCAAAGGTCTCATATCGAGTTCTAATTCCGATTAAAAGCTGTCAGCGTTCGACCGAGTCGGTAGTGTTACTATTCGATTTTGAATGGCGACTTTTTTCAGATAGGAATCACGAAGATCGGTATTTTTTAATCATGCGCTTAGAGAAATAGATGAGTGTAGATTCCGACTGCGATAGTGCCTGCACGAGATATAGTTTCTTTTGATATTCCCATATTTATTCGTGCAATAATTATTAATCTGAAAATACTCTGAAGACTAGGCTCAATCAAGACGAAATAGGTATTTAAAATATCAAATCGCAAGTTCACGCTCGTTTGTTTGTTTTTCTGTTGAAATTTAGGAGTCGATTTTTCTGAAATTATTTATATTATTCCAACCGCAGGATTAGCTTATAAATAGTTGCTATGATGAAAACTTGTACTTAAATCAGGTTTACCTTATGTATGAATAAATGTCAATGTGGTATAGAAAATAATAAAAAATATCTATATTCTAGTAAATTATCTGGATTTTTTTGTAGCCTAAAAACCGATATTGCTCGCGTCTTTGAATTTATTGAACCAGTTGGCATGGACAAATAACGTCCCCCTAAAACAAATTTTTACCAAATCACCACAAGTTTGAGGTTATTTCGTCTTTTAATATTAACCATATACTTCGTGCGTCGTACGGCTTCGCCTATATCGACCTTTAAAAAAGTATGGCGCAATCAAAACTTGTTCGCAATAATGCTTAGATTATAAATGAAATATACTTTATAAAGAAACCCATCATTGAGTCCAACGTAATGAAACCTTTCGAAGTGTTTGCCAAATTAGACCATCAATAAAGTGAGGCATGTTTGAAAATACATCATTCTGCTGAAAAATTTATTTGAGACAAGAGACTCAGATATTATAGTGAATTTACTGAATATTTTCATTAGTAAACTAATTGGGAAAACAAATATTATCGCAAACTTAGGCTCTCGAAGTATATTTACAAAACTCTCAGTCACAATAATATGTTTTAGCCAAATAATACGAGCCTATTAACATTTCGAATTTTAAAATCGTTTCCAGATCCCGATGTCCAAATAATTTGGCGCCGTTCAACAAAGTGAAAAAGCCCAAAGAATCGCAAATTTGTGGGCTCAATGAAGGAGTCGACAAGTCCAAATTAAATCCAAATGCGGGAAAATTTAAATACTGTATTACCTATCAATTTATGTAACTGGATATATGCCCTATGTATTTTATCTAAACTTTAGATTCGAGCAAAACAATAATTTTATTAATTTTGTCCCCTGCGTACATATATAAATAAAAAAAATATTAATATGAACCTCGAACCCTACAATATTTTATCGAGTGAACCCATGTGACCTACATGAGGCAATATAAAAACTCCCCCACCTATTTGTTACTTACTGAATCGAAAGTGGTTAAATTGATTGAGCTTTGAAATTAAAAATTGTGTAAAATGGCGCCACAGTTTAAACAGATCACCAATTTCATTGCCAATAGCTCTATTAAGGAATGTGTCTTCTAACAATGACATTTTCATATACGCCATATTTGGCAAGTACACTTGTCTCGCGACTATACTATCTACCGGGGACAAAAAATTCCCGTCCCTTTTTTTGTTCTAGAATTAGAAAAGCTGGTTGGCGTTTGTTCTGATTGCAACTTTTTGAACGGCAATAAGACGATAAGTGTATATAACACTTAGCGCTGTTCTAACAAACTGTAACTAAAGTTAGGCATGCGACCCCTGAAAAGATTCTGCATTACGAGTTACGTATGATCAATTCTTTGCAACGAGAATAAATTCATCGGAAAAATTGGCCGATTGTTATCTGTCTTTATATTACATGCAATTCCAATTTGCATTACGTATCAAGTATAAACGAATACAAGAACAGGGGTGCCAACATTGAGTTAGAATATCACTTCAATTGTTTTGGGCATTTACCTTATTAATGGAGCCCAAACCACTATTTCTGTACAGGTGATATCTTGTCCAGCAGGGTTAAATTAGAAATACTCCAATTCATGATAAACTTATAAATAGCATTTCAGCAAAATATAACACGAGAATAGTGAGGAAGCTCAAATCAAGATGAAGATTTCTGTGGCGATAGCCGTCGTTTTACTTACGGCTGTCATCCATGCTGAAGGTACGTGATATTCAATACTTATATATATCATAAGTTTGAAAATTTGTTTTTTACGTTTCGGAGCACATTTTGATAATAAAAGCGTATAGTTTAATACTATTTGGAAATCGATTTGAGTTTGGACCGAAGCTGATAATATAAATTTTTTTTTACCCAGCACTCACTTTGTTTGTACACACACGCGAAATACACTTGATGTTGTTTCGGTGTGCATAGTTGTTTGAAAACATTAGTTCCAAATCAAATTCACGTATTTTATTCATACGACGAAATTAAATAGTTTTTCAAATTACTCTCAATTGAATCTGTCTTTCCATTGTATATAGCAATAATCAAATTTACGTCTTTACAATCTGAAACGCGGGATTTTCAATTTTTTAGGAAGAAAAACTGAGGTACTGAGGAAGAAAAGAAGCGTGATGTAAGTTTGAATTTATTTTATATATCTTAAGCAGAAATTTTCCTTGTATATATATGAAGTAATCAAATTGGAACCATTTTTTCATCAAAATTTGATTTTACATTTTAAAATGTTGCAATAATTTAAAATAATGTATCCTTTTTGTTTGAAGTTTTAAATTAACAAAAACTTTCCGTTTGACCTAAAAAATCATCTTATGAATTATAAATTGGTCGTCATCAAATATCCTTTTTCTTCCAGCCAAATTCCAAAGCTTCCAGATTCTATGCAACAAACGCAATCACAAAGTCAATCACAAAGTCAAACGATAAGTTGCGAACCTGCATGTTCAGAGAACGGAGCTTGCGCTGGCGTGAACACCTGCAATTGTGATGATGGTTGGACTGGACCAACTTGTCACCAATGTAAGAATTTTTATTAAAATATTTTTTATTAAAAAAGAGATTTACATGTATACAGCTTCATTTTTATAAGTATACTCGTATATTTAAGTACTTTTTACTGTATAAATTTAAATACCAAATAACCAAATATTTAATTGTATTTCTTCAGTTCACTGTGACAACGAATGTCAGAACGGTGTATGTTCTGGGCCAAACACATGTAGTTGCATTGTAGGCTGGGACGGTGAAACCTGCGCCCAAGGTAAGTTCTTGAAACATCTTGTGACGTTATCAGATCCCTTCATACATTTCTAGTTTGATTTCATTTCTTTGTTCTACTTCAGCTATATGTTCGCCAAACTGTGGGTCCAATGGCATATGTGACGAACCTAATCATTGCAAATGCTCAGAATTTTGGAGCGGAGACTTGTGTGATGTCGGTAAGTGTATTGACTTTTGCCTCGGAATCTTTGCGTTTGCGCTGTTGTTGAATAAATCTAATAATACAAAAATAAATACAAACAACTTATTTATTGTTTGTTTTACAGCAACTTGTGGAGACGGGTGCCAAAACGGAGGATCTTGTACTGGACCAAATGAGTGTGAATGCCCAAATGGATACAGAGGAGAACGATGTGAAACTCGTAAGTCATTTTCATTTTTGTAAACGAATGAAGCGTTTCAAAAACATAACCGATTGAATGTTTCAGGGTATGGTCTTTGTAATATTGAGTATTCACTTGAATTTCAGTATCAGATATATATCAACAAATTACAAGCAAGCGACACACAATGTAGTCGGTATGATCATATATCTAATGAATCCATTTTAAGCTGCATTGAGATTTTCCTTTCTAGCTTTACCAAAAGATTGCGTATTCCCCTTTGAATACAATGGGAAAATGTACGAGGAATGTACCAACGTGGATGGAAATGGTGATTACTGGTGTTCTACCTCTACAATATATCAAGGAGAGACCAGAATCTGTACTGGTAAGAATGGTCTCCTTTCCAACATCTGGTTTTGTAAATTTTGTTTGCTAATCAATCAACTTAATTCTTGTTTCTCGTGTGTTATAATTATAGTATTGATGCAATTTTAATGATTGGTATATATGGCTACCAAACAATCAACAGCGTTTCGTGCAATTTTACAAAGAAATGCTATATAGAGTATACTCACTAAGATAGAAATGTAATCCCAATTATCTTGCTTGGATAAAGTTGACATGGACCTTGCTAAAATTGAGAAGAAAGTGTTTGACAAATTCAATTATATTTTGTGAAACTAAGCTACATTTAATTAGTTTTCATAAAACGTTTGAAGAGTGTGAACAATATTTAATTCCAACTTCAATTGATTTTATGGCACTATTTCAGCATATCCATTGGTTGAAGCGATCGGCGAAGGTAATTGTTAATTACATTGCATGTCTCCTTTTTTTCATCATGTTAATTAATCATTTAAACTGATAATTCTTCATTCCATCTGCATAATCATTACAGAATTACCAGTCATTGTACCAATCCCTGCACCAGCGATCGAAAGCAGTGGCCAAGGTAAACTTCCAGTCTGTGTTTTTATAATGATTAAATACAACTGAATGTTGATCACACTTTGGTTGGTTTTCACTTTTCGTGGAATCCAATTTTATCTGTATGAACAACATTCGTTGAAAAGCAACAGTAACCTTTTCGAACACTTTTGAATGAGATTTAAATCAGGCACAAGTTATATATGTCTAAAAAACAGATACTAGATATATATCATCACATACGTTTTTATTCTGTTTACAAAGCACTTTTAATAACAATTTCCACTAACTGTTTGCCTAACTAACTAACAAGTAATCTCAGCACATCCAACTAATTTCACATTTCGTTCACATCATTTTCAGAATTACCAATTATTGATATAAACCATGTGGGCGTAATTGAATCCAGTGGTCAAGGTAATTCACTATTTTTTCTTACATTTATCAGTAATCTTTTTTTATCGTAAATACGAACCTAAATTATCACAACAAATCATTAAAACTTATTCCTCAACTACGATTATCTCATATTTTCTGAGAATTTCCCGTTCACGTTTCCTATACACAGTTTGTGTTGCATGGTACTAACTCACAAACTAACTATGTGACAAACTATAGCAGAGGGTATAATTTTTTGGAAAGTAACATGACAACTTATCATTATTATCATTTTTTATTATGAATATTCTTACCTTACGTTTAATTACCTGCAATTGAGTTTTATTATATCATCATTTAATAATTCAGAAATCTCACTGACCGGAATTGAAGGCAGTGCAGCAGGTACTAATTTTGTTAATTTATGATATAATATAGAAAACTCAAATCGGTATTATCATAAATTTAACCTAAATAATTTGAATTAGTTCCAACTAATATTGATGATTATCCATTACAACATTTGAAATACTTCAAATCTGTCAAGAAAATGTAACTTTTTACATTAATTCCATCAAGTTTCTTACATTAATCAGATATGCTATCAAAGTTAAGTTATAATTGTGATTCCACTAAACTTTCTTTTCACTGGAGCTGTAGTATTTATATATTTATGAAGTCTACTACGATCATTAACCCAATTGACCAATTTAACCAAACGCTGCTTGGACAAAATCTCATGATATCATTTGCATCAATTCATCAGAATATAATGTAATCAACCACAATTCACATATGAATGTAATTTTTCATCAAATTCTAGGATTACCAAGTATAGATGCAAATCATGGATCCGTTATTGAATCCAGTGGGCAAGGTAATTGTCTTCATTCATTTTGGGGGTAAATGTTAAAATAATTGAAAAGTAAATATTGATACTTTAAGCCTTGAGAAGTAGAAAGTGATGAGGTTATCTTCGTTTTCTGCTGTGTCTCACTTGTATGCATGCTAATGGCACAAATTTTGTATAATATAACTAATTTTCAAAGTGTGTTATCTTATGTAGTGAATTAACCTTGCATTAGATATATTAATTTTATTGTGTATTGTTTGTGTAATCACTTTCATACAATTGTTTTAATACACTCATTTTAATTCACACGCACAGAAGCATCACTGCCTGGAATCCAAATTGAAGGCAGTGCAGCAGGTAAAAATTATTATAATTATTCATTTATTCAATATTCAGTCAAAAAATACGCATCGTCTCAATATCAATTTGCTATTGTTCGGTTATTTTTACTTAAATTACTGAAAAATGAGGTAAAAATTAACATACGAATAATTTTTCATTTTCATCTAATTATTTCATTCATTTTTTCATTTATTAATTCTAGGATTACCAGTCATTGAAACCAGTGGCGCAGGTACTAATAATTCTTTATACGTTATTTTCTATTTTTTATTTCTATTCACCAATTCAAGAATGCTTTCATGTCTGTTCTTTTGTTTAAAAGGCAAGAACATTATAAAGTTTCCCAATTACATAATTGTAATATAGAATCATATTATAATGCAATATCCGATAAAACTTTTGCGATGTGTAATTTATGTTTTGCTATGAATTATAATCTGCTTTTAATTATTTGTCAGTATATAAGCAATAAAATTATAATTGATCATTCATTCATCATTCAATGATATATTTTCATCATTCATTAATTCCAGGCTTACCTGACTTCGAAGCTAGTGGTGCAGGTATTAATTATTCATCTTTTCATATATACATTTATGTCTTGTCTCATTTAGATGCCTGATTTCTTTATATATCCAACGCTTTTCGCTCTGGAAATCATTTGAACGTTCACTAAAAACAAATTGAGTTCAATGTCCAACAAAACGCAGTAACGTCTGACTGTTCTCAAGTTTCGGATTTTTTATTTTCCAACTTCGTACAGTTACAACCTTTGAATAATTTTATTCAACCAAACTTTTTGGCCATAGGTTAACAACATTTTGGTTATTTCCAATGTAGAAAAATGAAAAGTGTAAAATTGTATATAAAAAAAATTGAACGCCTTTATTGTACTTGGATGGTATTGAGAAGTTTGGTTAACATATTTAGGATATACTTTTTTACGTGAACGTTTAATAATTTTAGAAGACTAAAGTGAGTAAGAATAGATAAAATGAATCAATAAAACTTTTTCAATAACAATCATGAAATAAAAATTCATGTTACGATATTGCATTATCTTCAGTCTTCTTTGGTAGAGTCCGAGACAGATACTAGAATAAAAATACTATCTCGTTTTAAACATCCTACATGACGCGATTATTGCCGACTTTTGAGTTTTAATCCTAGTAAAAATGATGAACCAATATTCACTCATACCAATGCAAGTCTTTTTGAGAAATAAAGCTTTTACTTTAACAGGCATTGAGGTCACCGCAAGTGGAGAAGGATCAGGTGGATCTGGAGGTAAGGTTCTATATGGGAAACGATGGATAGTACGAGTAAAATTTAAATCTAAAATATAAAATTGTCAAAAGTATTTAAAATTACAGTAGAATAATATTCAAAATGACCTCATCCAAACCCATTCAAATCCTGTTTAACGGCAGTAAAAAATCTTAAGTGGGCCGCTCAACCACAAAACAAGTCATTAAATCAACCTTTATTAGGACCACACATATTGAGAATAAAGATAAGCCTGTAAATGTGAGAATATATTGTTTTGAATATATTTTCGTCTGTCATTACTTGACATCAAATTAAGTTATTTTGGATTTGAATTGGATAGGTGAGAAACGTTTTATCACTCAGTTCCACATTTTTCCAATTTTGGATTTTGTAATACCGGTATTGAACAAACCCATTCTAAATTATTTTACTGAGAAACGATTCGGCTTGAATGCTAAGTAAATGTCATCCTCGGAAGTTTGCTTGCGTTCGGGGTGTCGCACGTATAAGAACAAATACAGTTGCCATTGAGGTTAAAAGGCTTCTGTCAAACTTCTTCAACTTCTAACGCCCTTATCTAACTCATTATTCACTCGTCTTTTGTCACGGCGATATTTTGCAGCCTGGTGCAATAAAACTTACGTATGCAAGTCCGGGCCAGTTAGTTTACTCTCAAATAATCTGACGCAACTTTTGCGTCTTGCGTCAGGAAATCTAAAAATAGTTACGCACATCGGTATCCAGGCGTGGCTTTTTACAACTTAATATTTAGCAGAAACACATCTTTACGTATTTCGAAAATACTTTTATGACTCCGGGTCATATAATGATTCAACTTTGTAGATAATAACGTTTGAGGTCATCGAGGTCATCTCCGGTAAATATATTTTGCAATCTTGTGTTTAAACAAATTTCGAGCTCAAATTCAAACAAATGAAAGCGAATTACCGGAAGTAAATTAATGAATCAGTACTCATATTTGCAATGATAAAACGCTAAATGTACTGTAACGAAAACGTGTACTGTAACGAAAAGGATATCGTGAGGAACTTGAACTTTTTGCAAATCCCCGGTTCCATAGATAGTTCCAGATGACAAGAACACAGCCCGTTTAAAGTTATAGCGTTTAAATAAGTTTCAGTTTGTAACAACCTTTTCATACCTAAAAATTCGTTATTGTAATTACTGGTTTTCCGGCAGTATAATCCATGTTCTTCAGTTGAACTAGGGCATAGTAACCCTACAATGTTCTTTCTATTCTAAGGAGAGGGAATTGTTCTTCATGGAAATACGTGCGCACTATGGGGTAATGAACATTATCTCACATTCGATGGAGCTATGTTTACGTCCACTGGTCGATGTCATTATGAGGTCATACGTGACTGTTCTGGTGGAAACACTTTCGTCATCAGCGTGCTCTTTTCGGATGAAGGAAAAGCAATTCTTCGAATCTCAAACGCTGACATCGAATTGGAACTTTCACAAGGAGAAGCCACATTTAATGGAGAGAAGTAAGCTATTACATCGAATTATATTATTAATATTATATAGTAAACAAAGGGGAAAAGAGCAATTGTCCAAAAAATTATATGACAAATTTGCTGCTTTTGACCTATTGGTACGAGGACATCCGCAGATTAGAAAACGCGTAAAACAAGATTTCATAGAATTCTTCACATCTTCAAAGTACTTTCAGCCGTACAAATAATTGGTATTACGCACCTTTAGAATCGAATGCACGTGTGTCAGTTGATTCAACTCATCTAAAATTCCAAATGTTCTGGTAACCAATATTGCCAACTTGTCTATTAGTCTATTTCGTTGTTAATATATTTGAATTATTTGTGTTTTTTAGAGTTAAAATTCCCAGTCTGACCAGTGGAGTCCATATCGAAACCATCCCGTATACAGATTTCATCGTATTGTATGGTCAACTTTTCGGGCTTTCTATTGCCTGGAATGGTGATTCTGGTTTTTTCTTCCACATTACCGATCAAGAGAAATGGCACGGAAAACTGTGTGGTCTTTGTGGAAATTACAACGGAAACATGTTGGACGACATGATCCCAAGAGGATCAGGTAAGAAGAGTGCATATACCTAAAAAAATTAAATGAATTTTAGAAGTTAATCATTTTATATGACGTCACAGATATGGTAACCGTAAATATGGAAGATTTTATGGACAGCTGGCAAATCAAAGATCAAACAGGGGTTTGCACCACGCCAGAAGTTTCGCATTATTGCTCTGGGCTCTCAACTCAACAAATTGAGGTAACTAGTGCCTAATATTTATTTAGGTAACTCCAATGATCGCAATTATGCTACGCCTTTAATATGATTTATCGAAACATATGAAGTCATTAAAGATGTCAAACGCTTTTAGTCATTCATTTCCAAATAAAATCATTAATGTTTGTAATAGCTAGTTTTAACAGTTTCAATACTCCTACAATCGTTGACTATCACATCACTTCAACTTAACTATATAGGATGCTAATAGTGGAGTGGATTTTCGCTATGAACTGTTGTCATGGTCATACGCTCATGCTTATGTTATCTTCTTTAATATAGCTTTCGGCGACAATTTGAGCATTCATATCTTTGTACGCTGAAATACTTACATTTTCAACTTCCGAATAATCTTAATCTTACAAATGTACACATTTGTAAAGGTGTGGGCGCAATAATACTTGAATTCCGTAGGTAAGATTGTGAGATAAAATTATATGATTGGGATTGGTCACCGTTGTCAGATCATTTTACATTTTATTGAATTGATTCTTAAATATTGGTCATATAATTAATGTTAGGGCGTTGACCAAAAAGTAATTACTTAGTTTAGAAAATTATCTCTTGAATCAAGATTGTCTCAAAAACTCTGCAGCATAATTGATTCGTAGATACTTCGCAAAAATCAGTATTTAGTGCTATCTATGAAGGTTGTTTGAGTTGGCACCGTAAATACTTTTGCTTTTAACTAATCATATTCATTACCTTTAGGATGCTGCTGCCATATGCGAGCAATTGAAGGAAGAAGATGCTTTTGCTGCCTGTGCTGGATACGTTGCTGAATCAACATTCAATGAACTATGTTTGATGTCAATGTGCCAATGCACTGGCGATTACAACGATTGTATCTGCAATTCTTTAACTCAGTTTAGCAGACTTTGCGTTGCCAGAGGAGCTCACATTGAAAATTGGAGGACAGAACAATATTGCGGTGAGTGTTTCGATTTGCTGTCCGACTGAATCGTCATGTCGGGCCGTCCGCAATGAAATTTACCTTCATTCTTTCTCTTTATATAACTTTCAGCCAAAGAATGTAGCGGGGGTATGGTACACATGGAATGTGGAACTCCCTGCCCAAAAACTTGTCGCAACCGTCTTCAACAAATGATCTGCCCAACAGCGTGTATTGATGGATGTTTCTGTCCTCACGGCACCGTTCTCGATGGCGACGTTTGTGTCCCAGAAAGCGAATGCTCTTGCGTTCACAACGGAACAAATTATAAAAATGGCGAGGTTCGCAAAGAAGAATGCAGAGAATGGTAATATTTTCAATCTTGAAAACTTGAAGATTACAATGGGCCCTGCTCGTCATATATAAAAATTCTTTGTGTTTATTTCAGCACTTGTGTTGGTGGTGCATGGACTTGCGATTTCCTTCCTTGTGGAGGAGAATGCGCTGTGACTGGTGATCCTCACTACAGAACGTTTGATGGAAATACCTACAACTTCGATGGAAAATGTCAATACGTTCTTGCCACTGATGGATGCGGAGGATCAAATTATACATTCTTGGTAAGACAAGCCATAAAAATTAAGAAATTTGTCCTACTCAACATCCAATGGAGTAAAAAATATATACAAAAACAAAGAGTGTACCTATAAGCCGTCATATTTAATTTGCCATTTTTAGTCAGTCATATGTGGGTCACATCGTTCCCACGAAGCATCATCATATAGATGTCTAGAATTAGACAAAATTGTCATACTAACCAATTTGAAATTGCATTCCAAAATATTTGATGTGGGATTCTGACCTTGTTACTATGCAAAACTAAACTCTTCGATTCTCCAGGTAACAGCTGAAAATGTACAATGTGGTGAATCTGGATATTGCACAAAATCTGTTCTTTTAGTAACAAAGGGTATGCTCGGAAAACACAAATACAAACTCAGTGCTGGGGATGTTGTCGCTGTTGATGATGTTTCCGTTGCATTACCTTACATACATGGTAGGTGTACGGAGCTGTATTGTCATGTCCAGATCCGGAATATTCAAGGGATTGTTTGGAATTTAAATTTCTCTTTTTTTGTCTGATTTTTATTTTTTTAATCTTTTAAGGCGATGTCTCGGTTGAGCGATTGTCCACTCTGTCAATGAGACTTCGAAGTGCTCTCGGATTTGACTTAGAATGGGATGGAAAAATGCGAGTCTACATTAGGGTAAGATTGCTATGTAAAAACAAATTCAACTAATTCAAGTTATTGCAAACTATGCTTTTATTGTCATTGAAACGTATGACATCAAGATCACCGTAAAACACTCTGACGATTTTTGTATAAAAACGAATATCGCTCCTATACATAACGGGCATTGAAAATTCTTTGCTAGCATTTATCAGTAATTACAAAGTTTATATATATTGGAAATTTGCTACGATTTAAAAAATTGAGAATCTCATTTTCTTGTAGAGTGATACATTTACAACTGCGTCATATCATGACGATCCTTCGAAAAATATTTCTATGTAAGCGCTTCGACGTCATATCGCTGAGACAAAGTCATTCCGTGTGTGACCAACTCAAATATATTAAACACATTGATTATGTTGATAAAATGTTCTTCGCATATTGATGTAAAAACTGCCAAATATTGGTGCTGTAAGTATCACACATAGAAATAATGTATTTAAGCGCCGCTCGTTGAGCCAATAAAAACACGTGACTTGTGTTGAATTGCCGAAAATTTATCAAAAGGTAATTTTACACGTTGCCGCTCGTATTTGTAATTCATTATTTCATGTGTTTTTTTGGTTGAATATTTTTAAATATTCCGAAATAAGATGACGAATGTAATTTTATTTTGAAAATAGGAAAAGAGAGTTAATATATATCTACTGGCTGGCACATTCTATCTAAATATATAGTTGCCGCAGTTCGAGATTTCGAATTGAATCATTACATCCAATTGTATACGATAACCGATAGGATTCATGCCATTTTAAAAAAAATATTTTTATATGCACAAGAGGATGCTTTTTATAAGTCCCGCTTGAAAGAAAAGTTTGCTGCATGTCATAAAATTATTATCTTGTTGCAGCTTTCCTCAGAATGGAGAAACAAAGTTTGTGGAATGTGTGGAAACTTCAACTCAAAATCGACCGACGATTGGGCAACACCACAAGGAAGTGTTGTAACTAGTGTCACAACTTTCGGAAATTCTTGGAAGGTATTTATTTTATTTACTTCAATCTATGCTAAAAAAACGTGATGTTTGGGCATCTCTATTTTGTTCAAACACCATACGCCCTAGTAATTGCTACCGATACATTCAATACGGCTAAACTATTTTGCGTATGAACTTTAAAAATGAAATCTTTTGAAAGGAACGTAACCGCAGAATTCAATAACAAAGACCATTTCATTTCGAAAAGACTTGAGAGTCACGTTAACGCCAACGCAAAGTTTTGTCTTAGGGTGGCTTAGCTTATGTGTAAACTAACGTCCCGGTTTTACACCGTCCTTCACGCTCACGCAGTAACGTTGTGATAGATGGATTGTCTTTAAGGGCCCGGCCCGCTTGGTAAACACAGACATTAAGAATACTAATATGTGATGAATGTATTTGAAAAGGGCATATCGGCGAGTTTGCGTCAACACTATCTTACGCGGTAACGCCCTTGCAATACATACCTATAGGGTCACAAAACATTGAGAAAAGACGATTGCGGTTAAAAACAATCTTGATTCGAGTTACCTTCTGGTTCTGTTGAGAATCATTTTCGCAAAACCACGCGGAGTTCTTGGTATTAATTTCATTATTTCTTTTGTTATATCAATGAAATGAAACACCAAAAATCGCCACAATTATTTGATAAACCCGTTTCCACGAACGAGAAAGAGGTTGTGGGGCTGAACAATGTCAATCCCCACAATTAGGCTTCTCACTGCTGACTCCGCATTCAAACGGGTGTTTTATTCATTGTTGTGATCCGTGAACGAGTGATTACTTTGTTAAGCAAACTGTACGGATCCATTCATTTCAGGCCTTAGGCCACTTCTTCCAAAGTGTAATAATTTAGATACCATCTGCTATATTATCCATAACATTGTTTAGAACGATACAAATTATCACCTTTGAAAATACAAGCAGAAAACCTTTTTCCAACAAAATTAACCTACTTTACGTACATTTCAGATTAATCAAGAATGTCCCGATGCTCTCCCGGTACTTCCAGATTCTTGCAAACTCAGCAAAGAACTTGAAACATATTCAGAAGCAATGTGTGCTGTTATCAAAGAAAAACAATTCTCAGCATGTCATAGTGTTGTAGACTGGAACTTGTTCTATTATAACTGCAGGTAAAAATATACCCCTGATTTTGGGGGAAATTATTAGAAATATTTATCTTAAAAATATCTCTTAGAGACAAACCAATAATTCAAATCAACTCTCATATAATAATACTTCAAGAACGTAACATAAGATTGCATGGTAAGATTAACATGATATGCTTCAAACGCCAAATAAAACGCTAGTCGTCTTCACCTGTACCCCGAGGTTGAATTCAAAAATCCGTCTTGCATATATATTTGTAAATTCGAGTCAAAAAATCGGTTTTTATCATTAGGTATCAAGTATTCTTCTCAAGTAAGATATTACACATACTTCAAAAAAAATATCGCAAAGTCCAACTTTTCGCTTCCGATTTTCAGAAATGATGTATGCAGTTGTGGAACAACGCAATGGTGTGCATGTGACGCCGTCGCTGACTATGCGCGAGAATGTTCAAAGAAGGGAGTCATCGTCCAATGGAGAAATGAAAGCTATTGTCGTGAGTATTAAAAATGCTGTGTTATAGTCTATAGCTGACATGGGCAAACTATGGCCCGCGGGCCAAATCTAGCCTGTTTGGTATTCAATCTGGTCCGCCTGATGCCGCCACAACCAAACTAAACCAAATTTTGATGCTTTAGTTAAAAATAGCCGAAGGAATTTTTTGAGATTGCGTTCAAATATATGTTTTCCACTTTTGCTTTTGTATCACTGTAAATATTGTTTGTAAAATGTAACTTTTCACGTCACTCTTACATGGCCCGCCAGTCTAGGTGGGCACAATTTTTGGCCCCTGGGCACAATTTTTGGCCCCTGGTCAAAAAACCTTGCCCATCCCTGCTCTATAGTCATCAGTATCAGTGAACATTCATCTTCCTGTGATAAAAATTTAGATTTTTCGATAATATTCAACTCAAACTATTATTTCAGCAATTTCCTGCCCCGATGAAATGGAATATCATGAATGCGATTCCCTCTGTTCAACAACTTGCAGAGCTTTTGGTGACAATCCCATGGTTTGCGATTCATGTAACGAAGGTTGCTTCTGTCCCAAAGGAACATATCTTACAGAGGACCAAACTTGTGTCCCGCTTGAAAAATGTGAATGCACTTATCTTGGAGCCATTTACAAACCAGGCGAAAAACTTGATCTCAACAGCATTTCTTGGTAAGTACCAACATTGTGCAGGTTTACACCGGATGGTTGCTTCTACCCCGATCTTGTTAATAAAATGAGAATGTTTTCGTCGTATACTTTTTGCAAAACCTGGTGTTGCGATTGTCACAAGATAAATATAAGAATGACATCACCCCATTGTCTTACCGTCAGTTCATAATTATCTGAATGAGCCTCGACGAAATCATATTTTCGTTCGTTATCACTTTATTAACTCTCTGCATTTCTGTCAAATTTTAGTGTTTGTGAAAACGGACAAATGGCTTGCCACAACAAAACAGAGGGATATTCATGCGACCCCTCTTTTGAATATTTCGATTGCCGCACTGCCGCTGCTGGTTCAACTGGACTTGCCTGCAAAACTACATGCTCAAATCCGTTCAACAATTTGTGCAATGCCGAAACAGAGCAATGTATTTCAGGATGTACTTGTCCCGTCGGATTTGTACTAGGTAACTCATTTATTTTTGAAAAAGTTATTTATGTTTACTTTCGGCGCGTTTTGAAGTGTAAGGATGCTGTTGGTCGGCATCTATCTTTATACTTTTAGTAAGGCTCGAGCTTTGTGTGTTAGGGGCCAGAGTTATCGAAAGTTGAATTACTGCTATCAGTTTTTGTGAGTCTCATGTAAATCATTTTTTATAACTTTGATTTATGACCTGAAATCTGTAATACTTACCGATTTAAAATCAGAAAATTTTGCTTTTTGTGTGCCTGTCCACCTGGCGGTCTTTGTGGTTTATAATTGCAGCAACTTTACATACATTTCTAAATTTCAGACGAGAAGACTCACGTATGTGTAGAACTTGAAAAATGCACATGCCTTCACAACGCAAAACTTTACATGCCGGGAGAAACAAGAAAGGAATTGTGCAATACTTGTACTTGTCAATCAGGTGGTTGGCAATGTACTGAATTGGCTTGTTCTGCTGAATGTTCAGCAGTTGGAGATCCTCACTATACAACGTTTGATGGTCTTAAATATGATTATCAGGTGACAATATTTGTATGAAGTTGTTTCGAGCTCAAATTGCGATATATTAGAGGCCTATACAATACCTAGATAACAAAAAAAAAACCTAAATATTGACAGAAGATATTAAAGTAAAAAAGGCTGTCACGTTACAAATTTAATTCACCAGGGAAGGGGGCAATGGCAGAATTTTTCTGGATGTGCAGGAGACTGAATCACAAAGAAATTAGTCATTTGTTTATTGAGTGAATTAATGCCAATGACTCTATCTGCTCGATATTACCATTTTAAGTTTGAGGTCGCAAATTCGAGACTTGACCAGTCAAATTTTTACCCAGGCCCATCCTTCAAGTCAGAATATTGAGTTGGCTTTGTTCTTCTAAACTCAATGGAATCTTCCGCATAAACAAGTGACTAATTATGCTGAGTCTTGTTTGGGGAATTAACGTCAGTGCTTAAATTCTTTTCAGGGTGCATGTGGATACACTTTAGTCCAGGATCTTTGCAACGGAAAGCTATTCGGAAGCTTCAGAGTCGTTGTTGAGAATATCCCATGTGGCAACACCGCTGTTACTTGCACCAAATCTGTGACAGTTTACCTCTTCCACCACGCAATCCACTTCACAAAAGGGGACGGTGAACCAGTGAGAATATTTTTGTTTAATATCCTAATTGCTTAACTACAAAAGTAATTGCTAAATCATCCCTCAACCTTGAATTAGAATATTTGTTCAATCTTTTCAAAATTATAGATTTAATGTCATCATTTCTTACGTACATTTTCCATTTATGATAATCATGTTTTAGATCGTATCATACTCTAACGCAACTAACGCTGGTCTTCGTCAAACTCCTATTGATTTTACGTATCACGTGAGACAAGGATCAATTTACTATATATTGGAAACAAACATAGGAGTCTCTGTTTTGTGGAATCATGACAATGCAGTTAAAGTTCAACTGTCACCTAATTATAGTGGGGAGGTAGGTCAATATATATTATAATATTGACGTTCCCAAAGTATTTGTACGAAGATGACGCACAACCTGAACAACTCCCAACCTGGCACACATACTATGTTCAGGTTGTGCGCCATCTTGGTACGAATACTTTGGGAGCACCAGTTTGTTTGCATTTAATGGAAAAATGTTTATAACGTGGTTTGAAATTCCATCAACATTTTAGGTATGTGGTCTCTGTGGTAACTTCGATTACGACCAAAGCAATGATTTCCAGACAAGTGATGGCGATATTGTAGCAGATCCCAACGTTTTTGGCAACTCGTGGAAGGTAGGATTGAAAAAAAAACATTTTATTTATAAATTTTAAATTATATATTTAATGGACGATTTATCACAAAAAATTCTACTTCGTATTTTCTTTTCCTCACCAGTAAAATTTTTCGTTTCAAAAAACTAAAAGAAAAAAAACGTTTTTTTACAGTTGATTGAAACTTGTCCAGACTCCGAAGGTGAGCCCCATCCATGTGACGTTTACCCTCATCGTGCCCCATGGGCGGAAAAGAAATGTGGCATCATAACAAGCGAAGTGTTCAAAGACTGTCATGCCGTCATCGATCCATCAACTTTCTACCAAAACTGCATGTATGACACATGCGGATGTGACTTTGGAGGAGATTGTGAATGCTTGTGCACTGCAGTTTCAACATATGCTCAGGTATGATGCTTTACTAATCGGAATAACAAACAAGCAAACAATTTTTTCACATAGTCAGCGGAAACAAAAAAGGGTGATGGAGTCTAAAAACGTTCAATTTTAAATCGTGGGTATAAGTTACGTCAGATACATTAGGGTATAAATTAATTAGGATGTTCCAATATGGTGGAGATATCATTGAAAAGAAGACCAGCGATTTTTTAAACCACTAGACTGTTACAAGGAGTCGAGCAATTCTCTTCCACATAATTAATTATTCCCATCGGGATGACAACCGGCGTAGGGTGGTCCGAGATGCTATGCCGAGAATGTTCGTATCACTTTTCTTGGTGCACCAGCGTCAAACATTGTTCATCGAGCATAACTTCATAACTATAAGCCTCACATTCAATGCATCAATATACGAAAAATTAGGATTCAATTAACATTTTTGTACCTTCTCTTCTAGGCTTGCTCCCAAGCTGGTGTTTGTGTAACATGGCGTGACAGCGAATTCTGTCCTGTCATGTGTGAAGCTCTTGATCCTGGCTACGGAACTAGTGGTGATTATGAATGTGAATGGAAATATGAAGCTTGTGGAAATCCATGCCCGAGAACTTGCTGGAATAAAGACCCGGTTTATTGTCCATGGGAACAACTCGAAGGATGTTATGTTCAGTGCAAAGACGGTAAGAAGCTGGTGATGACTTTTCTGATGGCATTTTAAAAAAAGACTTGGAATGACCTTCTTGATGCGTTTAATCGGAATATTGCAAATTGCATTTTCTGTTGTTAAGAAAAGTATGTAACGTAAGATTTGTTATTGGAATCGCTTTTATAGTCCTTTTTCTACAAATTTATTCAAAACAGTTTTACACATTTTATTTTAATTGCAAGTGTAAAATAAGAGCGACTGAAAAAATTTGCTGCACGGCGCGTGACATATATAAATACCTAAAGTATTATATGAAATTTTAATTCCATCTAGGCATTGTGAGCTAAGATCAAAATTTGCCATATTGTTGTAGATGAAGTATGGGACTACGTTGGTCAAAAATGCAAGCATGAGTCAGAATGTCCGGTTATTCCACCGCCACCAACAACTACAACCCCGGCTCCAACAACAACAACAACTCCGGAACCCACAACTCCGGAACCAACAGTAATAGAGTTCTGTAACTGCAGGGATGCCAACGTAAGACAGAAAACAAAATCTAATAATATAGAATAGAAAATTGAGTAACCGAAATTCTACGGTATTTGGATTTGAATATCACTACCAGCAAGAATCTCAGCAATCTAGCATATCTTTAGCGGGTCAGGATCACCAATTTATAGGTAGTGTTGTTGCTGTAACAGTAGGCATCATTTGACATCATTTTTAATAATACACATGGAACCAGCAGTTGTCACATCAACTCTCCGTTTTTATTACCACAAAACAACGGCTTGTAAATAAAATAAATGACAATTATGAAAGGGTCTTAGAATATTGCACTGTAAATATGTCTGTAATGGTGATTATGATGGAAAACTTTCAAAGCTCATGTCAATATTATCACACAGGGCAATATTTATCTACCTGGAGATTCTTGGCCTCTGAGAGGAGACTCATCACTTTGCGTTACTCTGGAATGTGTAGAAGAATCACCCGGGAAATGCATAACGAAAAGTACAGATTATAAACAAACTTGCGACTCTCAGCCCAAACCAACATGTGCTAACTATTTCCCAGCTGTTGCTGTAGATGATGGTTGTTCCTGTCACTGGGAATGCCAATGTAAGTGCATACTTTGTAAAGGGATTCGTTAGCTGAATATAGTTCTCAAATCAGGCTGAGGAGAAATTCCAATCCATTCAAATAAAGACTCCGAAGAATTTTATATTTCGGCTCAGTCGTTCGACTTCGCGAAGTTAACCTTCAGCACAGCGAGCACATTTAACCTTATTGTCTTTCTTTCTCAAGGTTATTGCTTCGGTCAAGGTGACCCACATTTCTTCACTTTTGATGGATTCTATTATCCATTCCAAGGAAACTGTACTTTTGTGTTAGCTAGAAGTTCAGGATCATCATTGACAAAGGATGTTAAACACGTTGTTGAAAGGGATTACGAAGTAAGTAAAATGTCTTTCAACTATCTCATCTACTCGCAATATCAGAGACAATTCGTTTGCATTTTGTTTCAGGGAAAACTCTATTTTTACAAACTAAAATTACCTATTTCAAATATTTAGATTTGGATGCAAAACGTGAAATGTGAAGAAGCCCCAACAACAACATGCACAAGAATGATCACATTGAAGTATAACAATACCGATCTTGAACTCATTGATGACTATACGGTAAAAGAAGACTATAGTTAGAATAGGTATTAATGTACATGGTCACAATCGCAATTTTGATGCCCAAGTCCGTCAGAGCGGCTATTGGGCTACCATACAGACGGCAGGTTCAATTTTTAGCGCAGCTACGCGACACCCAAGTTTGTATAGGTAGTAAACGAACAGACGTTATCATATCATTTTTCGAAAAGTTCTTGAAATACTTGAAAAAGCTAATTTAAATTTTCAGTCGTCTTGAAGTAAATATTCAATTAATTCCTCAATAGATTCTTATTTTCATTAGGCAATGACGTCATCGAGCATGATCTCATATTTTCCAAATACAATTTTGACCACTCTCACGTGTTCTTGAAAAAATAGTTTTTTCTTGAAATTTTGATTTTTCTAAATTATTTTCATTGCAATTGACAGTTCACCGTTAACGGTGGTCCTCCAGCTAGCGCCCAAGAGAACCTGCCAGCAACAATAAATGGAATCCTTGTTGAATTACGTGGTAGCAATTTGTTTTATGTCACGATTGAATCTATTGGACTTGTTCTGACATACACCGGCGAAGACTACAGTTGGTCACTTCGATTACCATACGGATATGCTGAGGATAACACAGAAGGGTTGTGTGGTGAGTGGGAGAAGTTTTACCTGTTCAAAATGGGTTTGTTCGGTGTTTGGACCGTGATAAGTTTTATATTTTCATACGACGTTTTTTAAGCCTTACCGAAGTACCGAAATCTTTCCGGTTGGGCGTTGCCTACCCAATTCGTTAACATTCGTCAACGTTATATTAATCTAGTATCACGCCAAAAGTTACCAGAACGTCGATTCTACGCAAGAATTTCAATTTAAAATTGTTTATATTGTTAAAAAGTATTATAACTTATAACACGGATTCAGAACCAGGTTATTGAAAAATCAAATGTATCTCTGGCTTCAAAATAGATAAGGATGGTTGCATGAATTCATGAATGTTGGCGTAAGAATTTGCATGTTTTAGCTAATTGACAGATAAAAAGGATACAAATGTCTAATTCTAGGTGTTTGTAACAACGATCTGTCGGACGAACTGACTTCACGTGGGGGTGAAATTGTCACTGACATTGAGAAGTTCGGATACAGCTGGCTCGTTGCCCATAAAAGTGGAGTTTGTTACGAACCACCTCCAGTATGTCCAGCCCCTCCAGCGTCAGAGTGTGACATCATTCTATCTGACATATTTGAAGTAAGTTATTGAATATCTTTAAATGAATTCAATATCTTTGGATCCATGGAATATTTCGTACTTTATATGTACAAAGTAAGAAGGCTATAAGAATCAGACTATCTTGGTTGGTTTCTCATAGAAAGTTACTCTTCCATGGGCCAATACTCATAGCCTGATTGGCAAAAACTTGAGTATCAGTGTATATAGCCTTGATAGCCTCAGTTAATATGTGAGCATAGTCACAATTTTATTGCTAATCAAATAACGAAAAAACATAACTATATTTTCTATTATAATTTGCGCTTGTTTTCCACGTCGAAAAGTAGCAATGTTTATATTCTAACAGTACCTACGGACAAATGAAAACTAACAAAATTACCTAATTGTCGATCTTGCTACCATCAAAATAGGTGGATTTTGTTCGGATTTGTAAAATCTGAATCTGATTATTTTATTTTCGTTTCCAGGCATGTCATCCACTTGTCGACCCAGAAAAATTCCACAAAATTTGTCAATTTGACACAAAATGTGGCAAATACAGTTATTGCGAGGCAATTTACGGCTATGCAAGAATTTGCCAAGTGGAAGGAGCGTGCATTGACTGGAGAAATGCCGACTTCTGTCGTAAGTACAAGTACACAAGGAATTTTCCTTGTTGGTCACGACGTATATACCAATGGGAGGTTTTGTTTCATTGTTAAATTATATCTGCTAGTGGGCTAATTCATATCAAATTTTCAAAACTTGAAGATGCAAAATTCGCTTTAAGTATATTGCTATTTATTTTTCAAAGTTTCTCGCGGGTCCAATATTTTAGCCCAGGTCTTGCTGGTTATTACAATCCACTTTCGTATACCATTTGTCTGAAATTTTGCGGTATTCATATAAATCATTTTACTTTTGCGTCTTTCTATTTGAGCATTTCTCTCTTTTTTACTATAACGTTAACAAAATATTCCCTACTAGAACTAATCTTTGTTCTTCCTGCATTCAGCGTTTGAATGCGAAGAGGATTTCGTATACCAAGCCTGTAGACCCGGGTGTGACTATACATGCGCTGAATTCAATCAAGGAGTGGAATGCGTAGACGGAGAAGTTATTGAAGGATGTTTCTGTCCCCCAGATCAGGTTCTTTCCAACGGAAAATGTGAACCTACCACTAATTGCACTAACTGTATTGATGATAATGGAGATATATATGAGGTTGGTAACAAAACAATTTATCGTGATGGTGGTAAACATAGATGATTGGCTAAGCCATCCATGTTGAAATGATGCCGTGGATCTGAACGTAGAATCGCTTATTTTAAGCCTCAAATTAGTCATTTGACAATCATGTTCATATATTTTAACATGCCTCTCTTGTTTGTATATACAGTAAAAGTAATATGACTATGCAATAGCAAATAAGACTTACTGATATACCGTAGCGAGATGTATCCCGTTTTGTCACGTGCATAATTTTCGTTTTAGTGTAGGTAGTGCCGCCACCTTCTCTATGTCAAGTTCTCCTTTTCTTACATTGTACTGAAGTATGCATACTTTTCATTAGTACGGTGAATCATTCATTCCACCTGGAGACACATGCACTGTATGTACCTGCATGAGCGAACAACAATTTGCGTGCAATCCAATTGCATGTTCACCGGATTGGAGTCCGGAAAAACCGGAATGTTCATCGTGTCATGTTGTACAGCAAGTTGTCGGAAGTGATCCATGCTGTCCTGAGTATGAATGCGGTAAGATTACCTTGAAAAAAGCATAAAGCACTAACTTATAATATAGAAACAGTCTCCACTCATCGCTGTTTTGTGTATTTACATCAAAAATATAGCTAGCCAGTAGTCATTACGGAATATTTTATTTCTAGTTACGAACAGACGTGATTGAGTAGAAAGTTATCCGACATTTAACCAAAACAATTGTCGATTCAAAAAAATACCATTAATTAAAATACTAAATCTGTAAAACATGATCAACATATCGAAGTAGATGAAACATTAATAATAATTGCTCATAGTAAATCTCCCCAAAATTCCTTTTCTTCTATAATCCTTCTAAATATATTTCCTTCTCCATAAAACTCTTAACAGTACTATTGATTAGGCAACATTAAATCGACTATTCGGTCTTCTTCATATAGTTTGCAATTATGCAAGCGGACAAGGAACAGGGGAATGTGCCGCCGCTTTTATACCAACTTGTTCATCACCCGGCTATGTAGCTGACATAGTAAATCAAGGAGAATGTATTCCACAATATGATTGCGTTTGCAACACTGATGTCAAAAATTGCCCGGAAGCGCCCACATGCGAGGACAATAAATATTTACATACGGAAGTGGGAGATTGCTGCCCAACTTATGAATGCAGTGAGTATAGTTTGGTGAAGAAAATATCAAGCAGGGAAATTGATCAAGTGTTCTATTCTAAAACGCTTTCCCCATCGTTCGAGTCAAGGCTTTTACAACCATCCAGTCAATCCCGAATACGTTTTTGTTCAAGAAAAATGCTAGCCTCCTCCCGTTGGATAAATTTTAACTACTGGTCTGTTATAATTTCCTCCACCCCTCTATTCCATTTGTATGAAACTGGTGCATTATCCTCAAAATGAGCCCTATTATCGCCCTTCTTCTCCTTCGGTACAAATATCATAGTCTCATCCCAAACACTAATCAAACCGTGTTTACCTAATTCCGTATAAATAAAGTCTCTGACGGTTGGTCACACGGCGCAAAATCTCTTAGTCCTTCAGTGAGGCAGCATCTAGTACTCGATAAGATACCACCACTATACGACATTGCTTCTAGATTCTCAAAATGTCCGGTAATTTTTAGAACATTACGCATAAAAAGTTTCAGTACCAAATCGAACTATCATGTTTATAAGTAGAATAAAGGCCTTAAATATATTAAATAATTTAGGATGTAAAACTTGTCCACATGATGGTGTATGGTGTGATGTTTGCGAAAACAAGGTTGTCACCTACGATGACTGTGGATGCAGCGCTACTACATGTAACATAAAGGGAATTTGCTATTACAATGGAACGGCATATGAGGTATTTTTTTGTGTTAAATGCAATGCAATGCATCCAATTTCAGAATGCAATGTTATGAGTAACTTTCATTTTAAATGTCCGTGAAATATCACTCAATAATAATTATTCTTCTTCAATAATAATTCTTTTTGGGTATTTTCTACAAGTTTGCACCTAGTATTGATCTTCAATTTAATCTTGACTTTAACAAAACCCGAACCGATCTTGAAAATTGTAGAAGTATCGATAGAAGAGCAATTCATGCAAACTTCAAACAGGGATGGCGCTTGCTACGCAACCAAAAGTATTAGATTTCACCTGACTGATTTGTCAACCTGACTAATCTTAAATTTTGTTTAGCCTGGTGATGAGTACTGGATAGACCCATGTCAACACTGCACATGTCATGCGACTGAACCAAACGAGAGGGGTTGTTACCACGCTGACTGTGTTTTAATGGCATGTGCCGCATACTGTCCACCATGTCATGAAAGGGTCATAAATACAGGAGAATGCTGCGGAACTTGTGTAAAAACTTCTTGCTCCGTAGATGGGCCGGACGGTGAAGCGCAATGCGTCGATGTAAGTGAATATATATTGTTATAAAAGCGTTCATTTTTGTTTATTTTGGATAGTTATTGTGTTACAACTCCTAAATAATTTGGAGACCGACAATCATGTTGGCCCGGCGTCAAAAGTCGGTTTCATAGAGTACAGAACTGTTTTGATTCTGAATGGACACACGGGCACCGGGCCTTATAAGAAATTTTACATTCACAAATTACATCAATACGTGAATAACAATTTTTAATGCATTTACTGATTAGACTTCAGTGCCTATCACCCTTCCAATATCAATCGAATTGAATGTAGGATTTTCTAAGATTGAACCATATTTGAATCACATTTTCTGATTTCGTGTGTGTTTCTTACGCTGTTGTGCGACGGCGACTCAAATAATTTGAGCAATCGATTTAAATACTACAGATTGGAGATGGCTGGGAAGATATGGACACTTGTTCATCACATATCTGCGTTGCTGATAATAAAGGCGAACCGGTCGTTATAGAGCGTCCAATGGATTGTCCTGCTCTCATTATGCCAAGCTGTGGTCCATGTTACGAAGTCAAAGTCACTACTGAAGACTGTTGTCAAACGGCTCATTGTGTAAAATCAGCAGTATGTTGTAGCTTGGATGGCACAACAGTAAAACAGGTAAGTAATTTATATTATCGTAACGACCTAATATTAACGAGTTAACGAGTAGTACTAGAGCTAGGTGTCTCTGACGACTAAATCTTTATTGGAACGGCTGTAGGCTATAGGGTAAAACAATTCACTTGTTGATGTGAGTTCAAGGCTCCATGACTTTAATGAGATTGATGATTAGTCCCTATCAACATAGGCAGAAAAAAATCCTCGAACTTATTCAACGTAATACCTATTTATAAAGGAACCTGTAATTTTTTAAATTTTAGCAAGGAGAATCATGGCCACCAAATCTTTGTACAACGTGCACTTGCACATCAGCCGTTAACCACACATCCGGTTTTCATATCGTTAACTGTGAGAAGAAAGAATGCCAGAATTTTGACGAATCTCTATGTGAGGGAACTATAGTACCAACAGAAGATGGCTGCTGCAAGAAATGTGATAACAAGTGCATAGACGCAAACGGAGGCACTTACGATGTACGTTTTTGTTTTAAATTTGTTTTGGAGAAATTGACTAGATTTTCAAAATTTTCTAGGTGGTATTTTCAAATCCTGAATTCATTCGCAGTTTTCAAACGAATATTTCCAATGTTTAGAGTGAATGGAAGAGGTTCTACGTTTTTTCACGTAAAAGATGGAAACAAAACTAATTTTGCTATTAAGGCAATATCCAATTAGGTTTGCTTTCCGACATTTCAATCTCACCGGGGAGTAAATTGGTTTTGTTATTTGTAAAATACAGTTAGGAATAGAGGTGGATACGTGTTTCCTATTACAATTCGAATACCCTATGTAAATATTATTTTTTCATAAAACTAATTAGGGTCATGAATTTATTTAGTATGGTGAAGTTTTCTATCCGGAACCTTGTAAAGTCTGTTCATGTGTGCAAGGCAACGAAATAAAATGCAACAACGTAGCCTGTAATAGTACTACTGGTGGAAAAGTACCGGAGTGCGGCCCATGTCAAGTAGCAACTAGAATTCCAGAATCGGATCCTTGCTGTCCTGAATATAAATGCAGTATGTATTTATTTTTTTTTCTAAATAAACTATAGTAATATGCAGTAATACACAGTTTATATCAGTTAGCTCAACTAGGAAACAGGTTACAAGTCTTTTGTATAGTATCTTGGAGAAATTTCATCTCAGAGAACGTAGTTAATTTGCTAAATTACCCGTTTGCTGAATTTAGTATGCAAAGGATAAGCTTACTTTTTACTTGTAAATCTGTACCTAATCATTAACGTAAGATTATTCTTAGCTGCTATGCGCTATCAGACCGCAATTTCACCTATACATAGTTGATAATGTTTACGTTATTCACTGTATGTATTCTCAAAAATTGAATTAAAAAATTTTCAGCGTGCAACTACGAGCTCGGAAAAGGAGAAAGTGAGAATTGTCCAGCAGTCGAAATACCAACCTGTGAAGTTGGTTTTGCACCAATTCTAACCAACCCAACCGATTGTATACCGATTTACGAATGCACATGCAATCCCGATAAGAATCCATGCCCTGCTGCCCCGACTTGTACTCACTTACAGCATTTGGTGACTGACGAATCAGGATGTTGTCCTAAATATAAATGTGGTGAGTTTTTATTATTGTATATTAGATAGGATTTCGATGATATAAGTAATCATTCCGTAAATATAATCTATTCAAAGCAACTAATATTCCTAAACGCCATGCAAAATTTTGTTTATTTCTAAAATAAATCTTTCGAACTGTCATTAAAACCGCAAGAAACAGATGTACCCAATCCCTAAATTTTATGATCCGGATAGGTGGCGGAAGAGAATTGTTATATTTTTCAAAACGACGGAATGTGACCTAGTTCTACACTTGCACGTACCCTGTGCGAACAGTGTTTTTTTAATGAAATCTCCTTACTATCAAGATTAATGAATCCGCGATCGAATATCAGTCATCTACACTATTATACTATTATTTGCATCGAAAAATGCTGGATATTTTTATCTCTCATGAACGTGTTTTTTTCGTTCCAGAATGTAACAAATGTGATGATGTACAACCAGCCTGCTCTCCATGTCAAGACAGATCAGTAACCATTGATGATTGCCTATGTGCTCATGTTCAGTGCTTATCAAGAAATGTATGCCATTACAACGATATAACGCGACAGGTTCGTCTCATTAAATTTAATATTGGTAAAGAAAAGCATCCATGTTGTGCTTTGCATCTAGTTCTATTCCCCCGATTGTCATTTCCAATACAACCTATGCCCAACACGTCATGCTAAACTTGAATATACACCTCCGTCATAATTTATGAACTTTGGCGGTACCATTGGCTGCAACAGCCTAATGATTTCTGTGGTGGTCAACTCAATTTACGTTTTAAATATATCGTTCCTGTTTAAACGGATAGCTCCCTACGTATCAGGCAGTCCCTTTCTAGCACCATATCCCGGAATATGAATCATCTCATACAAAATCGTATCATCCCATCCTCTGATTGTCTGAAATTTTCCGACAATACGGTGAATGCTATTTGAACGCTAAATCACTGACGCTTTTAACAGTACTGTTAAAGAAGCGTCAGTCGTAATCTTTTCGAATGTCGCACGGCTAATATATTGAATCGGCTGGACATCAAATGCAAAACGGTGTTTTATATATTTATATATACCTAATTGTATGTCTATCTTTTTGTCAGATTGGAGAAGAGTGGGATGAGGACGTTTGCACTCGTTGTAAATGTTCAGGTGAAACATTCAGCGCAGAAACAGGTTGTTATTCTACTACGTGCTTCGCCACATCTTGTGATACCACTTGTCCACCTTGTCATAACTACGTCACCCAAAGTGGACAGTGCTGTGGAAGTTGCATACCCGTTGGCTGTGACGTGCACGGACAATGCAAAAACGTATGATATATTTTGCCATATTTAATTTATTCTGTTTCATAATAGGGCATATTTGGATTAGAAACGAACTATAGAAACACTCGATTGCTATTTTTTATACTCGAAAAAAATTTTCTACATTAATATAATATTATAATTTTAACGTTTTGATGAACATTTACATCATATTTGAAAATTTAGTTTGTTTATATGTTTCAACTTGGACCCAAATATTGATTTATTGGAATTGTTAATAACAATTGTAAATTTCTTATTTTCCATTTTACGAATTCAGTGTATTTTAAAGTGTGCACTTATAACCATATTTAGCGCTTCATTCTCGGAATTTCTACCTAAACTGTTGCTGAAAAGGGGGGAAATTGTTTGTTAGCTTTAAACAGACTTCTCTTGCAAAACTTTGCAGGACTCGAAGTAAAACCACTTTGTTGAACTCATACACGAATATTATTTATTATCAGATTGGTGAATCATGGAGCGACCAGGACGAATGCAAATCTTACGTATGCATGCTGAACGAGGAAGGAACCCATGTGGTAACTTCATCATATGCATGTGAAGAACCAGAAATACCATCATGTAACTCCTGCTATAAAGTCGAAAGATATACTGAAAATTGTTGCAGTAAATACAGATGTGTACCAGATAGTGTATGCTGTACGTCTGGATTGCCACAACTGGTACATTGGACTACATAATTTTAGAAAATAAAATGATGTGTATATAGAAAATTTTATTATCTCAATCACATATATAATATCTTGTTTAATAGGCTATAAACCCGGATGTCTTTATTTAATAAGCTACAAAACCGAACCTATATTCTTCAAAAATTGGGAAACAAATTTATGGCATCGTGAAAAAAGATGAATTTGTTATTATAATATTTGGCGTCATGGGTGTAGAAACAATTCATTACAAATTGATAATTCAGACGTGTGATTCAGACCCTCAACTCGAGATACAGAGTATTGATTTCGAAAAAGTTTTTGTCTGCAAATCCCATTCTATTCGAGTCAAAAAACTCGACTCCTAGTCTCGGGCAACCGAGTACCAAATGCATACTTCAGACTCGATAACCAGCACACCTCAACATGAACATATGCGTATTTAATATGCTGCGTAAAATTACTCTCTTCATATTTCACATTATAAAATTATACATTACAACAACCTGAAACAACTGGTTTTGGACGTGAATATTCAATATTTTTTTACCTTCTTATTTACGTCACCATCATATTCCTGTACTGTATATATAACAATTTTGAACGTTATTTTTGTATTTCAGCCCTCGTCGAGTTGGCATCCAACAAATTGCGATACATGCCACTGCACTGAACAAATCGATGAAGACACTGGTTTTTATATACATATGTGTGTACGTAAGGCATGTCCACCTGTTGACGAGCAAACCTGTCTTTCAAAGGGGGGATCAATCGTCTCGACTGAAGATGGGTGTTGTTCAAAATGCCAAATTGATGCTTGTTTCGAATGCTCTAGGCATATTGCCTCACGTCTTGAATATGTTAGAGTGGATTCTTGTACCTCAGTTGAAGAGATGCCGGTTGCATACTGTGATGGTTTTTGCCGAAGTGGTGCTCTGTGGTCAGCAGTAGGTCTCTCCGACCAATGCTCTCTTTGCCAGCCATCATCTCATGAAACTAGAAAAATCGCAATGAAATGCAAGGATGGATCACAATTTGATTATGAATGGAAAATGGTGACAAGCTGTGGTTGTACGGATTCCTGTGAATGTAATGTTGTCACTCCAACAGAACAACCGGAGGAGCCTGAAGTTTCAGGTTCTGGCGAAGAACCTACCACTCCCCCACCCACTAAAATTCCGGAAATACCAGAAGAATCAGGATCTGGTGAAGAACCTACCACGGCACCACCCACAAAAATTCCGGAAATACCAGAAGAATCAGGATCGGGTGAAGAGCCTACAACGGCACCACCCACTAAAATTCCGGAAATACCAGAAGAATCAGGATCGGGTGAAGAGCCTACCACGGCACCACCCACTAAAATTCCGGAAATACCAGAAGAATCAGGTTCGGGTGAAGAGTCTACCACTCCACCACCCACAAAAATTCCGGAAATACCAGAAGAATCAGGATCGGGTGAAGAGCCCACCACGGCACCACCCACTAAAATTCCGGAAATACCAGAAGAATCAGGATCGGGTGAAGAACCTACCACGGCACCACCCACCAAAATTCCGGAAATACCAGAAGAATCAGGATCTGGTGAAGAGGCTACCACGGCACCACCCACTAAAATTCCAGAAATACCAGAAGAATCTGGATCTGGTGAAGAACCAGCCACACAACCACCTACGAGAATTCCTGAAGAGCCCGAGGAATCAGGTTCAGGATCTGGTGATATAGTTGTTGAAATACCTGAAGAAACTACAACAACAAAACCTCTTCCAACCACCACGACTACTGTTGCAACAACTACTACCACTACAACTCCAGAACCAACGACAACATCTACTACTACAACCCCAGAACCAACGACAACAACTACCACTACTACAACTCCAGAACCAACGACAACAACTGCTACATCAACGACCACTAGCACAACTCAATCAACAACATCCACTTCAACTCCAGAGCCAACGACAACAACAGAAGAGCTGACAACTACGACAACCACAACGACGGAGCCAACTACCACGACTGTAAAAACGACAACTGAAGAGACAGAAGCACCCACCACAACAACGACTACATCTAAACCCCCGAAAACCACTCCAAAACCAATCCCAACAACGACAACAACTACAAAAGCACCCACAACAACTACACAATCTAGTACTAGTAGTACGACGACAAAACCAATTGTCACCGTTCTACCGGAAACAACAACAACACAAAAGGCGACAACCAAACCAGCTGAACCCACTTGTTACTGGACAGATTGGATGAGTTCGGACCGCCCAAAAATGCCAAATCGTAATGACGACGAGCGATATGAGCATTTACGTGAAAACAACTTCAAATTCTGTGAAAATCCCACTCAAATTCAATGCCGTCCAGTCGGGAAAACTATTGCGGATTTTGAAAAAACGCAAGAATGGCAAGTGGTCAGTTGTGACGCGAAATCTGGACTTTTCTGTGATGGAAACCAGCAACCAGTTCATCCAGTCTGCGAAGATTATGAAATCAAAGTTTATTGTTGCGACGGAGTAGCCACATTAGCTCCTACAACTGCTGCTTCATCACCTTCGTCTGAAGGAGGTCAGTGGCAATGGCAACACCAGTCTCAATCTGGAGAAGGTGGGAGTCAATCTCAAGGTCAAATTCAAATAGGTACTGGCGACGGCACTCAAATACAGGGTCAATCTCAAAGCCAGGAAGTCAGTGACATCGACGCACATGCTCAATCTATTATCAGTGGGATAGAAAGTAGTCATCAAGCAAACCCATCAGGCGGTGATAGTTCAAGCCAGTCACAGGTTCAAGTGCAGCACCAGTCATCAAGTCAAACATCAGGTCAATCACAAATCCAAATTCAGCACCAGTCATCCTCATCAAGTCATTCACAACCGCAATCACAGCAACAAATTAATGAGGATTTGGCTTCTTTAAATGACCAAGACATCGCACATCTTCTAGGACAACTCGAAAGCAATGGTGAGTTTGCACAAGCGCAATCTCAACAACAGCAACAACTTGAAAGTGCTATGAGCCAGATGAGCTTGGTAAGAACCTAGTTTTAGCACATATAAAAAATTGATCTAATAAAATTGAATGAATAGATGGTGCATGAATAAGGGTCATTAAAATACACCACCCAGAGTAGATAAGAAAACCTTGAATAGATTATGTTTGACTCAACGATAGATACCTTGGTATATAAGTTTTTTATCATTGCAAAATGTTATAAAATTAAATCACATTATAATTAGTTAACCTCATCAATAATCTTTTCGTTTACTTATTAGAAGGACATTTCAAAAATATTTATTTCTAATAAACACAAGTTATTAGAATATATATTATAATTTGTCAGTGTAGTTACATTATTAGATGCTTTTTTGTTGGAAAAATAATAAATGTATTATCTATAATATTTTTCTTGTTCGTGATATAACAACGTGTATACGTTCATTCTAACAGGGTGATATAGAAAGCGAACTACAAGAGGAACTAAATCAACGTCTATCTTCGAAAAATTCAGGCGAAACTAAAAAAGAAAACATTGACGATGACCTTGCTGAGGAAATCAAAGAACTCGTCAAAGCTTAATTGGAATTTAATGAAACATAATAATACCTGACATCCTAGCAAAAATTAACCAAATGTTCATTCTTTAGTACTAGTACATATTCTGCCGCGCCGTTGATCCAAGATTTATCTATGTATATATATAGTGTACTATATACAAACTTATCACAGTTAAAGCTAATATTAATTTCACAAGAATTAGTTGATTCTTCTCGTTGAAATCTTCACGTTAAAGATATTACACACATTCGTTTGTTTATAGTCATAACGTCGCAGCACTGCCTACGTATTCATGTTGTAGGTCGGTCTGGTTCTGGAACGATCGATATCTTCAAGACAATTTTTTTACATACACAAATTTAAGTTCAATATTTCTCAATTTCCCTATCATCATTTTTATTGTATAATCACAAAAAAACAATTCTTCAATATATGTAGTATATATTTTTTTGGTATATATTTTTCTGACAAACTCATGTTTCGTTATCGTGTCTGGGCAAGGCAATATTATTGCTATTTTGCACATTTGTAGTTTTTAATTTCCCAAATTTAATAACCCTAAACTTTACGTTGAAGACAATCGTTTCATATAATTCGTAAAAAGCTATCGCAGAAATAGCCATGCTTTTTGTAGAGCTTGTATGTATCAATATATCGAAATCTCAAGTTTTCTAATTATTTCGCGAGCATCGTAACAAAGTGTGACTGTTTGTAAATATTGTTTCATGTGTTTTTGATGGCTTGTCAAAGATTACAAATGAGACCAATCTCCTCCATTTATGAACCAATTTAGCTGAATTTAATCATTTTGATTTGGTTTATATCTGGCAAGAATATGTCTGTTATGAAATTTATGGCTTGCCACTTTTGTCCAGATAAGATTCAGTTTTGCTCATGTTTGGACGTTTCACAGTTCAAATACTTGTTTGACGACATTCAAACGTGAGGAAAGATAAATGTCTTCTGGACAATATTGGTCAAAATTTGCCAAGCTGTGTGCCGTGATGTACTGCACTTAAAGCAGTATATATCTGTCAGTTAAAAATGGCCCAGCTGATTTTGACCGAGATTGGATTGGACGAATGTAAAAAGTCCGAACCCGCATGTAAGACCGGGAAGTGCAATGAGTGTAAAGTAATTACTAACAACAAATAATTGTAACCGATTTGTAATAAAAATCACACTACCAAGTTAATATTTTTTTTTAGCTTATTGCTTGTGAAATGTATATCAACATACCATGTAGATTTATGTGTTTTGATCTATAGTAGATTGCAAAATACACTGCTTTATCTAGACTAGTCGAGGTCTTATGGAGAATGAAAGGGAAAAGATTATAGCATTTTCTTTTATGTGCTCGAGGTCAGGGGTTCGACATGATAATGCGTAATAAGAGAGCAATGCTCAAATTAATGAACACAGAGGGTCGATAACTCATCGCCGCACCGATGGTTTATGCAAAAAATCACGGCATCACATGAAGTTCGCAAAATCAAGACGAAGGATTACAATGACGTGGCGTGTACGGTTGACGGAATAAAACAATGTCCCCATAAGCAAAATTAATATTGGATCTAATGAAAGGGAATTAAAATGAAAGTAAGAGTCTTCTAGCGACGTTCCAGTGTCCGCCATCTTGGTTCACATACTTCATCCATAGGGTCATTTCGTATCCAATAAAACTTAAATAGGCTGTATGCGTTGCTTTCCAAAATTAGGGTTACTATATTTTTGTGACCTCAAAGCGGGGCGCCTCCAAATACCATAGCTGTGATCTTTACAACTTCAAATTTATCGATTTTACATTAGGAGCCTACATTTAAAACCACCCCGGCTGTCTTCATTGACCATATTGCCGAGTTCATGCCTTTTCTGTCTAATTTTCGGTTTCGGTTCAAAAAACAGAACGGATTTACGATAAGCACCCTTTTGGCGTACGGGGCTCACACGTAACAAATTGTAGCAATAGTCCACTAATAAAACAACGGAACAAAGAAAATCCCGATTCCGCTTTCAGTAAGTAGACTACCGGTCCGCTGCACAGCAACAACAGTATCGCGAACATGCTGATTCGTAATGTTCGTGTAATATGCTGACTGTCTAAACGCCAAAGCGGGACTTTTGTCTGACCGGCCGGGACAAAACGTTGAAAAGTGTGACTGTCCCGCCTAAAACGAGACGTATGGTAAGCCTATTCAAAAGGGAACTAAATATGGACGAATTGATCGCAGCGAAGCGATTGCATTCATTTTATTGAACTTACCATTTTGGAAAATTTTGCACCAAAGGTAGCATTGATTTCTTCCGCTGACATTTTCCATTTTCTGTCTTCACGGAAGTCTTAGAGTCATTAAAAATTTCAAACGGTCCGTCTCGAACATTTTTCACGTTTAAGTTTGGGAGCCACTGTCTGTGTCATTATCATATATATATATATATATATATATATATATATATCAGGGATGGCGAACCACTGACCCGCGGGTCACAAAGTGACCCACCGCGTTCTATTCGTGACCCGCCAAGGCACGAATATAATAAAAAACTAACAAATCAGTGATGAAAAATGATAAAACCGGCCTTAAATTAATCTGGCGAAAACTAAATTATTATAATATACCGTCAGTTGGGCAGTCAGGGCTGCGATCGCTCATATTCAAATTGTCAATTTCCCGGCCGGTATGGTAATTTCCAAACCCCCTAATCTTGGACGCATGTCTGCACTCTGCACCGCTGTGTGTGTACTGTTATTCAGCTATTGGCTCTGAAATCGTTTATGACATAACAATGCAATTGATGTCCATTTCTCGCAACAGATTGTCTCTTTCGGAAGCGCATCTGCGGACTGTTTTAGGGGTTATACGAGAAGTAGATGCTACTTTGCATTTTATTAGTTTCTCGCCTACAATGCTGTTAGGAAAGCAAAATCATTCAGACCTGAAATAAAAACCTATAAATCCGAAATAACAATGGTGCAGTGTAAAAGTGCCTCAATGTGGTTGAGAGCTGATCGAAAAATATAAAACTATCAGAGTGGGTGTCCCTCCAAACTCTTTGGAACCGTAAAACATTTTGTCGCATCATCCTAAAAGTTTTTGTTAATTCATATGCGTGTTTTCGTACTCTAATTTCATAAAATTATGCCAGAAAAAGTCCCTGATAGAAGTGCTGCATAAGTAAATCCCAAAACTACACCAAATACATCAGAAGCTTATAAGATTTGTTTCAGAAGTTTCGTATAGATACAAACATTGATTAAATATCTGTGACCCACTCTCATTTGTTCCGCGATAAAAATATAATTTTTGACCCATTCATTGAAAAAGGTTCGCCATCCCTGATATATATGGTCCGAGAAGAAGTGAGTTTTTGTAACCAACTCAAAATTGTTCCTCTTATTGCAAATTGCGCCGTGGGGATTTGGTAGAGCTGGACGTGGATAGCATATTTGTGAATTATGGTCAGTTCGGAACTTCTACTAGTTTGAATACAAAATAAACAACAAGATTTTTTCGAATCGCGGTTTAACATAACTAAGGGTAGGAGGCAGGAGTACTTCTCATTAAAAAAAACGGCTTGAGGTATCTCAGACTGTATTAGCGTTCAGGTCGTATTTGCAGACATTGGAGTTTTTACTTGCGGTTTAACTAAAACTTTATAAAGATAGTTTATAAGGTTGTATAGTTTAAGTCGTATTTTTAAACATCGGAGTTCAACTAAGAAATCGTACGACTTTCCTAAAAAAAATGATATATTGTATTTCGGAGCTATAGTCTGTCTAAATATTCTTGATTCTGAGTGGTAATTGAAACTTTTGTCAAGCCGGAGTCAGCTTTTCGAATCGTCCCGGACCGTTTGGAACTTCCTGACTATATGCCCTTTAGTTACTCATTTGGACAAGACTATTGTTAATGAGTAAAATACGACACACGTTTGACTCTATCGAATATTTTAAATAGATAAAATCCCTGTGCACTAAAATGATGATTTTATAAATATGGTGCTGCAGCACAATGAACAAAATTTTTCACTTCATAATAAAACAATAAAGTTAGTTATTTTGTATTAAATTCAACGTTTTTAAAGAAAATTAGTTGAGAATTACAGTGCGTTTGCAAACAATACATAAAACTAAATGACTAATAAAAAGAAAAAGTAATTCCAACAAAAACTTCAAGTATTAAAAATTGGCACTAAGGCAATAATTAAACATAATATTAATTGATGTATCTATCCATAGCCAACAACAGTCGTTTCTCTGACTTATATATAAAAGGTTAATGGATTGAATATTCGTATAAGTTTTGAAGCAATCTTATGTCGAGCCTGGCCATATTACACAATTTCCAATCAATCTCAGGAGGACATCATACCCTTATAAATCGAATGATGACATGCAGACCAATATGTATTTACATGACTTATAAAAACCAGCCCTTTATAATATATTTTATGCAAAGTATATATAGATTCCGTATCATTTAAAATTTCCGAGTAATTCGTCAGCGAGTTTACAAATCTCAGATGCTGTTAGACATGAGAATTGTCCAGAAATGACGTCGCAATGTTGCTGTGTATCAAACAACATTTTCTTTGTCTGCTTTCTTCAAGGCTTCTAATAAGTTTTCCTCAGGTGTACTTACAAGTGGCCATGTTTCATTAATTTCTTCATCATTTCGACTATCTTCAGTTTTCTTGATTCCATTAGTGCAAGGTTCTTTACTGTCTTTGTCCTCATCGCTCTCTTCGGCGAGTTCTTTCTCGTTTTTTAGTGATGTTTTTTCATTCACGCTGTTTTCCGAGTCTGATCGCTCCAATTCTAACCAAAAAATATATTTCTATATATAAATATATATATATAAAAGAAACAAATATGAATCTAGAAGGAAAATGAATTGTTTTGAATTTGTCTCCAATCAGAATTATCTTAACAGCGATTGGCAATCATTACGTAGACTAACCGTGCCCACATTAGGATATATTATTGAAAATGTCAGAAAAGTCAAAAACATTATACAGGGCCGAATTTATACTGTGAGCGGCTTGATGAGGGCATATGCTATGTTTTTTGCGTAGCCATGACGCCATAGAGAATGCATTATGGCACCATAAAAGATTCCATATACTACGCAAATGTATTATGGCGTCATAAATATATTTTTAAATTGCGTGCAATACGACATTTTACAAGATACTTCACCCGCTAATCACCCAAATAGATAGAGTAGTAGGTTTAATTTTAAAACACTTTGAGAAACTCAAGGCTGTAATGGTAAATCCGGTCATGGCCCTATACATCTAACAAAACAAGAACTGCAGAATGATATGACGAGATTTACCTTGTAATTTGAGAAACTATGAAATATAATTGGGAGACATGATTATAGTCACACGTTGTAAAAAAATTCGACTCGATTTGCTAAGCATTAACCAGAATGCCGCATTCGCGTACAATAACATTGTCGTAAAAATATCTTCCTTCAAGGCATTTCGATATACAACTAGAAGGATTTCGAAATAAAAAAGACTAATAAAATATTCTTACGCTTTTCTTCGTCCTCAAATTCAATGTCTGGTGTCTCAGAGTTTTTCTTTCCACAAAACCTCTGATAAATTCGATATAAAGTGATCAGAAGAAGAGCTTCGAATGCCTGAAAAATATTAATTTTATTCGTAGGTTGCATTATAAAGTCGAGTGGGTCGGCTATGTATTCATTTAAATCCGCAATTCGCGAGGCAACCTTAAATCCATTGCTTACAACTTGATTTCTTTGATTTACAGTACTTTTTCTTCCGATTGATACATTTTGATGATCGCAATATAATATTTATTTGAACGCTTTCCAGGGATTCCCAAAGTTGAATGACCGGGGGCCGAAATAAGAAGCGGAAGGAAGAATATTCGCAGGCGGCTGTAAGGGGCCGATACCGGTAAGTATAATTAAGATACCGATATAATTGGATTGTTTCGAAATCACACGTGTTTAAATTGCGATAGTGACGTAACAATTGGCGGTATCTAGAACGCAAAAAGAAAAGTAAAAACATAATGTAATAAACTATTTTACTTAATTCGATTCGGTGGGCCTTATCAACTTGTTACGCGGGCAGCGGTTTGGGACCCACTGCTTCAGTCACAACATTCCGGTTCGTATATATATGAATTAGGTATAAATTTTAGCTCAATTTAATTAAGATGGAAGAATCAACATTGCTTAAAAACCGCAAAAATGCGCTACGTTCGACGCGACTGTCACAAAAGCATCTATAGATAACACAATTTGTGTATTTTGTAGAAAAAGCATTGGACATAGTCTTCAAACAGTCCAATTTCAGAAGCATAATGGGGTTTGCCAGTTTTCAAGTATATATTCTATGTAAACTACAACGAATTTACTGTACTTTGATGTCCCAAACTCAGTCCGGTGCTAATGGTCAGAGATATCACAAACCTGGTCATTATGAGATTAAAAGTTTATATCCAAACACGGGGCATTAAATTCCACTTGATATTTGGTACCTAGTTTTTTTGTTATTCCTATTACCAATATTTATACTTGTATTATCAATTTATTGTAATAATTGTCTTTATACATACCGTACGTTGTTTAGAAAATGACTAATGTTTACCTAGTATATGATTTGACATGTTTGTATACGCATGTTATGAAATCGCGTTCAGAAAAGGATTTTATCAAGCATGGACTATATATCGGCTTCATTTCAATGGTGCATATCCGGAACCGAAGTTGTTATTGAATAAGTAGGTATATCTGGTTAGGATAACCTCGCTTGGAGGACACATTCTCTTCATTGGACGATTTAATTTCTATCGCGACTTCGCTATTGTTTTTTAAATATTGATAACTACGATCCCGCAAGGTAACGATATATGGGAATGGCAATAAAACAGCTTAATCATATGGTGAGTGGTGACCCACGGCCCCTTGCCTGGTTACTTGTATAAGCCTGATACAGGAACGATTGCATTCAAATTTTTTTATACAAAACTTCATCTTATTGAATTAGCTTGAATTAGCTTAGTTTATTTAATTAGCCATATAATGTACTAAACGGAAGGCTAAAAGCGGACGTTTATAACAATATAATTGGTTTATAACAATAAATATTGGCCTCTTGGTCGACTCTTGATGATAAATCGCTTACCAAGCACATAATGTATGTTCTCCTGAGCATCGTCACAATAGTTCAATTCTCTATCAATAGCCAATCAGGAGGTTTATGGTAACCTAACAAGCAAAATTTAGCGCTCTGCTCAGGGAGTTTTTGCACAGAGAGATTTTAAGCATGATTATATAAACCTTGTCTCGATCTGTATGGTTTGAATTCAAGTTTTACGTTATATTTTTTAAATATGGTTATAAATTAAATAACTCAGTAGCCAGTTTGCTGTAATATATATGAGTTTTGCTTTTGCTGCAGTAATGGAAGAACGATCCCTAAGTCAGGATGGAATAGGCCATAATTAGTTGTAAGTACATACACTGAAAACAAAAATTAAAACTCTGTCACAAAATGGCGATTTGCAAAAGTTCAACCAGTTTGCAGAATCCAAACCAAACACTCAAACTAACAATCTAAAGCTGTGTAATAGTCCAATATAGGTACTCCCGTAGTGTGTGTACCAGGTTAGTGTTAGGCCATAATTTTATTCCGATTTTCCTTATTTTAGTTCTATTGCGAGTTCGGGGACAGTCTGTGTTAGCCAAGTGGATAACCCCATGTCCATAGGTTTCAGTCCCTTTACACAACTTGATGTAAAGTAGTTGACCAAAATTAGTTACCTCCATATTGGCACACATTTCTGGAGCTCCCCATATAAAATGATTTTTAGGCGTCAAAAGTCAGGGAACATCAATTCGATATGAAAGATAGGTCCAATATTCACATATAGTAAAACAAAACGTTTAGCACTAACCCTAGTAAACTATAGCATGAAGTACAAATAGGTATCAGACTAGGGTAGATCAATATTTATTTGTTATCATTTTTATCTGCGTCTTTCTTGTTTTAGCCGTCATTAACACTTAGCAAAGTTACAAACTTGAGTGCAATTGTACCTGAACGTCAACCAAGCGTCAACCGCTGAAATCAGGAAACTAGAAAAAATATCCAAACATTTATGATGATTTGAATACCTGAAAGGCCATGTATATGATGGGCAACAATATCATGACGCCAACGAGAATAGGATCAAATGCAAGCTTTAACACCGTTCCACACAATTGTACATTTTGACATCCCGTTTCCACACATATTGTCCGACTGAAATTTAAAAGTAATATTCTGTAAATATTTTGGATCTTATGGAGTTTATAGGTAATGGCGAGCTTTAACGGTTCACTTTAAATATATATTTCTTGTTGTGTAGGCTACGTGCCCTAACAAATTGATTAAGTTTGTGAATGGGTGGTATATAAGTTAACTCACCATGATTTTTGATTTTCTCGAAAAAGGCGAGCAAAACAAAATCCAAAAATATATCCTGTCATTGGTAGTATGGCTGCACAATAGACAACTTCAGTCGGAAAGAAATAAAAGAATTTGTCACCAAGAAGCAGACCAGCGAGAATAGCAAAGGTGATACTACAGATGACAAGCATTACAGCTCCAAACTGAAAAATAGAACTAAATTACCAAAGGAGAAAAGAGCCAAGCGAGAAACCAGGTTATGTTATGGTCAAGAACTGAAGGAAAAAAGAAATTTTAATTACAGCTACGTGTTTTTGTCCGGATTATGCCTGTTTTCACTCATTTCTCATTTCAAGATATCACTTCACCATAGTAATATCATGCTGCAACAATTTTGAATTGCGACACTGCTTGCGATTCTTATTATTATTGGAATTAGCACTTTAGAGCAGGGGTGCGCAACCTCTATTACAGGCGGGTCAGATAGCCTACAAATGATTGGGTGGAATCGCGGGCTAGTAGTTGTAGGCACAAAAAAAACATTGTAATGTCAGAGGCCTAAATAATAAATTAGACTTAGGTATAGGCATTGGAACGCGAAGGAATTGTAATTACAAGTCAGATTATACTAAATTGAAAACTTGTTTCGCGGGCCGCAGACCATTCAAAATTGGCACTTATCCGCGAGCCGCACAATTTTTTCTTGCGGGCCGCATTTGGCCAGCGGGCCGCCGGTTGCACACCTCTGCTTTAGAGTATTGAGTCTTCCATGAAAACAGTGGTATTAGTCAATTTTATAAATACTTTCTCACCCGCATAACATGTACTGTCCATTTAGGGCGATAATGTTTGATTGCAATCCCAACACTGACTGGTACGATCGTCAGAGCTACGTTCAAAATAATTTTATCAAACGGAACTATCTCGCTGCTGTCAATCGGTATTATATATCGAGAGTAGCAGAAAAGTAAAAATGGCATCATTCCAAGTCCAAGTACGGATGAACATGTTGTCATAAGAATACTGAAAATATTATAGAAATAATTGAATGAGAATTCAGAGCATGGAAATGACATGACATATATGAGTAAAAACCCTGTAGTGAAGTACAACTCTCGTTCAAGTCCGTGAGTGATAATAAGTGCAAAATTGAAATAAATAAAACAGTACATTGTTTCTAGTCTACATAGTTTCAACAATTTGATGTTGATGTCAAAACTATTTGTGGTGCGTACCCGAAATCCGCCACTATATTTAAAATCAGAATATTGTTTTATAGTTAAGATTTGGGAACATTCATGTGAGTTTTACATGAGTGGATTGGGCAATGTCTCACGGATAACAGACATGATGAAATAACCTCGGTTTATACTCGGCACTCGTACTATCGTGCAATATATTATAAAGTGAAAGGTTTACTGTATTAGCAACTACATAATAATTTACCAACCTTAGATTCATGTCACCATTGATAGCAAATGCCAGCATGTTAGACAGGTTTCCTCCTGGGCAACACCCGCATATTAGAACTGCAATTGCAGGATAAACATCGAGATTGAACGCCCGAGTCAATGCAAATGCACCCAAAGGCATAATTCCATACTGCGAAATGAGAGCGATAATGACACCTTTCGGTCTCTTTACATGCTTCATAATTTCAGTTACAGTCATTGTACATCCTGAAACAACAAAAAATCATAATCTTATTCATCATTCGCAATTGTTTCTATATTATGGCGATTTAGTGACGAAGGTTAATTAGAACTCAAGATTAGTTCGTACGAAAATACCAACCCGGAAGAACGTTTCTGGATGCTACAATTTTTCTTTAAAGCTATTTCACAAACTTTGAAGGTTGGAAAATGGAAATTCAATATATTATACAGGGTGTACATAAAGTCTGGACACATAAGATAATTAGATTAGTTAATGCACTTCACAAATTGTGAGGTGACACAAACATGTGATTTTTGTTATGTACGTTTCTCCTTTACCATACCCCAGAAAAAGAAATCAAGTGGGCTAGGTTCTGGAGAACGGAAAAATCACTTCAGAGATTGGATCACAGATTTAATGCACTTGACTCAACAATTAAAAACTGGATGTACAAAATTGATGACAGTGTAGAATCATTGCATCGAGTTTCTGTGAAACGCATTGACATTTGCATTGCAAATGGTGGAGATCATATTGAAAATATTTTTTAAATAAAAATAAACAGTGAAAATAAAATAATAAGGTGGTAAAAAAGAGACAGGTGTGGGGCATGATATTTTTGAGACACGGAGTAATAAACTAATGGTCTAGCAAGGATCTAATTCTTTAAAAATTACCTAATGACGTCATAACGCTGCAGAGTGCGACGATAGTAGTTCCACTGAGAGCCATATTGAGGGCAACGTTTCGTGGAACTTTGAAAAGCGTGTAGAAATAGTACATACTCTCTGACATCATTTCTTGAAGCAAAGTTTCGTTTGACATTACTTGTATCATTACATGAGAAGCATTATCGGCGTCTAATAATATGTCTTTTAGTTCTTGTGGCGGGAGTCTCGTTTCAAGAATATCTCGAAGGCGCTCCGGAAGAAGAGCTTTGGAAATATCGTCGTTTTGATAAATGTAAATACGTAGCTCTTCCATCGTCATGTTACCAGAAAACATGACTACAACCATTTCATCTGGAATTCTATCAGCTTTTAACATTTCTTCTATCTTGGGTGGAAAACGAGAAAGAACAAATGTTCGATTTCTCATTAATTTGACTCGCACCTCTTCCATTGTCGTTTTCCCCTCCCCAACATCACGGATTACAGTCTCGTCCAAATACCCTTCATCTACTATCATTCTAATTTGTGCTATTTCCACATTACGCATTGAAATCGTTGTGGGAAGAATCGCAGTCGTGGTAGAAATACCGTTGTCACACATTGTACCATTATCAAATAATCCTGTTTTCATTAGTTTAGCTCTAAATTTATCTCCAGATATATTTCCGCTAAAATAATCTTGGAACAAATTTTTTAACTTGTTTTTAGTGTCCATTGTCATGTTTTCTGTAATGTTTTCAATATCTGAAAAGCTCTCTATCGGAATGCTGCAGATTTTTATTATCTTTTCCTGATTTTTGTCATCTTCCATCGATTCTTCCATTATGATTTGTCCATTCACCACACTAAATGTGGCATTTCGATTTTTCCTTAGAATTTCGTTTATCTGGCCAATGATATCAGAGTATGGTTTCATTTCGTCATTATAGTAAACATCTTCATCGTCTTCTGGATAATTTGATTTTCTCAATCTATCTTTAGTTGAGTCGTATATCATACTTTCTATCCATTTATTTCCGCCATTTAACAACCATTTTGTCCATAAGTCAGTTTTATCTGTGATATTACTTTCAAATAAATGAGACCTGAAAATCATATCCATAATTAACTGATTTCCCATTTCTTCTGTGTCATTTTCGAACAAGGAAAATTCACCCGATCCATAAACAGAACTGCCAGATGTTAAGTCTATCTTTGGTAGCTTGAGACTATTCAGAAAATCCCCTTTAAATGCAGAACTAAAGTACTCATCAAGGTTCATGCCATCTGCTAGTTGATCAAGAATTTCGTCAGTGGATGAATAACCGAATGACGCTTTAGCGCTAAACAAAAGCCACAAAGCTACTATCCGTACGCTGCAAATCATATTTAGTTTTGGCTTTTAACTGAAAGAAAAATATTAACCGATAAAAAATGTGATTCTGATTATCTAGGAGATATCTATATTTTGCTAATTGACCTATACAGTATTTAATAATATACAAAATAATACATATGTACATTTTATATTACATAATTTTTTTATTCATTCCAAATTACCAAGTGTCCTTAAATATCAGGAGTTTCCTTTTTACCATATCTTAATTTACTTCATTTTCATCTTTACTGTACAACATTTTACAAGCTGAAACATACTGCAAAGCAGTCAACACTTTTTTCATCGTCTCTTGTTTTTATTCTGATGAATAGATTTTGTGAAAAATAGATGTTGATTACACAATATTACCTAAACCTGATATCAGACATTTTTATTCTTCAGTTATGTTGGTACAATTAACTTAGTGATGGCGCTCTCGGAAATGCCACTGTTTGTCGAATAAACATTGCTTTTACTCATCACTTATATGACGATGGTCATATATATAATTAAAATTATGCTGCTGCGGCATTAAAGATGACCAAACAAAACAGATAAGACTGTTTGCCATCATAATTTATAAATTTTACCAGACCACAGTTGATTTACGTACATACCATATGGGCGGTTCTGCTTTGCACAATATCGTCGATAAAACAGTAAATAACTCGGAACTATAATAAAAAAGTGCCAAATTTATATTAATTCAGAGTATTTAAGGGAAAACAACAAGTCGAAATGCACTTTTTCTTAAACAAAAACCGAAGTATATTGTTCTCCAAACCGAGTCCGCGACTTGGATATGACGAATATTTTGAAACAAAAATTTCGATATGAAATCTGACATAAAAATAAAATTTTTCTTGGAATTTTATTCTTTGCTACTTAGAGAGGGGATTCTTAACGAATGACTGAGGGCAGCAAAACATACCATTGGAATAATATCAATTCGTAAGCGTTTATTAATTTTCTGCAACTAGTTAGATAAAGTCTATATATTTAATGACGCATAATGGCGTTTAAAAAATCAATTGTTTTATTCTCTTCAAACCGTTATCAGTTTAATAATCCCGATTCAATTTTCAATTCTAGTTCGCACTGACAGAAGGCTTAGCTGAAATATGCCATAGTTGTTTGTCATTTCATTTGTGCACTACGTTGACCAGGCTAGAGTTTAGCCACAGAGCCAATGCCATGAAAGATTCTACTGTATACCTACATATAATAATCAACTCAATCAATATTGACATCGTCCTACCTTTAACTAGTGTTTTTTTGACTGATTAGCAACATTTTTGCGCTCAAATATGTATTTATGAATTCAAATTCAGCTTACAATGAATGTATCGATACTGCGTAACTAAAGATTCAGGGAAAAACCATTCAGTCGGACGGCATTACATCACACTAGTCTGCCTTTTTTAGTCCGTGACAAAAAGTCTGTTTTCACAGATTTTCCATTACTTTAAATATATCCTTATTGCATGAGAAATAATAATTACAATTAAATTAATGTCTGTTAAGGCAAGGTTACGTCGTTGTAAAAAAGTACAGAAATTTCCACAGCTTTGTTTGATCACAATGTAATCCTAATAAAAATTACATAAATATAAATAAAATTGACTCTTGTCTGTGAGCGATCTTGCGTTAACCTGATTCCAATGTAAAATATTCTGAGTCTAAATTACTATTTCCATGCATTTGGTTGGCTATCGAGATAAATTAACACATGACTACATACATGCACATCTGCTGTGGTGACTGTGCTTTCGGTGTCGACTTTTGGCAAAATGGTTCCTCGGCACACGTTTATCTAAAAATGTACTCGCAGTAAACATGCTATTTACAGTTTGTATTGCTTTATTAACAAAATACCTTAGGAGAACTGTTACTAAGTTAGTAGATTAATTATACAAATACGACGAAGGATGTACATGCAGCCCCCGTGTCGCGTCATAGAAACAATTTATTTATTCGACGTTTATCATCAACTAGAACAGGACTCCAGTCACTGAAATCACATCCTTGTTTAATTTACAAATTCAGTTATACAAAGATATGCGTTGTATTATTTACTGAGCTGTTTACCACAAACATACGAGATGTGTTAGGGATTTCAAAAGTAAACCAGCAACACACGACTGCTACTGTCTTTAGTCCAGGAAGTACTCCTAATCACAAATAAACTGGAAGTCGAAGGTACAAAATTAGACCATTCTTCTGTGCAATAACCTTCGTGTCACTAACCTCATGTTGTAGTATATACACTACTTGACTTGCTGTGCCTGGACGCTATTTGCTATTTCGGTTTTATTTGAACCGCTATCACCAATTTAGTGGCCAATCGGAATAAATTTTCACACTGCAAGAGGTACTCCCGTAGTATGTTTACCAGGTTAGGGTTAGGCCATAATTTTATCCCGATTTCAGTTATTTTAGTTCTATTACGAGTTCGGGGACTGTCTGTGTTGGTTCTATTACATTTGAACCCACGTACATTTGTACCCCTAATTTGAACCCACGATAATCGCACCTGCATACTATTGCACCTATGGAAATTTTTTTTTACGGATACTAACCCTAACCCATGGATTTTAGCACCCTCATATAGATTGAACCCGCGGATATACGGGTGCAAATGTATGGGTTCGAAAGTACGTGGGTTCAAATGTACGGTCACCGTCTGTGTTAGCCAAGTGAATATACCCCCTGCCCATAGGCTTTCGTCCCTTTACACAACTTGATGTAAACTAGGTGAACAAAATTAGTTACCTCCATATTAGTACACATACTTCTGGAGCGCCGATTAATGATTCTAATCCCTGGTACAAGTGAGGACATATAAAAATTTACTAATTATTCCGCTTAGTTAATGGCATAAGAAAAAGTAGCCTAAACTAATATTCTATCGCATCAGAGTTACTTTGAATAAATTTTACCATAAAACTTATTTTATAAAATTATATATATATAATACGTATAATATGCGGATGTATCGGCGTCGAAGAGTGTATCAGAATATGAATCACATATAAGAGGGCAAGCCGTGATCTACTTATGTTAATTGAAAATTCTAGTAGTTGTGGGTTTTCCTTTCAAAATCTTGTCTTCGTCTTCGGGAAAAGGGATTAGACTACCGGATGACAAGGCCTCGTTCGTGTTTCATTTATTTGCAAAAGGCCGAACACGATGTTTGCTCTAATTCGTAATGTGCTGATTAAATATTTATGTTTATTTCATACACGATTTCGTCCCTGAAATAACTGATTAGGGATCAGCGCAGAATGGACAAATATATAGCTTAACAATAATAGCCAACAGATCAGTATAGGATTGCGTTAATTCGTAAACCAATGATCAAAACTTCTTAATCAACTGAGGTACCTGAATGCTAACAAAACCCTACTGTGAATTCAAAATTTGTATATATATTCGAAATGATATGTTACCAAATTTTGCTTTCTGGGAACCAAGCATAATATTTATTGTGTGTACCGGATTCTGATATTATATGCTATAGTTATTGTGGCAGAAATGGTGGCTAAATTTTATTTATCGCTCACATATTCGACAAAAATTATGTTGCAAAATCAGAAACTAAATTGATAAATAACTAATAATGTATTATAAAAAAACAGGCCAAGGCAAGTAATTCCGTCTCAGTGTTGTGTTGCATATCGCGTATGCATCGCCTTCATCAACAGTTTGTCGTACAGCTAATTGGGTTTGGAACGGCCCTCAAATGAATATGTCTGCAAGTATTTCTACGTCATTACTATCTGTAAAAGGTGCATCTATATACAATCAGGATCTGATAAAGGTCGATTGTTTATTGTCTACAAACATTTGCGATAAAATTTATGAAAAGTAATTTTTATTTCTAGGTGTACAAATTTGGTGCTTTATATATAAAGCATAGGCTGGTGGCAGCATATAGGCTGGTGGCAGCATATAGGCTGTTGGACATATTGATGAGGCAGAGGCAGGCCATTTGCAATAAATCTATGTAATTTTGTTTAGATCGTATCAAACCATGACGGTGTTTGAGTTCCTATTAGGTCCCAGCGTTGGCCCATCTGTCCCCACTGTATATATTTTACTTCATAAAAAGTAGACAAAATGCAAAAATCTTTATGATAACACAATGAATTGCGAGGTAATTAGTAGCTGACTAAAATTTGAAATATACCTAGAGAATGTGTTTTATTTGCACTGATTTTCTTCTTTGGAAAATATGCTCAGCCAAAGCTAATTTTAACCGTGAATGATTTACGTTAACAATTTGATACTTTAGGCAGCGACATTTATACCGCTGATACAGATAGTATAGAAGTAACCGAATGAAGCACAACTATTGAATATGTAGTAGTTGCGGCAGTGAACATTATGGAGATTATTACGCAAATTAGCTAAAAATATGTAACAACCTCGTAATCGTTTATAAAACATCAAATCGGTAGTTAATAGGTGAATTTTCGACGCACCCTTACATACAAATAGGGTTTTGTTTTTATCAATTCTAAAAAAAACATCGTGTTTTAAAACAAGAGCTTGTTTTAAATCCACTTTTTTCTGTATTTTTTGTATTTTTTATTGAAATACCCCTTGCATCGACGCGAAACTACGCTAAAACGTTGCATTCTGGCAGCTGCACACGCAACCGGAATTCTAATTTCAAAAATGTAAGAAAAAATTCTTATTTTGACTTTTACTTCTATTGCGTACATTTATCACCACGTTTGTATCTCCACCAAAGTCATAAGATTTTAACCGGAATGTTTAGCCGAGATATCAGAGAGACGTTTTGAGTAAAAAAAATCATGAAACTTAACTCACGAGCCTACTACACAAAAAAAATTAGATCAAGGGCAGCCTTCGGCAAAACAAGTGCGTTACGATAATGAAGAATATGCTCACATCGGCGGCAATCTACTGATATAAACGATGGGACATCCTTGCTTAGCTTATGTTAATTGTAAGAGTCCCCTGATGCAAAGACGCCACAACTAATCTGTTATGACGACATAATATGGATTTCGAGTTCATGTATTGGCACTTTTCTCATAAAACGTTAATACTGTTCGGTTAATAATAATTTATGGTTAGCATACTTTGTTTTTAAGGTTTGAGTGATAGAGTTTTTCAAGGTTATACAAACTCATTTATTCGATCGCATTGCATTTTTCGCAGGGTGGTTTCGTCGTAGCACGGTTGTTCACGTACTGGCTTATCGGTTGCGTCTTAGTGCACAAACCACTGAACTACAGCTTGTGAAGGTGTGTATGAGCCTCCATAGATATTTGTTGCGTTTTGAAGGATTTATTGCAAATAAGAAGCGCTTGGCAAGTTGTTACATCCATTTTTCTTCAACCTATTTAATAATTATAAATCAAATAGTACAGCCATTTTAAACAAAACAGGCAAAAAAAAACTCGATTTAAAACAATTGTTTTAAAACAATTCTTTTTGAACAAATCCCTACATACAAATGCAAAAGATGGCTGTTCTCGAGGTGCGCACCTTTGGCGGTGGTTGGCTACTGACACAGTGCCTTCATCTCAATTTGTCGAAGAAACAAGTCCACTGCAATTACTTAGCCTACTGGAAAAGATGACTGATGTCGTTTTGGACTTGTTGTTAGATTTTTTCTTCTTGTTGTTATTACAAATCGCTCTTCTTTTCAATTACTGGACTAATTCCATTCAAATTTTTAGTAGTTAAAGATTGTTGTTGTCGCTAGAAGGCTATTTATTATTTTATTCATTTCAATTTCTGTGGGCTCTATTCGTACCTTTGTGTGTGTGACGCAGTTTTAATTTTATCCACGTGAACACGGTGTTTAATCCGTCAAGCGTGATGACTGTATTTCGTTTTGATTTTGCGAACTTGTGTTGCGCTAAAGTAGGAAGCTTTTCGATACCGGTAATGCACCGTAGACTTTGGGCATGAGTTTATTTTTTTGCCAAAAGAGGTGGTAAGTTTTCACTCACCTAAAAGTAACAAATTAATCCACGCACACGCATACACACACACAACCACAGAGATATAAAAAAGTAAGAAACGCGAGAAACTTTAGATAAATTACTATGATATTATTAGGAAAATTAAATAAATAAAAGAAAGTTGAAAAATAATTTGATGGCAGTTGCCAAATTGAATATTAAAACAAGAGTGAACGGCAAAGAAAAATATTCATTGAAAAAGATTTCGGCAAGCTGATTATAGTTAGAGTCAAATTCTAAAAAGCCCCACAAATTTTGTCAAAGTTGGGTGCATGGAGATATGGGCTAGAGCTAGACTACTTCGTTCACCAAATTATGCATGTATGTTAATTCGTCTCGTAAAATCAATATAAAAGAGTTAGTAATTAATTATCAATACTGAAGACGGGATGTATGCACAATACCATACTGGCCTAAAACACACGAATGTGGCGCATGTACCCCTAGATGAGCATAGTTAGAGTCAAATATAGCCAAATTTTAGTCAAGATTACATTAATCATTTAATGTTACTGGTAACAGTAGAGTAAAATTTGATAAAATTAGTGCAGTTTGGTACTGATGTTAGTATTGGAGTATATTAGTTATCAAGAGTGTAAGCAAGGATTTTTTCCTTTTATACCCATTGACAAGGATTTAGAAATTAAGGTTGTTATTTCACAGGATCACATCGAAATTACCATGGAAAACTAATCATTTTTTTTTGTAACTTTTTTCATGTAGAGTTCATTCGATCACTGTGAAGCAAAAGCCTGAAAAAACAAAAATAAATCTGCATGTAGATGTTTCAAAGTTTGCATCATATAACGGAACATGGTAAACTATTATTTAGACTTTAGAGACTAATGAATTGTTCAAATGATTTTAAAAGGCATTGATCATTAAATGCTTATCATTCCATATTGATGGTTGAAGGATCCAAAAAAATACTGTTTGGGACAGAGAATAAATTATCACACCGTTGCAAAAACACTCGAATTTGATCATACCACACTATCTACACTTTAGCTATCAAGTCAAATCTCTACATCAATACCTTACCTAAACACAAAATAAAAGATAGAAAACCATCATCAAAAATTAAAATCATCGGCAGCAAATTAAAATTCAACGGGGATAATCAAAAAATACCTCAACTGCTTGCTAGTTACAATTAGTAATCTTGGAAGAAATATGTTATACTGTTTGCAAACGGTGTCCTAGAAATGTCGTGTCCCACTTGTCACACGTGTCCCACGACATTTTTGAGACACCCGTTTGTAACCCTAAGGAAATGCCACACCTCAAACAGAAAACAAAAGCCATGCGTATGTAATCAGGAAGATCCCACATCGAGAAAAGATAAAGAAGATTACATATGAAATTGTCAACATGTGAAATGATATTCAAAGAGAATACCATTCGGCATTCAAGTATTTACTCGTATGTCAGTTACCATGTGTCAGTTACGATGCGATGAAGCAAACATAGCATATACATTTCCTAATACGAATGTTTTGAACCAGACTAGCCCTATAACAGAAACAACATTCAAATTTTAAGAACAAAATAGCTCAAACAGCCCATCTAATCACAGTATTTATTAGTTGCAGGAACAATAACGATAATATTACCGCTGTTCAATATCCCATGAAAATAACAATGTCCAAGTTGACAGTGTCCCAACGTATTGTCATGGATCATGAGCAAGTTATTTTTCATAAACGAAATGCCAAGTAAAGTTCCTTGATGAACTCCGTGCTTCACGACACAAATATTATTAGAGAATGAATTTCCGTGTTGCACAACTCGTTTCTTGTCTTGTAGGTAGCTCCTGGTCTAATTAAATGGGATCCCTTTTATTCCATAGTAATCATGCTTACTGAAAAGAATAAAATGGTCAATAGTGTTAAGGCTTTTGAAATATCAATATACAGTATATATTTCCGAAGATCTGGAACGCTACTCTTCTCAGCAAGAGGAATACCTTTGACTGCCTTGAAGCTTCGAATGAATATTACAGTAGCCAGTGAGAGGTTGAATATATATTCCAGGATATCAATGATATGTTGCGGAACATATTTCAAAATTTCGAATGGACTCCCACCAATCCCATCAATTTGACATGGGCTTCAATTCACGTATGGTTTTTTTTTCAATGATGTAGAATTCTATCAAAGGGGCACTGTTATTTTATATAATAAATATGCTATTCAACTTTTATCAATAAAAGTGTCTCAGGAATGAATCCAATCGAGACCCGATTGCTAGTTGAAGAACGGTTATAGTCTGGGAAATGTGTGCCTTGTGCGTTTCTATCATAAATATACTATTCAACTTTTATCAATGAAAATTTCTCAAAAATGAATCCAATCCAGACCCGATTGCCAGTTGGAGAACGGTTTTAGTCTGAAAAATGTGTGCCCTGTGCGGTAACAACTTTACATGACGAGGAAACGCAAGATGTCGCTATTTAATAGATTTTTTAAAAGAGTTCAACACCTCGGAGAACGAATGATTTGCATTTTCCTAACTTTGAAATAGCTATCGATTGCTCGTTTAATTCAAAACTGTCCCTCTTTGTATTGTTTGTAGTGCAACTGTCAAATCATTCATGGCAGCAATACGAGTTTTGAAGATCCTACAGCCCCATTTTGTATTAATCAATAGGATATAAATTTGTGGGCTCAGGGCTGCCAAGGTTGGATGCATAGATGAATGATTTACAAAACTTGTTTATATCGGTTTTCTTTTTGTGTCTTGTGGTTGCTCTGACTGCTAATCCATAAACTTTTATATTCTTGAATAAGCTATTTTAGGGAAAGATAAGCTAATAACTCATGACTTCAAGTTCATTTCTGTACTATATTATTTCTATGTTATTGACAATGAAAGTATCGCTAGATATCAGCACGCGGAAGTCTTTTTATTTCATCATTTTTAGTGTGTTCGTGATTTCATTCTTCAGGTCCTATTGACGTCAATTCATGGAATTTGCTTATACGTCGTTTGAGTGGATTATGAGCAATATGTTTGTTCTTCGTAGTAAGTGTGAAACATATAAAACATATTGATGTTCAATATATTATTCCGAGAATTAGAGTTTTATTGTAAAAATGAGCAATATGTTTGTTCTTCGTAGTAAGTGTGAAACATATAAAACATATTCATGTTCAATATAATATTCCGAGAATTAGAGTTTTATTGTAAAAATGTGTGCGGTAGTAATTTAAAGATCAAAATTTTTGTCTCATATTTAATTTACCTTAAATTGGAGTCTTTAGCTTGAAGCTATGGAAATTTATTTTAAAGTGTTGACATTGTCGTTTCAAATATGGTTTTATATCAGCGTTCATATTTAGGAGACTTCTTTGCTTTTCTTTAGACTGTAATATGAATCATGGCTCATGGAAGCTATTGCAGTGTTTCAAAAAAACAATAAAATCATGTACAGTATATTCAAGGTTCTCATTGATAATGCTATATTCTTATTTAATGATTTTCGAAATAGAGACGTCATTTCACCTTTCTACATACCAGAGGTGATTATCAATCAGTAAGTATGATCTTGGTTTCACAAATCGCGATAAAATCGTGTTAAATAAATTAATAAAGATCACGTATTTTATTTGTACTTGACGAGAATCGCAAAAGGACGTTCTAATTTATCTTATTCAACAACACCAATGTTGTTGAATTCATCAGCATATGGCAACAAACAAACGTCAAAAAATATAGACGTATTATGTCCTGATAATGAAAAGTACGCAATATTACTCGATATTACTGGGAAATTTTCAAATTCAAACACATCTGCGGTCGGCTTTTGAACAGTTCCTACTTTAAATTGATCTTGTACATGAAGAAGAGATGATTGCCGTGTGACAAACAACTAAAAATTAATTACAGACGGCAGAACCGCAATCGAGAAACGCCCTTGTGTCAACTTATTGTCGCCGATCAGATGTTGTCAAGAAATGATTAGCGACTTAGGTATACAGTCTGCGAACCACCAAGAAGCCGATATTAAGAACTATGACGCGTTGGCAGCCCCTTTCGAGAATATCGAATGTATGATGACTTAATGGGACTTTTTATTGGCTATGGGCAGGGCTATATATGAGGAGCAAATGTTTACTGTGTTGTTCATTTCAAGCAAGCTGGTTACGAAGGTGAAAACGGGATGGATGGGTTGTTAATTTCTTTCGTTTTTGCCATAGTCACCCAAACATGTTTATCTCAGTCGGTTGTGGAGCTTTATGAAACAAAATTGAACAAATATGAACAAAAAGCAGAAAAATACGTCGAGAAAGTAGAAGAACAGTTGGATGAGCAGAAATTTCTATATGAGGAGTTGGTATATGTGTCAACTTCGGTAAGTTTTTCATACCTGAACAATAAATATTTGTTGCAGTACTGCAATGAAACAGAGGCTAAATTTGATATTGTCACGTATACTTCGTCCAAGTCGAGTACCTAAGGGACGATGATACTGATTGCTGCCATGAAATTGAATAATTTTAAATAAGGAACTTATAGTTTGTTGAACTCAAGATATTATTTTCACATATATATATTACCCAATAAAGTACTTTCAAATTTGATTCCTTTTAATTTGATTGCATTGATATATTCTCTGCTCTGTATGACTATGGAATACTTATATTAGAGTTTGTTATTTTTTATCACAGAATGACGAAGTTAAAGTCCTACTCGGCGAAACAGCAGTTGTCCCTTGTCATTTCAAAATCTGTCCAACGACTGGAAAACAAGTGACAGTTACTTGGAAAGTCGGTATGAATCCATCGACTGCCACAAGGATTGCAAAATGTGCAAATTACGATCTAAATACCAGATCATGCGGCTCATTTGAAACATTTTCAGAAGACTTTGATGATCGTATTACCATGAAATCTGGGAAAGCTGACCTAATAATCAAATCTGTGAGTTCTGTATGTATACAACGATACAAAATGTGTTATCACCTTCCATTTTTTAATTCTCTTTTTTACCACGGCTACCATTGATTTAGTAAAGGAATTAGTTATTTTTATAGATTCGAATGACAGACAACCGTAATTTCTGGTGTCAAGTACAGACGAACGATAATAACGAACTCGGGACCGACATGACATCCGTATCGATTCGAGTTCTCCAGTCCGACACAGAGAGGCCAAAATTTAATCGGGTAATTCTGGAAAAACAATTAGTAGAATCTCAGCCCGGCGACAAAATAGTTTTAAAATGCAGGTTGGCGAATGGTTTGGAATGCAAGTTGTTGAATGGTTAGACGCATCATGCTCTTACATTATCTTTCTGCTGGCTGTAATATAGGTGTGACGGTCATCACTGTGACGATATCGCATGGTACAAAGGACCCACCAATGAATGGGGTAATGCTTATGAACAAATTTACAATAAAAAATCAAGATATCGCATGAATCCCGATATTACAATAGCTTCTGCCTGGAGGAATAGAGTTTCGTTCTCAGGTTTGTTTGTTTCTTAAGATTTTTTTTAATACTGTATATATATTCTATTAGTCGCAACGTCAACTCGAAGTATGAAATAACCGATATAAATATATATAATATTATATTAAATTTCTTAATAAAATACTAAAACTGAATGAAGTGCACTATTTACTGCTTCAATTAATATTTCGTTATACAGACCATCTACTTTTCGTTGGTAATGGCATGAGCTTTAAACATGAATTTATCCATTTAGATTTGGAAAATGTATGACAATCTAAATGAATTGAACCCTTGATGCAAGAGTATGGATCCACGCGCTATGTCTATATTACCTGTTTGAAGTTACTGACATATGTCAAATCGGATCCACGCGCTATGTCTATATTACCTGTTTGAAGTTACTGACATATGTCAAATCGTCGTGTTATTAAACTAGTAAACAATTATTCATTACCGATCATTTCTTTTTTCTAGGATTTGATATGGCTATCCACAGTGTCCAAGAAAACGATGCGGGAAGATACTGGTGCGAAGTTAGTGGCGCAGGATATTATGGGTTGGGTGAAACCGGAACTGATGCAAAGTAAGTCTGCAAACTGTTTTCGAAACTGAGTGACGAAAAATTATAAGTCCACTTGGATGGATTATTACAGCCAATACCTGACAAATTTTGTTTCTGTACTTTTGGAGTCGAATATATATATATATATATTGCATCTTTATACGACTGAGTGCGGTCAAGACTCACATTATTTGATATGGTAACTACTAACTAGAAATGTTATTTATACTTTACAGATCTCTTGTTCTCACTGTGAATGAAAAAGAGAAGTACTCATGCGATTAAATAGAAATAAATGTACAGATCGGAAAGAATTGGTATCGGGGAGAATTTCGTATCATATCAACTATATACATTTGAATTGATCTTGAGTCTATTTGTATGATTTATTTTAAGTAAATTGTTATTTTAAAAGCTAGCTGACTTTTTTGGACTGAAAATTAAATTGGACAAAATTTAGTATATATTTCGTTTTGTGTTGGTATACGTATCTGTAATTTACGATGGGAGGTATTTTATTGACGGCAATAAATATATATATTGAACCTACAATGTTTCGTTTGGTGCCTATTTGCTGAATTGTGACATCACAATGAATGGGATTTTCGCTATAAAAAAAAAAATTACAAAATGCTCTTATAAAAGGAAATATAGCTGATGACCGATTAAAAAACATTGAACACGATCTGAGCTATAATGCCTAGCCTATTTGTGGCTGAAGTGCATCATTTATTTAAGTCCATGTTCGTAGGACACGGTAACAAATACGTCTAACACCTATTAGAGTAAAATGAACTATTAGGTATTGTAAAAAATTGACTTGATCTCAGCGTTCAGAACATGCCAGTCTTCACATTCAAGCGCATTTTACATAGGGTCCGTAAACTCCCCGCTACTGCAGTCGTTCCAATGTGTCCACGAAAGCGCTGGTTGATTACAGCTTCATCTGCTAATCTGATTCGGAATACAAAATTTATTTACATTTTTGTACATAATTGTTACAGAGATCCCATTTGAGGGAACCGCCGTTAGACTAGCAATCATATGATATACAATACATTGATCTTTGCGCGATCTGTACAGAGCAGATTGATCAGTCGCGGAACACGACCAAAGTCTTGCGCAGTTGGCTGCGTCATAGCCAAGATTAAAAATTTGGCAACTATTTCATCGGTTTTCGTCTGTAATACTGATTTGTCTATCGCGTCCATTCGAATGGCAAAAATAAAGACAAACTTCGATCATGTATTTTAAAAGCCCTAAGCACTTATGACCTTAGTTCCCTAAATATAAATAATAGTGAAACCGGTCTTCCATGTTATCTGAAACGGAATACGGCAGGTAAGATTCCTAATTAAAGGCCAACTTTTGACTAATCAAAGTTCAGAAAGAAAAATAAGCAAAACTTAATTTCAACCAGGCCAATATTGAAGTCTGGATCGCCAGACCAACTACAATTATTACATTGATAATTCGTCTATGAAAATTTTGTGGTGCCCTTGATCCATCCCTACAGCTACCCCTTCCACACAAAATCATTAAGTCTTCCCCAAACATGACACAGTACAAAGATCATTGTATAGATTTTAATCATTCCACCAAATCTTGTGTGTTTGTTAAATTATTTAGATACATAATAATTATTCGAAAAAAAATCAATTATAAGCATTATCAAGAATATATATATATAATAGCAGTATTCCAATGCAAGGTTATTGCCGACCTGACCTTAACCAGAACTAAAATATTTTAAATCGGCTGATATTTAAGGATTGGCATTTTGTGTCAGTAGCAATCGTGAATCTAAAAGAAGTGACATCACTGTTTCAATATTTCGCAAATAATTCAATTAATCGTTGCAACTGACTTTTACATTGTATTCCATGAATTTTGTACAGACCATTTTTGAAACATTCATTTTATTTCTAGCACATAACAGAGAAATGAAACCAAAATACCAACTTCATCAGAACAGCTGAAAATTTCGTAACATCGAATCAGTAAATGGAAAAAGGGCAATTTTGAAGGTTCATTTCATTATAACTCTTAACAAATCTTGCAGTGTACAATTCCAGGCGGTTGTTAGAATTAACAAAAAAAGGTCTTGATAAAAACCAAACCAAACATGGGAGAAAAAGAGATTTCCAACCAACAATACCAACTGTTTTCCATATCACTCTCATAAAAAAATCTCATATTTTGCCCATAGGAAATCAATTAATAGATATTACTTGAAAATGTATTTTAAATGAACATATTTCAATAGAAAGGGTTTTTAAAAACTATGCACTGATGTGGTATTGCTATCAATTTTGACTATTTGAGCATTCTTTTTATTGAACAAAAAGGTACATTAGGGAAAATAAACAAGTCTACATTACCTATATAATTTTTAAAAAAAAACGAATTATTGAATAATTACCCTATTTGTACAAGAAAACTAATTACCGGTAGTTTTATTTATCACTACATACTGGAAAATGAAAATTTCTGATCAGCATTTCAAAAAAACGTTTTGATTTCATTGCAAAGCTAAAGAAGATTGCTCTCGCAGCATCATTGCTTGATCAAAAACAACAAAAACAAAGCGTAAAGACTAAATAGGAATAGCAAAAAAATATAAAAAGCAAAAAGCATGTTATTTATGCATGAGATTTACAACACCATAATAAAATGAATTACAATCTTATACAAAATAATATTGTAAAAAGCAATTTACACCATTTAGACATGGGCAGTTGTGAATGATCTAACTATATTATAACCTAGCATTCGGTTATGGGGCATATTTAATAAAAGGCATAAAAGAGTCCAATATGTTTAATCTGTAACCTTATCTGCAAAGAATTCAGTAGTACATCGATCCAATCTAATCAAAAGAGCCAAAAAAATTGGTCAAAAACAAGCATAAAAATCCAAGCACATACTAACTCGCAATATTTTTACAGCATGAAGACAATAATGAGGCATGAGAAATTGTAAACAATACAGAAATATTTGAAATACTGTTTTAATTTTACATTCCAAGTTTTCGAACCCAAGTCTAATAAATAAATGTGTGGCATTGACTGATAAATTGAAGTTATTTACATTTACTAAGTCTTATTATTCAAACTGAATTAATGAAACTTTATGAAACAAGAATGAAAACATTCGGCAGACAGTGTACTGCAAAAATGAGCGCATCATTTGAATGAATGGAGAAGCACCGCAGTCTCTCGGAAAACTGATCTCTGTGCAGAAATACCCACTTTTCATTGGTTGCGCCATACGCAATTAAGATAACGAAAAAAAATTATATAAAAATAATAGATAACAAAGCCGGTCAATGTGACTGATTAAAAGGGACACCTACAGCCCAAATTTAATTAAAAAATCGAAATCTCACTAAGTTTAATGGGATACTTGCTTATAATTCTATTACATTTCTATATGTGTCCCACTCATCGGTAATAAACAGAAGTACATTATCAATACAAAAGAAAATGCTGAAAAAATTAAAAATTAGTAGCATGATATAGCTCCGAAGAAGGTGGACATAATTTGGGCAACACAAACTACCATTTACATTGAACACTTCTCCAAAAGTAAGATTGTTCAAAATGATAATTCGAAAGCATTCAAAATTCATTATATTTGACACAGTATATATGTGGTTTTCGAAAGAAATTAGATTAATTATTTTTGAAAATTTAGCGTTTTGAACATTTGAAATCTGATGGTAAGACACGAAGTGAACTTCACTTAATTTCTGACACCATTCCGCAACTAAATTTAATTTCTATTAATTTACAACGAATTTCTCTGTTGATCCCAATTTATTGTATATAGGATATTCCAAATTTGAATTTTTTTTCGAATGTGTATTCAGAATAGTAAAGTATTCAAGTTAGGCCATCCCTAGCACATGCCATTAAATCTTTTTTATTTCCCAATATGAGTGATACAGTATAGTTAAAAGCAGAAGAACTATTGTTACATTTTATTATATTTTAACAATATGCAAATACCCAATCAACTACGATAAATTTTTCATAGTAAAATGTTTAGATTATCATATCCAGTTCCTTCAGAATACAGATTCCGCAAATACAATGAACGACAAAATAACAAATAGGGCAGTTACAAACGATAATCGCTTATGCATCACACTCTCAAATTTGGCACGACAGGTTTAGCATATATCGAATCAGACCATATCTGGGGATCGAACAGGCCAACCGTAACCTCGGGTTTTGACTGTTTAAATTCTTCATATTCATTGTATCTATCCGAGCACCATACTACTGAAGAGCTTCTGGAAACACTGATGACAATATGGTTTTTCGTTTTGCTCCTTGAATGTGCCCTTGTTGAGTTGTTTGAGACAGAAAGCACAAACGAAATGCTCAGGATGGAATTTCTTTCCCATCGCTGTGATGCACCGACCTGATGAGAGATGTGTATAAATTTTATAATTAGAAAGCAGTAAAACTACACTGTTTGACGCCCTATTTAGACAGGGTGCCCAGAGGATTAATCATAAACGAGATGTATAATTTCAAATTAGGCAGTGTTCAATAACAAGAAATAGCATAAATCATGATATATCAATATATAAGATATCCATAAATATCTATATGTATATATATCATTGTTTATGCTACTTTTCAATTATATAGAATGACCCAAAAAAAAGAACCCATAAATTGCTTAATTACTTCTACGAAATTAAAAAAAAATAATGATCACTTAACTTCTGTTTGCGTATACCTCTTCGCACAAAATTTATGTTCTTTCTAGAATATGTTCTAAATGGGGTTCAGTTCGTTAGGGTCACCCCGTATAAGCGAATGGAAATGGGTGTAAGTAGTGCTTTGCATGACAATTTTTTAAAACTATAATATATCTGAATAATATTAAAAATAAACAATTTACTGACTTAATTACTATCTAAATATCTTAATTTTCAATTCGTTTAACATTCCTTCCAAATAGAAATACAAAAGAATATTGTTTCATTTAAATAAAAGTAAAATACTTGCTTTATCAGGGGTAAAGCAAAATCACAAACCTGTTATTGGTTTCTGACACCCAGAGCAGAGAGAACCTCTCAGTAAATGATAGTGAGTCTCACAATATGGTTTTCCATCCAATTCAAAGAAACTTCCGTTAGTAAAAGGTGCAAAACATTCCTAAAGAAAGTGTGAAACAATTTTATTGACACACGAATTACTCTATAAAAAATGATTCGTTTTGTAAGGTGGTGACTGAATCGGGTGAGCTTTCTATAATTAAACAAAATTATTTTCAAACTAGGTATTTCGGAAGAAAATATCTTGACTAGATTTATTATTCATAATAATTGACAATTAATTCTTCAGTGCATCATTTATAACAAATGGGGTCATTAAATTATGGCAGTGGACTTGATGGTTGTATCAGTGACACACAATAAAAAAAACTTTCTGAGAAACATTTTCCTTCACTTTCAACACAGAAAAATTTAGTGACTAAACAAGGTAATGAAGACAATATAGTTCTTTCACTCACCCTACATACGAAGCATTCAGGATGCCACTGGAAATTCAATGCAGATATGTAGTTGGAAAGTATAGGTTTTCCACATCCTCCACACTTAGGTGCAAACATGTTGTAATAATCCTTGCGACAATATGCTCGTCCTTCGTACTCATGAAATCCTTCATCTCCAAAGAAATTTCCGCATTGAGCACAGAAGAAATGTTCTGGGTGCCACGTTTTGTTTAGCGCTGTAACACATTGCTGAACAGAAAATAGGAAGATTATTGATGACTTACGTTAGACTTATTAATTGCGTTGGCATCGCAGATTACATATTTCAGCCCCCACCTCACTCACACAGTGTGTAATAAATTGGGTTAGCAATGCCAAACCGGAAGGCTTCTGGGTAAAATTATGACAAAGGATAAATTTTATGTAAATTATAAATTTTCATTATAAAAATGGCATAGTTAATAGAAAAGAATCAAATCCTATTATCCTGAGTTCTTGATAGAGTCCCTAAACAGTACTACATTATCAGTACCGGTACTATAAATTTCCGTCAAATTAATCTTTTTAAAACATAATTAACTACATGAGTTTTGAAAGCAAAAAAAATTAACACTAAGAAACTACTAAATCATTTTTATCTCACATAAGGAGCATAATTCATCTTAATAAAGTGTCAGGGGAATTCCATTCTGAGAGAAATGACATTTAAAAATGTTTTATGGTTAGATTAGAATCTTTCAAATTGTGTAAACAAGTTAGATATACAGGCCGAAAGAAAAATGAAGGGTGACAAAATTTTAAGCAATCGGAGCAGAAAGACTTGAATTACTTACAGTTACAAATGAATATAGAATATATTACAGCCAGGAACTTCAAAAGGTAACTTATTATTCAGGATACCGAACATATTAAAAATTAAGCTACATCTATGAAATGTCCAGTAGAGAATATTCCCTGTCTTATTTTAATCAATTATGATGGTATAATATGGTCGACATATATTGACACATGATTTTAGTATATTACACACATTATAATAAAAGTTGAATAGATATTTAAAGCATTTGACTTTTGAATATTATACACTAATATGTTTTGTGTGGTATATGACTCTTTGTAATAGCATAAATACTTCATGAATTAAGCAACAGAATTACGTATACCTGTAATCACCTCACATATAAAGCCATTAAAAATTTTTAGTCATACAGGAAGATAGTTGACTAATGTCCTCATAGCATACTTCAATATTTTATTTAAATCTATAATGACCTAATATGCTCCTACTCAACGAAATCATGTCTCAAAATCATAGCTTATTTTAGCAAAAAAATAATAGCATTGTCTGATTGTATACTTTGTATGATATAAATATATTTTAAAAATTGAATGACTAAAAAATTTACATTAAATGAAATTCCAAGAGATTATTTGATTTAGAAATATGAAAAAGAAATTCCAATTTTTATGAGCAATTTTTCATTTTGTAGAACATTCCATAGTCAAAAGCAAAATTATTTATTATTATTAATAGAGTTTTTGCAGGACTGACTACTTATCCCTTCTCTATGCTTTTTATAATGCAAGGAGCCAAGGATGCTGTAGCAAGAGTGAAGAAACTCAGACGAAACGTTACCGAGATGAAATTGTGTGAGTGTGCAGCAAGACTCTTTAAATTATTTATATCGAGGGTATTTTTTATTTAGCAAACTTACCCCTAGTACTGGTTGGTTACAGTAAGCACAACTTGGTGAGAACAGAGAATGATAACATTTTTCACAATATGGTTTCTGATCTCTCTCGAAAAATGTATTAACACCAATCTCCTCATCACAAACTGCACAAACAAAATGTTCAGGATGCCAAACTTTTCCGAGGGCCGTAGTTACCTGAAATTCAGTTACAGTTTATTATTCAAAGACTCCGGGAGTTGTCATGTATAAATTTTATTTCCAGGATAGCATCCTACATAGGAAAACTCATATAGACTGTTTTCTTGGCTTTTATTAACATAGACATTACTACTATACCAAAACAAAAAAGAAAAACAGTTTACATACATGAGGCACGCCAAATGAGACAAGACTCACGTTAGCATGTGACTGTTACAAATTACTATCACATTGTGATTTATGTCATGTATATGGCGTTATTCCGAATCTATGACATAATTTCAAAATGTTTGGCTTTGTGCACTAACATGAATCATTTTTTTGTAAGTTTTTTGTAAGATGTAAGAAAAATTTGTCATTAATTAGAAAACCAGGAAAAATAAATATGGACTTATGATATAATGATAAAAGGGGAGTTTAAAAATAGGTAAAATAAAGTAGCATGGAAGGAATGGTTAATATCGAATAATTCACTATTGTCTATTGCAAATACATTCTGAAAACATACTTATGAAGATGGAACATCCTGGATATTCTAAATTAATTAAAACTGATTAATTTTGAAAAATCACTGCATTTATAATGAAAATCAAACTAAGTTTGTATTGGTTTTTCTTTTCTATTGTTATCAGTAATTGAATGACGGTTTATTGGTACAGTTTGTCAGTCAAAAGTAGTTCCAAATCAGAAATTTTAAAATTTGAATAAATTTAAGTTCTCTGATTTCAAAAATTTACTATATCAAATATGAATAATTTTGAACACTGCAGTCGTAATAGATTACACAAATAAATCAAATTCATTAATATTTTGATGCAATAATAATTCCTCCCACCTCTCCCATAACTGGTTTTTGACATGCAGCACAATCACCTTTTGATGCTGCTCTTATACCTTGCTTACTCAGATCAGTATTTATTTGTCCGAGCATAGAATCGAGATCAATGGCTGCGAAAAACAAACATTATAAATTATTGAAGGCATTTTGCAGCAAGGATGAATGTTCAGCAATAACGGCAAGTATACAATCTATACATATTTGGTGGAATTTCATTGGTGGGATTTAAAACCAAAAGTGGCATAGTCATTTATCAGAAGCCCAAGGATGTTGAGATGTCAAGTTGGGGGGGTTTCAAGTAAACTATGGAACAAAATTAAGCCAAAGCTGAAATTTAGTCTGACAAATATCAATCCGATATATCAAAAAGCTTCACTATTTGCCACGGTTAAAAAAACGACATCCGATTTAAGTTGAACAACCCATGAATAACATAAATTTAACTCTGAAAAAGTGATCACAAGCTTTTGTTTTGATTGAAAAGTTCCACTCAAGTCCTGTAGAAATTTGTAGAACAGAATGACCTTAAATTTTAAAAGAGTAGCAATAATACCAGCGCAAAGCACAAAACTCTGACTTCAAAACTACACCTGGAACACAGACACAGTATAAGGATGTGGGACTTTCCAGTCAGGTTATTTTCGAGACACCGATCTGAACACCCAATAATATAAGTATGAAGATTTCAACTTGCTCCTTACCAGATGAAACTTGAGCTGTTTGTGCGACAGGGGTTGGTTGTATTGTACTGATAGAATCTTTAGGTGACGTAGGTTTTGATGATCGTGATTTATCCGGTTTGGCATAAGGTGGATCACTCTTATCACTGGCTGCACTTCCAGAACCCTGAGATAAAGCAACAAAAATTTAGTTTGATAAAGACAGATAATGAATTTGGAAAACTTTTGTGTTGTATTGCAAAAACAATTTCAGGTAAGACTCTTGTCACAAATACAAAGAGCACATTCAGTTTCAGTACAGGAAATGAGTTAGTCACTAGTCGAATCTGTTATATTATTCAAATATTCATGCATATGAATTCAGAGATATAGTTAACAAAAAGCAGCCAGAATGTCTGAAAAGCTTTGAAAAAAAACAACACCTGCAACGCAAAATAGAAACGAAAACTCAATGTTCATATTGTGTACGGAGATTATTAAAGTTTCCTTATGACCTACAATGCACCTGCGTATTATACAAGGAGAAATATGGTATTGTAAAATAGGAGGTCAATGAATTGCTTACTTACCCTGTTGTCATCTGCTTCTGGTACTTTAAAATCACCAAGTGATGCCAATAAATCATCTAATTCTTTTGTGGCAGAGGACGCAGTAGGTGATGCTTTTGTGGTGCTGCAATAATTTGTATTAATGTAACAAACTCAATATTATAAACCTGAAAAACTACCACTTTGTAGTAGTTTCAAGACAATTTTTTTTTTTGCATATTGCATGCAAATGAATACAAGTTTCCTCTTTTTGTATAAAGCTATATTGAAAGTGACAGTACAAAGTTTTTTTATAAATGAAGAAATGTGTATTAGAGTTACTTAGTTCATAGATAATGCCATTATAGAACTCTTTCAACTACGAATTATTCTTTGAAATGCAAAAGTCTTGATTTTAAATGTTGATTGCTGATTTTGTACATAGCTGAGTTTTGATTTTCGACATAATGGATCGAAAACAATGAAACCTACTCATTAGTGGACGGTGTTGTGCTCTGCAATTTCTGTAATAAATCATCGATGCTTTCTTCTGATTTCTTTGGATTTGTGTTATACTCTGAAAAAAATAAGATAAATATCTGTTTTAGCCCAACAGTCAGAACATTAGATTTAGCTACGCTGATATTACAAGTTAGGATTTTGTGCCTATGAGCAGTGGGTCTATTCACTTGGCTGACACAGACAGTCCCCGAACTCATAATAGAACTAGAATGAGGAAAATCGAAATAAAATTATGGCCTAGAATCACCATACAATAACCCTTGCAACAAATAGTCATATTTTATAGAATATTAAGTTATAAGTTTAAAAAGCAAAGCAGTTCTATGAACATAGTGTACATTGACGAGCCCATGAAAATATAAGGCTCAATTATAGGTCTGTAATAAAATTAATGTCATATTATTAATAACAAGCTCTTCAGGAAAAATCAAGCCGTTTAAAAAATTATAAAATTTAGAAAGATGATCCATAACTTTAATCTGAACTCAAATTACAATATACTAGTGGTGCTTATCTCACATTCCATCTAGTCTAACTATGTGGTGGTATTTAACAAAAACTAACATTCTGACCAATTTAGGAAATCGAGACGGGTCAAGTAGACTTGAGTTACACGTTAGTGACTCATCATCATATTTATACATAACTGAAGCATTTGGCATATATAAACAAAAATCCTTCATTTCTATAAAATGGGAGCTAACATTTGATTCATCACATTCTATTTTTTATTTTATTTTTATAGTTGTATTAGGGTTTTTGAGGGCTTGAAGGTATAGTGGATGGAACGTTGAACTTATTATGTAAGCGTCATAGGTTAAAGATTTTGAGTCTGGTCTGATGTCTCACTCTGATGTTCACCATCTTACAGGGAATAAATTGGTGCTTTTCAAAAAATAAAAAGTAGTAGATCCTTAGATATCAGTGACTGATTGTTCAGAGTCTTGTACAGAGTGAGCACTTTCCCTGTGAAAATGTTTCAGAAAAAAAAAAAAGGCTATGAATGTTAAGTATCATGAACTCAACCATACCCTCGAAATAAAAAAAAAGGTCAGTTATTAATATTCGAAGAATTCTCTGAAATAGTTGGGTAACATATCAATTGAATTTTTTGAACATTTCAAAAAAAGGCATATTTATAACCACAAAAATAACCACACATATAGGTGTACAAGTTTTTTCAAGCAAAAAGGAAATGACGAAGAGCACAGAAAAGTTTAAATTCGGTTCATTCAGTTCAAAGAAGGTATAAAATACACAGGTCAAATTTTTCAAGAATCAAAACTCGGTGACTAAATAGGCTACATCAGTAACAAATGTAGAAAGCTTTTACATTAAATAATGCAACAGTTGTATCCAAATTGATGATTTTAGCACACCATTGCAATGTTACGTATTACAGCAATAAAGCAATAAAAACCTACCTTGAGGCGGTGGTTCAGCTTTGCACAAATCATTCAAAAGTGAATCTAATTCAGATAAATTACTTTGTAACGCCGTCATTGTTGGTGGATTGTTGTTAGGTTGATTAATTGAATTCTGGACAAAGAAAATAAAGAGAATTTACTATAAAACAAATATACAACAAGGTAAAGTAAACATGTAACGTGAATCCTACAAGATACTAATATGGTACCGTAATTTACTGAGGTTTTGAACTCAATTTATTAATTTGAATGGTGATTTAAAAATTCAAAAAATCTGCAGTTTGAGTCTGCAATTTGATCTAGAATTTGGTAAATATTATTGTTTAATTCTGGCAGTATATATATATTTAATATAGTTGTACAGTTAAAGATACAGTCACAACCAAGAAAAAGTGATATCTGGACTTTATAAAGCAAGAAAAACAGTAAAACTTTTCTGCAAATTTCCTTTACTAGAATGGCACACTTTCAAAACGGCAACACACACTACACCTAGCTATCTTCAGAACAATTCCTACATCACAAAACTGATCAATTACGGAATTGCACTATATCGATAGCTGAGAAATCTTAAGTTGCTGTTTGAGGTGCTAACTAAATTACAATATTATCAGATATATTGATTGGTTATTTTTTGTAGCAGTCAGAAATCATGTCATGAACAGCATTACCGCACTTATTCTTGACCGAAAGTAAAATTCATCGTTCTTATGACAGATTCAATTAAGGTTGTGAATCATTGAACAATGATCATTCATTAATAAATCAAAAACCCCAACATGTAAATGAAATGAATTCATTTCTTCAGAATCGAAATTAATATATTCAGTCTAATTATATTTAGTTGGAAGTACGGTACGTCAAAATATATTAACAAATTGAGGTAACCAATGGTCAAAATCGAATTATTTCTCCTCTGAAAACACTCCAAAATAATATTTGAAAATATGGAACATTAAATATATTCTAAATTGGATCTTGTACATCACATTTTTACACATTGATTGTTGCGGTACTAAAAACTTTTAAAAATACTGACATTATTTTGATCGATGTTCTACAGCTATCAAAAGATAAATTGACCTGTTTATAGTCAAATCAAATGCCAAAAATCAAATGCCAATTGTTGCGTAGATTCAAATTTTTTAAATGAAAGCACTATAAATTATTACTGATATCAAGAAATAACAAATCAAACTTTCAGTAACTAATTTTGTATGTATTCGAATATTCAGATATCTTTTCCTTGGGACATCCCAGACTACCAGTATATAGCCTACATCTATCCTTCAACTGTTTATAAATACATTTGAACTCAAAGAGTGCATAAAAATCTGAGCTTAGTACAACAAAAATAACAGAAGTGAATCTGTCTTCTTCACACTAAGCAAGGCTATCTGACAACTGTATTTAAAGTTTGGTAGTATTTTATAATAGCCTACTATTCATATTCAGCCCTACATCTGATCCTATTTCACATATGCAGTAGAGCACTGTGAGCACACGTTTGTTAAAGTAATCCACCATATTACATTATTATGTTATATGAAGCGCATGTCTGAAGCAAATGTTCCTATTTGAATTACATAGCTCTGTCGAATTGTCTATATTTATAGAGGCACACAAGTAACAGAGTATTTTATCTAATATTTTGCAATGCTTTTAATATGACCTTATTTTAAACTGCATGATACTTGCATATAAAATTGTTTGGTAAAAAACCTATAACTTGACCTAATATCTAATGCTGACTCTCATTAAACTTAACAAGTAGTACCAAATCATAACCATACATAGTCAACTAAATTTCACATCTTGAATGTGCATACAATTAACTCACTATATGCATAGCTCAACAGCGAAAATACCGTGTCCTGCTGCACAGGCACTCCCGGTATCATTGGCTGCTTGGCTGTGTTATTCTATACTAAATATTTCAATGGCGTCGATACATTACTTCCGGCTTCAAATTGCCATCATATTCACCGCTTGGAACGAAGCGTCAAACGAGGCTAACTATTGACACCGACATATGAGTGACTAAGGGCACGTCATCGATAATCGCATCTCTAAATTACAAATAACGTTCAAAATGCCTTGAAAGAGTTTATCATTATGAATCATGATGAAATTCTCAATGTAATCTTTGAATATGAACATGCATAAAAAGATTTTAAGGTTTCTAACCAAATCTTAATGTAACATCAAGTTCACTTTAAATATTTGAAGGTTTCCTAATGCTTATTTTTGTTGTTTCGTATAAACTAGATTCCAAAGAATAAAGTATAAAGAATGCATCTGTTTTATATAATATTAAATACAATCAATATTTAATATCACAGGGGGATTTCTGAGGGAAGGGAAATATTCTTGGGCTTTGGCCATTTATTTATTACGTCGGGCCATTTCAGCAGCAATAAAATATTGCGCACATGCAGCATTGCATCAGTGCCAATACAGGTACTATTTTAAAAAAATACTCATCATAAGGCTATAATTATACCTGGTAGAGTCATTTATTAATGAAATATAATATATTGGCAATAATACAAGTGTCATCAAATCAATGAACACAGGTTAATGACAGATCAGACAATCATAATCGGTTCAATGACATCATTACCTCTTGAGAATTGGCATTTGTGTTGTAACTTTATGAATACACACGCATCATGTCAGCCATTAGCGAAGTTCAAATAAACTTATTTCAGTGTTGCTATATACCGTATTATAACAAATACTAGATAGAAAGTATAATACTAATTGTTTGACAAAAAAGAAAGAGTAAGCCAATTTTTCTACCACTATTATATAAAACTGTAGTATGTATATTCTATGGAAAAATGTTTTGAATATACAAATTTGAATACTTATTAATAACTAAAACATCTGTCAAATTTGTCTGCTACAAAAAGTTAATTAATCAGTTATTGGCTAATTTGAACTAAAACTTTAAATCAATCTTGACTGATTAGTAGTGTAGCAATCATATATACCGTACCGAACAAAGTCAAAGGCCTTCAGTTCAAACAAGATTCAAGAGTTAAATAATGTTTTTATTATTAGGGATAAGCATAAATGAGTGTTTTAAAGTTCCCTATCTTTTATTGGTCGATAACTGTCAAATGTATTTAAGCACCGGTGAACGAAAGTTTCACAGTACACACAAATAACAATACACAAAGAGGAAGTCATAAAGACCATATAAATTTAAGAGTCAAAATCCATTTTAAAAAGAATGAAAGCACATTTTTGGAAGGATAGAAAAGTATTTAAATTCTATTACCTTGCTACTCCTAAATCTCAAACTTCTAGTATAATTTTAATTTACTGTAAATTATCGGTAGTAACAACAGATATGGATTAGAAGGACTTTAGTTATCATTGGGAGATAATGAAAGACTCACCTCTTTATCTGAAACAGGGCTTTTCATATTCAGAATAATATCCTTATTATTTGTTTCATCATTTGGTGAAAGTGAAGTTTGTTGTTTAGCTGATAGTTGGTGAGGTATAGTAGCTTCAAGATCTTGTAATAATGCGTCTAATTAGAAAAAGAAATAAACTGAATGAAAAAACATACCCTTCATTGAACTCTCCAAATAATTGAGTATGGTAATTGGTAAATTGATAGTAGCGGTATATTGCTAATATTACAGACATAGGTGTATGTAGATGGAGGTTGAACATAAACAAAAACTTGAAAATACAAAAAGTAACTGATGATCTTTTGACTAAAACAAAATGTGTCTTGAAAAATATCTACATAGTAGCAAGGTAAATTCCATTCAATGTACATACATTGATTCAATAATGATAAATGGGGCAATACTTAATCTATAACCCGACATGTTTATTCATGGCGGTTCCGACTATTATCTGATTTTCAATAACCCATTTCACTATTTTAACAAATGCTAAAAGCCGCTTAAAATGTAATCATTACGATCTTTTGCTGACATACATAACTTTGATAATGGTCTAGCATAGCCTAATATAAATAGTTTAACACAACAGCATAATATGAAGCATTGCTATTGATCGAAACTATTTCTCTAAAGCAATTTCTCTGAGCAATAAACAATGCTTCATTTACATCATGCAACTTCAACAATAAAAGGCATATTAAACTTGCATGACTTATAAGACTATGGAGAAACGGTGTGTGATTTCACTCATTCATGTCTGAAATGTATCAACAGTCCACACCACAGAAAAAATTCCTGTCCAAACAATACAGTTTACATTGCACATTTCTGCATTTACTAATTTGATTGTTAGTGTATACAGTCTCAATATAACCTACTCAAGGGTTGCCAAATACAAATTGAATATTCGAATACATTCAAAATTGGTTATATTCGATTTAGTGAATTCTTGATTTTAGGAATACAATGTTTATCTCAATTGTTCTGCATAACTAAATTTGATATCTAAGAATTTACAATTGTCTCAAAGAATTTTTACTTGTGGAACACACTTCAGAATATATATTCAATATTCCATATTCGAAAAGATTATTTTAGAATGTATTCAAAATACTAAATTATTCGGTTTAGGCTATCCCTTATTCTACTACCTACAACTACCTTTCAAAATCTATTCTAAAACAAGTCCTTCATGTATATGTCTGCTGTTCACCTATGTAGAATAATTAACAAAAATAGAGATGTTGACACTACTTTGGTTATATCTGATGATCTGTCTTGGTTAATAGAAGACAGAAACCTTAAATCAGAAGTACATTATTTCTATTTCAAACCCAATCAATAACCGAATACAGAAAATAGCTAAACTGTAAATTTCTTAACCAGAACTTCTATACTTGCTAACAATACCAAGAACAAGCGACAAATGACGTGATGGGAAAGTCGAGACCACTGCTTAGCACGCCGGCATGACTTTAGATCATGTCGCATGGACTCATGACGTATCAGTGTTTTGGTAAAAACGTGACATGCTGTTTTGCAAAGGGTAATCAGTAATTTTAGTATCAACAAATACCAAATTTAAAGATAAATATTTTGAAGCAATATTTCAATTCCATCAACTTTTATATCTTTATGGCTTTTATATTGTAAATTATTTATAAGTAACCCTTTAAAAAATTTCATGAACACTGGTGTATCCAATTAAAATTCCATTTTATTGCATTTAAAATTCCATTTTATTGCATATTAAACATGAGCTTGTTATATTGTATTAGATGTGGAGTGTGAAAAATACTAGTCTCAATTTAATGATACAACATTACATGTGTATATCCTGGAAGCTTCAAAATGATATCTATAACCAAATAATTTGTGGAGTAAGAAAGCCCTGAATGACCATTTTTTAAATTTTATTTTATTTTTAATTTTTTTTCATTTTATTTTTAAATTGCACCTCTATATGTAAATTACACCTATAAATACTATATAGCATGGATATATATTAGATAAGTACAAGATATACTTATAAGTTATGCAAACTAAGCATTAAATATATTAGGCATTTTGTATTGAGTCAACGGCATTCATCGCAGACGAAAGCAGGTAAGGAGAAAATGATTACTAGGTATTGTGTTCCGTCTGAAAATACGCCTTCAGAATGTACCAGAACACGGAAGATTTTTTGTCGCTTACTACAATTAAAATTGTCACAAACGTGTGTAAGTTATTGAATAGGTTTCCTCGCCGATTATCCGCCGTTCCTTGGCCCACAGTCGATAAAACAAATTTATAAATTATATCATAGTCCGTGACATTTAAATAAAGTAATTCTTTCTACAGAATTGGCACAAATACCTGAAATAGTTTGATTCTAAACTAGCCTTCGGCGAAATGTTATTAAAGGCTTCTTTTGGCAATCTTGTCCGCTGAAACCTCTCGAAATCGACTAATATATACTTTAAGTATGTAATTAAGCGCCTGAGAAAGCGACCTACAAATGTTTCGTCCTCGTATCGGCATCAGCGCAAACCTTATGCAGGCTGTTTTTTTAAACGAGGGAGAAAAATCTGTCTTTTTCTGGAAAGATTTTATCGCGGAGAAGCATCGATGCGCAAAAAAGTAACAAATCAATTTGCCATGTATGGTCGAGACGTCTGTTTCTTGAAATATGAGAAAATAGTGTTCCCATTGTACTATTAAAAATCTGTTTATAGGGATATTAAACAGAAATTAATACACTAGATATGTGAAAACCTCTTAGATGGAGGTAATAATTAATCGAGTTAACTCTGGGCATGATGCACCAACATTTTCTTTGTACTTTACATCTAATTATTCCAGGGAACACTTACAATCTGGAAAGTAACAAATACCAAGAATGAAGTGAAGCGCAGAAGTCAGGCAGGCAAAAACGTGCCGATTTCAACGTGAAAAACCCTCTAATTTATAGAAAAACGATATCTTAAGAAAATATAAGGTCTTCTGATTGATAACGACATTCAGTACTTGGAACCACAAGCTAATTTATAATACTCGCAGAATACCCGTTCTAATTATATGATAACACTAAATTCTAATTTCGGTAACCTTCGGTAACCGTCAGCAAATTGTTAACACGGATTTAAAACATAGAAAATTTTGAGTTGGTTTGTATGGAAAAAAAATATCACACAGGACAGGACATTAATAAGAGTAAAATTAAATTCAACTTCTCACGGCCTGAAATGAAAAAAAACGCGACATTCAAATTTGCGTCAATTCAAAATATGGACAAAACATTTGCAAAAACAAAATAATCCCATACGTTCTGAGTTACATTGCGGTCATATCAATATTGTTTTGCAAAATAACTTGGCTGTCGCATGGGTAGACACAGCGGTTTTAACCAAAGATGTGAACTTTCGATTGCCCTGGTTTTATCAAAAATGTAACTATAGGCTATATATAGCCTACATGTATTTTGCCGGGTCCGCGACAGGATCTTAGTTAATTAGAGAAATATCAAATTTCATATCAATTATCAATCAATAACAAATTTTTGTTGGTAATTAATAGGTCCTTCCGAATAATAGGAGATGATATGTAGTGGGTCGAGACTCGTATTCATATCCAGAATTATGAATATTTTCAAAAAAAGTTAATTTCACTTGGGCGGCTGGGCCAACTACGTAAATCAGTGGAATTCATATTTAGATTCCTTTTTTAGAAAAGATTTTTCATTTTATTACTTATCGATTTTAATCGGTAAGTATGTTGATAGGTATTTGTATGTTTGTCTGTCTGTCTGTTAGATGCACGCGATATCTCACGAAAGCGAGTTTGAATCTGCTCCAGATTTTGCATGTGCATTCATTATATGTCGGACCAGAAGTCTATTGATTTTGGATGAATTATGTCGTACAATTAGCGAGTTATTAATTAATTAGTGATGGGACATAAGGTGTCCCTATGGAGTAAGAGTGCTGTTTTGGGGGATCCCCTAACTTTCGATCGATAAGTCTTCGGTCTCTGACCGATATACTCGTTTATTTTTCATTCACTATTTTATGAATTGGACAATATTAGTAATTTACATTAGAAAAAGGGGTATTCAAAAGTCTATAAGGAAGGATGAAAATAGGAAGTATCTAATACTATCTATTCATTGGGAGAATTTCAGTATTTATTATTGATAATGGGGATAGTCTCCCAAAAGAAGACTGTGGGTAATAGATTTTGCATTGTTGTGTCATAAACAGTGTTACAGCATGGTTGCAAGAATCTGCATAAAAACAGTACACAGGGGTGCAGACTGGCCATTCGAAATGGGGAATTTAAAAATTACAATACCAAGTTGTGGTAATTCCCTTGCAGCGACTTTTGAGACAATCACAGCAATTACAACGAAAGTTGAAAGAGGTAACGTTTTCAGCTGATATTGATCCTTTTTGCTTTGGAAAATATATGATCCACAGCCATAAATAACCCATAAAATGAAATTCGATAACATTTGCATTTAACCTAAACAACGACTACGTTAATTTGTAACGCTCTTTACCTCAACTAGAATCTTAATTAAGGAATACAATTCATTTAAGTAAAATAGAAAAGTGATTGAATAAACCTTCCAATAAATAGTTCCCATTTTGTCAGGATCTGGATTATTCTGGAATAAATTGGTGGTGGTAATTTCAATAGGGTTAATATGAAACCGACAATATATGAAAATGCACATTGCACGTGGTGTAAGTGTTTCTTATTTCCTGTGCAGCACATAAAATCTTTGCGATTTATAGTATCTAAACTAGCGTGATTAAAACGACTTTTTTCATCTTCTCGAAACTTCTAAAACAAAATTTATGATCCTCTTTTGTTTTATTTTTAGTGTTAAATGTGCATGATATTGTTATCATTCGTAAATAAGCGTAACACGTAGCTCGTCGTAACAAAGTTCCAAATTTGGGACTGGTTAGTACCGAGATGTGGGTTCCATCCTATAATCGCAGCCCTGGCTGCATCACTGTAGGTAAACTACGTTTATAGTAGTTCACTTATTGTTAGATTGAAGGAAGGCCAGTTTTATTATAAATGTTTATCACTTGCATTTCAGTATGTTTTTTGCAATAATTTTTTACTTGGCAGGGCACCGAAAAAACACAGTAGACGATTTCGTGACCCTCGCGTCAGTGGTTTGCCATCCCTGTTCTTTGCTTATTTCTCACACACAAGTGATAGCAGACAAGAAGAGAATATAATTTTTGTGAAATTTTGTGCAAAACAATGGGACTCTTCGAATAAAATAAGTTGACAATAATAATTGAATATGATATTCAAATCAAGACTTACCTAACTTCCTCTGCATTACTCAGTAGGCCTACATAATGAATCAGTTCGAAATACATAAAGTTAACTATTCAAAACAAGTTTTAAGAATAAATACAAATCTAAATCATAAGTTACTGGTACCTAATTAACCACCTAATTACTTATCTTGTAATCTTCATTTAAACATATATATGAGAGTATGAGTGGGCAGCAAGAGCAGACTCCCCTTTGCAGTCTCAAGGGCAGAGCCACTTTGCAGTCTATTCTATATTCGCACACAATGACGTTTAGGAAACTATGCCTTATAGACTTGAACTAACAACTAAAACATTTTCTGGTAATTCATATTGGTGCTTTCGAACATTAATTGCATAAAATCGCCTCAATCCTAATATAGGTGCTACACTCGTAAAGCTCAAAACTACACAATACCAACCAAGGATTTTAAGACTTGTGTCAAAGATGCGAAAGCTCATTGACACAGACATTGATTAAGTATCTATGACCGCAGTCTTCTTTTGCATAATAAAAATATATGTTTGACCCATTCATTAAAAGAGGTCCGCATCCCCGTGCTAGGACATACCAAAAAGTCCCTTTTAATCTGTTTACTTGACCAAGAGAAGCAGGAAGCTACAAAATTGATAACTTCCTTTTTGATGAATTAAAAATTTGACAAGTAATAACCCACATACCGAAAGCAATTAATAATTATGATAGCGGTAATGTTTACTCAACTTAATCCAAGTATGTTTGATAATATTAACTTTGTGACATAATATGGTCTTTGTGTTTCGAGCAGGATTAAAAATGTTATTTTTTTACCTTTGCTATGGTCGAACTTGATAAATCTCAACTTTAGTTTTTTTACCTACTGTGAATGTAAAACTAATAAATAAATATAAGGAATAAATATTCAAATTGCTACAGAATTATCCGAGTATACCACTCACACAAAATATATATAATAATAATAAATAGAAAGTGTAATACATGGTCAGACTACAGCAGTGTAATATGTAACAGTGCACCCTTGTTCAGTTGTTATGTCCTCACGAGCATAGATTGCAGAAGACAAAAAGTATGACCAGTGCAAATTGAATGTATGAATTTCACTTACCTAAATCCTCCATCTCCCAACTTTTAAATGGTATAATTTTTCACAAATGTGATCTGTTCCTGTGAAACAGATTTTGAATAACAACAAATTTATTCAAAGAGCTAGTTCAAATCAATCCTCAGCTCCTCTAGTCAAAGTTATTGCAGTGCTGTTACCCCAAAAACAGGAAAGCAGACGATTCAAACAGATTTTCTGTTCCCGTTTTCGTCTGTCGCTATATTCGAATGTTGCTTGATGATAAAATACTGAAATAAGTTGTTACTGTGTTTATGTGAGCACTATCAGACTATGGCTTTCAAATTCTGAAAATAGGACACAAACTATTAGATAAACGAACAGCGTTAGCGAACTGGTACCGTCAATACGTCACTGTGTTAAAAGAATGAGTACCGCAGTACCGGTACAGGAATAGCTCAGGAACAGGACACGGATAGTTCATATTATGACTGTATGACAATGCAGTAACTACCGTATATGCTGGACTGACTAATAAGGTTACATATCCTAAAAAAAGTTGTAGTTTGTGAGAATCGATCGAGTAGCACATCAATTTCATAATTTGATAATTGAAAAACATTCAGAATTGTGTCATATATAAAAATATGAATTAATTTATGGTAGCATTAGAACTAACGGTCAAGTTACCCTACATTCATATTTCAGTACAGTATGTACGCTTTTTTTAATTCATACAGTAATATAAAACATAGATATGCAGATGCAGTTATACAAAAAAGTGAAACACAACAACTTATCTATCTACTTTTTTTTTGGGGGGGGGGGTGGCCAAATTAAAATCCATTGCCAATTTGGATTCAGGAATATGATATTTTTGGTTATCGAAATACATGATTTCAAATTAGTTCAAAACTATCTACCTTTCCTGTTATCACAATTAATGTAAACTTGCCGTAGAACCGAAAAACTCTTCGTAATAAAGGATTTGACATTCACCGCTGTCATCGACTACTAGAGTAGACACAATTTTGCAATATGCTCTATAGCGTCTCCACGTGATGACACCCATCACGATCCCGGATGAATCGGCATACTGTATAGTTGTCCACATTTTCACACACGAAATGTACCTAAGAGAGAGAGAGAGAATTTATTGTTTCTTCAAACCAGAAAACACATACAATATATATATGATAGCAAAATGAGAAAAATTAGGTTTCGGTAGATGACTTGGTGGTGACGATACGACCATTAACAGTCATCTGAGTCGGTTACCAGCTAAAGCAAGCACATGAATAAATAAATTAATAACACAAGTCCATGCTTCCGAAAACAAATAACTGGCTAACTAATCCCATACCGACCTGGACTGGTAACCGGACGAGAGGCCGTGGTTCGTCATATGATAAGCCGTCTTATCGGTTTTCCTCTCCCTCGGGATAAATATGTAAATCCCGTAATATTACACTCTCAAGATATACATATGGAAAAAATATATATATACACTATGTAAAAAAAATGATATCTGATTAGAGATGAGATAAATTTCTAATCGGGATTAGGAAGTTATTTAAATAAATTTTAAATAGAGAAGAGCAAAAAATAAGAATTCCATACCAAATATATTATTATTTAGTATATTAATTTACACTTTCAATATATTCTGAATCTTCTTTTGTGCTTACACACGATAAAATATAAGGGATAAGATCACAGGGAAATTAAAAGTTTTATAAGTGACAATAATGTGCCGTCTGAATGTGTAAGGATCGTTTTGAGAATTGCTCTACAGACGTACTTTGCTGTCAAATGCATATAGGCACGCATATTTATCTATCTCGGTGTTTGGTTCATTTGGTGAAAGGATTATTGTTATCAAACCAGGAAATGTCCGGTTTCAGTAAATCGTTTAGGAATAGAGCAAAATGGCGTTGGAAAGGAGGGCTATGAATTTATATCTCACTGCAAATGCCGCGAAATTCTGTTTGAACAAAATTGTTGATTTTTTGGGAAGGGGCGGTGGTATGGCCCCACAGGTCCCCACTGACTACGCCTATTGATACAGTACCAGTTATGTAATATTTTCAGTACAAGGATACAGTTGGCTTTGACGATCTCTCCGACAATAGTCTTGAAACGGTACATTATTTCTGGAATTGGAGGAACTGTCTTCTTGACGAATATCACAGTGCGTAATGTAAGGATCGGGCGTGATTAAAGTTCTGGACAAAAACGCATAGCAAAACGTTGTTGAAAATTACGGCCAATAAAGTAAGTAAAAGATGATAACATTTATATATATATGTTATATATATGGAAATAATTTAAGTAATTAAAAGATGATAACATTTATATATATTTATATATATATATGAAAATAATTTAAGAGAGAAAGTATTGAAGATCGATATGATGATGACTTTGACATGTGACTCACCCTCCTGATAATTCGGTATCCATAAAGAATGTAACTAAGTATGAAAATCATGATATAATAAACTATCATATATACAATCATATAATGTATCTGTAATTCTGGAGGCCTATAATAGATGGAAATCATTTGAAGAGGAGGAATTGAATAACGATATTGCAATGAATTTATCTGATTACAGCTCGCTCTATGACTCGGTACTTTTCATGGGTTCGAAATAGTTTGAAAGGGAATGCCACTCAGAGAGTGTTATATTAGTAACCGGGGGTTCGGCGGTGTGGCGTACAAAATAGCACAAAGTAGCCCAAGTACCTGAGTACAATTGCCGTAACCAAAATTTAAGAGACAAACACACGGTGGAGATGAACGCTAGGCACGGTGAAGTAAAAGGGAAATCGATCATATCAAAAATTAATCACCCGCTAGTTATCCGGGGAATTCTATTAAAATTATACTATGGATCGAAACTAGAAAATGAGTCGAATTCCATGTGTCTCACGAACGCGAATTTTCGAAATTTTGACCCGTGAATGAATTTTCTGGGCAGTTTCTTTAAAAAAATAACCGCAGATGAAGTTTCTTGCCACGAAGGAAATTAATGTCAGGAAACTAATAATGCATTTTCCAATGTTAGCTACGTTTCACGAAAAATATCTTGTTATTGTAGAATAATGAATTTTGAGAGCTTCCGTTGGTGTGAAAATCTGCAGAACATCACAATTCACAAATGAGTAAATTTAGTGATTCTACAATGAAATGGTTCTGCATTCCAATTAATTAGTCGCCGGGGAGTAATCTAATTTTGACGAAAACAGAACGCCAATACGCCATTGTCCAAACTTATATATATTATAATATCAATTTAGATACATTTTTTAAGATATTTTCGTACACCAATGTTTGACATGAGACAAGAAGGTCAGCATAAGCTTTACCCGATAATTGCTCTGTGTCGAAAGAAATTAGGCAAACCGTAATTAATGGACTGATGATATCCGTGCTTCTTTGTGACCGCGGAATCGGGATCGGAATTGCGACTAAATTGGTCGCCATGGCTACCTCGGCCGTACTTCGGCGCCTCTGGATCGTAAATTTGTTTCCCAACTGGAGACAAACAGGCAGACAGGTCTCGATATCCCAACAGGCGGACAGACCTCGCGCCAGGCTGGAAAGCATGGCATTGTCGTCAACCGTTCAATATCGTTAACCGTCGGCCTAATTTTTCAATCGTCAAGTTTACAGCAAACTTCTTCATTTTATCAGAGCTATAATTTTTTGAAACCACGTACCCTTCTCAATGGCATGTTGGCTTGAAACTGGGAAAGCCCGGTAGCCTCAAAAGATGTCGTGATAACACGGTTGTGCAAATTGATGCACAAAATAAATTCATTACAGAATTTTTTATTATCAATTTTACTTTCTGATATCCTAAGGTTCCGCGAGGTGATATAAAAAACGTAGATGGGCAACAAAGTTTGAGAAACGCTGGTGTAACCGATCATTGTATGAAATTGTCGTATGCGTTCAATTCCTATAATTTGTAAATTACGGTTATATATATATATATTGTGTGTAAGTTTTTATGCAAAGTTACCAATGTGCAGCACATATTCAATTGCAATATATATATATATATATATATATATATATATGACACTATTACAGATTTCTGATACGATAACGGAAGTTCATAGCAAAAATTTCTATCTTATTTTTATCCGTAGCTCGACTAATGAGAATATATACGACTATCCACTGCCACAAATGCTAACTCCTTATAAATCACATCCAACGTTACGTTTTTTCACTATGTATTATTCTACAGTAATTACTATTCACATGCCCAGGAATGTAAGTTTCGAATATATTTTTTTCAAATCGAATTTCGAATCACAATGTTCCGATTCGAATATTTCCGAATCTGATTCTATTTAGTATATCATCATATTATTGTTAACTTAGGAGGAAATATAGTATAAATTTTGATAAAATAACAATAATGAGCCCAAAGTAGGATTAAAGTTACTAAAAAAACACATTCCACAGATTTATCGACTATCAAATATATTCCACATGAGATTTATTTTTTGTTAGTGGTCACATATTTATTTACATACAATACCGGTTTTCTAGTATCTAATGATTGTTTCTTCTAAAATTGATCTTCAAAATACACCCAAATGATAATCGCTACTTAGTACCGTTTGCGCCATGATTTTATAAGAAGCAATGATAACGTGGGAAGCATCGCAGGCTGGTTTTTAATAATATATATATAAAGCAATGATGTTTTATTATAATATATAATATTATGTAGATAATTTAAAGGAACCTTTATATATTGAAATATTTGTGGGACTCCGTAACATTTTAATTAATAAAGAAAAATGAGCAAAACCATTGGCCCCTTTAAAGCTGCTACCAATATAAAATATAACAACTCTGGGAGTGTTAGACTTTGAAAAGCTGTAAACGCAAGGAAAATAAACGCTTTTGGGCGATATCGAGACTGCGCCGCTCATCGAGCGTCGTGCAATTGTCCTGTGTTATCTATGTAATTCATTTTTAAATAGAATCAAGCCTCTTTTTTCTAAATTGCTTCGAATCGATTCGAACTGATGTTGATTCGAATTGCTTCGATTCGAAATTCTGAAACTTTCAACCCCACGGTCATGCCGTTTAATCCGACAGAATCGGGCCTTAACATTGTTTTGGGACATAAAGTTTTTTTTATTGTTCAGATATAATGTATATGACATATATAATGATACCCAGGTGGGTGTGGAGTATATAATGTTGAGCAATTTTTTTTAAGTGGATTCAAAGTATTCGGTCCAAGATGACGCACATCCTGAACCCTAACCTGGTAAACATACAATGTTCGGGTTGTATGCCATCTTGATACGAATACTTCAGGGGCGCCTTTTTGTAAAAAACAATTATTTCATAACTACATGGTTTAGTTTTGCATACATAGTAACATTAAACCGCCTTACAATGTCAGAAATTCACTTTTAGTAGAATTGGTAGTTTATTTCAATAATACAAGCCAAGATCCATCGACAGCATCTAGCCACTTTCTATGGCGCTATTCAAACTACATTTGCTAACGTGCGCATTTCCTTTTCCTAGTTTAAGCTTAGGGACTTGGGAAATATTTCATTAGTTGAATTGGATTGGAATATTTGACCTTGTCTTTCACTCCGAACAAGTCCATGTAAAACCATCCACTGGTATCTAAAGATGTGTAACGTGTTTTCTTTTGGAAGAACCGCAACCTTTCAGTGCTGCATTGACTTTGGCAAAATTAATATATCCTTGTGGAGATAGAACGTATGCGTATGCGAAACCGAGATGTGCACCTGTTATGCCAACATAGTTGAGTCAAACGTTTTGAATACTGGTACATCACATACATTTTCCTGTGTGCTTCGGTTGTACGTAGAAAAGCGCACATTTTTGCGCACATGCATTATATTCCACTTGATTATTTAGCTATAGGTTTTTGATGAGCTTCCGTGTATGATTTCATTCCATTGAATTTGTATGCTGTTCTAAAGAATACTAGTTTCAGCTTTTCTCATTCATTCAAACCGCGTGTTGAAAGTAAGTTTTGTAATATTGCGTGTTGGTTTACAACATCCTTAAATCGGTGATGCCAGTAAATCTTTAATACAAAAAGATCAGTGACATCTGCAATAAAAATAGCAGTACCCACTCAAATGACAGCTGGGGGATGGATACTCTTAGTATCTGCTCCATTACGTGCCTCTTACAGTCTTACCAGTTTACATGAGTGCCAATTGGTATCTAAGCTCAGCCAAAGACAAAAAGTTTCGGACTGCAGTTGGCGTGACGAAATGTTTTTAAATATATATTCTACAATAAGATTATTTGATTGCATACTACTGAAAGTTCCGCCTTATATGTCTTTTCCCATTGCACTATTCCTTTACTGATATGACGCTCATCTGACATAGTTCTTAAAGTGTGTAGATGGGTATAATCTTTTCCACGCTGTTCAGATGGGAATGCGCGAATATATATAAGAATTGCTAATATTGGTTTGCAATGCGATGAAATCCCATCTTGGCATTTCTGCCTCTCGCAATTGCTGCGTATACGTATCGGGGAAGTTCTGTGGCGTGGTTATCAAATGAAAAAAAAAAACATGGGAGTATTTTTTCTACTTCTCTACTACTATCGAACCTTGACATTTTGTGAAAACTTTTTTCCATGCAACCTTTTTTCAAAACATCCCCAACAACCACAATCAATTCTATTATTAAACTTCCGAAACAAACACATAAAATCATCAACAGATACATATCACCAAGTAGATATTGCTGAATTGATCTTTATTTTACCATTTTTCATGTAATTCTTTTTGGTAAACCTGTTATCTATCGTAAATACAGCACATTTGACAATGTTGTAGTGTGACTTTTTTGGCCTCACATTTTTGATATTTGTAGTTAGAGCTCTTGGGGCTCTGTCAAACAAAGTTACATACAAAATATTGGTTGTTAATTGCAAAACATGATCCTGTTGTTGGAATAACTTGGCATTTTACCACCCGTATATATCATTCATTGTTGAGAATATTAATTCTCGCTAACAAATAATTGACTGTACTCCACCGGGTGTATATCCACTTGAACCACTGGCGACTGCATTAGCAGGCTTGTATTGTTAATTGCATCAAAAACGGGTATTTTGAAATAGTACTCTTTATTTCACGCGTATGTTTCGACAGTATTTCCATATATATACTGTATATGGGTCGCGACCCAAAGCTAGGCTCAACAAATACCTAAAAGTTATTGATTTTATTTCCTAGTAAATTTGGTGCTTGCGTGGTTTGTGCACCAAGATTGCGCACAACCTGAACATAGTATTGTAACAGGTTATGGTTCAGGTTGTGCGTCATTATGATACACATGTTTGACGAAAAACACTAATACAAATATCTCAATAAATACCTAAAAGTTATTGATTTTATTTCCTAGTAAATTCGGTGCTTGCGTAGTTTTTGCACCAAGATTGCGCACAACCAGAACATAGTATTGTAACAGGTTATGGTCCAGGTTGTGCGGCATTATGATGCACAGGTTTGACGAAAAACACTAATACAAATATCGAGCCGTAAAAAAAATTGCTCAAGGCTGCAAACTCCACACCCATGTAGAAATGATGGGCAATGACCCCAAGATGAATAATCACAAATAAAAAAAACTTTATGTCTGAAATCAAACTTGGGACAAAAACGCCCCCTTATCTGCCGGACTAGTTATACACTTTCGTGTGTTTTCGATTATCGTTTCTTGAATGATGGAAATAATATCTGAATCGTTACCGGCCACGAGTTTACTATAAATGTAAATCGTGCTTAAATGTCAGTCAGTGCATGTTCACACGTGTAGCGTGTATTTTGGTCAATGCCCTTGCTTGAACTTAACAAAAAGTATTTGTGTCTAGTGTCATCATAGGACATATATGATTAAACAAAAGTTAAAAGTGTCGATGGTGCCGTGTTGTTGTTTATGATTTCGATTTTGAAAGGTCAGAACACGGACATTAAAACTAAGCCCGCACGTTGATTTTGTTGATGGAATGAATCAAAAATCGATTCACAACTCGCTTTTATCGCATTGCACAAGCCTAGTATAACATATCTCCTGTATCTGCAAGTACGGTACTGATGAGATGCAATACGGCATGTCGCGCTATCAATGACAGACGAAGCAAAAAAAGTCAGGTGAAAGATACAGCTATGGGTTTATTGCGATGGTTCTGTTTATCGCCTGTTCTGTATGCTGATTATGAAGTCGAAATACCTTGAATCGGAGTGCCGACGTACTGGCGTACCGATAGCGGTATTTCCAGTACCGTACTCTGATGCTGATGTAATATCGCACCTTCCATATATCAGTATCCAGCTATGATAGTACATGAGTATAGTCTGATAGTCGTACTGCTGTACTGGCATCGCATTCGCATGTATCAGAGTAGGCTATTCATTAAAATTCTATGACAGAATACAGAGATATATAAATCTGACACATATTTTCTTTGTTTACATAAGTCAGTCTTTCAACACTAATGAAATAATTATTGCAAATGAAGTTAATTAATAATTCGTTTCGTCTTTTCCAATTTGGACTCCAATCTAAAACACACCATCGTAGGTTTTGTGGATACAATATTTTCAGAATACACCAATGCCAAACAGATTTCAAACAAGTCAGGTAAGTAAAAAATAATCTTGTTATTTATTCGAATTTATATATCACAACATAATATTGACTTATCTCTGTACTATCTGGAAGGAAACTTGCTTGTTTCCAATAATCAATATCAATTTTTGTAAGTAGACTAAGTTTGTACGAACTTGTGATAAATAGATCTAAACAAAGGCAAAAAAAATTACAATCGAGGATTTCTTCTGAAATAATGATTTTAGATATAAGTTAGCATAAAAGTCATAAATATTGGCTGAGCAATACCAAGATAGTACATACACCCATTTGAAAAACTTTCTGGGGATTCTGGATCAGCGTTTGTATGTGTAACTCAATCAATATTGTTGTCCATCAATGTTTCATCCATGGATAAATTATCATCTTGACTTCCATTTGTAATAGGTTATTTTCCAAACTTAATTGTGAGGTTCCAAATACTGATTTGAGATTGTGTAACTGTTTGTATTGTGTAACTTAAACCAAAATATACATCCGTTTTATTCCTGTTGTAATTTGTCAATATTGTTGTTGATCAATGTTCCAATTTCCATTCACAGATAAATTCTCATTATGACTTTTCTTTGTAACAGGTTATTTTCCAAACTTAATTATGAAGTTCCAGACACTGATTTGAGATTGATATCAGACACAATATTTGAAATATATAAAGACAATGCGAATGAAATACAATTATCAACCCTGCACAATGTAAGTTTAGTACTTTTTTAAGTAGGAATGCTTGTCTCTTGTATGTGAATGCCTTTTTATTACTTGGAATCGAATAATTTTGGTAAATTTAATAAGTTTTCAGTAAGCATGCATTTTACAAAAAACAAAATTGTTGAGTACTTCCCTAACTGCACTTACTTTGTTTTCTATTTACTTAGCCTACATATAATAACAATCTTATATCTTTTAATTTTCTTAGGCGTTGCTCGAACAAGGTATAAGGTGTAAAACAGATCCCAGATTCTCAACTTTTCAAACAAATTTAGCAGATTGGAAAGAAAGTAAAAAATCTGAAAACTTGGATGGAACTAAATGTAATAAAGATGAATTATTCAGGTATATTGCTTATTTTCTATCATCAGTGATAATATATGGATTGTTTTAAGTAAGTTGTCCTAATTTTTGACACGCTTGTAATCGACAGTAATTTTTAAGCTTTTTATCAGTTTTTTTTTATTACTGTGTTTAAACTCAAAAACAGAATAATATTACTGATTCATGTAAGCACTTTGCTAAATGAGCCTGATTTTAAAAACTTAATTTTGGAAATATTTTATATTATGGAATTATATCCGAAATACAAGGATTAACTTGTAATATTAATTAAAACTTAATCATATCAGGGCGGTTCAAGGTTGCGAGGTTGAATGGTCGCAAAACCTTTTGAGGAGGTCTCGTGGTCACAGTCGGAGAAGACCCAAAAGTTGTCAAAATATCGCGAATTTACTTACTTTGAATATATTAATACCGGTAAATGATAGTTTACAGTTCTAATAAGTCTGCGTGTTGCGTGGGTGCTGTTTTTTAAGGAAGATATATAAACCCCTTTAGTTATTTTAAAATCCCGAGAAGTACTGTGGTTTTTTCCGTATCTTCTCTCGTGTTTGGAATGTCGCTTCAAAATATATCCTTTGTAACAGATATTACTTGTAAGCAGACCAGACACTGCGGTTTATCGTTGCGTTGCGCAAGGAAATACGTTTCCTCACAGTTTTCCTCTGTCAAGTTTCTTTTGACACTCATTTCATGATGAAAAATTATATTTGACAAAATCAATAATTTGCAGCGTGAGCAGGCCTAATGCTATCGTCAGATAACAACCGAGTCCATCTAAGTTGGGATTTTGGGACCTAGCTGTCAGCTGATGAACCCTGGATTGCACAGACACTATGTAAGCTCTGTGTTTTGTCATTGCTGTAACATAGCCCACACTTGAAAATAGAGAAGTGTTTTTACTAAACTAAGCTCACAAAAATATAGAAATATACGCTAAACTTGTTCTGTGGGCCACACAGAATCTGTCCATTGCTCGTGTGCCGGGGTTTGGAGTCTTTGGACCACCCTGATCTACATCCATTTCTCTTATTAAGCCTGGCAATGACAGGCCTATAACAAATGTATAATACTCACAGTTTAATAGGTGACAGCACTTGTCTGGAAGTGATAACCAAAACTCTTGGACGTCAGTGCATCATTCCAGACTTTCAATCATTCTCTTCCAAGATTCATGCAATATTTGACTCAGTTAGGCATTGTGACACTGGCTCGGTAAGTTGGAAATAAATCTATATTCTCATTCTATTCTTCAGTGGTTTGTTGTTGGCAGAAGTGCTGATATAGTTCTTGTGGAAAAGAGAGTGATAGTCGTCTTCATATATAGCAAAAGCAGCTGGTTTATTTTATTGGTATCTGGTCAAAATTTTACCGAACAAAGGCTCCAAGTTTGCCCTGCTATTGATAAAGTTCTTAATCTCAAACTTAATCACATCAGTGATGGAGGATTTATGTACAAATTTCATAGGTCATTATTTCAAGTAGCTTCAAAGTGTGGAAAATATGAAATCAGATATAATTGTTTAAAAGAGTGACTTTTGGAGAGTTGAAGTTATTTATTAATATTATGTTAGTAGTATTGACAGTGGAGGAAATGTAATCAGTCAGGTGTAATCGCTACAAAACTGATACTTGAAAAATTAATTTTAGCTTGCGTCTTATATTCCTCAGCTAGCAAAAGAAGATCCCACGAAGTTTGGAATGTCATTATGTACTGTTGATGGTCAAAGGTAGGATGAATTAAAAACTTGTATCATTCATAATAGTCAAATCCATGTAAGTTATGATATCTTCACTTGTGAAGTTTAAATGTAAAATTTGATATTCAACCGAAGAATGAAAACTTGTTCAATTTTGTAGATATGAATTAATTTTTTATTGAAAAATGTTTGGTTCAAATTTGCCTCAAACTTTCAGCTTATTCTTCAGCATCTGGTAACGTTTTTTCACTTTTCCTATTAATGAGTGTAAATTTAGGTAGAAATTACAGCATTGTCATGTTTGTATATATATTTACTCGTAAGTAGTAATCAATAATAGACACAGGATAACTAGCTCACTGTTAAACAGCTTCCTGCTACATGTTAGCATTGACTCGTACTTTTCTTTTCAACATTGTGTTTTTAAGTATTCCTGTCACAAAAATGGAAAGTTGTTTTTGTTGCTAATATTACTCAATATTTGAATGAAATATTACAGAATAGCTATCGGCGATGCTGAAATACCTTTTTGTCTACAGTCATGTATGAAGCCATTCCAGTATGCAATTGCAGTATCGAATTATACATCACAATATGTTCATCAACATATTGGGAAGGAACCAAGTGGAAATATGTTTAATGCAATCATGTTAAATCAAGAGGGTAAGTTTACAAAAGTATGTTTGTTTGGTGAAGAACTTTACAATTACAATATTGTAGTGTCGTCTATTCAGTAAGTAATATGTTATGGGATTAGGCGTCTTCTCTTGTTCTGAGGCAAAAGAATAACCGATACATTGAAACTTGAAGCTAGTGTTTCCCATTCGGGGAAGAATTTTGCCATCTTGGGGAAAGCAGTTTCGCTATAGTATTACTTATGTTTTTTAGTTCTTTATTATTATTATGATCTTTAAAGAACTTTACAATGTTTATTATAGTCTATTCGAGTAATAGTGATATGTTATGGGATTAGGTTTCGTCTCTTGTTCTGAGACAAAGGAATTAACAATACGTTGGAACTCTATGCTAATATCCACCCAATCACTGATAGGATTATTTTATATGCGCTATCTCGGCAAGGCTTTCTTAAAGAGCCTCTTCCAGTGTTTATATAAACGAGCAAAGTGTCATTTGAAATTATCTTCAAATAAAATCATAGTTTTCACACATTATAAATAATAGCAGTGCATTGATCAACCTAATGTGAGAAACTTCTAATTATACAGTGATACTGATCCAGTATTCTAATCTTCTATGAAGTATTAAATATTGACATACGCCTTATGCGCCTGTCTCATGAATCACCAATCCAATTCCAAGCAATTTATTGACAGTGCGCCTCCTCATGGTCCATAAAATGAGGTAATCCTATATTTAAAATTCACTTTTGCAGTAGCTTGTTGCAGTTATTTATTTCTGAAAACTTTAGAATACTATCCGTTGTTGAATCGTACTTTATTAAATTATTAAAGGCCATGCTGAAATTGTGTTGTTTTCAAATTTTCATCTATGTGCTTTTTTTCCTCTAGACCAACCACACAATCCTATGATAAATGCTGGGGCACTAGTAGTGTGTTCACTAATAAAACCTGAACTTCCAGTGGCTGAGAGATATGTTCATGTAAGTTTGCTTAGTGTTGTACTTGTAGTAAATAAACACATTTCATGGGAGTGACCTCAGCTGTATTGGCTTATTTGATTTGATTTTTTTTTCATTTAGAAGTAAAATGGTGTATGTCGCTCTCATTATTGTTTTAGCACAGTATGGTGATCTGTTAATTTGTATTACCAATGGGGTAGAAATCTATGACTGAATTACACAATATGTGAATCTCAAGTGCATTCTTTAGTCAAAATTTAAATAAATATTTTCGTTGTTTTCGGAAACTTTTGTGACCATATTTGTTTATCGTACTTCCCACAATTTTATATTAATAGTGATATTTTTGTTAGAAGGAAGAATTCTTATTTCAATTCAGGTTCAAAATATTATTAGTGATATGGCCGCAGGTGAATACACATCATTCCACAATGCTGTATTCCAATCTGAAAAGGCAACATCATACCGGAACTTTGCTCTTGCTTATTTATTAAAAGAAAAAAATGTAAGTAACTTTGTACATTAGAAGTTATTGTAAATACTTTCTTAAAATTCTAAAATTCATATTCTATTTAGTGTTTCGCTGATGGTACATCTGTAGAAGAGACAGTGGATTTATATTTGCAACTATGTGCATTTAAAATGACATGTTCATCTGCATCTGTGGCAGCTGCTACTCTAGCCAATGGTGGTGTTTGTCCTTTGAAACCAGAAAGAAGGATATTAAACTCTGATGCAGTGCGGAATACACTGGCATTGATGCACTCCTGTGGGATGTACGACTATTCTGGTGTTTTTGCCTTTCATGTGAGTTTGTATTTTAATTAAATGGCGTACAAATTTTAAAGTGATTAGGTATAAAGATGAATATATGTTACAGGTGGGACTCCCGGCAAAGTCTGGTGTCGCAGGTGGCTTAATGCTTGTTATTCCAAAAGTGATGGGAGTTACAATATGGAGTCCTCTGCTAGATGAAAAAGGTAAGAGTTTTTTTTATTAAAAGAAGAATCTATCTTCTAGATCAGTGTACTTCGTAGTTTTCCCGTCATGTCCCACTTGGCACCGCAAAATTTTTTCGCGACACCTGAGAATACAGAAATGTGAAAAAATAATAATAAAACAGACAATAATTTAGGTGAGGCTGAAATGATCACACAAAAAAACGAATCTTGGCTCTATTTCGGTGATGGTGGGTCTCAGTATTTGATCCTTTGTTTGTTTCAACATAAGTTGGTGCCGAAAAATATTTTACCATGGGATCAGGACCCCCAGTTTGAAAAGCCCTATTCTAGATCAGCGTTTCCAAACTGGGCCCTCATCCTGCGGACCATGAGCAAAGATTTTCACTAGGTGTCATTCATGACGACTGCATTAATTCAAATAAATTGATCCAGTTTGTAAACCTACACCCTCCAAAGCACTCGCAAAATAAATATAAAAAACTTTACAATAGTAAAGTATAGGGAGAAATTTTCTTGGGTCAGAGGTTGGGAAACACTACATTTGTTTTAAATGTTTTAAGCATTTTTGCTTCTGATCAACAAATGTAGTGTCAGAACATCATTGTATTATGATTAAACAGGTCAAAGTTATACTGTTATTTACCTTCTATGTCAGGCAATAGCATGAGAGGATTGGAATTTTGCAGAGAACTTGTTGAACAATACAACCTCCATGCTTATGACAACTTGAGATATTCGGAAAGGAAAAGTGATCCAAGAGTTTTGAAGCGTGCTCTAACCGTATGTAATAGTTTTTATTCCAGAGTTACCAGGCATGTTAATAAAAATGAAATTAATTATGACCTTTCTCATTATTAATGTAAAATATGTGATATAGTGTGATTGATGCATGTATTGTTGAATTGAATCCAAACAGATATATTAAAATATACATTTAAAACTTATTACCAGCTATACGGTTGAAATACAAATCAGCAGCACAAAACATGGAAAACACTATATTCCCAACTCTTGGCTGGAAACACGTCACAGATTGATCAATACAAAGCGCTCGATACAAAAAGCATAAACAGCAAAGCCTTGCTACGATAAATCACCATCAGGGAAATTGCTAAAATGACCTATTTTCATTGAATTCAACATGCTATTAATACAAATTCATTGTTATATTTCACAGTCGCTACAATTTCACTAATTTTATTCTGCAACGTTTCGTCTCACCCTAGATAGGCAGCCTAAAACAATAAGGAAAGAACATTTACGTGATATAAACGTAGATGAAAGTGTGTTGCATCTTACATGACCTTTGAACCTCCCAATATAGCCATTTTGATTCTTGCTACGGCATCTTTGGTCCTTCAACTGTACAATCAACCATATTTTAATTATTTATCAGCAATTTTTGTTTTTCAGGATAACGAAATTTGCCTTTTGTCATCATATGCACAACTCAAGTCAATTGAACGCCAGCATACACACCATCTCAACCTTGTGTAAATAGATTTCCGACTCAGAAAATATTATTGAGAAGTTTTTTAATATTGCAATTTAGGTTCACATCAGAATGATATTTATTTTATTTCTGTGCTTATAATACAGAGTGGCGCTTTGTATGAATATCCCTGCCAGCTTCAAACTTTTATTTGTGCTTCAAACACCTCAATGCAATTGTGATACACAATGTTTTCAAAAATTTATTGTTTTGTCATCTAGAAGCTTTTTGTATATACAGAATGTTACAAAATATGTTTTCAAAATCTTTTCCACATTATACACAATAGAAATTGCGCTAGTACTGTTGATTAATTTTCATTGTGGATTACATCAATCATTTCAACTATGATGTCACACTGTGATATATGACACACCATGTTTGCACAAAGATGTTTGTGTTTCCCTCATTGCCTGATAGTGTAACTATATGTTGAAGTGTTTTTAGAATAGTTTTATCTCAGCTTGCTTTATTTTATTGCACAGTTTATTATTTATTTTATTGCCAGTCACCTAACCATGTCTTGAATTTACCAGATATTGCTTGAATTAAACTTATTTTAAACATGGAATTCTATCTAGTACTTATGATAAGAACTAGGGTCTAGTACAGGGGTGGACAAGGTTTTCATACCGGGGACCAAAAATTTTGCGCATTTAGACTGGCGGGCCATGTAAGTATGAAGTATAAGTTGCATTTTATAAACAATATTTACAGTGTTGCAAAAGTGGAAAAAAATAAGCCCCATGCCGACAAAACTCAATTTAATCGCAATCCAACAAATTCTTTGAGCTGCTTTTTGATAGAACAGCAAAATTTGCTTGTGACAGAATCTGGCGGGCCAGATTGTATTACTGAATGGGCCAGATTTGGCCCGCGGTCCATAGTTTTCCCATGTCTGGTCTAGTAGCTAACTTTTGTGGTGAGGCCATATGTTGCCCGCAGCTTTATAATCCGTGGTTTAATATTGTTTAATCATCACTGTTATGGCTACTAGTGAATGATGTGCTTGGCAGTCTAAATTGTTAGCTGGTTTTTTTTTTGGTCAGAATTTTGGCATCATAGCAAACTAAAAATTCAATGCAGATTCTATTAGGCTATGCCTGATAACTATATATTAATATTATGGCCTAACAATATAATTCATGCTGGGTGTTTTTTGCAAGCAGCCTAAACTGTATTACGAAAAATATTGCCTTTATGTCAGAAAATTTAGTAATTACCCCCTTGGACCTCACATTTAATAACCAATCAATCTGGATTTATTTTGAGTTTGAAATGACGAATTCAAACAGATTTTTAACTGGATATGAGAGGGAAAATACCACGATACTTGCTATCGGAAAGTTTTGTCGAGAAAGAAAGAATATGATTTGAAACGGCATTTTAGAATCTCATGAACAATGAGCATTTTCCAAAGTTAAGATTTTGCTTTGAGAATCTTATCGATGTTCGAAAGCACATTTTTCTGTTATGAAGAATCTGGAATCTTACACTAAATGCAGATATAGAAAGACTTTTGCAGGTTTTAGTAAGTTTTTTGGTGGCTTTTAGCTTGATAAATGACAAATACTGATCAATGTGTTGTGTATCATCGATGTTCGAAAGCACTTTTTCCGTTCTGAGTAGTCTGAAATCTTACACTGAATGTAAATATAGAAAGGCTTTTGGTGGTTTTTGCATGATAAATGACGAGTACTGATCAATGTGTTTGCACGATAAAAGTGTTCGTTTCATATTGCACTGTTTAACTGATCTTGGCACTATTGTGGCCCGCGATACGCAAGATTGATCAATTCGGCACTGGTCAATTTTTCAACACTGTGAAATGGACCAAGACATAAATACTAGTGATTGACAGAAACTGTGAGACGATTTACAGCGCAGGATAAGTCAACTATGAAAGAATGCTTCTTGTGCAACACTGCAGTCATTCTACTAATATATATTACATATGACACAAGAATGATACAAAACATATATTTAATTCTAAATACTACACACATCTACATGATACACAAATCTATAATTTCTTGCTAATGTTGCATTCTCGACTCTTCAATCATCAGTCAGAAGCAATGATATCACACTGTGATCCATCTTTTCATGTTTGCTTGTTTTCATCCCTCTTTCCATGGTTGATAATACGGATTGAAGCGCAACAGTGTATGCTGAAAAAATTACCAATAAAAATTCATTGCTTGTTATATTCTGATTTTGATTTTATACATTTCACAATGATATGAGATGGAAACATCTCCGAATAAACTTGAATGATTTTTTAAAGTACCGTAAGCAAAATTATTTGTTCACATCAGTGAGATCTTGTATTGCCAAATATCCTTTTTAGAGATACCTTTCATATGTCGTATGAAAGCTAAACGATAACAATTGGCAGTACTTCATCTTATGTATGTCAAACCCAACTTTTTCTGTGGACACGTGGTCAAGGAAACCCACGCCTTAACGAGCATCAGTAGAACATTTCCTGCTGTACTAAGTGTAGTGGAGTCTTAGAAAAAACTTGCAGCCTCACATCCAAGTATTGAAATGGCCAGCTGATTTTTTACTCTGATTAATATCCCAACAAGATTTCTCTACTTGGTGATTAATTTGTCTTAATTGATTTTTAACGTTCACACTCTTACCTTCCATATTTCTGTAGAACAGGCAATTGTTTGCACATGTATATGGATTTGTTCCCCAGAATGTTCTTGAACAGCAGCAAAGTGGAGGAAGTGTTATTCGATTCATTTCAAGCCTTTCTTGAATTTGAGCTTTTATTGCAGTTGCAAATCTGAAAAATTAACATGCTGGTGTCTGGTCTGGTCGTTAGACACAGAGTACATTATCAAATATAATAGTGCAACACTGTGATTTCCAAATTGTGCGCTACGATGCACTTGAATTTTGAGTGCATTCTAAAATGTCGATCCATTATTCGAAACTACTTCATATCTTCCCTTGTTGAATAAAAACTTGACATGAAATGATCAAATTTAGGTTTTACTACAGACTATTCAACAAAATTATTGTTGATGTTGCATTATGAAACATTGCCATGTATACAGTTGCATATACTATAAAACTTTTCGATGCTACTTTGGCATGCATTTTATCTCATAAAGACATGCTCATAGAAATTCAATTCCTAACTCTAACTGAAATCACCGAGAGAGAGAGAGCCGTTGAGATCGCATACCAAAATAGCACCAACTTTTTTCTTTTATATAAATAGTATTTTATAAAGGTAACAAGCTGTGAGAACAAAAGAGTTTGGGACCCTCCTAAGTCCGAACAAACTTAATGTAAATACGAAAACGCAAGAGGAGGTGATCAAGACACAGGTTGCCAGTGACAGAAAGGGGGACAAAAATAGGCTATATATAAAAAGACAATACATGCTTGCATGTCATGTGATAAGCACATTGTCCACAGAGAAATGTGTATTGTCAAATAGATCAAAAGCCACATCATCTTAAAAAAGATTCCCAAACAGACACCAGATTGAGTATCGTATTTTACTGACTATAAGACAAACCTGATTGTGAGGCACACTGTCAATAAATGGCTTAGTTTGAGTTTTTATTCATACATAAGGCGCGAACGAATTACCTTTCTATTCGCTTCTGCTTTTCAATTTTATCTTTCTCTTTTTTGGCTTTTCGTTTCTCCTTCATGTCTTTTGCAATTTTACGTTGCTCAATTTTTGCTGCAGCAGCATGGATTCTCCCATCATGTTCTTTTTCTAGTTGTTCGCGGGCAGCTTCTTTCTCTGCACGAAGTCTATAAACAGCACAGCAGTATACAGTAAGTAGTGTTGCTTTAATTAGGTGGATATCAAAGAATAAAAAAATTCTTTATTACAGTGGGTTTTCTATGTCAAACAAGAAAAATCCGGTCTTCCCAAACGTAGACGTTTCTTATGCCCAAGTGATTATGTTCACAGAGCATAATATAGAATGCATATCTTGAGGATAAATAAAGCACAACCGCTGTTAGTAAAATGATGTTATTTATGCTGTTATTTAGTTTCGAATTTCTATATAGAAAAGCTTCATCAGGACATGATATGAAAAGGTCACAAGTATATACAGCAAGAAAAAAATTATCAAGGTATATAATCTAATCTAAAAATTGGAAAAACACCATGATAATATATCGGGGTTGTTTAGCGGAAGTTAGCAATAATGGGGACCACTTAAATCTATTATCATGCTATCATTTTTGATAATTTTTTCCTTGCTATATATATATATATACATATGATTGCGTCCTTTCGATATCATGCCAACATGAAGTTTTTCTGTATAGAACTTCGAAATAGCGGTTTGCTAACACCGGTTGTGTTTTATTTATCCTCTATACCTAGTGGATACAGAATACATATGTTGAAATAAAGGCAATAATAAAATTGAAGAGCTATAATACCTTTCTACTTTACACTTGTGTTCTCTCCTTCGTCTTTCTTCTCGAACTTTCTCTCTTTCCATGTCTGAGAAAACTCGTCTTGACAACAATCTGCTCCTTTCATCCATTTTCTTTCTTTCATGTTCAACAACACCAGGAGCAGCTACAGGATATTCACCTTAACAAATAGTTACTATAAAGATAAGTAAAAGTAAGTGTAAGTTTTATTCAATCAACTTCAATGGGACTTATGACTGTTTGTTCTTGTCCATACACAGCATAGTTTTTGATGAATCACATCTATATTATCTTTCAGTTTCAGTTATCAGCGCAGTTTTGATGAGAAGCATTGTTTAGGCAAGTTGTACACAACAGTATTAAATAATTTTTATTTTAGAGCGTCCATAACTTCCAGGCATCAAGACATTCCATGGCGCCGAAGAGGCTACGGATCTTTATTGAAAATGTAATACATGATGAGACATCTTGGAAGTTAAAGTTCAATTTTCTCTAAAATAAGGAATTCACTGCTGAGCAACAGACTATAAGCAAATTGAAAATAATCAATTAGCAGTTTATGCCTAGTTTGGATTTATAGGTAATAAAAAATGATCTAGATAAAATGAATGCTCACTTTTTTCTTGCATGTTTGTTGAATGACATTTGTGTTGTTTGATGGCAACATCAGATTCTCTTAATAAATTCTTTCCCATTCTGGTAATTGCCACTTGTTTTGGGGAATGATTCTCACATGGAATGACTTCTTGTCTGACAGAAAAAAAGTGACATGAATAAAACCATTGATTTATCTCTGGAATAAAACAAATTTATGAAAACAAGTGACAACATTCCGTTATTTAAACACATAGTCCATATATATTAAAGAGAATATCACAAATGCTTTGAGAATCAATCTAATCCAGAAGTTCATCTTACAATAAGCTTTTTGTCATTCCTGACTTTAGAATTCGATTTTCTTATCCATCCAAAGAATAGAAGAGGAAATTTGATAATCAAACTCAATAGCATGGTACATCACAGCCTCTCTTCCCCTTTACCTGTTCATATCAGATATGGGTATAGCTAACAAATTATAGATTTCAGATGCATGCACTTGTTGTGGTGGAAGAATAGTGCTAACATAAACCATCTGTCCTACATCGACAACAAATTCAGCAATGCTGTCGCACATAGTCATCCCAGACAGGATTGGTACCTGCGAAATGTGTACCCAACACTATTTGTAAGCTTCGATTCAGTTTTTTAATACAAGGCCTATATCAGGATGGTCCAAACCAAGGCCCACAGTGTTTGTTCTGTATCGCACTGCATACCTATTCTTGGCACTATTCTGTTCTGCGATTCTGCGAACAATGCAAAAATAAATTTGCGGCCCCCGGAGCCGACAACCTTGGACCACCCTGGCCTATACAATCAGAATAGAGATCACTTAAAATACCTTCTCCACTGTCCTTCAACTCCGGATTTAAAATAAACTGAGCTTGGGGCAAGCGATGAAGCAGGTACAGAATAGAACTCCTGTTCCTCAGTTTTCATGTCTTCTTCATTTTCTTTATTGTCATCATCATTGTCTTCAAGTCTTAAAGCAGTTGGTAAATTGGTTGCAATTGCTTCAATATTTCTCTGTAATTTTGATTTGATGGCTGGTGATGCTAGAATACAGAAAAAATTTCAAAAAAAATTTAACGATTTGCAATGGATAAATGCTTTTTCAAATACTTACATCCAATACCTTCTGTTACAGCAGCAATGGCAATATCATGTGGTGCAGAGATTGCAGTTATAGTTTGAGGATGATCTTCATTAGAATCTGGATTATCATTGTCAACATTGTATGAAGGATGTTTCGTCGGTGAAAGCATCCGAGCAGATTTCTAGAAATAGAATATTAAACATAAGCATAATACTCTTCATATATCAGAAACAGTAAATGTAGGCTATTTCCCATTTAGAAATCCAATATATTATAAACCATGATATTATAAAAAAAAAATGTTTTGAAGATCTCAAATGCTAAAAATTAAATTTATTCAGAATATTGAACAAGTTCTGAATTTTTTGAATATAAAAACATTAATATGAATAGTAAATGCTAATAAATTAAACATAGGGGTATTTTTTTGTGGGTGCAGTGAAGTAGTGGTTAGATCGCTGGGCAACAGCTTGAACATTTCAAGTTCAAACTCCATGCCCACAGCTTAGCCGTGGATTCAATAAATTGGAAAAGCAATGCTGAAATGGATACTTAGAGCGGTGTTTCCCAACTTTGGTCACCTGAAATTTTTCTCTGGCCTCTTGTTTTTTCAATAATAATCTTGAAAGTACTGATCTTATTTTCTTCGGGACTGGCTTAGAGCATTAGTTCCTAAGTATTTATGATTGCTTGTCCGGAGCTTTGCTCGAGGTATGGGTATGAAAGCGATTAATAATAACATTGATTCAAGCACATCCCTATTTAAATAGTATCACATTCTGAAATATGATCTTGGATTCCCTCATAATATACTGAAAAATGAGTACAAATGCTATGAAATATATTCATTCTGTGAAATGATAATAGTAACAAAAACCCTTTTTTAATAACACTAATTTTAAATGTGATTAATCTGGATTACTTGGACAACCAAAAACACAACTCACATCTCTAGTTGCACTTGTGCCCCAAAACCCTCCAGGTAACCCTTTTTCTTCTTCACTGTCTCCATCTGGGTCATTTTCTTGAGATCTAACAAAACTGCGCTCAATCAGATTCTTCCTTGCTTTCCTGTGTAGTCTTTCTATCTCAGATGATTGTTTTACAAGAGCAGTTGCACCCTATGAAATGGATGCTAATTAAACCCATGAAACAAAAAAAATGACAAAAATTTCATTAGAGCACTTTACTCACTTTTTCAGTAGGATATTCATGTTTGTAATGGGCTGTCAGTTTACCAGATGCATCGATGGTAACTTGATTAATATTATATGTACATCTATTCTTTTTAGGCGTTAAATTCTCAGCTGCAGCTACACTTCGATATAAAATTTCTTGTTCCTCTTTCATCTGAAATATTTGAAAGTAAATGAATTACCGTAAACAAACATAAGCTGGAAATAGGTTACAATTACACCCTAAAATAAATTGTACTGAATTCGGGTATTTCATTATAGTTTTTTTAGGATGGAAAATAATCTGAATTCATTTTCAAGTTTTATATAGACTTAACTAATTTGATACTAGATTTGAGAGCTGAGAGTAATTTATTTATTAATGCAATATAACCAATTACAATTTTTTTAAATGAAAAAAATACATTGTTCGCCAGAAATCAAAAAAGCAGTTATATAATAGAAGAGATTTCATGATCATATCGGGGGAGTGGGATCTCATAAAATTGCTAAATGATATAGCAAATCTTTATCTCTTGTTCAGTTACCAGTACATAGACACCAGGTATACACTTCTGATGCACGAACATAAATATATTGAAGAATGAATTCAGAGATCCATTTAAAAAAAAATCCCATTCTCAATTTCATAGCAGATGTAAACACTAATATTGAATCGAGGTAAATTTTTTGGTCAACTTTGTATTATTGGAACCATGAAGTGTTCAAGTACAGCAAATACAGTATTTTGATATAATTCAATACGTACATTTTCTGATTGTGCCTTTGTGGCAACATGTCTTTGGGCTCTACTAATCTGAGTCACCCTCTTCTGTACATTTCGTTGAAACTCTTTCAATTTCATTTCTTTCTCTTCGATAACTTTGTCGATCTTTCGTTGTTCAATGATTGCATCATGCTAAATACAAGCAAGAGTGTCAATGAGTGACGACAAATCCTCTACAAGTAAATAACTTCACTGATTCAGATAATGCGAGTGCCCTTGCTTTGAGCAACCATTTACGAGCATTTTTAAGATACACTATGAGCAAGACAGCAACAATTTGTTTAGTGATGACCTAAAATTAAAAATGTCACAAAATACAAGGTATCTAGAGGTCAAATTGCTTGATACTAATAAAATAAAAGATTTAATAGGTCTTCTACCTGAAAAGTTAATAATTCTTGCAGGTTTTAGATATCTAGGGAGAGGGTAACTAGGTGGCTAACTAGGGAGAGAAATACCACCAAATCACATACTACAAAAAATCCTTGTATTATTGGCTGAAATATAATCATCCACAAAAAAGTAATGGAGCAGTTCCTGAGTGCTGTGACCAGAATGAAACAAAATATGAATGCAATAAGAAGGATAATTATGAACATTGGCCACAATGAAGCATCTTATAGAGTCGCAAAAGGTTTCAAAACTGTAAGAAACTCATCTTCAATTCTTGTAAATAGCACATGGAAGCAGATGATGCTTCCAAACTCAGTGATGTCAACTGGTGCCCAGATGACTGATCCATGATTACTCACCAAGACATAATCTCTGACCAAAGCAATAAATATACCAAGACCCTAGCAAAGTGATAGCTAATACTTTATTACCCATTGCAAATATTACCGTAAATTCGTTATAAGACATAACGTGTTTCCTTAGAAAGCTACCTTAATAAAGAATTAGTCAGTTTTTTTGAACCAATATTTCCTTTATTGCAATAAATACGGTAATCAAATAACAGTGACGATTTCATGATGAATATATTCTAACTTACAAATCAATAACATACATGTGAAAAAAGGTTAATATTACAGAACAGATCAGATTTAATCACTTCCTTATAAAAGATAGTAGCAATATACAGAGTTAACTTCACAGAAAAATTGATGAAATCCATTTTGGCTGAGCTTGACTAAACCTATGATTCTAACTTGGCAAGTATTAAAATTAAACTTGTGGTACATTTTTGTTACAACATTATTTATTGAGAATAGAGTTCCAAAGTAATTTGATCATTTACATACTACTAGCACCCATACAATGTATATAACTTTCCATATGATCAAAAATATTTATACATATGTAAACATTGTATTGAGGTCAAATGTATTAAAATTTTAATATTCCTATATATAAAAATTCTGGTTTGCAATATTTCATCATCCAATAAAAATTTATAATGTATGCAAAAAAGATGATAGTTTAGCAATATAATTTGTAAAACAAACATTTACAGTTCTGCAAAAAAAATCTGAATCACCATATATCCTCGCATATAAGCTGAGTTTAAAACTCAAAAACAAAATTGCCATACCAAGTGGGCGGCAGAACTCTGGTCGCACTAAAAATTTTGCTTATACACACAAAGCTCTGATCACACTCAAATGAAATGACATTATGCTAACTTTAATTCAACAGCTACAAGTTCTCACGCAAAGCAGCATTTGAAACGCTATGACAGCGATAACAGTCTGTGATTGGTTGTCATAAACATGATCGCTTGTTCAGATTTGTAGGGTCGGCTTATATGCTAATTTTTATAAATTCACCGTTTTAGAGCAGTTTTTTTAGGGGGTCAGCTCATATGTGAGGGAGGATATATGGCAGGTCAGGATTTACTTTTCATAAAGCATTCTTTTTCAACATACTACAACGTAACAAACACAGGTGAAACAAACTATGTCAAAAGATTGATTTCACTTATACTTAATGATGTAAGAACATTTACCGGTACACTTTCTGATGAGAAATTGAAGAACTTCGACTGAGTATGGTGCAGTGTTATAATGACCAATAAATGCTTTTCATGTTTGAACAATGAAAATTAATAATTTTTGTTAGAATTATAAAAATGAAGATAATGAGGAGTTCAATTTTTTTGATGTTGACAAAACTGTTTAAAAACAAACAAAAAAAGATTTCAAAGGTGTAATGTTGGGAAGCATAATATAGAATAATTTGGACATATTATAAATTGATTAGGAGAAAATCATATTGTCATAGTCTATTTTATTAGTCTGAAACAATCATAATATAATTTCCATTTGCTATATTGTATAAAATGCATGGAATCGATGAACTTATGAAATAGAACATCAAGCTAATAATATTACCAAATATATGTTTGGATGGATCGCTTTGGGACAACAGCATTGAAATTTACATTTTTAGATGAGCCATGTACTGAAACAGTAAATGAAACATCTGTGTCTTCCTTGTTTAAGACAACCATGACTGTATAGCCATCTTTTCTAAATACAGCAGTATATTTGATCTTCAGTTGTTGATCGGACTGTGAATGTACTCTAACAGAATTTTCATTGATATACTTTGAAAAATGTCCGAGATGATAAAACATTGGTTGCTTGTAAAATTCATCTGCCGTGGCATTGACAATAATCGGACTATTATCAAAATTTTTTACCCAGTTAGGGCCTCCTTGCATATCCAAGCACATATTCCAATCCACCCATCCTACAGCCCAGTTATTCAAGTTGTCCAAAATATCATTGCTGTACTTTTCCCCCATTTCCCAGTTGCCGATCGATTCTGTAGGTGGATGTTTCACACAGGCTTCAGTAGCCAAAATAAATTTATCAGGAAATAAATTATGAGTAATATTAAGCTTTTCAGGTCCAATAAGCCAATCCCAATACCAATGAACTCCTATACCAGAAACATACTTCGCAGCACTTGGATCAGATAAGACTTCTTTAGGCCATGCCGGTAAAAATACACGTTGGTCATCATGGATCATTAATTTAATATTACCATAACCCTTCTTTTCCAGCATTGGACCTAAGTCAGTCTTCACGAAGTCTTTTTGTTGTTCTGGTGTCCAACCCATTGCTTGCCATTTAGCAGCTATAACCAGACCATTAGATGGTTCATTTTGCATAGTAACACCCCAAAAATTGATTCCCTCTTTCTTGTATTCATCAAAAAATCTTGTAAAATATTCTGCCCATGTTTTGTGATATTTATCACCAGCTTTACCTTGTAATCCCCCTATACCAATTTCATCACCACTTGTTTTCATCCATGCCGGAGCTGTCCACGGACTTGCATAAAGTGAAATATTCTTCATAGTCATGGAGAAGATTTGCTTTAGCAATGGAATTTTGAATTTGATATCCTCCATAGCAAGAGCAAAAGTGCTCAAGTTAAAATCATTTGGTTTGTCTAGATAAGTATATTCTCTTGTTGAATAATCACATCCAGCCATTGGAATTCGAATGAGATTGTACTCAATACTACCTTTGCCAAAGTAGGATTTCAGTAAATTATCTCTTGATTTGGTTGAAAGAGACATGATGTTAATGGAGGCAGAGTCAGTTAAAGCACCACCAAAACCTTTGATTGCCTGGTAAAATTTTGTGGTGTTGATAATGATATTGACAGACGAATCTTTTTTGAAGTTCTCATGAAGGTATTCAAGATCATAAAATTGTTGATGAAAGCGATTACCGCTCATTGAAGATGTCAAGACAAGTAGTTTTCCTTTTCCCGGAAAAGTTTTGTTTAGAGTGTCACAGTATGTTGAGTTACAGACACAAACTGAAGAATCGCTCCCATACTTTCTAACAACACATGGAGTGCTCGTGGTAGCACCGAGCAAAAGAAAAGTATTTACCAAGAATATATATAACCTATACATTATTGTGCTTAGTAAATCCTGAAATACATATATTGTTGTTCGAATACAAATATAAGACAGAACCTGACAGCTTAAACTACAATCGTTGTGTTACTGTAATCAAAAAGCTCATAGATTACGGTCATAATCATAAGGTAGACTAGGTCTAAATAACACTTGGAAATTGACGAAGCCGTATGAGGTACCGAACTGTTGTACTGGGATTGTTGAAGTTGATACATTCTGCAGCTCTAAAGGGTGTTCATAATGTAACTTTTATGGGGACTGATGTTCAAAAAACGAGGACGTAGGCTAATCATAATAAAATTTGAGGCATATTAAAAAACTGATGCTGGACTACTAGAGTACAGCAGTACGATACTAGCTTGGGGGTCTCGTGTAGTTTCATATATCTAGTAGGCATAGCATAACAATCTTTTGACATGCCAATCCTAACCCTCATCTGAGTACGCCATCCGAAAATTACGCCACTACGACGTCACAATCACGTAATAGAGCTTGCCAAATACGATCGCCCGAAATGGCATCAGCGCTGACGATAAAGAACTGACTAAAGTCAGCAATCTCTCTCCTATCGGGATCGTTGCAACGTGAGAACTGGCTGTTCGATTTCGGGTTCTCGTCTGCGCATCTTGGATGACAGTTCGCATAGTTTGAAGGGCTCCATTACGTCACTGTGACGTCGTAGTGACATAATTTTTGGATGGTGTGGTCAGGTGGGGGTTAGGATTGACACATGAAAAAATTGTTATGCTACGCCAACTAGAAGTTCGTTAGGTACGAAACTACATGAGACCCCTAGTTTGGTAATAAATTAAAATTTGCTACAAAATATCGTGAGTCCAGCCCACATCAGCACATAGAATAGTCTATTCTGCTATTGGACAACAGTAGGTACGGGTACTGTATTCAAACCATACATCTCGAAAAATATCTACATGTTGGCTTAACCTAATCCTCCCGGTTTGACGCATGCGCGACGTTTCAGACGTTTTGCAATGCTGTGTGTATACCATGAGGTCTGGAATGTTTGTTATGGTCTTGCTTGAAAGGAAATCTTATTCCCCACACAACGATATGAGAATGAACCTTATATGACATTTAGAAGTGATAAAATTTCGCTTACATATCACGCGTGTACTTCCCGCTGCGATATAAAAACGTCGCACAACAAGAAAATGATTCCATAAACCTTGGCGTTGCGCGCTAACCAATAACAAAAGCTAGTATGATAAGGTCTTATTTTGAAGGTCATTTTATATGCTACATAACATAGGAGAGTGGACATCTCACAACGTCAGGAAGTTATAAAAATATCGAGTCGTTTGATCGCAGCTGCCTCACCGAAAAAAAGTTAGGCGTTTTATCTCGCAAATTCTCCTTGTCTGACGATTATAAGCTTTTATGATTCATAATAAATGTTTTATTATGACTCACAAAAGCTTTCAACGCGATAAAGCACAAACAAACAACCGATCGATCTATCAAGCTTAGCCTGGCCTGATTCGATGTGGTGACTTCTCAAACGGAAAATTTCCAAAACGCTTGAACAACGCGCGCTATGGAAAAGCGTTTAGTATCATATGAAAGAGAAAACCAATGTGCAGTCAACTGTATAGTTACATTTCAGCTTTACAATAGCTGTAGACGTCCAACAGCTGATAGAATGAGAGAGTGTAAATATTTTTGTTATTTTTTGACGTTACGAGAGACCTCTTGAAAGAGGTGTTTTAGTTTACGGTCCTCCAGTGACATCTAGCGTATAGTACTCTAAAATACCTTCCCAATGGTATATAATTATTGTATATTGGGTAAATTTTGGGGGTCGTATGACATTAATAAAAATGTATTCAAAATTGGGCGTCTGAATCAGGTTAATATAGCCTATGTACGGTTTACCATAACCATCTCACTAGCAAATAGGCCTAGTCAACTGTCCCACCCTGCTAGACGCCCTACAAAGGGACGGACTAAAAGTAGGCACTTGCAAATTAGGCACTTATTTAGGCACTTTGGAAAAAAAGTAAAATGGGCGTAATACCTTTTAAAAACATAATTAATTAGTTAAAAATGGTCAAATTAAATGTTGAAAACGCAAATTGCAACGGGCAAACTCAATAACAATATTTAAAACGTAGTATTAAAGGCAGTCGCACGCGCTTGGTCACCACATATGCTAGGCACATATTTAGGCACTTCGAAAAATAAAGAAAATGGCAATTATCACTAATAAAAGACAGAGGCAGAAACATATTACCCACACTGATTAGCCTGGGTAAATATCCAATAGATGCATTTGAGTCCAGTACTGGAATTTAGAAATCATAAATTGTTACCGGTAGGCACTTATTTAGGCACTTCGGAAAAAAAGATGAAATGGACGTAGTAACTCCTGAAAAGGTAATGAATTAGTTCGAAATATTTAAATTAAATGTTGAACGCGAAAATTGCAACAGTTAAATCCAATAACGATTTTTAAAACGTAGTATTAAAGGTAGACCACGCGCTCTGTCACCACGTATGCTAGGCACATATTTGGGCACTTCGAAAAATAAATAAAATGGCAATTATCACTAATAAAAGACAGAGAAATAAAAATATTACCCACACTGATTAGCCTGGGTAAATATCCAATAGATGCACTTGAGTCTAGTACTGGAATTTAGAAATAATAAATTGTTACCGGTAGGCACTTTTTTAGGCACTTATTTAGGCACATCGAAAAAAAGGTGAAATGGGCGTAATAACTTTTAAAATGATCATTAATTAGTTGAAAATTGTCAAATTAAATATTGAACATGCAAATTGCAATGGGTGAACCGAATAACAATATTTAAAACGTAGTATTAAAAGGAGTCACACGCGCTCGGTCACCACATATGCTAGGCACATATTTAGGCACTCCGAAAAAAGAAGAAAATCGGGATTATCACCAATAGAAGACAGAGAAATAAAAATATTACCCACACTGATTAGCCTGGGCAAATATCCAATAGATGCACTTGAGTCTAGTACTGGAATTTAGAAATAATAAATTGTTACCGGTAGGCACTTTTTTAGGCACTTCGAAAAAAAGGTGAAATGGACGTAGTAACTCCTAGAAAGATAATGAATTAGTTCAAAATATTTAAATTAAATGTTGAACGCGAAAATTGCAACAGTTAAACCCAATAATGATTTTTAAAACTTAGTACTAAAGGGAGACGCATGCGCTCTGTCACCACATATGCTAGGCACATCGAAAAAAAAAAAATGGGAATTTTCACCAATAAAAAAAAGAAAATAAAAATATTAGTCAAAATTATTAGCCTGGGACTGGGTGAATATCCAATAGATGCACTTGAGTCTAGTAGTGGTATTTGAGAATAATAAATTGTTACCGGTAGACACCTTTTACCGTGTTTCCCCGAAATTAAGACAGTGTCTTATTTCAAATTTCTTCCTAAAATTACCACTAGGGCTTTTTTTCGGGGGATGTCTTATATTTTAATTTATCAAAAACAAAATTACAAAGTAAAGAATTAAGATATTTTCAAATATGCAAAATTTAAAAACCGATATCATTGGGTTTACTTGTTGCAATTTGCATATTAATTTTTTAATTTAAATATTTTAAACTAATTCATTATCATTTTAAAAGTTATTATGCCCATTTTACGTATTTTTAGAAGTGTCTAAATAAGTGACTAAAAAGTGCGTACCGGTAACAATTTATTATTCTCAAATATCACTACTAGACTCAAGTGCATTCATCGGATATTCAAATAGGCTAATTATTTTGACTAATATTTTTATTTTCTGTATTTTTATCCATGATAATTACCATTTTCTTTATATTTCGAAGTGTCTAAATATGTGCCTAGAATATGTGGTGACAGAGCGCGTGCGTCTCCCTTTAATACTATGTTTTAAAAATCGTTATTGGGTTTACCTGTTGCAATTTCCGCGTTCAACATTTAATTTAAATATTTTGAACTAATTCATTATCTTTTTAGGAGTTACTACGTCCATTTCAACTTTTTTTCGAAGTGCCCACTGGTAACAATTTATTATTCCTAAATTCCAGTACTAGACTCAAGTGCATCTATTGGATATTTACCCAGGCTAATCAGTGTGGGTAATATGTTTATTTTTCTGTCTTTTATTAGTGATAATTGCCATTTTCTTTATTTTTCGAAGTGCCTAAATATGTGCATAGCATACGTGGTGACAGAGCGCGTGCGTCTCCCTTCAATACTACGTTTTAAAAATCGTTATTGGGTTTAACTGTTGCAATTTTCGCGTTCAACATTTAATTTAAATATTTTGAACTAATTCATTATCTTTCTAGGAGTTACTACGTACATTTCACCTTTTTTTCGAAGTGCCTAAAAAAGTGCCTACCGGTAACAATTTATTATTTCTAAATTCCAGTACTAGACTCAAGTGCATCTATTGGATATTTGCCCAGGCTAATCAGTGTGGGTAAAATTTTTAATACTCTTGTCTTTTATTGGTGATAATTCCGATTTTCTTCTTTTTTCAAAGTGCCTAAATATGTGCCTAGCATATGTCTGTATGTGGTGACCGAGCGCGTGTGACTCCTTTTAATACTACGTTTTAAATATTGTTATTCGGTTCACTCATTGCAATTTGCGTGCTATACATTCAATTTGACAATTTTTAACTAATTAATTATCATTTTAAAAGTTATTACGCCCATTTCACCTTTTTTTTCGATGTGCCTAAATAAGTGCCTACCGGTAACAATTTATTATTTCTAAATTCCAGTACTAGACTCAAGTGCATCTATTGGATATTTACCCAGGCTAATCAGTGTGAGTAATATTTTTATTTCCCTGTCTTTTATTAGTGATAATTGCCATTTTCTTTATTTTTCGAAGCGCCTAAATATGTGCCTAGCATATGTGGTGACAGAGCGCGTGCGTCTCCCTTTAGTACTACGTTTTAAAAATCATTACAGTATTGGGTTTAACTGTTGCAATTTTTGCGTTCAACATTCAAGTTAAATATTTTGAACTAATTCATTATCTTTCTAGGAGTTATTACGTCCATTTCACCTTTTTTTCGATGTGCCTAAATGAGTGCCTAAAAAAGTGCCTACCGGTAACAATTTATTATTTCTAGATTCCAGTACTAGACTCAAGTGCATCTCTTAGATATTTACTCAGGCTAATCAGTGTGGGTAATATGTTTATTTCTCAGTCTTTTATTAGTGAATGTGCCATTTTATTTATTTTTCGAAATGCCTAAGTATCTGCCTAGCATACCGGTATGTGGTGACCAAGCGCGTGCGACTGCCTTTAATACTGCGTTTTAAATATTGCTATTGAGTTTGCCCGTTGCAATTTGCGTTTCCAACATTTAATTTGACCATTTTTAACTAATTAATTATGTTTTTAAAAGGTATTACGCCCTTTTTACTTTTTTTCCAAAGTGCCTAAATAAGTGCCTAATTTGCAAGTGCCTACTTTTAGTCCGCCCCCCCTACAAACACACCTGAAAATGCGTTAATAACTACACGAAAGCTCTGCACAACAGTCCTAAAATCAACTGCCTGTTGGTGCCATCTAGCGGAGATATAAAGCCATCTCGTATTAATTCAGATCACAAGCCAGGTCAAGTATATTCTACATCTATCGCGATCTCCAAAGTGTAACCATTAGTAAAATTATCCGCACTATATTTATTCATAAATTGTATGATGCTTACAACAACAGCGGTATTTTTTAAGGGAATTTATAGACAGATAGACCAAGTACACTGCACGGCAAGTAGACGTAGTTACGTTTATCTGTCTATGAGAGGCCATAAGAGCCAAGGTGCTTTGGGAGTGCAGAATTTATACGTCGCGGAGGGTGCGCGGTGAGACGTACGTGCCAAATGCAAAAAAAATAGAGAAGGCGGGACCACCGATATATACAAAAAATAGCTGGGCAAGTGCGGCAAATAAGCCGTAGTATGCCATTGGACACATGGGGATCGGGGTGTATATCAGCGATCGCTTTCAACCGAAAATACTACTACATCCGCGTCTCGATCTCACCACACCCCATCTACGCATTCAATCAGCAAATAAAACTTCATTTCTGGACAGTTATCTTTTTTTCCTTAACGCCAATCACAACTTCCATGCATACGATTGATTCGTAACTCCAAAACTCAAATTAAATATGCCATTGAATAAAATGTCTACCTATTGCCATTACCGTACACCGCAGCACACACTTGATGTGAGTTGATGCATTTATTTGACTTGTTTTTTTAAAGTTCAAAGAGCTTATGGAAAAAAGCTTATTACCGTACCAAATTTGACAGACGTAGAACTAGGCGCCCCGTGGATCGGGTTGCAAAGATTTACTATCGATCTGCGAAAAAAATTTGTAGTTTCTCTGCTAGCGCCACTGCTTGGTTAACGTAAGGACAATGTTGGTTACTTTCTTGACAATCTTTCCGTCGTTATATTGAGTGTTTGATAAGTGTGAATGTGTGATATTATTTGCGGCGATGTTTTGGTGGCCGGGTATCACACTTTCCGATCCATCGCGAAAGCGTTTTGTTAATTCTCGCCAATGTCTAAAATCTAAAAAAATATACTGTACATCTACGCGTTTTAGTCCACACCACCCTCGCATACAAGTGAACAAGGATATGTGAGTATTATCGTACTTGGACAACAAAATAAACAACTCTTAAATAAAATATTAAGCACGTTATAGTGATATAGTCCATTCCCCTTTTTGTATATTACATATCAGATCAGATAAGAATATTACTTGTTCCAAAATTTCTGCTCAAATGTGGAATGAGATTGACATTTTAATCATAATTGATGGGACGAATATTTTTAACTATTTCCGACCCACATTCGTGTTTGGTATCATCGAGTAAACTAGAATTTTCCTTTAAAAGATTTATTTCAAAGAGTGTCGCATGATGCTCCTTGTACCATATTGCACGGAAAATGTCATATGTAACTGTAGGCCACATTGTTTTATATATATATATATATTATAGCAAAACAGTTCAATAGGCATGACTTTGAAAAAATAAGAATGTCGCATTGTTCAAAAAAGTGTCCACCGTGTGTATAAATCGTATGATTTGTCACTTTGTATGCTGCCGTAACGTGTAAAAATAGTAAGTGTGGAAGGAAGCGTGTAACTTTCAAACTATGAATTTTGAGCAAGTCGCAATGCTACTTATGCCTTTGTTTTTTAATATGTTGTGTTGATAGTAGATGATCCTACGATTTTACATAATCATTCCACAACGAGTGATTTATTGGTGAAAAAAAGCTAGTTCGTTACTCGTTAAAAGAGCCGACTTCTTCAGCGAATAAAATATACATGGCCGACACGAGCATTTTTAAATTTCTCACAATATTAATTCAGCGTAATAGTATTCAACGTAACTCGGCGGCGTTTAATTAATTTTAAGACATGGTCGGTGGGAAAATTTCAAGGTCGACGAAAAAAGTACAATTCATTTTAGTGCAATAAAAATGATTGAACATACGTTACATTAAGTAGCTTATATATTATTGTAATCCGGGGAAACGTCGGGTGCCGCCAGGCGGGAGTTCAAGAATGAATAATTGAATGGTCCAACTTCAATGACTACGGTATAGTTTTCAACTAATCACAATGATTCGTCCATATCATTGTCTAAAATAACATTTGGTGTTTCCGATATACTTCAGGTATTTCAGGTATATAACATCGTTCTCAGTCCTAGTACTCACGGTCTGCATACCATCGCCAATCCTGCTCGGTCTCCCCGTTCCACGTCACGCACTTTTGCGCAACCTAACTCCTTTTTGTTACAATTTAATATGTTGCACAACTCAATTCCTATATAGACAGGATATATCCTACTCTCCACTTATATAAATTGCATTCTACATTATTTTAAATCTTGAACATATCTCATTTAGACACTCGCACCTCGACTGTCAAATGGTTAATACCTTTTTACCTTAATTTTATGAAGTAAATTTTGTTAAGAGATTTTACAGAAGAGTTTGAATACTTTGAAACAAACCATTATTCTTTGAAAAAAAGGATATGTCACCTGTTCTAATTTTTCTTTATACAGCACAATTGTATGTTGTTTACTCTGAAAAAGGCTCCGCATAAGCAGCCGCTGCTAGGTGAAGAGCTAATTTATTTTAGAATGATTTTTATCATAAACATAGCACGAGTTGAACTACACTCAATATGCTTACTTTAACCATTTGCTCCACAATATTTATCTACCCTAACTCAGAACAATGCAACAAGTGTACTAACATTGTGACATGTGACTCTGTGAGGCACAGCATTTTTGAGACACCCCTAAAATATCAGAATAAGGTGATTTTAAAGTTACAAAACATAATATAGAAAGTTCTAACTTACCACTGCCATAGACTGTGCTGGTTGTGATTCCACTTGCACCCAAACACTATCTGGTAATATACCTTCTGGTCTTCCATTGAATATGTTTTTATCAACCAACGGTAAAGATGTTGGAGTGGTGGGAAGAACTCGTATCTGTTTGGACACTGACATTTGAACAGCAGCCAACTGCTTTGAGCTACCCCTTTTTTGCATGTTGAAAATTTGATATCTACACTTTCAATATGAAAAAGTAACAAATACTATTACTGTAGCTTAAATTAATAAAAATATCTAAAAAAAAATTTGGAGGTCAACCATATTACAGGTTTGTCATGTTTCAATTTACTTTTCCCCATTTCTTAAAAAATTAATGTTTTTTTAAATGATTAAAATTTTTGATAAATTCTAAAAAATTACAGGATTCATATAAAAATAATGTTTCTGTGTCATATATAGAGAACTGAATATCGCAATAGACACATAGCACATGAATATTTGATTATTCTTGTCTCGCTATATATTTTATGTTAATAAAAGAAAGGAGAATGCAATACTATACATACACAGAGAATTTGCAACTACTGTATTAGAAAGACCAGCGGTTCATGGAGCCAGAGAGGTCCACACAAAGACTTTTGGGATTCCCCTGACTTTGCATGCCTAAGATGAAAATAATAGCAAAATAAAACTACATGCTATTGTGTTCCAGCTTGAATAAAACTAATAAAATATAAGACAGCTCTAAAACATGGGCCACATGGCAAGACAGACAAGATCATATGAGCAAATATAGTTTTCGACAGAGAAATTCTTACAATCTTATATTATTCTCCAAATTCAGAAATTCGAAACAACCCATGTGTATGTATAATAACTGAATGTGAAGCATTGTTTCTAGTGATACCACTTGCTGACTCGTGCAAAACACTATCAAAATACAGCCAGTTCCATTCAAATGCCGAAATGGGGTCAACAAATTTCATACAAATAGTCTAATTGAGAGGGTTCATAGCACTAAAAAATTTGGGAATCACTGCAGTGCACAAGGGTAGGGAAGCTAAATCTAATATCTAGTGCTTTTGAAATAATTTTAGTTATATTCAGATATTACAGTATCAAAATTTTTCATTCTTTCTGAAGTAACAAATTCATTCTCTATTATATATATATTTTGGATATTATAGATGCTAAATTCTCTCTGCTGAACTCCCCCAGCTTAGAATATAGACTACTCAAAGGATAATTTATATTTAAAAATATATTTTTAGAATGTACCGTACAGTACCTTATTCTTTTTTTTTTTGCTTGGCGATACACTGATACAGCTGTCAGGCTGTACATGGATATCTAGCCGAGTACAGTACCTACAGATCTCAGGATGCACTGCTGTGTAATTAATCCTCAAATAGGATAATAAAATGGAATGCCTTTTCTCATAATTACACTAAAATATCTAAATCCATCACATGCAATCACATCCAGACATATGGCAAACGAACGAATACTTATCCATGAAAATATTGCACCTCCGGGAAATTTCTGAATTTTTAGGTTTGAAATTCCCTCCGTTGTTTTCGTGCTGCAATATGACTCATTAGTGACACCACGCGGTGTAAAGGTATAGTATTTATTTGCTGCAACTGCGGTGCGCATTTTGCATTTGTAATATTTAAATCAAAGTAATAAAAAAAGAACCAAATCCGTTCAAGAGGAATCAATCTCATATTCAATTTTTAACATTCTATTATAATTCGTATGCACCAATCAAATCTTGTAAATATCACCACAAATGTAGTTTTCCATAGCTGTTTTCCCTTGTAAGGTTATTTGGCTGTTTACATTAGTGACCCGATTTGCGACCACTTTGCGCGGTACCGGTATCACTCGTAATTATTGCCTTGCTAAATACTGGTGTCACAATATACTGTACGGTAGCACTTTGGTGAAACCGTCTCTACTCTCTACCCAAATGTCCTAATTCATGAATTGGTCCGGCATCACACAGTCAGGACTCGTTTACACTCGATATGAACAAACCTGGTGCAGCAGTAGGGCCAGAGGGCTAAGGCAGTACAGAAGTATGTCCGTGTGTCATGTCAGCCTTGTCATGTCCTGACCTTGCAACATTTTTTGCCATACAAGATTTTAATAAGGAATAATCAAGGTCCAAATCAAATTGAGTAAACGACTCGAATTTTCCAACGCTGTAGTTAATGCAGGAAATGGTAATACTGTAATAATTATTATTTAAATTCAGTATACAATGACTGAATGAACAAACTATAGAACCTGAACTAATCTATTATTTTTTATTCATATTCCATTGTATACATGACTTATTGCAGGAAATAAATGTATTCCTAATAAATATCGATTGCTGAGAAAAGTTGCATTGCCTGATAATTACTCAAACCCATTGCTGCATTGAGTTTAAGTGAGGTAGGTTAATATTGATATACATTCCTATTATCTGGTTCTGCCACAGGACGAAATCAAGAAGTGTGGAAGTCTCTGTGTCAACTATTACTGAATTCAAATAAGGTATTGCTTATATTATCTAAGCTGTAACTTCAGAACTTGCATGCTAACTTTATACAGTTTCAGAATTTTGAGCTGCATGAATCCAATTAACATAGCATGGTGAGCAATCAATAATATCACTCTGAAAATAGTGTTGTATTGTCATACTACAGTACATATATTCAACTGTTCTAAACTATTTATGTTTAAATTTTTGAAATTAATTTTATCACATCTCATTGGTAGTCATTGCAGAGAAAATTTGTTTAAATGAAAAGTAATTTCAATCTACTTCTGTTGAAAAATTATTTTTAAGAATTCAATCATTTGGACTTTCTAATGTTTTGCAAGATCAAACATTACTTAGGATTTATAAGGATTTAGTGCAAAAATAGATTTTTCATGGTCAGATTTTTTATTTGTAATAGAAATTTTCATGAGGTGAAAATTTTAAAACAAGATTTTAAGGTGTAACACTTAGCATTTTTAGCCATTGTCTTATATTAATCGAGCGAGAATGTGTATGAACATTATCTTATTTTGATATTAAGATTTGAGGTGAAAAAAATGAGACTTAGTTAGATAAAGATATTTACTTGATGTTGGAAGTAATTTCTGTTTTTTTATTTCAAGGAGTTTTTATAAATAAAATTTATTTGCGGGCATCTAGTTATTCTAAAATTTTCAATACAAATAATAAATATGTTTCATTAATGGCCGGAATTTGAGGACCAGATTTCCAATCCAAGTTTTTTTTATATTAATTCATCTTTACTGGAATATACCGTAGTTTTTTCTTGTTGTACTAATAAGAAGGCTACTGATGCATTTTATGCTTCAATCCTTCGTTATTTTATATTGTGTTATACTTATTTCAGCATTGACTTAATATTATTTTTGCACTTGATATGAAATAAGCTTTCTTGCAATATCAAGCTTTTTAATTTATATAAAATGAGATAATCAATGGCAGACATGGAGGGTTGTTGAGCATTGTCTGAGGTTACTTTATGGATAACCATAGCGACAACATCAATCTTTAACCACTGAAAATTTACCTCGTATTTGGGCATACATGTGTTCAGTAATTCGAAAGAAACCAAACAAGTTTGGATTAATTGTTTTTGACCTATTCACATTATCTTTTGTTCTTTCTATTCGTCACATTAAATTTTAGGTATGTTAATTATAAATGTTGTGAAATGGTATCATATCATTATGGTATTATTACAAAACAAAGTTCACTGCATTTAGGAGTGCAAAAATTGCTTCATTTGAATCGTTCTGACACATTGTATCCCTAGATGGAATCTATATGTATTTCCAATATAGAAATTCAGTATTTTTAGTAATAAAATTGATAAGCAAACATGTTCCACTTTCGTTTAGTATCTTCATTCATTCACTTCATGCCTTAGACTAGGATTTCTTAGGAACGCAAAATTTAGGATATTGTAGGTTAACAAATATTTATCCCAGGTATAGGAAAGCTGATACTGAGGACCAATATCATGCGTCCCATTTACCAGTCCACATTGATCATGAAATAGATAAACAGATAACAAATCGTCATGACGATAGTCTTGGATGGGTGGGAATAGGCAAAATCTGACAAGTGAACTGTCCAGTGCCACTATTACTTGGCTCGTTCCACTAGGATTCTAACCTATACATGATAGGTAATCAGTGGTACAGTGGAAAAGAATGTACCTAGATCGTGTCCAACCTTTGATCTCTGAGGTCTGATTCTCCCACCTATGAAAAAAATCATTTTATAGAAAAAATAAATAAAATATGTGCTCTCACACATTCCCCTATTAACTTTCTTGTTGTGTTGTCATTTCTATGTATGTAACTCGAGTTTTTTTTTTAATCCACCCTGGCCATAATTCCCATATTTGACTACTGGCATAAAAAAAAGCAACCAAATCTATAAATAGGATTGAGTATAAAAATAGGTACACATCATTAAGATAATGAGAATTATAAATAGCAGAGGAATTCATTAATGTGTAACCAGATTAGCCTTTTTATTGGACACAAATTGGACGTATGGGAGTTTTTGTCGGCATGTTGTTTGTTGATATTTATCTTCTTGTTGTTCCCCTAATAAAAAGATATTTCTCATTAACTACTGGATCAATTGCTTTTATTAAATTTTCGATTATATCCCCGCAGTACTTGGTTTTGGTCGTTGTGTTCATATATTTTGAGCATCGATCTCTTTATTTATTTTATACTGATGGTGGCGCACGTCAACAAATTTGTTAGGACGTTTTATGTATCCAATGGCAATCCTTGCAATAAATCACGCTGGTCACAAATAAAAAAAACTATAGTAATGCTCTAACAAATGTCATATGAAGATGTATCGGTGAATTATAAGAACCAGCAAAGTTAGAATGAGATATCTGGACTGAGAAAAAATTTAAAGGGAAAAATGAATAACCTTCTAGCGACTTCTTTCTCATTTAAGTACTAAAGATTTAAATCGATTGCTTCATCAGTTGTGGAGAAACGCAATTTTTTTTAACAATCTGAACAAGAAAAACAACTTAGCAAAACGATCCCATAGTTGCACTTCGTGTTGAATAAAAATGAGTTTTTTTAATTATTTCACGACGTCGTTCCTGTAATATAAAATTTGAATTCAGTACTAAACTACCCCAGACATGCTAGCGATTTGTAAAGCAATATAATTGTACTATTTGGAATATTAAGCCGCAATATTTTCTTCCCATGTTCTGAACTTTGCTTTTGTGTCTGTACTTTGCCTCGTTTTAAAATATTGACGTCGAGATTACTTGTGTGATTTTTTGTGTATGTGTTTAATAGTTTTGTGTTGTAACCAAAAATTGAATGAACTAGCGCAAATTACTGTTTCAAATTAAATTGGAATATATATCCATTCGTCGAAATTCTCCCGATAATAATCCCGATAAATTGAACTGGAAAAATCCAATTTCCCGTTACCGAGAATTGCGGAAATTTTATTTTTACGGGAACTATTCGAATAAAATAGGGATTTACCCCTTTCTCCCTTTCAGCATTTATTTCGTCATAACCAAATGTAAGCAGGAACTTTATGTCTCAAATCACAAATTTCATTGTGCATTGCTCGCTAGAATAACGAACGACTGTTTGAGCAATGTGTATTCTGAAAATTCTTTTTGTATCATTATACTGTAAGTCTGTAACTGTTAAAAATATCTACACACCCCCTTCAATAAGGTAATAAATTTATATTACTCAATGGTCCAAATTATTTCTTCGATCTGAAAAAAATATATAAATTGCATATGTGGTATTTGCGTCGGGAATAATCTAATCGAGAGCATTAAAATTTCAACAGTGTTACAAAATCCAGCATTCATTTGCTTATATTGCTCTTTGGTTCCAGAGAGTATTACGTGTATCTATCTACTTACACTAATTTTATCGTCATTAAATCATACATAGCCACTTGTATTTTATTTAACGGTTATATTGATTCATGGATTCGACATTATTGTTCACAATTTCGGAAAATTTGCGATATTTATGAGTTAATAAACGAACGCCGGACTGACCATGCATAGCGTCTATTTTCTCTTCAATATTTTTATATCGATTATTCATATGGAAATTACAGTAATTTTCCGTTTCTTGCGAACAGTGCACATGGCATCGCCGGACTCTCAAACGATGCAGTTTTCAGTTGTAGGCATCGTCTTGGCCTGGGGGCGACTGACATTGAAATTGTGTTATTCATTTCAGCTCGCCTTAAAAAATTAATTGCACTGTAAGGCTGCGTGGCAAGCATTAAGCCGGACGCTAATCAGTTATGACCTGTAATTTATTCTCCGCATCGACCGCCCTGCACCCTATTTTGAGTTTAGAATAAGTTCGCATATTAAATATTCTTAGTTATTACATCTCAGTCAGAAATAGCCCAAAACAGTATGTTAGGCAGTGTATTATATTTTAATGAAAATTGTCTTTTGGGTTGCCTGCAAAATTGAGGGAAAAAAGTCGTTGTCTAAAGCAGTTTTGCACGTTTTACAATATGTGGTGAATGTGTTGCGGTTGTTTTCAAATTTTATGGGAGTCTGTTGATTGCAGTATTTCGGCGCTCGACCAATTTCACAACGATTATTTCGTGCAAGCCATACTTGATGAGAAATACAGAAATCATCGCTTGCGTTAAAATCGATTTTTATTGCAGTTTCGTTGTTATAAATACTAGCACAACTTTCGCACACGACTAGAACTAGAAAAGCAACAAAAATGATCCCTCTCTGGAAATATACTATTCGTCAGATAAATGTAGCGCAACTGCGTCCGGACAAATACACAATATTACTCCTCTTGAACTGTAAAATTTATAAATTATTATGGTGTTATCATGCCATTGCCTCACCGCTGATTTTCAGATTTTGTTTTCTTTATTCCTTACATCCCAGGTATGGTTAGATTAAGCAGAGAAATGGGGGTAATAACGCAAAATAAGTGATAGAAAAGTGACAGGATAACAAGTTAACAACACTTCTAATATATCTAATCAGTTTATTTTGATACTTTATTTGGAACTCCGTCAAAACGGAAACCTCAATATTATAAAGTGATAACTGGTTGCCAAAATACAAAAATAAAATAATAATTAGATACCCATTATCAACTAAGTCCAATTTTTGATTCAGTATGATGCATACACTAATTTGTCTCGTAAATTCCCATTTCCTATTCTTTTCTGGTAAATGATGCTGAGGCTACATTACGTCACATCCCTTGCGTAAAAGTAATCAATAACGTGAGATCAGATGGATAGATTTTTCACTAATGACAGAACTGTGTGCACAAAATATAAACCGTCGAATCAAACTTTAAATGTAACACTTATATCAGTTAACGTGCAGAGCTGGACAAGGTATAGCACGACTACTTTCTGAGTTTACATCAAGAGTATTTTACTTTGCTTATGCGTTGTCGAAATGGATATAAATGTCGTTGAGAACATTTCATTCCAATACTGGATTTTGGCATTGCCCTTTAAAGGTATCAACAGCTTATTTTTGTGGGGTAAATGCGATCGTAATGCAATGAGCGGTCCGCGAAACCTAGCGAATCGCGACCAAACAAATATCATTGTTGCCTCATCTTGCCGAGACGTTAATATGTAAATTAGGCGCTGTGGTTACTATTCTGAGATACATTTCATCAACATTGCATATGGATATGTATGTATATGAGATAAGTTTATTTTCTTGCATAATTTCTCGTTTTGAATTAGTAACGCATTACGGCACCGTTATGATAATGATTTTCTTCAGTAACGTCATCATTTATTGTTTCAAAGCTAATTTTAAGGAAATCCGACGGCAAAGTATGTACCGTTTCGGATATAGCATCTCATCCAGAATTAGTGTTTTGTTTATAAGTTATTGATTAATAGACACATAATATTCTATACCTTATTTCGTTTCGGATATGAAAGCTCGACACACATGATACCGTTTTGCGCTTTTAGGTTTCGATCATTTAAAGTTATTGAGTAGTGTCACACATATACGAGAGCAATTATCGTAACGAGTATGTCTAGTTAGCGGTTACACCCGTAGTATTTTTTTGAAATTTTACTTTAGTTCATGTCTGATCAAGCATCATGCAGGGGATATTTAGATTAATTAACAAACCATAAGGCGTTATGTATTAGAAATAAAATCACCGAAATTCGACTCTCTCATCCGTTTCAAAAAGGCTCCTTAATTTAATGACGAAGCAAATTATTATTATTATTGAGAGCGACAGGAAAGTTGTATACTAGGCTACCTAATTGAATTGTTGAGGTTGTACGGCAATTTCCGCTGTATGGGTGCGTTTATTACCATACCGTTCGTTTTTTAACAAACATAAATTGTATTTGTAAACTATAGGGCGAAAATGTCTGGCGGAATAGGACTACTAATATTGTAACATTTAGTAATGTACAGCACAGGTTCGTCAATTATTACATTTTAAAAAGAATGTCCCGTAGGTCAGAATACGCAAAATTTTGACGTTGGATGTAGTAGATTTTAGCGTACTATTCAGTTATTGCCTCGCCGCTAATTTTCTGACGGGTTTTCTTTATTATCTTCGTGGAGAGTGGGCAATATGCGAATCTAACTTATCCTAACCTCAGATAAATATAATAAGAAAACGTATATAAAATTAGTGCTGGTTGGGGCAATAACCTACCGTTGTCTTTGATGGTGTTCATTGTCTTGTCTCGGTTTAAGGGTGGCAAGTGGATGTCGTTGGTTTGTTATTATCCACACAATAAGACTTCCCAGTTCCGACTCCTGATTATTCATCGAAATAAATTCCGATAATCAGACGAAAAAATGGGCGACGTTTTATAGATTCTTACCGCTTCTTTCTGTTTGCTTTCCTGACGACAGTGCACGTCAATTGGGTATAAAACCCATTCTCCCTACGATAGAGTGCAATACCAAGAATGGCCTTTCGTGTTTACTACGCTCGTACAAACGACACGGATTTGGTTTACTACCAATCGTTTCCGACTGCATAGATAGGCACCTTTGTATATTTATTTCTCATTGTTTTAATCAGAAAATTTGTTTAATTCTCGTAATAATTATAAAATGGATCCAAATGATGGAAATGTGTAACTGTCGTTTTCTGCAACACGCTGAATTTAGGTGCCATGTTTATTTGTTATGGTATGTTTAAAGTTAGTATAGGATAAATCTTAAGTCAAATTATGAGTTTAGAAAGTTTGATTGATAGCGAGTTGAGAATCTGAAATGCATACCTATTAAGGTTTTGTTGGAAAACTCTTTTAAGCAACCTTAGTATTATTGTCAACTTATTATTGTCATTACAAAGGGTAGTTGCATATTTCTCTGTTTCTGACAACAATGCAATTTAAATTATCTGAGGTCTCTCCACATTGGGCAAAAGTTTTCACAAAATTCAGTGGTTTTAGGTATATAAAATCAGTCATATGGACAAATTTATGATGAAAATTATATACATGTAAAAGTTGGATGAGATGGTTTTACAATATTTAGCAATAAAGTAGATTGAGTGTTTTAGTCAAATAAACTACAGTATTAGAGATATTTATGACTGTTTGCTTAAGATCTTTGTAAGGAGAGTTGTACTCTTATAATAAGGTTCATTTAAAAGTTAGGATTTGAAAGTTAATAAAATTTTCCATACATTTGATTTACTCCGAACAAGGCATTTGACTAGCAGACACTTACCGGTAGATCTGAGGAGTGTGATATTTTTAAAAGAATTGGAATTTTTCTTGTTCACTATTACCTATCCAATTATATTATATACTGGTGAGGTTATGGGCATATGCCAATTTTCTGTAGGTTTGTTTTTTGATTTAGGAAATCTATTCTCATATCAGAAATATCAAAATAATATGGCAATGCTCCCGAAATTGTTCAAACCTAATGTTTGGGTTAGGCCTTTAGTGTTAGTATTGTTGCATGCACAACATTATTTCCAATAGGATTGTATTGATATTTTGCATGTATTGCCAATAAAATTAATTTCTAATTATTATTAATTATTAATTAATAATCAATTGGTATTTTTTCTTATTCCATCCAGCAATCAGGCATTAATTACCTGGTGTGTTGTGTGAGGTTTATCAAGGTGAATCATGCTTCGAAATGGCATGTCAAATATCAAGATGGAGCCCCAGATAATAGGTAAAATTAGTAAATATTAATATTACCGGTATATTAGTAGAGTACTAGTAGAGGAAAAACTGAACTAGAATCCGATTTGTAATTTTCTGTTTTTTTTTGGTAAATTTTTTTTGATAAATAGCGTGAAAAGTCCCGCTATATTCAACCAGATTTATGATCTTTGTTTCTGACATATTTGCAATTATATCTTTGAAATAAATATTTGCATAAATTATAGCCAAGGCATTTATCCCACCTTCGCTTGAACATGGCTCTGTACAATCAGCTACTGATACATAAGAAGCTACTACCATTCTAAAAATAGCTCTGCTGGAATTTTCAATAAAATGTTTATTGCATTAATATAATATGTTAGTTTCCACATATATGTATGAGCCACGTATGGTCCGAACCTGATTATACAGAAAATGAACTTATTATCTAACTGGAGTCTTATGCTTTGATTGTGCATTGTGCAGTGTCAAAATACAATTATTAACAACTAATCTACATTCATTCGTATGGTGGCTGTTTGCTTATTTAACTATGCTTTCCTAATTGCCACATCTATTTAACAAAACGAAGACCTAAGGATTGTTAATGCTTCAATAATGTCTCAGATTGCGGCGAAGCTTGTCGCCGTAATGCAACTCATGCTGTTCTTATTTCCTCTGGTGGCTTTCTTGCAATGAGAATGATTTCCTTTTCATGTCGACTAACATCACACTATAAGGAGATCGCAATGAAGCTGTAACATATTACGCTTCAGTTTAACCGTTGACCACTGAGGGAAATTACGCTAAAAATGTTAATACTATAATCAAATTATATATCAGTTTGTAAATGAACTTCATGCAATTTGCATGAAATGTGTTTCGATATTTTCCCAATATTATCTCAAAAAATGGAAAATGACATATGTTTCTGATTTGTTATTCAAAATTTAAATCTATACGAATTCGATTTTTCTTACAAATCCTATGCATTGTTTATTTGTCATGTCTTAGGTCTCGACACTCCTCATTGCCAGGGGCATTAACGTTATGAAGGTATATTTAAATTAAGCATATACAAGCCCATCTCATAATGAAGTAAATTTTCATTTTCAAGGCAAAAATTAAAATTATTTCCTATTATACCCCAAAGTGTCTGACAATAGTTATTGGTTAAAAATTTATTCAAAATAATTCAATATAAGAATATTCCTCATGATAATATTTTTTCACAAAAATTGGTCATTCACGTGAAATGTGCAATATTACAAATATGAAATGTGTAATATTACAAAGCAACATTTCTATATAATGAGAATGAAAAACGGTCATATTGTCGATACATATGGATAAATTACTTTTGTAAATTGATGTTGTTTATTTATTCATATTTATCAAGAAACATATTAGTGGATATGAAAATTGAATTGTTCAAATTCTCACTATAATCATAATTTTAACGACTGATCGAAAATTGACAATCTCCACTAATAATACTTACAAGGTTTCATTTAGATTGGTATAGGAAAGTTATTGCACAGGTCGAATCAAAGCCATTTCAGTGCCTTTCACCGCAATTGGAATCAATAATTTGAATTTAATTGATAATTGAATATAGAGAATATTTGAAATGCATTAGATTGTTTTTTAAGTTGATGTTATCGAGCGCATGTGGTTTTCTGTGATTTTCCCCAGCTGTGCTTGTCTGGCAATTTACCTCAAAGATAGAAGAGAGAATAGCAAGTTTTAAAATTCATCATTGGAAACTTATTTGAAATATATTTTAATCTCTAAATCTGACAATTGATGCTAATTGCGTAATTTAGAAAATTTTGATTTGATTCAAAATTATCAATCTAGTTTTCTGATTCCTACTATTATACCATTGCCTTCAAATACTCTACCTAAAAATGCCTACTCATTTCAACTATTTTGTTGTAATACTTACCGGTAGCTAATGATGGGTAGCACTTTAATTCATGTAGAAATTGCTTGGAATCATTCTTATTTGTTTTTAATTTTGATACACAGAGCATAATCAAGCACCTTCTGGTGGTATGTCACTGTGGGCTAAGGTGCGGGAGTTAGAGGGAGAAGCACTTCAACAAATTCAAAGTTTATACGGAATCAACTTTCCAATAGAATTTCGACATTATTTTGCAGATTTAATTGAAAGTAGAAGATGGTGAGTATCTATTATAGCCTATTAATTAATGTTAAAATTTTATTTATGACAGAATATATCATATTATATGTGTATATATATGTCATGGCTCTGGAGCCGTAGTTTGGCAAGTTTTTATAACAGTTGGAGCCAGAGTTGATTCTGAATTCCCTGGAGTCTATAGTTTGAACTTCAACTTTCAATGATGGTACATAGGGCCAAAATGTTTACAGAAAAAAGCATCAATTTTACTAATCATTCTCGACTGTTTGTTAAAAAAGCTTATATATGCCAAACTTTCTGTTATTCAAATTTGATTTGCCTGATGTGGAGTTACGAGTCTGAGTCAATCGTGGATATCCCTCAACTTAGATATATCCCTGATATATATATAATTATGTGTTATTCTCAATTGAAATTATTTTCCCCATTTTCGAATTTTATTGCTCTTTTTAGCACTTCTAAAATGACAAATGTTAAATTTTCAAATTTGACTTTATCATTTTTATCAAATTGAAGATAAAAAAAAAAATTGTTGGTATGTATTCTCAAGAAAACATATTATTCCATACATTTTGTCAAGAATTGTTTAACTTAATCAAGTTGGATAATCTTCAATACAGTAGGTTATCACATGTTTCATTGCAACGATTGAGGGCAACTACACTCCCTTCCTCTAGAGTGGGATTAGATACATTAAATCACTCTACCGTCTCGAGACAGTATTGTTATGAAGCTATTAATACAGAACTTTTATTTACTAACTCAGGGATCAGCTGGACCCAGACAATATAAATGATGAGCCACAGGCCAGGCATATTTTAGGGTCATTCCTCACCGATATAGAGAGACAATGTGAGAATTTAACAGAAGCTCGTGATTTTTTGCAACGATTGAGATTCAGTGAAATTGCTAATCACTTCAAGGTATTTTACGTAATATTTTTTCTTAAATTGATATATAATTGAAATCAGTAATATCTTGAATGAATAGAATATTCAAAACGATTCAAAATTAATAGTCTTCGATGTTTTAAGTTCTTGATATCAAGATTCCATAATTTAGACTAGTTTTATTTGAAGAAGAAGAATTGTAAGCAAATGAATATGAAGCAAATGAAATAGTATGACCAAAAAAGCCCTCATTCATGTTCTGAAACCTTTACAATATATAAAACCAATAAAGCAACAGTTTATTTTAGACCTCCATGCATTTACAAGTTCATAGTCTTCGAATATGCATTGACTTTCATGTGTTCTTTGTTGGGCGCTCCTGAAGTATGTGCACCAAGATGGCTAACAACCTGAACCCTAACCTGGTGCAACTATGTTCAGATTGTGCGCCATCTTGGTGCACATACTTCTGGAAATCCCTTTGTTGTGCACGTAAATTTTCATAAATGTTTTTTTGTAAAACTTGCTTAGCGGTTTTATCCTTGGACATATTAGAACAATTCCTGCTTTAATCGTGAATTATATAGTCTTTGAAATTTTTTAGACAATATATGGACCTGCACCACTTGAATTAGTGAGAACAGCGAAGAAAATATTGTCAATTGAATCTAGCCTTGTCAACCAATCAAATTCTGTAAGTATTCTGTATTTTGGGACAGTATCTGGTGGATTTGGTAATAGACTTTTATTTACTATCAGTATCAGTTGGTATTACACATGACTAACTATATATTCCTTCTCTATGTCTTTATTAAGCTGGTGGCTCTTTATGCGATAAATGCAAGGATGCTGTTGCAGGAATAAAGATGATTATTCTTCATATTATAAAAAAATTTTATAACTATACTCTGAGGCAAATGTCGTTATCCCTTGACAGTTGTAGAATATTTCATCGCACTCAACTTCTTTATTTTTATTAACTTCTGAACACTTCTGTAACCCCATATTATTATATATACAAACTAATATTTCTGAAAATTACTGTGGAAAAATTCCACATTGAAAGTGTTTTTTTCATTCGTTTCGTATTTTTTGTACTATGTAAAAAAAAAATACCTGTTTCTACTTCTTAGTTAGGAGATGGCGGAGTTCTAAGTCACTTGTCTCAACAAACTGAAAAAGTAATCCATATCAATCGTGAACTGGACAGACTAACCAACATGACCAGAGATACGGACAATGATTTAAGGAAGTTACAATCAAAACAAGAATATTTCGTCATCAATTACCAAGAGAGTCGAAAAATAAGTAGTAAGTTTACTGACATTAATATGCCCCAACATATCATGTATAGCCGTATTCTAAATAGAGCATTCAAAAATGAAATAGACTAGAAAGCAATGGAGCCGTGAGATTTTGTTGGAGCCAAGTTTACTGTAACAGATGGGGTTGTAGTCGGAGCTGCCAGAAATTTTAGTAGCTACATCTAATCATTTAATTATATTTTCACATTTTTAATTTTTTATTAATACCATATACAAGCAATAAAATCTATGCCTATTTTTTTGAATTTAGGTTCTATTAATAATTTGTAATTTTCAAGTTAAATTTGTATATATGAAATTTTAAAGATTTTAAATCATTCCCCTTGCACATAATTATCCCCAGCAGGATTTGAACCCGTGCAGGGTAATCAAAGATGGGATGGCAAGCCTGTCATAACGCTCAGCACAATACGCCAATATACCAGATTATCCACATTCGGTCAACCGACTTTATATTTTCCTGTTGTTATGGCATTCTTGTGTGAGAAAATACTATCTTTCCCAGGTTATTTATGCTGATTCAAATTAGAATAACATGTGGTTTGATACTATTACTTTGGTAATCGCTGCTACGTCTGCGGTTTGCAACAGTTCTTCGTCATGTTACTATATAAACTATATTTCTGCACCTGTGGTGATAAGTGCACAAAATTTTTTTATGTGCATTGGTAACACTCCCTAATGTATGTCTGCGGCTTTGCTTTATATGGTTAGTTTTTTTGTTTGTATTTGTTTTTCTGCAATTTGTTTTGTAGCAGATATTGCGGCACCTCCAGTAGGTTCCATTATTTTGCTAATTTTTTACTAACGGAAGTTCACAGGTTGCATATTAGATAATTATGTTATGGCATTTTTGTGTGAGTAAATTTTTTTTTTTCCCAGGTTATTTACACTGATTCAAATTCGAATAGTATGTGGTTTAATACTATTAGGTACTTTAGTAATCGCTACTATGTCTGCGGTTCGCAACAGCTTTTTTGACAAGTTACCATACAACATAACTTCAGCACCTGTGGTGATAAGTGCACAAAATTTTTTCACCTGAAATGTACATTGGTAATCACTCCCTATGTTTGCGGCTTTATATGGTTAGTTTTTTGTTTGTATTTGTTTTTCTGCATTTTCTTTTGTAGCAGATATTTCAGCACCTTGAATGAGTTGAATTGCTTCTTGTTTTGCTAATTTTTTACTAACAGAGGTTCACAGGTTGCAATTGAGATAATTATAAAATGAATACATTACATACTGATGCTATAAGTTATAGCTTCTCTCTACAAATAAATGAATATTCTAGAATTTGACATTACAAATTGGTTTTCACTTTTGAAAATTATGATATTTACTACCATCATTTTTTTCCTGCAATTATTACGGACAAATCAGTAATTCCAGTTTATAAAACCAGGCATTGGAACAATTCTTAAAATTTTGATTTTAATTTGGTAATATTAAAGATGGCTAAATTAGCGAATAAATACTTCACTACTTTAAATTAATTCTGAAAAATGTACATTTTTGGTTTTGAAATACTTCATAGTGTTGTAAATTTGGCGATGGTAAACAGTGAAATTTGCTTCCTGTGTAATGTATATTCACCTAATCAATTTCATACAGCGGGAATGTTGATTGGTTTCTATTACCTACTTGGTCATAGACTTTTGTCTGACTGTCATAAAATGAAAATTAATAATTTGAAATATATTCAAATATATGATTTGTTGAAAATAGTCCTCTCTGATTTTTATCTTGTATATTACATCTGATAATATTTGCAGTTGCAAATTTAAACGCTTCCATGTTTATTTTGAAATGTCATATTGTCGGTCTTTTATCTGTTATCGAATCAGTATATCAATATTGTAAATTAAACAGGCGTCAGAAAATGTGATTCATACAGACATAAATCCTGATTAATTACAGATATGTATTTAGCTCAATTTCACATTGAATCGTAACAAACTACCAGAACACTGAATTATTGATTAGCAAACAGTTTTCAACCTGCCAAGTCGTGATAATAAGGTGGAATAGTCATTTACTAATTATAGAAGGAAATTGAGTGTCGATTAAAATTTAATATTAAATTGTTGAATTCTGTGCTGAATAGATATAAACTATGGGACATAATCATCATGTGACTAAATAACACTGAAAACATATTTTGATTTTTGTTTTATTTTTATTTTACATAAGAGGCGATTTATGAGATGCTTTATGAAATATGAAATCCAATATCTAACAAGAATTGCCCACAAAAGTATAAAAAAAATAATGATAATAGCAGAGATGGTTATAAATTACAATGGGTTCGGCTCCAATTCAACTCAAAGATTAGAAAATGAATTGAAAAAAATAATAAGCTGAAAGGGATCGATTTTATTATTTATACTGATGGTTAGGAGCTAGTAGCTAGTAGCTGCGACTCGATCTCCATGTATTATAGGAAGCCTAGCTCCAGCTCCATAAAAATGTCACTACTCCAGGCTCCGATATTAGGGACTCCTTCTGTCTTGGATAATAGTTAATTCCATAAATAATATTCTTCATCAGTGGTTCCTAACCTTTGACCTTGAAGTCAAACTTGAAATTTGTAGCTGTGTGTTAGTTTATTTTGAAAACTTCACAATACACACAAATTAAAATGAAGAGTTCTGGGGAGCAAATAAAACCTTTACAAAAAAATTTAAAACTCGAGAAATATCTTGTGCCGGCCCACCAGCACCAGGGGGCGACTCCCAGGTTAGAAACCACTGTTCTACATGGACTAGTTTTTAAGTCATATTGTAATATATGGACTATGGAGCATTAAAAGCTTCTTCTTTGATCAACTTTCATATTAAATATTTTTGGTACTAGTTATCTTCTGTCATTTTCAAATGCCCTCTTTGCTAGTACTTGGAAAACTTTTATTTCCAGCTTAATTTTTACACATTTTGTACGCTTCTAAGCTACCTGGCTCGTCAATTCACTCCCAAGTTCACTCTAAATCAGGGTGGTCCGAGGTTGTGGGCTCCGCGGGCCACGAAATTATTTTGGCATTGGTCGCGGGCCACAATAGTACCAAGAATAGGTAAACAGTGCAATACAAAACAAGCACTTCTATTGGGTAAACACATAGTTATCTGGCATTGCCACCTAGGCTAATGGAATCCGCATCCGATGTTTAGTTTTCTATCATGCCTATATTGTTAGCATATATTCCCCACCAAAACGATAGAAATCCAGGTAACAATTTAAACTGCCCATCACATCTTCAACTTCGCTGGTTGCTTCAGCTAGCCATCATACTAGTCAATTCAGTCACAGTAGTGATATAGCAACAATATGTCAAACGATTTTCCTGATTTATTTTATGAGAAGCAATTTAAAATACGATATTTCGATTGCTCTCCGAATGCGGCGCGGGCCACAGATAATGGAGCGGCGGGCCACATGTGCCCCGCAGGCCTGGGTTTGGACCACCCTGCTTTAAATCATAATTCGCAAAATATTTTTCAGCCTATCTTCAACAAGTACAACAATTAGCCCCAAACGATCAAGCTAGAATGCAGGATGAACCGAAACTTATCAAAAAACAACAAGAAGTTGATTCATTGCTCAGATTAGAAGCACAAAAACTTTTACAATTAAGAGTGGTAAGTTTCAATGGTTAGTTTTATAATATATGAAAAAAGCAATTTACATATGTATGAACACAGAATTTTATTGTCAACATATGCTGTCCATTCAATATGAATTCTACTAAAATAATTGTCTATAGGAAGTCTAGAGGAAAGTCGAAAATATAAATGCGTTCTCATTGATACTAAACTACTGAAAATTTGGTATTGGTTCTGTGATTACAAATATTTTTTTTTAACATTAAACACCATGAATTTAGCTATGGTTAGCCATAATTTAGCAAGGATTTATTCAATTAGTATTGTTTTCAAATGTGACATGGTGCATAAAATATTCCTAATTTGTATCGATTTTTGTCAGACTTTTAAAAAAAAAAAAAGTTTTTTAGGTAGGTTTACAACTCCTAAACAATTTGTGATATTGAGTAGAATTATGGTTGATTTGTATTGGCTGATCGTACTTAAAATAATGTCCGAGTGCAAAAGATGCAATTGCGAGATTTTTCCAAAGGATGTGTTTAAATTCTGACATGGTTTAGCCACCCGGAATGCAAATTCAATACCTAATTACCAGTATTAGTTATAATAAAGAATCGGAAATAGACCTTTGTCTCTCTTTTTACAATCCAAAATTTGGCATGGCAGTTTTGCTTTACTATGTGCTCATGTTCATTGCCAAATTGAATATTGAAAAACCAGTTGTAATTATATCTGACAATAAATTGCTGAAATTCAAAGTGTAGAGAATAATCAAGAAGCACATTTTACCAAACAAAAACAAACTGAATGTTGCTGGAGGGCAAGTAATTGAGTCATTGTTTAAAAATTAGTGCAATTTTCTGTCAGTTCATTTAGTCATTTTTAAAATTGTACACTTCTTCGATTTTAGTTAATAAAATATAGGTGTATGTTTCAAAATATTTTTTTTGTGAAATTGTTCTCATATGCAGTGAAATCGTGATTTTGCGATTTAGATGTTGCAATTTCATAATTCTAACATGCAATTAAGACATTCATATATTGAAGTTTTTACTAGTGTAATTTATAGCCATCCTTTTTGTTAATAATTTGATTTTGAATAATCAAAATCACACTACTTGCATAATACTGTAATGATAATTCAACACGAAATTTGTTAACAAGCATTCTTTCAAAGTGTAGTAATTTTGTGCTTCTGAATTCCCAAATAACATATCTTTTCAATTAATACCATTAATTTTAAGTTTTCTTTTTGTGGTTCCCAACCATTCGACCATTTATTTTTTAGTTGTGTTCTGCATCTGTAATCGTCCTTTTCAAGATGAGCACGAAATGAAGCAGTCTTCTACTTATTGTTTTGTTAACATTTTTCAAATTGAGATACTAGAAAGAATACAATGTAGTAATATTTGATAAAACAGAACATTCATCATCATTTTTGTATGATGAAGTTTTCTTTACAACTCAATAAAAGTTGGGATCCCCGAACTATGAATACATTTGTAGTAAATTCAACTTCGAATTGGCAAATATGCCAAACTTTTTTCACAACTCTAGTTATATAGAATTTAGAAACTCAAAGCTGTTTTCTTTATTATTTTTACTTAAACTGCTCCAAGTTAAGATAATACGCAAGTAAAACTAGTATCCATCCCTTGGCGTTTCAGTGGTCCAATGTCCCAGCCTTATTCAGAGTCTGAAGCGTTTTCGAAGTGAAGGAAGCTTATGAGAAAAAAGTTTTTCAATCTCATTTTTATGCAGGGAATCGCGGACAAACACAAGGAAACTTTTGGACTTCTCACTCAATTACAAAATCAAATATTAGAAGAAGAATTAATACAATGGAAACGTGCACAAGCTCTCGCATATAACGGAGTTCAACATGAAAATAATTTAGATCAATTGCAACAATGGTAAGGTTTATTTTTTATGAGTTGGAACTAAATGATTTGAAGATTCCTTTCATTTCTATTTCTCCTTCAGTTGTGTGGTTTTGGCCTACCGGTACCTAATATCATATTGCTTGATTCCATTTGCTCAGAATCACACTAAATTGAAGTTGTGAGGGGAATGTGAAAATCACATCAAATTTCAAAATTCAAATTTGATTAGAATGTAAATGTATATTCTAATAATACAGAATCACAAAGATTCATAAACAATTTTGAACATCGAAATATACATTGACGGATCTACAGCACTAGAATTTTTTATTTGATAATTGATCTTGGCCTTTCGTTCTCTTATACTCAAACTACCTCGTCATCCATCTTGCGTATATTTGCTGTCTCCTAACTCCTGGGAAAATCACATGTTTAGCAATTATCTCACATATAAATGCCGTCCACAGAATTAAATTCTTCATTTGAACCAGTAATGATGATTGGGTTGTTCAAACACTTTAGACAAGACTCAAGACAAGTAGCTATTCATATATTGTTAGGTATAATATGTTTTCGCAAGTTTTGAATATTTTTGGTTCAGAATTGCATATGGAATTTTATTACACAAGGTTTAATGGGGTTTTGAGATTTAAATCTGTGATGGCATGAAAAGTTAGGTTGATATTAAAAAGTCTCTTCATGAGTCATCTTTGCTTAAAACATGTGACCAAAGAAATTAGTGTTTTTAATTTCCTTCTGAATGGTTTCATCAGGGATGTCCAAAACGAATCGAACATTCGAAATTCGGTATATTCGATACAGTAGTTTTTTAAATTAGGAATAATTTAGAACATTTTTATTCAAAAATTAGAAAACTTAAGCCATCAGACGAGCAGATCAAAACATACAACATCTCAACTGGTAACAAACAACGAAGAGAAACCAATGACCTTTATGTTTGTGTCGTTTTAGATATGTAATTTTTCACACGCATACATCATATTGTCGCCAATTTGGAATTTATCGAAAATATTTTCCAAGATATATTTGGAATAGTGAAATATTCGGTTTTGGCCATGTCCGGTATTTATCCTATCTTCTAGTATTATAGCCTATTCAATCCTCTATTAATTCGTCCAATACTATTTTTCCAGGTGTGAGAGGCTGGCTGAAATTATCTGGCAGAATCGACAACAAATAAAGAAAGTTGAGTTGCAGAGACAGCAGCTTCCCATAAATAATCCAGGCCGTGATCTTCTGCCAGAACTAAATTCAACAATAACATCATTACTTTCAACACTCGTAACAAGGTAAATATTTAACCAGGATTTTGGAAAGTATGAAGACAAGAAATTTTCAGATCAATATATTGAATGTATTTTCACTTTATATATTGGATTTTTCTCAAATGGTATGCACATAGTGGCACTTTGTTTAGGAATTACATGATAAAGGAGCATGATAAAGCCAGGGTGTAATAAGTGGGGTTTGGTAAATATTGCCAGATAAATTTCAATCTTTTCAAAAATCGTGCGTCCTTACATATTAGGAGGTGTTTGTACAGATGTTTGTTGCTATTGAAAGGCGTGAAAAATGTTGTATAAAAAGCCTTCTTTTTATATCAGTGTCATAAAAATTGCACACCATTGTTTATATATGAGGAATATATTAATTTGTGTATCATCCGACTCCTGGTCTTTTCAAAAGTTAAGTCGCTTAAAATTGTTGCCCCTCTCACGCAGGTGTGTTTCAGTGTGATTCAGGCTGTGTGACATGTTATATCAATATTCATTGTCAATTATAGATAATCTCATTCATTGCATCTTCTATTAGTTATTTATATTGTTTATAATATTCTATCCTATTTTCACTTTACACTTAGTATATATTAAAAACATTAGTATATATTTAGCTCCTTTTATTGTTCCTTATGCCTGTATTATCCATCATAGTAAGGTATTACAGGTCATTTCCTGAATTAGAAATTTTATATAAAAGTGGTCACGTCACAGTCTGGTCATGATTTATAAATAATAAATTTAGCTCAAAGTATAATAAATTAAGGTTCGATTAAATGAGCCACAGCAAAATTAATCCAATTTATTCTGAAATTGTTTACAATGCCATAATTTGGAAGTAAGAGAAGCTGTTTAAACTGATTTGTGAACAGCAAAGACAAAACACAAGGTTTGTTACCCCAATGAACTTCTGGCTTAATATGGTCTCCTCGTACTTGACGCTGACTTGTCACGCTATTCCTTACCCCCAACTGCTAATTTTCCCTTCTACGTGAGAGTGCGAGTGGAGATTCTCAACCCTGATGATTATCAAGTCGAAGAAATGAAACCGACTTATTGCGCTCATACATGACTTTCGATGTGCTGCGAGCAGACCAGCTACCAGTAATGGAAATAAACAAATGCAGCCATCACGCTTAATAAATAAACCTTTTTTATATTATTTCATTGTTGTTCTTCTAGTGCGACCAATTGCATACCTGTACTAAGTTCATTGGGCCTTTGTGTCCATATATTGGAGGATTTGTAAAAAAAAAATCAAACATTTTAAAGAAATATACACCAAATAATTTTTTATCATTTCAGTACATTTATAATTGAAAAGCAACCTCCGCAAGTTTTGAAAACACAGACGAGATTCGGTGCAACAATTCGTCTTCTTGTTGGTGGAAAATTAAATGTTCATATGAATCCACCAACAGTAAAGGCAAGCATTATAAGCGAGGCACAAGCAAAAGCTCTATTGAAAAATGAAAATAGAAGGTTAGTTGTGTTTGTTAGTAGCACATTAAGTACATTTCCTGGTACCCGTTAGGGTTAGGACATAATTTTATTCTGATTTTCCTTATTTTAGTTCTATTACGAGTTCGGGGACTGTCTGTGTTAGCCAATTTAATATACCCCCAGCCCATAGGTTTCAGTCCCTTTATATAAATTGATGTAAAGTAGGTGAACAAAATTAGTTACCTCTATATTAGTACATACATTTCTGGAGCACCCATTTCTGTACAACATATTTGTATATATTTCACTGACAGGTAACGGTATGTCCAAATGAATCAATCATTTGAATTCATTCCAAATTTGATTTATTTCATATAGTAGTAGTTTCCGTACTTGTTGTTTTGTCCATGCCAAATTATCAGGGAAAAAACTCACGTTACGCTCACAGAAAAAAGAGAATGCCTTTGAAATAAACTCAATATTGTGATGCTTATTGTGTACTTTATACCTTTAAACTTTGTAAACATGTAGGCCGAAAAAATAAAGGCTTGATATTCCTTTGAAATACCTCCCGCCACCTTTGGTAACCAATGACATATAGTAATCGTTGGTTTTAGAGATAATTTGAAAATTTGTCATTTTGAACATTTAATATCTGATAGGTAAATAAGACTAAAAATAGTCTACACTTGGCGTTTAACAGTTTGGAAATTGAAATTTAATAAGAGCAATGTTCATTATAGTGTATTCTTTATATTTATATTGATTTGTGTAAATTTTCAATATTTCATATTCAAAAATATTATGGTAGATGATTACTTGACTTCTTTCTGGTTTAGACTTTTGTTTGCGTAATTAGTCTGATCAAAGAAAATTTCACAAAGCAAACAATATCAAAAAAATAACTGGTAATTTCATCATAATTAATTAATAAGTTTTCATATTAAAATCCTCATGTTTTAAACTATTTTAATTTCAGTTTAGCAGAAATGAGCGGCGATATATTGAATCGTGAAAGTGTTATGGAATATCATCCACAAACAGGAATCCTCAGTGTTAATTTCAGAAATATGGTAAGAAATTTATTAAGACCAGATAATATATACAATATTCAATTTTGTTTTTGAAACCGAGTAGACCTTATATCAAACCTGTTTTTTAGCTAGACCCTTGCAGGTACTGATGTGAATTACTTCAGTGGTGGAATTGGAGGTCACTAATTCAATTTTCATATTATTCCATTTGGCTTTCAGAAATGTAATTGTAAGAGAAATTTGAAATTGAGAGAATTACCATATTTTACGGACCATAAGGCACACTGTCAATAAATGAGCAAGTTGATTAAACATCTATGCAACATTTCATCCTTAATTGCAAGAAAGGGGCCAGCCATTGTGCCAGCGATTACTGCAGCAAATGACGTCAAAAAGGGACCATTTTATTGATTTGTCATGATGTCAGAATTTGAATACGAGTAGAATTCTGCTTTCAGCCAAAGCGAAACTTATCTTCTTCTAAATTATAAGGCTTTCTTCATTCTATTTTTAGTTACTGCTTATAATAGTATGACTTTGTTTATACTCTTTGCTACTTTAACGTCCATCTTCGATTTACTTCATCTTCTAAAATTATTTGTTTGACAGTCCTTAAGAAGGATCAAAAGATCAGATAAACGAGGAGCTGAATCGGTAACCGAAGAGAAATTTACAGTTCTATTTCAATCGCAATTTAGTGTCGGAGGGAATGAACTCGTATTTCAAGTTCGAGTGAGTTGATTTCGGAATTACAAGTCGTATTCTATATAGCTGAAGCTATATAACCATGTTTATTTAGCGTGTTTATATGCCTTTCACTCTGAACATGGCTCTGTGCAAGTCAATGGTGCTTCAGCAGCTACCATAGAGCATGGGATTTTAACCTGTGATACCATTATAATTAGTTCTAATACTTTACCCATTAGGCCACCGCTATTAGTATTTCAGTGGTATTTCGTAACTTTGTCAAGACATGGGTTTTCTTTACTCCTGCATAGGTGTGTGTGTGATCATATTTTGTTCAAATTTTTCAAAAAAAATTCACAGTCATAGATCTCATCTTCCCAGTTCGAAATAGTATGTTACCGAAGTGTATTGAACAATGATCTGTGGTCTTTACCATTGATATTTAAGAAAGCCTCTCTGTTCGGAGTGTTGTAAAAATATTATGAATATCGTAAATGTTGTCATCATAACTCGATTTGAAACTCAAGTTTTTTCCAAGTTATCGCAAGATTTTTGTTTTACAACGATACATTCAATAGATATGAAGTCTGTTGAGTGATAATGGGAGTCAGCTATGCGACCTCTCAAGATATTGGTATCCATTACATCGGGGTTACCATTACATCGTAACAGAAATCTAGTAGCCATTAGGATTTTTAGGTAGAAGATTAAAACGTTATTCATAACGCATACGATACAGCAGACACAATTAAGTAACCACATAATAGTAGACAAATATTTCTTTTCAAAATGTTTTTGAAAAACTTTAGTTATGTAGAAGATCATTTTGACTTACAAGTTTCGTCAGACGTCATGATTCTGTATGTTGTCAGTAACTTTTGGTATTTCGTGGTTTGCCCATAACCTTGCTCAGTGATACCTTGTTATACTCCGTCACCGTGATCTTGTTAGGATCAAATTCTCATAAAAAGACACCATTAATAGGATTAGTTTGCTCACTTCTTCCAGTTGGATTCGTTCGAACGCTAAATAACACCCAACTGTGTTATTAAATTTTGAATTTAAAATTTGCAGAATATTATTGGTTTCATCATAAAATAATCTCATTTTTTTTAATATATTATTCTATTTTCTATGTATACCATAGACATTATCTTTACCTGTCGTTGTAATTGTACATGGAAATCAAGAAGCAAATGCAGCGGCCAGTATTTTATGGGACAATGCATTCGCAGAACAGGTGACTCCTATTATCATTTATTTTAACAATTTAACATTATGAATTTTTTTCTGCAGCCGTTGGCCATCTCCCTACCAATAGTAGTAATCGTTAACGTCAGTCAAGAATGCAATGCAAAAGGCACGATTCTGTGGGATAACGCTTTTGCAAAGGAGGTACCACCAGTCGCTGTGTGCCTAATCAAATCTAATTGCACACGTCTATAATTTTTTTACCTAATTTACCACAAGTTGTGGTTAGAACTTCTAGTGTAATTTCCTGTCAGATAAACTCAAGTTGGCATCTTAGTTTTTTCTAATCAAATTATCCTGTTTTACATAATAATCAGCCAATAATAAATAAGGCATAAATTATGTTTCAGTAACTTCGGTCCATGCATAATTGATAATAATTTTTAACTGTGATAAAAACTGTTTAGAGGTAATTTTAGGTTGGCTCAAAATTGGGAGGTATTATTTAAGCATGTGCCATGTATGGTATCATGTAAATGAACCTTTATTTAATTTATAAATAGAATAAAATGACATAATCTAGTAGTGAGGTGTTGCATGCCTGAATTTAATTTTGTTTGTTGAGATAATTTGTCCTAATCTAATTATAATTACCACATTTAATTTTTTAATTACCTAATCAGTAGGCGTTTTATGACATAATTTTACCTGAACGTGAGGAGAAATGAATAATTATTATTTTGCTGCTATATTTACATTCCAGAAATAGTCTGAATGTTATGTAAAATAATAAGAGTGTGAAATAATTTTGAGTTCGAATCTTAAATCTAGAAATTTCCGAGATTTCTGATGAATAAGTGATATTGCGCAATTTGGTATTGCTTTTAAGATTAAACAAATAATACACTGGTATTTTATTTTTGCAAGGAATTAGACCCGAAAACATAAAGTAGATTTTTTGGGGTGCCAATTCGAAAATGTTTAGTTGGATATTGTGGTGTAGGAACACTTCCAATGTGGAAAGTCCATGCACCTTAAAGAAATAACTGATGTTTATTCCATTGTTGGAGAAACCTATCATTTGCTCAACAAAATTCTATGTTATAATATTTCTCATCTTAGTTTTGTGATGATCCAAGTTCCATACTTTGAAAATGTAAGGCGTTTGTAATTTGAGCAAATTTGAGATAAGGTATTAAAAATATAATTTTGGACTTCATTGATTGTGGAAACTCTCTTATGCTGATACTAACTGATACTAGTGTTAAAGCTCCTTTCTTACTCTTGATCTAATTCACATTAATAGGGTCGAATTCCATTTCAAGTACCGGACAAAGTACCCTGGTGTAAACTTATTGAATCGCTCGATCACAAATGGAAACACGAAACTCGCAGTCCACGTGGTCTCACTATGCAGGCTAAACAATATCTCGCCTACAAAGTTTTCAGTGAGTACTATTTCATCTTTTTTTTAACAATTCTGAAATTCTATTGTAGTTTTTTTCGCACCTCTGCTCCAAATAAAGCTACAGTCAAGTAGTCATTGATATAAATAAAAGTTCATTCATTTATTAGTTGTAATCTTGCCGTTTCGGCACCCTAATTTCAGACAGCCTACGTGGGGTTGTGGGCATGCTGGGTTATTGGTGTTTTGTTTATGAAGTTCTACCTAAGCATACCTAAGCTAAGTTGCTTAGCAACCATCAAAAATGGCCGGATTAAAATAATTTTAATTACTGGTAAAAAATAGAGTAGTTATTTGTTTTGTAAAGAATTTTTTTAAATGTGGAGATGAAAATAACAAAACTGCTTAAGAGTATTGAACTACAGTACTTATACAGTATGTGGTGAATGATATTTTTTAATTCTACTATGAAACCAGAAACCAAACAAACCGCTGTCTTACAAAATAAACTAGTTGCGCCTTATGTAGGGATAAAAACTCGATCTATGCAATTTATTGACAGTGTGCCTTATGATTCGTCAAATACAGGAATTCTCTCATGTACTATCAGGACAACACTTTTACTGTAATCCATTCGATTGATGACCATAATTTCTTATCACTTCCTTCAGGCCTTATGTACACTAGCTTTCAAAATATTTGTTTTGTTCTCGAATAACGGATCTTTCACATAGCTGGTCATTGTTTACACTTGTGGCAGTTGTGACATTTCATAAATAACATTGTCACAAAATTTCTGTATATTGCCATTATTGTGTGATGTCGCGAATTATAAATCATGAAGTTATTGGAAAAAAGAATAAACGAGGTCAAATCGCACCTCCTTGGCGCAGTCCACTCTGTTTTTTCTGTAAATAATAGGTTAGATCAATTCGAAAACTTTGAGTCCAAATTCAAGATAATCAATCAAATGGACATACCGGTTTATTTTTAGCAGTAGTGTCAACCGCAAATGCCATGTCTACAAGTTGAATAAATAGTTGGATTAGAAGTTTTGGATAGAAAATTTGATATATTGGCGTTGAGTTATGGAAAACTTCCAATATATTTATAAATATGAATTCTTCGTATACATAAACAATCATAACGCAGCCAAATTTTGATATCAGCTTTTGTACTATGTCACACTACTACTGTAATTTTATTATTTAATATCGTTTCATTTGTGGCCCTTTTGGTGGGTAGATAATAAATACATTTTAGGAGGTGGATTGATTTTCATGACACATACTTTGAAAATCACAGATCTAGATGATTATAATTGAAATGGATACAAAATGACTACCCTACTACTCATTTTTTTTTATCTGTCTCTTGCCACACGTATTCTTTTATCATCAGAACAAACAGTGATGCCAAACTCAGAGAAACTCATTTCATGGGCTCAATTCAACAGAGAACCATTACCAAAACGTAACTTCACTTTCTGGCAATGGTATAACGGTGTCATGGAGTTGACTAAAAGTAAACACCTACAAGTACATTGGAATGATGGGTGAGGATTACATGTTGGATTGTTTTACTTTTTTTGCTGCCATTGTTGCATCCTATTGTGACTAGATTGCTCTGTGTGAGTGACAGGAGTGAATGAATAGGACTCCTTGCACCACAGGATGGATCATGTACCAACTGCTGGTTATGGAGCCTCTTAGGAGGTAGACTATCATTTATGGAGCCCCACAATAGATTTATAAAAATAAAAAACGCATTGTTACTTACTGATTAATGTTCATGACTTGGATGTGTTGCTGTTTTGTATTCAAAAAATATCCAATATTTTAACAAGTAAACGAATACCTCGGGAGGCTCTAGATTTCCATTACAGAGCCCTGGGGCTCTGTATGGAGCACTTTGAGAACCTATGGCTTAGGCTATTAATCGATTATTCGAATATTGTATTGATGATACAAAATATATAAAATCTAAATAACGAAATAAAATGAATGAGTGCCAACTAGAGATCGTGGTTTGCCTATTATTAAGAAACAATTTTCTTATCTCAACAACAGCTGAAAATTTTTCAAATCACAATTTGCCACCAACAAATTTTTTGATTTATATTTTCAGAGCCATCATTGGTTTCATTGGTAAAGCTGAATCTCAAGAAAAACTTCTTTCTATGCCAAATCGTACTTTCCTGCTGCGCTATTCTGATTCTGAAATTGGTGGACTCACCATTGCTTGGGTGGCAGATGAGAACGGTAGCTATACAAAAGTTTCATGAAATATTTGTTTATGGCTCCTATTCATTCAGAGTAGAGTTATAAACGAAATTGTTATGAAATAAATGAATCTATAACCTCGACTGTGTTCAGATTAGGAGTTCTCAAACTGGGGGCCGCGAACCTCTGAAGATTTCTAGGGGCACTTGGATGGTACAGGGTGACACAAAAAACAGAACCCAAGTTGTTTCGAAAATAACTTTTGTGCAACGCGTCCCAGATTACTGAAACTTTTGGGTACAATCATACACAAACAGAAGTTTCGCTATTTTATGTGGAGCATGACTTACCCATGTGCATGTCTAATACCTAATCTCAAATTTTGAAAATTAGTATGCGTCATACCATTTAAAATTGTTAAAGGATCGTCAATATATCAGCACTTAATTAAATTGTTTTACAATTTGAGTGTTTGAATTACCAATTCATTGAAAATGATTCATAGTCTAGCAGATTGGCAATCGTCTTTTTTTCAATTTTCAATTCCAGATAAAAACCTTTTTAGGAAAGTTGATTTTTTTTCATGTTAAATGAAGTTGACAGTACCAACATAAATAGTTTCTGAGATCTACTAGAATTCAATTCTCTCACATACCGTATATATATGGCTAGTGTCTTCCATTTTTTAATCCTTTCTGCAGGTGTACCAAAAGTATGGAACCTACAGCCACAAACATTGAGAGACTATGGCATCAGATCATTGGCTGATCGTATCAATGATCTTGGACAACTCATGTATTTATGCAAAGCAGATGACACAACAAAAATGAAAGATGAAGTTTTTGGACAATATTATTGCAAAACGGGAGGAAGTTCTTGTGAGTTTTATTACTTTGTGATATTATTTTGAACGATCAATCTGAACAAGGCCATCTAACACGAAGAATTTTGAAGAGATGTTTCCTTTTATGATGTAGAATGAAATGAATATTCAAATCGATATGTGTTTGATTATTTTCCGTATTTTCAATTCTTCATTTTTAGAAATGTTTTAGAATAATTTTATTTGAAAAATCATCATTTTAACCAAATAAAGCCTCATAAAATTACCAAAAAATCCTTCATTTAATTTCAGGCAGTTGTAAAAAATAAACAACCAATCAAACCACTGTTATCTTAACTTTATAGTATTTACAAACAAATCCAGACACATTGAATGTATTTAGAATTCTATATGTTCTTTGCTGACATAACTCAATTTTGAATTTATATTTTAATATATCATTTTAATATATCATATGGTATTTTAATTATTGTATTTTATGGACCATAGGGCATACTAGGTTATGTGGCGCACTATCAATAAATAACTTAAATAGATTTTTATCCATGCATAAGCCGCAATGGGCTATAATATACTACGGTTTTTAAGAAGTTTAAGACTCAGATTTGTATACAAAACAGAAGTACTGGTACTGGTTTGAGTGTAGACGATAAAGCATAAAGCTCTACCTGATCCATACATTAGGCGCACTGGATTATAAGGCGCACGATCTATTTTAAAGTAAAAAATAGGATTTGGAATAAACATAATGGTCTGTAAAATACAGTAATCCAACTATTTTATTTGGAATAGTAGGTTATGGGCAACCGGCTTCCTGCCTCGGTTTAAACAAAGAAACGAACAGGACTCAAACCAATATCTTTACCTGGTACTCACGTAGTATGTGAACCAAGATGGCGAACCAGATTGGGGTTAGGCCATAATTTCAGGTACAAATACTTCGAGAGTCACTTGGCTAGTCCTGAACTTGTAAGAGAACTAAAATAAGGAAAAATGGAATAAAATTATGGCGTCACCCTAACCTGGTACACATACTATGTTCAGTTATCCGCCATCTTGGTTCCCATACTACGGGAGCGCCCTTTAATTTATGCAATCTGAACTCCATTTCATTTGAGATATTGTGATTTATTTTGTCATCTTTTTTTATATTTTAGCGGAACAACCAGATGGATATGTCAGAACAGAACTTATGCAACATATTCCAAGCCAACCTCCCATGTGAGTTGTGAAGATATATTGTTACGTTATTTTTTTTATACAAGGGGATACTGCCTTAAACACAAATTATTTCAAAATTACAAACAATATACTACAAATAATATACAGTAATTCTTCCAGATAACAAAATAATAAATACCTCGCTTTGTTTACACAGATCTCAAATGAGCCTCTTCAGTGACACGAGTGCCCCAAGTACACCACAAAGTAACTACGATGCCCAACTTATGCATAATTCACCTCCGCCTTCAAATGCTCATCCTATACCGTTTGATGTGTAAGTCATTTTAATTATTTTATGTTTTGACACTTGATGTAAATATTGCAGTGCATAAGTATAACATTATTGGAGATGTGCATCTACAAATAGCGATGTTTTTCGAAATTTTATCTGAGTTGGAATAGAATTTTTATATTTAATTTGGGAAATAGGAAAGCTGGTAAGATGGCAAAATTATATGGCAATATCATCATATCATATGGCCTCTCTTCTGGTTAACAGCCAATTGTGTCTTACATCCTTTTTATCAGATTTCATTGTTTCTCATTGTGCTGTTTTTCTGTTGGAAATTCTGCATCTTCAATGTCTAGAAGTAGATTTGAATAATATTAATAAATACTAATCACATTGGTACTTGGTTATCATGAGATATTCTTGTAGGCGCTTCAGAAGTATGTGTACCAATATGAAGGTAACTAATTTTGTTCGTCTATTTTACATCAAGTTGTGTAAAGGTACTGAAACCTGTGGGCAGGGGGATATTCACTTCGCTAACACAGACAGTATCCGAACTCGTAATAGAACTAAAATAAGGAAAATTGGAATAAAATTATGTCCTGGCCCTAACCTGGTACACATACTCGGTACACATACTCCTGATTAAAACATCACTTGTCATAGCAGTCATGTTTATTTTTTTTCTTTATTAAACCATTTGTTTCATTATTAACAATCATTTGCCCGCACTAACATCAGGTCTTTTTTGCCATTTTCTGTTTTGCATGAAACGCATTTGCATGTTTTGCTGCCTGGCTACTGCTGCATTCTATCTTCCTATCAAATACAGTGGATCACCTCCTGTGCCAAGCTGCCTATATTATGACGGGTGAGCTTGCATTCTTCACAGCAATTTTCGCTTCGAAATAAACCTTCGGAATATGTTTGATTTGTGTTTGGGTAATCTGACTATATAACAGGGATGTCCAAAACGAATAGATTTAAAATTAATTTACTTCGAAATTTTCAAATCCCTAATTTTAAGAGTAATTCGGAATATTTCTGTATAAAGCAAACTCCTGAACTTCTGAAAATGTTTTTACCAGTCATTATATATATTAAACTTTTTGTTTAACTTTGAGTTTAATTTGTTTATATCAAGAGATTTAATTTTTGAATATTATTCTAGTTTGGTGTTCAGCAAACTGTTAGCCGTGGCCCAATCGTGAACCGTCAATCATTTTCTAGTGGGCCTCCAATAAATTTCAATTATAGCAGTGATACACAAAAAAGTTCTAGAAATTCTACATTACATATAAATTTTTTGCCAAATAGTTTTGTTCATATATTTAAATATTTTACATTTATTTCAAACTAAACAAATTAAATGTCCCTTAACTAGTTTAATATGTGGTTAAATTTAAAATTTCTAATCAAATTGTTGGGCCTTTGAAACCTTTTCTCTTTTTACCATTTGGGCCTCACTAAGAAAACTTTTGCCGACCACTGTTCTCGTGCTATTTCCCATAGCCAAACCCATCTTATCTCATAATTTCTTTATTCTTTACATTTTAGTTTCGTCATTTTTGTTTGTTCATTCGATGAATAATAATGATGTATGAATGATAATGTATCATTCATGATCATGCATGGCAATGATAAAATTGTACACAATGATATAAATCAACATAAATTTATTTCAGCTCCAACTAATACATAGTGACAATGTTTTAGTGTTTTTCTGTTTTGCTACGATTTTCTAGAAGTTGAATTAAAGCAAATTTAGAAGTGTTAGGGGTTGCTATTATTCACTCCCACCCAAATCGGAAAAATGGCTAGCTTAGTATTGTTTTTTCCAATTACTTCGTTTATTTTTTTTATTCTCATTTGACATCATAATATAAATCAGCTTTATTTGTCATAAATGATAATTTAGGTTTTATAATATTCAGTTTATTCAAAGTACTCTATTCTGTTTGAATGGACTAGTGTACCCAACTACTGCTCCTTTCTTTCTGCATTTGACAGCAAAAATCAAAACAGCTATTTTGAGTGGTTCAAGGCTGTTGTATGTATCCCACTTGTTTGACCATAGGCCAGTTGGGAACATTACAGATATAAATTTGTGAAATTCTATTGCAAGACTACTGAAACATGCAACAATATTCTGTATTCTAATAGAGATTTTTCGATTTCTGCTCCAACTTTAGGCTTCAATGAAAGAGAAATGGCAACTCGCGCTTCCCTGACACTGGGATTCAGTAGTACTGTGATGATCTTGTAATTTCTTCATGGCTTCTTCTGTATTAGTTTTTCTTACAATGCCTTGAATAATCCAAAAATATTTTTTTGTTTGTTTTGTATTCAATTTTGATGTTAGCATTTAACACCTCTTAAAATTATAGTCAAATGCTCTGTCGTTTTTTTGTTTAAAATTATGCACTGTAAACTTTGTACTTTAAATTGTTAAAAACATCAGTACCATCATTAACCCATGTCAGAGCCAGTTCAACATTATAGAAGTAACATGATGATACCTTAGTATACCTTCACCAATAGTTTATTATCACTGTTTAGAAATAAACAATTTCATTCCATAATAACATTAGCTATTATTTTTCAGGCAATCTGAAGCTGGAAGCAACAGCAACTTTGCACCGAATGAAGTCGGCTCTGGAATGGAATATGACGAAAGTTTAGGAGATCACTTTGATTCTTCATGCAATATTGACGTTAACGAACTATTAAGTCGCCATATGTGAATGTTTTCGAGTGCTTGCAGATAGGGATGTCCATGTCCAAATAGTACCGTTGTTCTAAAATCTTGCTCCGCAATTGATTGTCTTTGCTCCAAATCGGTAATACTAAACTTTGCGTCGTAACGCACTAAATATCTATCCTAAAAAATTAATATAGCATGAAAACATGTTTGCATATCCCATTGTCTTTATCATAATATATTTTTAGGAAATCAAGTTTTCTCTTCAATGGCTTGCGACCTGTGTTACAGAAAGTGAATGCTTCGTAGGTTTGAGAAGTTTGGCATTTGAAAATCTATATTTTACCAAAATATTATGATATTTGTTAATTTTTGAAATATTACCAAATACCAGTAATATGAAATAATTGCAAAATGGCAAATTCAGGGAAATACAGTAATTTTAAATCTTGAATTTCTAATTGAATTACGTTTAATTTCTACTTACTTTGCAACTAAATTGGAACCAAATTTTTTGGACATCTCTATACTGCTGTTGTCGGGATTGGATCACAAGAATATGATGTCTTTAAATTCTTTCAATGCCAAGAGCATCACATAAAACTCTGAACTCTGGATGAAATTTTACATCACTAACACCCTATATGTGAAAAAACCTCATCTTTATCATATAGCAACTAAGCTAAAATCCAGTAAGTTTAAATAATACAAGTATAAAAGTGTCGTTTCTGTGTGGATTTCATACACAAAAATTATGGAGCACTCTACATATCACAAAAGGATCTTGATTGAAGGCTGCAATGAATAAAAAAAATTTTGAATATTTGAATGTTAATCATGTATGTTGTCTCAACTGAAACTGTATTGTACTGAGATATTGCATAATTTCTTTGTAACTGCATCCCATTGCTATAAATTTGCGGCCACCGTGAATGGCCTAGTAGCTATAATGTTATATATAACTGTGATAGCTTCGTGTGTTAAAATCTCGGGTTCGAATTCCATGCACATCACCTGACCCAGGGTGTAATAAATTGGGTGAGCAATGCCGAACCGTAAAGATTTAGGCCCTTTTACACTATAGTGGGTGCATTTGCAGAGCCGTGTTCAGAGCCAAAGGCGTTTAAATAGTCATATACAAATATGAAATCGAGATGGATGGATTCTCAAGCCTTAACTGACTGAATGCCATGTCCTAATGCGCTAATTGCAGCTATTACAATTGTATTTATACCATGTTGACTTAAGCCTAATACCATTTACTGAAGATTTTTTTGCTCTTTCTGTGAATTACATCTTCTCAACCACCTGCTTTTGTTTGTACCTGAATGTTATCATCAGCAATGCGACTTTAAATATGTATTCTCAAAGATTGAACTTCCATTATTTTGCAATTATTGTTTAATTTTTTTTTTTTTCTATTTTTATTATAACTTGTGCCTTGAATTATTATCACCATCCATGACAGTTTCGTTAGCATAGATTTTTTTCATGGTCGTCTTTGTTAAATAATACACAGCAAGTTAGGCCCAAATATACATCTAAAATGTTCTGATGAGAATTTTTCTGATGTGTACTATTATTAATATTAATTAGATTTCTTGATAACTAAACGTATCCACAAGCCAATCTCAAACACCGTGATAATTTTTCTATTGTATTTTATGAATTTTTGCCTTAGTTTATTCTTATAATTCAGTAATGGATGAAATATAAATATGTATTCATCTACCTACCTGGAAGGGCACACTACTTAATATACAAAAATATAGACATTCTTTTTACAGGGTGTACTAAAACTTCAGATAAGCGCTTTTGAGTTAGTATACTGCTTATAATATGATCATCCGAAACAATTAACTTTTTCAGTGCCCTATATATGTCTATGTTTATATTTGGTATATTAATTTTAAGAAATGTTCATAATGAAACATTATTTAAGGCAGCTGTTTCCAAACTTCGCAAAATAATGATTTGCTAAACAATTCTGATTGCGTGACAAAACATCAGTCCATTTAATAAAAAATACTATCTCGAGAAGTTTTGGTCGTTTATTCGCACAAAACAAGCTTATAATTAAATGTGCACGAAACATAAAACTTCCTCGTCATTATTTATTTATTCTTAACAAAGTCAAATTTTCTTTTAAATGCATCTTGGTTTATATCACAGAAAGTAAATTTATGTGCCATAAGTTTAAAAAAGTTTTTTGAGTCTTTAATTAAACTAACGTCAATAAGGTTAATGGAGGTAGTCCATATTTTTTACCACCTTTTTTTATATTTATGATCTAAAATATAATGCAATTTTTGTTTCAAATTGGTGGTTATGTTCCAAATTCAAGCATACCTTTCAAAGTAACCTTGAAAATATATTCTCGTATGTTTTGGTTCTATGTAGCATTATTATCGTAGCAATAATTTCATTACGCTAGAACATTTTTGGAGGAAATTTTTTGGGGATTATTTGTGGTGGTGCAATAAAATAAAATTTGTTGGGTAGAAAGAAAAAGTATTCGTACCCTTAGCATTTTGAATTTTGTCTTGCTATTACTATATTATTGTAATCATAATAATTATGCAAAGAGCATACATGTAGCAAAGCAAATAAATGGCTGAAAATAATGTATGCAAATTTCATGTAAGCACCCCCATGGTACCATTGTGCTAATTAATTGCTTTTTTCGTTTTTTTTTTTAAGTATTTTTTGGAACTTCCAGAATGTGTGAAATTGTACAAAATGCATAGTCTTCCACAAACTCATTTTAGGATATTATTTCAAAAATCAACCACTGAAATAGTGACTTCTTCCTCACTGGTGGCTGAAGAGAGAAAAAAGAATTTATAATCCAATGTGTGAGGCCTCTGTGATCTGCACAAATGAAATCAATTTACAATGTCTGACATTAATGCAGAATTGCAGAAAAGCTCATGAAATTATCCAAATCAAAGTGCAATAATTATCAGTAATATAAACATAATTCTGCCATCGTTGTTCGTAAGTTTGAAAAGGCATTTTCTCTCTTATTTTATTTTATATTTGTCAATTCTTGTGGATGGTATATTAGTGTACAGAAGTTTTACAACAACATTCAAAATAGAATCAGACTATTTATGATGAGTAATACCTGTCTAATTAACAAAATATTAAACATTTTTTAAATATCTGGGAGTTGTATAGAAATGTGTTTATTCCATCAATATTCATCTATAGTGCCTTCTAGGAAAAAATGCATTAATTCTTCCATATTTAAAATGTTGATTATTTTTACTAATCCTTAATCGCAGATTACTTTCTATTTTCACAAATACCTTCCTGAACATGTGTAGCAGAGTAGCATGATCAGGACACTTTCACACTAGAAAAGACAAGGAAAAGTTGTGCCCTATTTCTATGTACTGTACGAACATTGCCATAATATAAAGGTGAACACATTTGCATACCTGTATATTTATACAAATCCAGGCAGCATGCCCGGGCCACACAGCCGAACAAATTGAATTACCGTAGTAATATTTCCCATGCCGAATATGAATTAATAATCAGATGGCAGGCCTTTGTGATTCGTCCTATGAATTTTAAGCTATTGTGCCCTTTCGTCATTGCTCTGGTCCTTGACTTATGCTATAAATACTTTAGTGATATATTTCTTATAGAATATGATGCCATTTACTGTAGTTCCATTAAATTTAAGCATCATTTTAATGCTAGCTGGTACTCCTTAACTGAATAATACACTTTAAACTTAAAAATAATCTTTTTTTTTTTCAAATAATACAATCAGGAGATGGTACGTTCAAGTCATCTACCACTACCGTTCACATAACCTCATTAAAACCCTTTTTGTGTTTATCTATTTTTCGCCAATGAAATGTGTCATGAATGTGATGAATTATCATTTTTTTTCTGTTCTATAAGGACAACTGGGATCTCTTGGATATATATTTATAATCTAAAATAAAAGAAAGCAAATTGGTTTTCACTCACTCATTCTAGAAATGGCTGCTTTTGCGTAGCCATGTCTGGAGCAAATGCGTGGAAAATATGTTGACTCAATTTTCAATATTCCCAAAATCATCTTTTTCAAATCTTCTCATTTTCGCTAATAAAAAAAAAATTCCTGGACGTCCATTGACTATGCTGAACCATGATATTATCATTTACTTTTTACTGATCGAAATGTATCGTTTTTGTTAAATATTTTTGGACTTGTGCATTACCACTACCAACTTTTTGTCGTTTTTAATACTTTTACTCATTTTTTTTACATTGCCGCCATTGATATTGTTTCATACAAAATTTATCTTTAGTTTATTTTAATCAAACATCATTTGGTGTATGATTAAGCTTGATCTAAGATAAATTTTGTGTGTGGATTGTTGTACAGTAATTAAAGATGTAGTCATTTGCATCTGTTGTAAAAATCGTAAAACTTGTTGCATACAATACCTTTCTCACTATCATTTCAACTTCCAATGAAAATCATAATTTGTCAATTGCTTCGATTTTATTTTACTGAGTTTTGTAAAAGACAGGTCTTACTGCATACGATTTCCAACGATATTTTATACGACACTGAATCTATCAGAGTCAGGTGACGGCACAATGACAAAATTGTCCGCGTTTACCTTCGATATCTCCAACAAGATTGTGAAATCTGGGAAACATTGCGTTTATACTCCGGCTTCGGATTGGAAAAAATTGGCCTGACAACTGGTTAAAATGTTTACGCCGACAACATCTCCGGAGTCCTAAAAAATCAAATTTTATTAACAAAAATTCCATTGGCAAGCCTTACAAGAACGCTATAAGTAGGCTTATCATACGTCCCGGTTTAGCCGAGCTGTCCCGGCCGGTTGACTCAAATGTCCCGGTTTGTCAGCACGACTGTCGTGGGTAAAAAATTCATATTCATTATTATTACAATTTTTTTTTAACGATGGCAGCCCATTTACCACTGTTTTGCGACACACTTCGCTAGTTCAGAGAGAGAGAAATTGCTCTATTGTTATGTCACAATCGGTATATGTTTTACTTTCACACTGCTATTCATGGCCAAAGTTTTGACTGCACCTCTAAATTAATTTTTCTTTAGCCTAAATTTGCGTTAACTTGTAAATATAGACAGTTAGAATTTCTGATGTCCGCTATCTGATAAGCGGATTCGCTGATTTTGCACGTTTAGCCATAAATAAATGAGAGTCGGTGATTTTTAATTGCATTGCTCTGCTGTTCTCCTCTGAACCTAATGATGATTTACTTTAAACCAGTTTCGTATTAGTAACCTTCGATGCATCAAACAGAAAAAATTTAAAGCTTGTTCCAGTTGTGGTTCGGTATTTTTTACCTGATGTTGGTGTGAAGATAAAACTATTAGAATTCAAATCTCTACCCAGGGAAACCGCCAAAACTTTTACTGAATACTTGCTCTCTGTTCTCGGAAAAGTTGTTGGATTCTGTGCGGATAACTGCAACACCAACTTTGGAGGCGTAAAAAGACGAAAAACAAATAATGCTTTTTTTTTAAACTAAAAGAAATATAACCGGTATAGATTGTGCGGCTCATGTAGTTCAACACTGCACTGCGATGCCCTTTCCAACATGCCGTAGATACTTTGCCTGTTTGTGTTGTTGTCAGAATGTATGATTATTTTTACATTCACACTGTCCGAGTAACAGAGCAGAAACCACTTTGCGATTTTTTTGATATTGAATATCAACGGCTATTACAGCATGGCAACACTCGGTTTCTCCCTTTATTACCTGCTTTGCAAAGGATTACGGAAATGTTTGAAAGCTTGATAAGTTATTCAAATTCTCAAGAAGGATGTCCTACCGTAGTAGTATATATTTACGGTCCTACTCTTATGCTTAAATGTTCCAACGTACGAACTTCACTTGAAATTTGTCCTTTGCCAGCTCGCCTACTTCAGCAAAATTATTTTAATTTTGGAAAAAGATAATAGTAATGCCGTAGATCAGGGGTCGGCAACCTACGGCCCCCGGGCCGGATCCGGCCCGCAGAGTATTATAAGCCGCCTCGTGACGCTTACTGAATCATAGTAACAAAACAGCCGTTTTGACGATTATATTTTCTAAACTAAATTATTGTATAACCTTACAAGTATATAATTCACAATTACTCGTTTAATGTGCCTATAATTTAATTATAATTAGACAAATATATTCTATATTCTATTCGAGAGATGTATTACTGCTTGATTTTTATTATAAAAAGTATCATCCGTTCGGTTTCAGCTTTCTAAAAATATGTGCGGCCCGCCAATGACTCGCAACCCTTAATTTTGGCCCGCGATCGACAAAAGGTTGCCAATCCCTGCCGTAGATGTCAGAGGTGAAGCTAAATTTGAAGGAAAAAGGGTAAAGTCTGTCAATTCCGTCGCAATCACTTGTACTTCTGAAATCCTTGGGACGCTCTGGCGAAATCGACGTAACTCTATAATGTTTGCGATTTTTACGAGAAATGTCTGTCGTAGCTGCATGATGAAGCCTACAATGCTGTCAGGCCAAACATATGGAGAAATTTGAAGGGTGAAATAAACTGGACTGAAGTGATTGGTCTTCAAAATTGATAAATGATATATATGTTTGGTTGGCTAGTCAGATTTTGAATAGCGATGCACTTTTCGACAAATACCGATGAAGAGATATTTATTTAAATGAGCATGGTTCAAATGCAATTTGGCTTACTTTGCCGGTTGAAATTAAGTGGACAGAGATGTTTAACGTTTTTTCTAACAGAAATATTAGCATTTCGAATTTGCAGAAACTCGTAGATTTTGTTTGCCGGAACATCGGCATCTGTTGAACGGATTTTCTCCGTTGTTAAAATTTTTTGATCCGAAAGCAGGTTCAGAATGCCAGAAGAATATATAAAAGCACTCGTGACCTGCAAATTTAATGGTGATGACTCTTGTTATCAGTTTTATGAAAAAATCAGAACATGAATTTTTGAGAAGGGTTCCATCTGCGGACAATACTTTTGGTCTAAATAAATAATACTCGTACGAACTATTTTTTTATGTTTTTCCTAATTCAATGATCAATAGAGATTTACAGCCGTATATACCCTTAATGACATGGTAGACGTTTCAATATTACAAAGACTGGCAATCGACCGAATGTTTGCCAAATCGCACCGTCCCGGTTTTTGTTTCAGATTTATGGTAAGCCTAGCTATAAGTAAACTCGATGATTTTTGGGATTGTGTTGAAAATTATGACCTCTTATCTCCTTTGATAGTCAAGCTCCGGGAATTCACAAATCCGACTCCACAGCCTTAATTCCAACCCAGCGTTTCCGTGTATTGAAGGAATCAAAGTTATAGTTGTCGAAGACGCTAGATTTGATTAACAGTATGCTAGGTTCACGAAAAAAGTAGGTTTGTTTTTAGCGTATCAAAAGCGCGATTTTTGACAGTCTGTATGTAATTAGATAGTCAACATATTGGTTTAGTGGGGGAAATGGGATTGCTGTGCTATGTACTACTGGCCCCCTTGAATTATCTCATGAAAATAGATAATGACAAAACATATTTTTACCTATCAATAGTGATATTTATCTTTTTAGGCACATGTTCATGCTTGCCAAGTTGAGGAAGATTATTTATATCCAGTTGCAAACGAGGAGTTGAATATTACTAATATTCATATGGGTTTGATATTATTAATGAGCCTCGGAATCAAATTAAGGTTTGTCCAATCCGGACTGTCCCCTTTTCCATATATATACAGTAGTGAAAAAACACGCTAGTCTCGAACAGCGTAGCCAAGTCCATAGCCACTGTTCGACTTGAGGCTTCTATAGGCCCCTATCTTTCAGATACTTATCATATGCGAAGAAATTTGGTGGGAAAATGTTTACTATATTAAAATTTGAAAATTGATTTTGCTTGCATTTTAAATTGAATAAAACTACATTAATTTCTTGGACTGGTGACTGTGGATTTTATAGCGAATTTAAAACCCAATATATGCGACCATCCGCTTATTTCTGTGACCTGCAAGCCAAAACAATTTCCCACCTCAACCTGCACAATAAACAAATTAAAGCCTTAATATGACCTCACTACATCTATCATAATATTAAATAAATAATAAATCCATATAAAATACCGTTACGGATATGTAGCAGAAATGTTTTGATTGTGATTGCTTTCAACGTCGATTGGATACAATTTGGCTAAAGCGCACGAGCAAAATCGGATTATGGCTATTACACATGATCGTAATTAATAATAAATCTATATATCCTACTCAAATATTAAAATTCAATACCTGTTTTATGCATTTCTATAGTTAATCTTAGGCCATGTTATAAACACTACACACACCCTCGATCAGATTTTCGTTATCACAGCCGACCATCCTTAATTCATGGATAGCCTTCTTCAATACCTGGTAACGCTCATACGATAGAGAGCGTTAAAAAGCGACAGCTGCAGTGGAATTAATACGGTGATTTCAATCAACGTCAAGAATTGCATTGGTGGCAGGGGCTTCTGTCTAATTATGAAACTTTGAGGTAGGTCGTTACTGTAGCAAGCTGGGAGAAATAATATGGTAATATATAGTTATATAACAATAAGTAGCGATCTTTAGTACACGTGAGGAATAAAAATAAATTACGGTATCCCTTGTAGTGGATTTGATTAAAGCATTATTGAATGGTATAGACCTAAATAAGCTAAATCAGGATTTTTGTGAAAAAAATATTCCGGATGGAATAAGAAGAGAAGAGAATGAAATATTTTTCAGTTCAGCAAATGAAAAGTACCGATGCTAGTCAATCAATGACAACGAATGCATCCTTTGATAAAAAAAACTCACTTTTGTCATTTCCAAGCCGAGTCTGACGTAGCCAATGAAGATATCCATCCCACTACGTGAATTATTGAATTATTTTACTTACATATATTTACTTAAAATAGCAGTTATAGCTAAATATTATGTCAAAATGGCATGCAAGTAACTAAGTACTCAATTAAGAGTCGCATAGCACAAGCGAATCAACAATCAAACCATTGACCATGCCTCGGATACGCACGGTTTGTTTCTAGTAATAGAACCCTTCATGAGTTTAATATTTTTATTTTGTTGGTTAATTAGAATTTGAACATGGCAAAGTATAGTAAATCAACACAAACAAGTCACATTGAACAATGTGAGAGCATCGGTCAAGAATGGCTTCTGATGAAAGGAGCACAAGAGCTGAGAGCAAACGATATACTGGTTGATGTAGTACTTATCGTGGATGGAGTAAAATTGCAGCCGTGTCACAAGTAATCCCTATTTGCCGCTTTATTTATTTTTTTGTGATTATATATATAGGCTACAACTTATATATTACAGACGGCCCATATTTGTCCGATCTTGACTTTAGTTTGAAAACGAAGCGAATTTTGCATCACATCATGTATATATACGTAGAAGTTTCTGCGATTATATACACTTATTAAACTTTGATTATATTGTTAAGAAGTTTTTTAAATTTTTGTTTTAAATTTTCATCCGCCACCAGGTTCGTTCTTGCCGCAAGTTCGCCCTATTTCAGGGCTATGTTTTCCCATGGAATGGCTGAACAAAATAAAAAGGAGATTGAAATCATGGATGTTGATAGACGTTCACTTCAACTAGTTCTGGATTACATTTATACTTCGCAAGTATCGATCAGCGATAAAAACGTCCAGGGATTAATGACAACATGTAGCCTTCTTCAGGTAATTTGAAAAATGATTATAAAAATAAGTAATCAAAAGCATAAACATATACCTGAGACTGCAAGATCACTCAGGTTTATTATACAGCAATATAAAAGCCGTTTCAAGTATTATGTCGTCAAATAAAACTCAAAATACAATCATTCGATGGTAAAATCGACGTATTTTCCATTATCCTTGGTTTGTTGCATACAAACGCCTTCAAAATCATAATAATAAAGATTTTTAGAAAAATATTGTTTCTATAATAATCTATTTGCAAATAGATGTTTTCTGATTGAAATAGGGTAAATTTGCTAAATGATGCGACCATAGAATTGTATGGAGAATTTATTGGTCATTCACGGATGTAATAAGATTACAGTTCGGTGGTGTGTCCCATTTGCATTCGAACTGAGTTTACTTTGTAGATCTGCTCAAAAATCGTAAAACATGGTACGATATTTTTCAGATAACGGGATTGTACGGCAAATGCAGAGAATATATGATAAGAAGACTTGATAGCACGAATTGTGTGTCAGTTTATCAATTCGCCCGATCTATGTATTCAACAAAATTAGAAGATGAAGCATTTCGGTTTATTGCGAGAAGATTCAAAGACGTTTCCAATATGGAGGAGTTTCTAAGTCTTAGCAAAGATGAATTTATTGATGTCATTTCATCCGACGATGTTTGGGTAAGCTGAATTTCATGCAATCTTTCATTTGAATGAAAGACTATACATAACTAACGATACGCCTTGGAAATTGCAATTCACAGATCTTTTCCATTGTTTAAATATCCTAATCTTGTCCATTTCTATATTTTTTTTATCATGTTGTTTTTTGGCGCTCCCGTAGTGTGTGAACAAAGATGGCGAACGCCGGAACGTAGTATGTGTACCAGGTTAGGGTTAGGACACAATTTTATTCTAATTTTCCCTGTTTTAGTTCTATTACGAGTTCGGGGACTAGCCAAATGACTCTAACCCCAAACTGGTACACATACTGGGTTCCGGTGTCCGCGATTTTGATTTACAAAATACATGAGTAGCTGTTTTTCAATTCCGTGTTAATAGATTACAAAAGAGGAGTATGTTTACGAAGCTGCAATCCGATGGTTAGCGGGAAATATCTCAAGGTGTTGTCATGTTGCAGAAATTTTTTCACACGTTAGATTTGCACTGCTTGATGAAGATTATTTAGACAGCTGCGTGTTGCAAGTAAGCATGTCATCTAAAGCCAGCGCTAACTATCCGGTTTTCTCATGAAATATATACATAATATGAATAGTACATTAACATATCAAAATTTGATGGTAGAAAGTTTAGAGAATTTATTTCAATATTAAAATCATGCCCCGAACTGTTTTTAAAGATTATGAAAAAATCACCATAGTACAATGTGCATGGCATATGGAAAAAACAGTCGTTCATACTTCGATAATTTACATATATAGGATGTCCATGAAGTCCTTTTACAATTTCAATTTTGTTATGAAGTCAGTTCTCCACATATATTAACCTATATTGTTGTTTTTAAAATCAGTAATTGTTTAAATATTTTTACTTCATTTAATACAACTGTGAGGTCCAAAACAATTATGGTATCGATGAATTCCCTTTGCAATTTAAAAAAATGTAAGACCTCATGGATACCTTATTAATATGCAGTTTGCTGAATACACTCAGTACATACCAGATATTACACTATGATGATTAAATAAAAGCAACGAATCTACCATATATATATTGCATTTAATTTTGCTTCATCTGGTCATATTTTAGGAAGAAATCATCTTGGAATATCCACATCTCCGTTCTCAAGTCGAAGCCGCAAAAACGTACATCACAAAAGCAAAAAATCTTCAAAATAAGAAGAACACAGAAGAGTTTTATGATCAAACATCATCGGATGTGTCGGAAAACTCGGATGTAGAAAGTCGTTTTCCTTCGTATACTATTTCGATTGAGGGACTAGAAAACACAGTCAGGATACCTTTAAATTTAAGACCCAGGGCTGGAATGAACACAAAAGAATATTTGTTATTTACAAATGGCAGGAAAACGTTTGTTATGAATCCAGACTGTTCAGCGGAATATTACGGATGTATGGACAATAACCATACTGATATTAACGGCAATCGGGAAGAACGTTCAGCGATTGGTTGGTCACCAAATCTTCCACTCATGAAGAACCCTGAGGCTTATGTGGCAACGGATGGAACAACCTTTCTGTTAGGTGGTACGTGGATTTTCCCGTGTAATGAGGTACACTGGTATGTATCAAATTGAAGTGAATAAAATATGTTTAAAATTATATTTTAGGTCTCGAAGTAGAAAAGACGATGCCGCCAGACGTACGAACGAGGGTTTACACGCTTGAACAAGATGCTCTCAGCTGGACAGCGTGTACGTCGATGCCAATTCCGCGATGTATGGCAGCATACGGTGACGGGTGTGGGCACTTTTACGTTTTAGGTAAGCCTATAAGGGTCGCATTCAGTAGTGGGATTCAGTCGGTTCGCACCGGTTCTATAGAACCGTCTCACGGAATTTTATGAGATCAGCGAACCGGTTAGCATTACTAAAAGAAAACATGTAACAGAACCGGCCGAAAAATATGACTTTTGTGATGGAACCGGCTGACAAAAAATTTGAATCCCACCACTGGTCGCATTGTAATATATATATATCGGTATTATTGACTTCAATGAAAGTCAGGTTATTATACTCGCTGACATTTGTGCAAACGGTTGGAATGTCTTCTCGTGATATATTGTTGGCGCTCATTTGCTTCTTATTATGTGACTGTTTTTTACCCGTTCGACCGCATCCAAAGTAGAATATAAATGTGATCAGTGTAAGAATATCTTAAGGCTTGCAAAATATTTACAATTGACGAATATAACTTTCATCGGCTCATCTTTCTGATCATTCCACTAAATTAGCCACGAAATCACATCCATACAAAGAAGGTATTATTTTCTCTTGCCAGTAAAATTTCTACGATAAATTTTTTTTTCTCAAAAACTTCCGTATTGCGAAATTCCCTTCTGTTTTTAGCTATTTCCTGGAAACGTTGACCTGAATTATATCAAGTCCTATGTCAACAGCTATCTACTGACATCTGTCATCTTGTTAACAATATTGAAAATATCGATAACCCGTTTGGGAATTAGGTTTTCATATGTCACGCAGTGAGATGTTGTATTCCCACAATTAAAATGGCATATGTTTTAAACTTAGAGAATGGCTATTTCATTGTTTTAGCAAATTACACATACGCAATATAAAACCATGCACCATAGTGAATATTAATTATTTTATTTCGTTGTAAATTAACATTTCCAGGAGGCAAAGCTCTCGCCCAGGGCGAAGTCGTATCAACAGTCCACAAATACAGTAGAATTGAAAATGAATGGGAAGAAGTTAACCCAATGCCAATTGCAGTTTATGGCCACGGTTCAGCTTCAATACACGATAAAATATACACCATTGGTGGGAAAACTACCGCTAAGGTAACACTCAATTCTTCTGTGTATAAGGAGTCTTTAAAGTATGAAACTCGATTTTTTTTAACTGCTCTCAAAATTCAGGTTTTACTTTCCAATGTCCATTATCTTGATTGCGTCACACACCAATGGACAGAGATTGAATCGATAACTGTTCCAAGGTTTTTACATGGAGTTACAGTGAATCGAGAAACAGAGGAATTTATTGTCGTAGGTGGTTCGAGCGAGGAAGGTGTACTAAACAGTGTCGAGGTATTGTTTATATTTTTAGCGGATTTGTTAAATTTTCAAAGACAAAATAGATCACTAATGTGAATGCCAATATAAAGCAAAAACTAATCGACCAATCAACGGCCGACACGACCTAGGCCTAGGTGTCGCTATACATACCTTATAAGTGCTTCAGTACATATCTATATACGTTGAATTTGATCGTTTACTTTTTTAGGTATTCAATTTGTTAGAGCGAAGATGGAAATTCGGCGAAAGTTTCCCCGGAAATCGATGTGCTCAATTTGTAACATATTTCAAGGAAGAGCTGCACGCAGTTGGGGGCTACGTTACAGAAAGGTAATTTGTGATTTCATCTATAATATAGGGTCTTTAATTGCGGTGTATATAAACCTGAATTAAAAACCTCTCTCACTATATTAGGCTCTAGGTACTTATAACGAATGGAAAATACAACCATGACGCGACGAATCTAGAAATTTGACAAATATCTTTATGCCACGTTTCACGATTAATTTACTTATTTTTGCGCAATTTCAGAACTGATGGTGGTAGATACGAATCAAGAGAAATGCATGATATTTTTGCTTTGGAAGATGAATCGAATCAATGGATAAGAAAAACCAGGAGAGTCAGGGGAACTGTTGGAGGATCTCTCGCATGTGTCAAAGTGTCATTGAATGTAACGAAGTTACCTCGCGCTAGAACTGCGTAATGAAATATTTAAAAATATAATCAATAAATACCAAAAATGGATGGAAACGTGGCCTATTAGATTTTAAAGAGCTGGGTATTTTGAAAAAGGTTTCGGAAAAGTCAAAAATGTTATCTTTAGTCTTAATTTTTGCATAAAAGAATGAAATATTCACTTGGGTCAAGAATGGATACATTCGCTGCACGATACCTATAAGATACACAATACAAGTAAGCGGTGCTCAAATGTATGGACACGAAAGCCAAAACAAAGTAGTATGCAATTTGTCACAGTGGACTACCGGTACAGCAATCTGCACGACTTCGCCTGGTCATGGTCACTAGTTCGCAAAATTAAAGAAAAGAACATCCGTCACGATGTCATAAAAAGCACAAATAGAAATAAAACAGCGGGATTTTAGATGAATATCAGATCTCATAGAAAATTTAGAAATAAATAAAAGTAATAGCCTTCTAGCGACATATTTTCAAGCAATTTGTCCAGTAATAAAGGGAGAAAGGCGATTTTTTTCACAAGGGGAAGATGAAAATACAAACAACAACATGTAGAATAACACGACATAAAAACAAAACGATCCATCCGCTTCGTGTCCAATAAGATTTAAGCAATTACTGTAGTTTTATTTGTTTGACTTTATAGTATTAAGTGCTGAGTCACAAGTCGAGTTTGATCGTGTCGAGAATCGCTACAGTTTGATTAATTTGCACCGAAGTTAATAATTGACCAAACGAACGCAAATCCACTCCGACTTATTTCTGCTTGAAATAACGACAGCGAACATGTCTGCGATACCAAGAAACACAGAGGTTGAACTTGACGAATGTTTGTCTCACTATAAGTATGTTTTTAACCCAAACCTATTACAAGGTCAGGTTGCATTCATCACTGGAGGGGGGTCAGGAATTGGTTTCAGAATTGCTGAAATTTTTATGAGACACGGGTGTGATACAGCAATCGCGAGTCGGCGACTAGAAAAGGTGAAAGAATCGGCGAAGAAATTGGAAAAGGCCACTGGGAAAAGATGTCTTGCCCTTGCAGTAGACGTGAGGAAACCAAAAGAAATTGAAGAGACAGTGGATGAGGTTTTAAAACATTATAAAAAGATCGACATTCTGGTCAACAACGCTGCTGGTAACTTCATTTGCGACGCTGAAAATCTTTCGTACAATGCTTTTAAAACGGTTATTGAGATTGATACAATTGGTACATTCAACACAAGCAAAGCTGTTTTTGCAAAATGGTTCAAACAGAATGGAGGAAATATCGTCAACATCACTGCAACGTTAGCCTACAAAGGAGACGCGTTACAGGTGCATGCCGGGTCTGCGAAAGCTGCAATCGATGCGATGACGAAACATTTGGCCGTCGAATGGGGTGGAAACGGCGTAAGAATCAATGGTATAGCACCTGGACCCGTTGAAGGTACAGAGGGATTAAGAAAGCTAGCAGGAGGAATGGCCGATCAAGTCAAAACCGGTATACCCCTACAAAGATTGGCCCAAAAATGTGAAATCGCGGATATGGCCGTGTTTCTCTCCAGTAATGCAGCAGCTTACATGACTGGGACCGTTTTGGTGGCGGATGGTGGTAACTGGCTGACGTCATTCAATAATTTTAATATGCTTAAACAGGTCTTGCCTAAACCTAAAATATAATTTAATACTGACGTTTAATGACATTGCTATAGTACAAATTTCAAAAATTTATCAATTATTGCATATCGCCGATGTTTAATCAACATTGAAATTTAATGCAGCCGGCGTTGTTGAACAAGTCTTTCACAATTCACACTGATGTTCTTTCACTGTTCTCAGTACCCAGTGTCGAGATCAACACGATGTTTCAGTCTACATCAGGTGAAGCGAGTAACCAGTGGACAGCTGTTATATATATGTTATCCTGTTAAAATGCTACCAAATGATTCATTTATTTCAGTGTTTGTTTATAATATGGAGATGATAACAAATTCACGTTACTTTTGTTTCGTAATTTATTTCATAAATTTATTAATTAAGCGAACGTTGTATTTTTTTCGTGACTGGGAAGGGTTAGAATTTACTGGCCATTGTATAATACTTGTCTTGCGTCGAAATGGCATAGCACGATGGTAATGACAGGGAAAAATCACTGAGTCACTGTAAAAACTTAGAAAATTACTATTACAATTTATTTTTATTTGCTAATGTAATTAATAGAAAATCGATTTTTAATATTGCGTTATTGAACAAAAAACATACCAATGGAACGATTTGGCAAATCGTTGTCGTGAAAATATCGCATTTCTCTGCAACTGAGGGACCAATCGTTTTCAAATTTCCAGTACTTAAAAATGGGGAAGGTCGCTAGAAGGTTCCGACTATGGTTCACAAAATTTAACCCCAATTTTGGCATGTATTGAGCCACCACGTGACATTCCGCCAGTTTAGTCCATGTAAGGCGATACGGGTGCCGATGTGAATTTTTCAAGATGGTGGTGAAACTTGATTTGAATGGTCACATAACGGATTTATACGTTGTTGGCAGTTGGTCTTCGTTTTCATATCTTTTAGCATTGCTCTCTGTCAGTGTCAGACACAAGAGAAAAATGATTCAATGGTTTGCTATTTACGTATAACAGTCTGAGAATAATGTTATTTTTTGTCAATTCCGGAAAGGGTTCAAATATCTCCCATAGGTGCAAAAGGTCCGCGGGTGCAAATGCCTATGGGTGCAATCTGCATGCTGGTGCAAATGTCAGTGGGTGCAAAAGTACGCAGAAGCGAAGTTCACGGAAACAAATACGGTTCTAGCTTAGGTAATAGCTAACAGTTGGGCATTTCACGCGCATTGACGTAATTGAAAAAAAAGAAGTTACAAGACAAGCAACTCCTTCATAACTGTCTCAACATTGCTACGTTCGCTAAAATGGCGTATTCAAAATGCAGAACCAAGCTACAGCGACTACCCTCGCTAAGATAGACACGTAACTGCAACTACTAAACGGTATGCAGAGGCCCATTCCATTCACTTTAAATTACTCACTGTATAAGCAACTACTCGAAATTAGTTCACCTACGTATTCGCTTAGAAATGGGCTTTATACAAGCTACTAGGCTACTTGAAAGATATGGGTGAAGACAAATACCCAATAGTGTGGGTGTTTTTCGCTATTTAATCTGAACTACTTTTGAACAAGCGACTACTTATGAAAGTTAGGAATATTCGTCGGCACTCTCGTGCTATCTAAAATAAACTAACCTGGATTATCGAGATTGAGCTTACATCGATGACTCGTGTAAATGGAGACTACCGCTTGGGGCTCGCGAATATCAAATTTTACTTTCCCGTCGACATTAGCAAATTAACAATGGTCACACCCAAGCTTGTGACCTTCTGTTGTCCTATAATAAAAGCTGCTTTTTGTGGAACGTAACATACATTTAACTAAGATAAAGTACATTAGTATAATATATGAATTAAAAAGTTTAGCAGAGCAAATATTTTGTTATTAAATTAAAGTAATTACGAACTAAACTATCGTGCCTTTTCTATCTGGTACAAGATATTGAAATTTCGCACTGACTGGTTATCTTCTTAAATTCATTCTGCTGTCGAAGTTGTTACCAGATGCCAACCAACATCCGCCATCCACCACGAAGATCGCACCTGTCGTGTATGCTGAAGCATTGCTAGCTAAAAATACCGCGGTGTCCGCTATTTCGTATTTTTCTCCCATTGGTTTTAGCGGGATTGTTTCACTAATGGCATCTTCTAATCCGCCGCCGAGTCTCTTGAGACCTTCTGTTCCTGCAATAGGACCAGGAGCAATGCAGTTAATTCTTACCCCATTGACTCCCCATTCCACAGCCATATGCCTGGTCATGGCGTCAATTGCAGCCTTAGCGGAACCAGCGTGGAGCTGCAGGGCAGTTCCTTTGTACTGTATCGTGGCTGATATGTTTATTATATTACCGCCATGTTTATTGAACCATTTTGAAAAAACTGCTTTGCTGACATTGAAGGTTCCGAAAGAGTCGATCTCCATCACCGTTTTAAAAGCATTGTATGAAAGATCTTCAGCAGGACAGAGAAAATTTCCAGCAGCATTATTGACAAGAATGTTAATCTTTCCATAATGTTGCAAAATATGATCCACAGCTTTTTCAATTTCCTCTGGTTTTCTGACATCAACAGATAGAGCGAGGCAACGTCTACCAGTTGCATTTTCTAATTTTTTCGCCGATTCTTCCACTTTTTCTAGACGCCGACTGGCGATTGCAATATCGCATCCATGCCGCATAAAAATCTCAGCAATCCGGAAACCAATTCCGGATCCTCCCCCAGTTATAAAGGCTACTTGGCCTTGAAGCAAGTCTGGTGTATAAACGTAAGTATAATTTGTCAAACAATCATCAGTAAAAACCTCCACATTTCTAGGTTTTGTAGCCATTATTGTACTATAAAATGAATAACTACCAATATTTATAATGATAACTTGAATAATTAGGATGTTAGCCACGATAGATAACTTAGAAGTAAACAACCTATTTATTCCAGATCATGATAATGATCAAGAAAAATTCAAGATCGCTGCTCTTTTTACAGAGGTAGCTTTCCAACAGATTGCTTCATATTATACCAGTTTTTACGCAAAACATGATGACCAAGCATGACATCTATTTAAAACTAACTTGCTACTGAATATTTATGATTAGCGATTTGGTCAGATTATTAGCAGTTTGAATAAGTGCAGGTATTAAGTATTAAGACTAACGTTTAAATATCCGCTCTGCTAACATCCAACCTATACCAGTAAGCAAACAAGGTAACATGTATGTACTTAGCAAACATTGCTCAACAAAGAACTACACAAAAATCATGCTGATTAAACTGTTTGTCAATATTGCAAATTTGCTTACCAAATACTTTTGGAGTTGAGGGTTCACAGCAATGTCATATTTTTAAGGGTTAAAGGTTAAAAAAACGCATTCTCCATAATTGAAGGTCAAAAGAAGAAATTGAAGGAACTGACTTTGGGATAGTGGGCAACCCAATACATAAAAATGATATCAGCCCAACATTAAAGATAAAGTATAACATTTACAGATGGTCAATAAAAATGTTTTTTTGTTCGTTGTTGAGGAAAGATCACAAGTTTGCCAGCAACCAGGTTTCAAACATGACATTCCATACATTAATTGGTAATGCAGGGCACAAGATTGACACAGATAATATGAACTTGAGATAAATAAATCACAGCTAAATGACATATTTATTGAAATGTAAAGAAACACAAGTTGATATATGATCAAACAAGAATGAAACAAGTACAGCTGATCATGACGAGGTAAAAAAAAGTGGCTGTAGATATATAGCATATCAAAAACAAATTGAAAAATGCTCCAATATTCATCAATGCAAATTGTTTTGGAGTCCCATGCACACAGGATGAGCTTTATAACTTCCAGCATCTTCTAAAACTCCGCCCGGTGCACAAATGAAAGGATCATGTGTTTGATTTTGCCATTGCATTTGCATCATCCAAAGAGACTGAAAAATGTCTTTATATTTTTCATCAGTTGCTAGATTTTTTATCTCCAGCGAGTCATTATCTAAATTATACATCTCCCATTCAGGGCGATAATAATACTGATTCAAAGTTTTGAACCAATGAAGATCCTTTCCATCTCTAGTACGATTCAGCAGGTCTTGGAAAGATGGAGACAAATAAAAGTCTTGATCAATTGGAAATGGCATAAGATAATTCAAATTTCTAATTAACCTCCAACTTTTATTTCTAATTGATCTCATAGGATAATACATTGTGATTTCATGCAATGAGTGGCTGCCAAATACATATCTTCCATGAATATTTGGATCACTAGATATGAGAGACTGTCCAGTTAAACTAGCATGACGACCGAATATTTTATAACTTGGATATGAAATGTCAAACCATTTTAACACTGTAGGTGTAATATCTAGTGTGGAAATCACTCCATCACCATGCGTTCCCCAAGATGACTTTTTAAGTGGGTTCGAAACAATAAAGGGTTCTTTAGTGCCTGATTCATAGAGATTTGTTCTTCCATTTGGAAATGGGATGCCGTTATCAGAAGTGAATATCACCAAGGTATCCTCTGTGTGACCTGCATTTTCAAGTTCTTTCAAGATGAGTCCAACTCCTTGATCAAGTCTTGATATTGTTGTGTATTGTGCACTCAGGTCAGATCTTGCAGCAGGAGTATCTTGAACAAATCCAGGCACAATTACTTTATCGGGCGAATAATAATCAGGTTTCCAATCTTCTATTATTCCCATTCCTGGTTGACCATTTCCAAATTTTTCACAAAAAACTCCATATTGTGGTTGCGTATGCCCACATCTATGTGGATCATGGAATCCAATATATAAAAAGAAAGAACCATTACTCTGAGACAAAAACTCTCTGGTTAGCTCTTTCATTCTGGTAATATTTCTCCCGACTTGCATAATTGAATTATTTTCTTCTGTCTGAGCATAGTCGAATGGATAAACTTCCTCTGGGCCAACATGCTTTTTACCAATGATACCAGTTCGAATACCAGAGTCTTTTAGTATGAGAGGAAGACTTTTGACTGCATTGAACGAATCAAAATTATGGTAGCCATTGTGCAATCCATACATGCCATTTTGATGTGGGGGAAGGCCTGTAAGAATTGCTGATCTACTGGGCGAGCAACTGCTTACGACAGTGTATGCATTTTTGTACAAAATTCCGCGAGATGCCAATCCATCTATGTTTGGAGTCGATATGACACTGTTATTATACGCTCCACATTCGAATCCGTAATCGTCTGCAACTATCACCAGGACATTGCGAGGAATAGCAGCAAAGCATAAACACAATGACGACAAACAAATGAATAAAAAATGAAAATAACGCACCAGATTGAACATCCCAAGACACCCAACCATTGCACTTTTGCAAATTGCAGAGGCTAAGTAATAGGGGGTTTCCCGTACGACACGATCACATGACGCTGCATGATGTGTGACCAAATGGTAAGACCAGAGCTCTGGCTCTGGTAGGACTACCTGACCGGTTGATTCATTTGAAAATTATTAATACAAAAAAAATTGCTGACAACTAAGGCATTCAATTATCGTACAGTTGTCTTGAAGTTAACCGTAAATATATAGTAGTTAACGCTGTAGTGGAGGGATGCGGACAACTCGACCACACGGACAACTCACCAGAGACAACTCGACTACAGTAGTGGATTGTATCTTAAAATCCCGAATCTGGGGTGAAAATTTTCGACTTTAAATAAAAATAAATCCTAGTAGAATCGGCAAGGAGGTCGTCTCGTGATTATTACTGATAATATTATGATAACGTTAGTATATTATGACAGGTCGAAAAAGTACATTATTGATTTGTGAAATCGTAGTTTATTCAAATCGATATCTAGGATTCTTGATTGACTTTTAAAAGTGGTTTACAGATTCGGGCCGTGTTTAGAACATGGCACAACTTGCTACCACGAATGGGGAATCCCCTCTAAAGTAGGGTGGATACAAAGTGACAAATTCCGAAACGGGATATTTTATCAAGCAACGACCAAGCGTTGTCTCATTTATTTGTTGTTCATGTGTTCACATTTGATTAGCATTGTTCCATTGCAAGCAACTCGATTACGGTACCGTACTATTGCCACACGTTGCAACTGTCAATAATATAATATGCGCTACCGGTACGCATTCCATAACTTGGTGCTACGGTACATACTAGCCTATAGGGAGAAATTCGAGTTCCAAGGAGGTAATATTGAATTTATGTTTGGTATTTACGGTACCTTAGAATACACTAATACATAAATATGTTAAAGATGTTTCTTTCGGTATGTCATCTTTTGCTTCTCATCTGTTGCATTTCATCTGGTTTTGCAGAAGAACAATGGTTCGAACAAACTCTTGATCATTTTGATCATGAGGTGAGTGTCTTTCAACACTTGAATAACTCTTTTTGTGTTCTATTTTTCTCAATATTGGTTAGACAAAGGTTTACTAAAACCATGGTGATACACAATTTATAAATGTTTCATGACATGCCAAATATGCTGATTCCAAAATTTCTCAAATAGTTATTCAAGAAAATTTATGACTGAAGTCACATTTGAATATTCATACCATTCGACTTATTCTGGACTAATATTAGTGATTGTCAAGATCGAATAGCCTGCCTAATGTTCTGAATACATTTTTAACATATTTTTGAACCAATTTTTATCCTGAATTAAGTCATGTTCAACACATAAGGTTCTTGACTAACAAGATAAAAGTTTTGATACTGGCACACCAATGACACCATGTATACCTCTGTACTTTTAGAATCACAGAACGTGGAGCCAGAGGTATTTTGTATCAGATAAATACTATACACCAGGTGGACCTGCTTTTTTACAAATTGGGGGAGAAGGACCCGCAGGTCCAGTATGGTTGGATCAAGGACATTGGATTGAAATTGCAAAGGAAGTTGGTGCTAAGTGTTTTATTTTAGAACATAGGTGAGTGATTTGGACAAAAAGATATAAGTAGGTTTTCACGGTGTGTAGAATCAAGCCTCCTTCCTTGTGCATGTGATAGTTCTATTTCCACCATCTTCGCCATATAGACTGAGCCTTTATATGAATAGGATAGCGAAAAAATTTAAAACAATAAATTTTGGGTCTCATGTAGTTTCGTACATACTTTTAGTGGACGTAGCATGACAATTTTCTCACGTATCAATCCTAACCCCCACCTGACTACACCATCCAAAAATTACGTCAACAGTGACGTAATAGAACCCTTCAAACTATACGACTCGCTATCCAAGAGGCGCAACCGAGCACCCGAAATCGAACAGTTATTTCTCTTGTTTCCTCGTCGGAACGATTCCGATAGGAAAGAGATCGATAATGTCAGTCAGTTCTTTATCATCGGCGCCAATGCCATTTTGGGCGATTGTACGTTTATTTGTCAAGCTCTATGACGTGATTGTGATGTCGTAGTGACGTAATTTTTGGATGGCGTAGTCAGATGGGGGTTAGGATTGACATATCAAAAAATTGTTTTGCTACGCCCACTAGAAGTACGTTAGGTACGAAACTACACGAGACCCGAAATTTTAACCCCAAATGATTATGCTATCATTTATTATATATTGTTATTGAAATTTCCCATCATGAAGTGAACGAACACACATTATTCATTTAATTTAACAAAGAAAATTATCAATTTATATCAAAACAGAAATGTAATGTTTCAAGGTAATATTCTGTGGCAATCATAGATTAATGAATAACGGAGGGGCCATCATCCATCATCGGCATAATTAGTTTTCCTTTCTACGATTACAGATTGTATAGTTTAAGTCCTGCCTTAACAATATATTCTCATCTAAAATAACTGCTTTAGATTTGAAATGAAGTACAAGCTGGCCAATATTTATAATTTCATTTCATATATAAATTTTATTTATAGATTTTATGGGGAAAGTCATCCTACTAATGACACATCTGTTGAGAATCTTCAATTTTTATCAAGTGAACAAGCCCTCGCTGACATAGCAAGATTTATCACAAATAAAACTGTAACATCAGGCTTGAAGACTTGGATAACATTCGGTGGATCTTATCCTGGATCACTTTCATTGTGGATGAAACTTAAATATCCACATTTAATTAAAGGTACTGATAGCTAGGTAGACTTGTATAAGTTGTATTGTTAATATGGAAGATTTAAAGGATTTTTAAGAAGAATTTCCTGAGTGCTCATAAATGGAAATTATTGACACCATATGTTATTTCTAACCCCCACCTGACTATGTCATTCAAAAATTATGTCACTACTACGGCCTTCCAAACTATACTAACTGTCATCCGAGACGCTCAAACGATCACCCGAAATTGAGCAAGTTATTTCTTTCATTTCCTTGTAACGTTCCCGATATGGGAGAGATCGCTGGTGTTTGTTATCCTTATGTTAGGGAGTTTGTTATCGTTGGTGCGTTCGTAGCTAAACTATGGCAAGCTCTTTGACATGATTGTGAGGTCATAGTGACATAAACTTTGGATGACAGAGCCAGGTGGGGGTTATGAATAACCTATTTAAAAATGGTCAGGCCATGCCAAATAGGAGTACTTACGTCCTTTAGTGAACATGCACCCATACTTGTATGCATGATTGGTGAGAATTTACACCCGTCTCCGAGCCATTTGAAAAATAACTCTGGCCGACTCCAATTTCCGACTTTTTTTTCAATTTAACTACTATTTTCTAATACACAGGAGCAATGTCTGCAAGTGCACCTCTGCTTGCAAAGATGGATTTTTTTGAATATAATGAAGTAGTTAACAGGTAGTGCATCAATGAAAATATTCTATTGTTTGTATATGTAATGGCTATTATTTGTTCATTGTTAAATTGTAACGCATAACAAAAAATTGTGTTTATGATATTATTCAAAACTATTTTTCAAAATATTTGTCAATGAAATCAAATTGAAGAAATTTTTTCTGCATATCAATTTCTAATTTGAGTTTGTTGATAATATGATTATTAACTAAATATAGCAACCATAAATTGGATAGTTATTATTGCAATAAAAATAGTTACACCTAGAACACTCGAAAAACACTTATATTTTCTGTAAATAATAGAAATGTTGGCTTTCTATTCATTCTTGTTTTTGCATTGTGTGTAGCCTGCTTGTTATACAGTGTAGGCTGAATTTTTCAACAGTTTTATCATTGTATTTACAGGTCTCTCAGTAAGTTTGGCTCACCAAAATGCGTTGAAAATATCGCTATAGCAACAAAAGCTGTTGACACAATGTTACAGAGTGACACAGGTCGTCAACAACTGATGAAATTATTCAATCTCTGCTCCCCGTTGTCAGCAGACGATTACGAATATTTTCAGAATGCAGTTGCAGATTCGATTGCTGAAACTGTGCAATATAACAGAGATAATCGTGCATTTGAAGGTGCTACAGGTAAACATGATTGTTTAAAGCAAGTTTTTGAACGGGGCGCTCAGCCCCGTAGTGGGCCGCAAGCAAAGTCCTTGACTTCGTATCTTTCGCAATGAATACCAGTATATTAATCTGAAGTGCATTTGAAATGAAGCACTGTCTGTAATGCATGCTTTTTGTTTACCTTTTTAACCACTAAACGTTGCACATTAAATAAGTGATGGAAACTCAACTAGGTTTTTTTATTGAAGAGTGAAGGCTGCAGAGTATCGTGAGTCTTTGGAATGTGGCTATGGATCATGACACTTTGATTGCTTGCTTGCACAGTGCTTTGTTTGGAGGAAAGGTGTGAAAAAAACATCTCATAAAAATCACATCATAAAAAAACTGAATGCTAAGCAATTTCATATTGTTATTTCCTATTGCAGATGGGAATGTGACTATATCTGTATTGTGTGATCATATGACTGATCAATCATTGGGAAGTGAGATTGATCGTTATGCAACAATCCCTTCCTTATTTGGGAATGCTGTCGACAGGAAGAGAGTGGTACGTTCCTGACTAATCATTAACTTGTGGAAATCTATTATTACCTATTCTATTGTGGTCATGTTGGAATGTCTGTGCAATGGACGATCAATTGTCATCTAAACTTATTTAATATTGATGAGTTAAAAAAATTGTCTCCATTTTCACACAATTTTCAGTGGCCACATTGAAATGTTTGTGCCTTATTATAAAATATTTTTGTTTAAATTCATATCTTATTTTTTGTACATTTATCGATGTATAAGCGCATTCAACTGTAGTATTTTCTGTACGGTATTTCACTATTTCAACATCAACTGTTGTTTTAAATCAAGTAATTAACATATTACTTTCCGTTAGTTTTCCAGAAGATATAGAACATACGGCAATGAAATGGATAAATGTTTTGATGCAAGTTACGCAAATTTTATTCAATCTATGAAAACACCTACGTTTGATGCAGGAAGAACTTGGACTTTTCAGGTTTGTTTTTATCTTTGAATCAAATGTAACCTGAAGTTATTTTTATTGTCGAGCGTAAAGTGTACATATGGATCCATATTTGTCTCGTGAGTATATGCTTCACTGGTATATCATTGCATAGAAGTTATTGGTCCCCAAGTCCATGAAATGTTGACTCGTTTCGTTTAGTTCAAAAATAATACAACAGACTGTGTTTTTCTGAACTTGTCTCTCCACTGAAAGTCTTCAACTTGTGTGGCTGTGAGCTCTCATTCATTTACCTTATTTTTATTTAACTTCCTCGTAGCCATTTTCCTGATTGTCGGTGTGCAATCCTCGATCACAAGTTCTGTATACTAGCATATCACATGGAGCAGTTTATTAACATTTTGCTCTTTGTGGGTCAAAGACAACTTACTTTGCATCCCTCTTTTTCAGACATGCACGGAATTTGGATGGTTTCAATCTACAGACAGTTCTAAGCAACCATTCCGTGGATTTCCTGTTGGTTTGTTCACTGACATATGCATCAAAGTATTTGGATCATCCTTCAACCCTACAAACATCCAAAACAGCATTATGGAAACCAATGCAAATTATGGGGCAAGGGATGTAGCAAGCCAAATTACAAATGCAGTTCTTTTTAATGGCGGGGTTGATCCATGGCATGCAATGTCATACACCACACCAACAGATTCTTCTCCTTACAGAAAAATAGTTGCCAGATTTAATAAGGCAAATTACACGAATCATAGCCCGACCTTTCACACTCTTTTTGTACCTAGTTCAGCTCATTGTGCTATTATGTATCCTGATAAACCAGAGGATCCTCCTGAACTTCGTTATGCTCGAGCACAGGCGTCAAAATATGTAAAATCATGGCTTAAATGACACTCTGGTAGTGATGTCACTAGACTTCGAGTAAAAGTTTAAACAAATTTCCATCAGTGGCTTGTTTTTACCTCTTTACAAAATTGTGGCATCCTATTTAACTGCTCTATGGTATCTGACTTTTGCTACTAATACTTAACAATTTATTATTTTATCAAGTGCAATCATTAGATTTGTCACATTATATTGCCTTCGTACACTACATTCTGCTTTATGAATAAACTTTATAGTCTGCTTGATGACTCTTTGGGTCTATGATGGGGGTGATTAGTTTTATTTGCTTGCCAGATTCCATAACAGCCTATTCTTTTCTTCTCAATTACTTCACCGATTGCTTTCAAATATTGAGCTGACAGATGGAAGTGCATCTGCTTTTTTAACCTTGATTTGAAATTTTCTCCAACACTTCAATGGGGCCAGTCAAATTCATCCATCTTATAAAACTTAATTTAGCGGTTCTCAACCTTTTTCCTATGAAGTTTGGCTCCAAAACATGGATCTCACATTATTGCGTCACAACAACACAAGATCCGGATTTACATAAAAAAAAAGGATTAACCAGCTAGCCAGATCAGAAGGCACATTTTCTCAGGGCTAATTTGGTTATAATCACTGGTTATTTTCGTCATCGTGATATGATTATTTAAATCTATATATCGATTCACAAATCCACCATATCAGTATGTGTTAACATAATAAGTCTTGCCCCACGGAGACACATACAATTCATTATCCGTGAAATTGTTTGACCAGTGAGTTACTACATGAACATCTTGACGAGGTGTTGAGGAAAATATTTTACGGATCCGACCCTAGTTTAGCGACCTGACAGTATATATTTGGTGTGGCTCATACTGCTAAACAATGGGCATACGCTCGCCCCCGCACTTCTGATTACTCTGCGTGGGTTCGAATCTCATGCGGGGATGGGTATGTGCGGGAGGATTGCTGGACTCCTCGCAGTCGTAGGGTAGTTCAGGTAACCTCCACCATCAAGTCCACGCTTCCGAAAACAAACAATACAACTAATCCCGACTTGGAATGGTAACCGGACGAGAGGCCATGGTTCGCCATATGGTTAAGTCGTCTTACTCTCCCACAGGATAAATATGTAAATTCTATCCTATAGCACTAGTAGGCCCTGACACTATCACTTGGAACAAAAAAATGAACAATCAATCCAACAAAAACTCTCGATTTATTTGTTGATAATGTTTTGTTCAACTCACGATAGAAAGATACAGAATATTAGTTATCATCAATATTAATGAATGATTCAATAACAGACATTTAAAGAAATAAAACAACAAGAATGATATAAATATTAAGAATAACATAGAATTAAAAAAATCTAAATTTAAACTACATAAACTGCTGCATTACTTGCATTCCACACAAAAAGTGAAATCAGGTGGTAAAATGGCGCTCCAGAAGTATCTGTACCAATATGGAGGTAACTAATTTTGTTCGCCTACTTTACGTCAAGTTGTGTAAAGGGACGGAAACCTATAGGCAGGGGGTATATTCACTTGGCTAACACAGACAGTCCCAGACTCGTAATAGAACTAAAATAGGGAAAATGGTAATGAGATTATGGCCTAACCTGGTACACATACTACGGGAGTACCGGTAAAATGATCAATACAAATTTGAGAATATATTAAAATTCCTTCGTAATTGTGGCATGCCTCAAAATAGCATTTTAGCATTCTGAATGTTTATGTGACTTTCAACAATTTGTCAGAAAGGAATTTGAATCATAATGCTGTTGTTCTGAGAATGGAAACCGTAGTATAATTTCCCTCCCAAATCAGATAGATCACTTGTAACAACCAGTAAATAATACAAAACAATTTAAAATTGGAAAAAAGATTACAAATAAACAGAGGAACGGATATAATAAAAATAATCGACACTTGTTAAAGTCACAGGTGAAATTTAGTGACTTCAATTACTGCATCTGGCAACTTCGAGTATTGCAGTCTTACTCTCTTTAAATAAGCCACAAAGAGAATTTTATTGATCAAAAATAATTCTCTTCTTGCCAAGAGTTGTAGGGTTGCCATTTTTTAACCAGAAATCGCTTCATATGGAGGTGTTCAAATCAAATTTTGACCTGAGATTATGACTGTTACTGCAAAATTTATCTAAAGCAGAATTGTTCCCATTCTTTTCAAATAGTTCTAATGCTGCTCTTACAATGTTCAATATGCTGAATGAGTCAGTGCAGTAGTCCACCACCAAGCTTGTACCTTGAGGTAGGTATATGCTCCTTACTAGTATGGATAATAGTTAAATATGGTTGGTATTCTGCATACCATGTTAGATTGGCCATATAATTAGTAAAATCCTCTATACAAAATTACCACCAAGCAAAGCAGAAGCAATTTGTTTTCAAGATGAAAAAATTTAAGTAACTGATAAACAAATTGGATATAAAAAGAGGACAATATTGTAATTTTGTTCTATTGCAGAGAAAATGAATGCCTTCAATTAGCCTAATAGCGGGGATGTTAAAACTGAATATTTGCCAATTTGAACTTTTGTGAAACAATGTTTTAAAGCCATCCTCAAAAAAGGAATTTTTGAAATATTCGTATATTTATAGAACATGAATTGGCGCTCCAGAAGTGTGTGTACCAATAGGAAGGTAACTAATTTTTTCGTCTACTTTACATCAAGTTGTGTAAAGGGACAGAAGCCTATGGGCAGGGGGTGTATTCACTTGGCTAACACAGACAGTCCCCAAACTCGTAATAGAACTAAAATAAGGGAAATCAGAATAAAATTATGGCCTAACCCTAACCTGGTACACATACTACGGGAGTACCCATGAATTAATGATGCAAATATTTGATATAGACCATGTTTCATTTTCTGTTTCATACATATTCACAAATTGAATAAAGACCTAAACATCAGATGTCACATACTCAAATAAGTGATAATTCATCATCTTGGATATCACTAATTTTAAAATGTGATTCATTCAGGCATCCCCGCAAAATAGATGATCATTTTCCATAGAGTGAAATTGGATCACGCATTACTATACCAATTTCACATAATGTGCACTTAATAACAAACAGAAAATATTTTCAAAATAGGGATTGTTGATGGGATTAGAGTTGTATACCACATGCAAAAAAAATTCAAATTTTGAAACATTGTGATAATATAAAGTTAAGATCAAAATCAGGTAATTGAGCTCCACTAAAATTACGACAATATCCACCAATGAGTTGTTCTCTATCGGTATATCAATTTGAATTCAAAAATAGAAAATCAGAGATCTTTTGATAGATTTGAACTGACAGATATTACCTAAATAAAGATATTCTAAAACGAATCTACAACTACAATAGTAAATATGATTGATCATTTAACTTGTTTGTTTCATTATCATATACCACTTTTAATATTGTGATAATTTGCATTTGAAAAACACTACTTAAAGCAGGGTTTCCCAAACTGGGGTTGGTGATGCCTGCACAGTCTGATCGGTCTTTAATAATTGATTTAAATTAAAAAGCCATTGCATCTTTTTGGTTGAGCGATGTGGACAAATGTTAATGTCAGAGAGTTTGCTCGTCACAAAATGCTCCGAGAATCGATAAATTGGGTAATAAAAAGCAACCTCATCCATCACTTTAATGTTGTTTGTGTTGTTGTGTTGATGAAACATTATCCTTCCTCATTGTTGGGCACAAAAATTGATACGACATAGGATGGGGGCCCGTCAAAACTAAGATGCACAAATAAGGTCCGCAGCCAAGAAAGTTTGGGAAACCCTGACTTAAAGTGTCAAAATAGTGCGACATTTAAATAAATTGATTTATTGGCCAGGAAGTGGAACTACAAATTATTTTCGGTAACTTATTTTGAAAGAACTTGCTTCTCTTCCCTACTCAAATTTTGAGTATCCCAAGATAGAGAATGCTCAAAGGCTTTACTTGCTTATTTTTGAGCAAAAATTTAACATGATTATGAAATTTGTAGGCAGTGTAATACATAGACTACAATTCATCCATCAAAACATATTCTAATTTGAAATGAATTTGATTGCCAAACATATAGGAATGTGATAAAATACAGGAATGTTCAGTAAAACATTGGCAGAAACAATAAAAGTGCTGTGAAAAGTCGACGGCATACCTGTATCTAGAGCAGAAGTGATGATAATAATCCCAAAAAGTAGAAATACAATAACATATTTTTGAATATTTCGAAAATATAAGAAATTTGATTACTGAGGCTGCAAAGTAATTTGTTCTTTATAAATGTATCAAAATTTTCTTACGAAATCGATAATTTTTCCCATAAAACTGCATTTGTACATTCACTTGTCAGATTTGAACAAAAAAATCATCATAGAACACAATGAGGGGCTAAAGTTCTATAAAGGTGGCACGAGCAAGCCATACGTGAAACAATTTTAATGAACATCAGCAACTGAGCATCTTCTTGAACAATGAAAACTCCAACCGTAAAAAGTAAATTTGTTTTTGTTATAGCATAGGAAAATTAATGAAGCAATAAGACTTGAAAAACTTTATCATAAAGTATCATAATATATTTTGGTTAAGAATTTTCGTCATTGGAACATTTTAATTTCCTCAGTGGTAAAGTTAGGTTATCTAACAATTAAGAAAGACTATAGGTTATTTTTTTTAAAGTGCAACTGACGGAAATTAAAATTCTATACAATAATAAGCATCACAGTATAGTCAAGGATGATGGTTTTTCTTCTGAGATAGTTTTCATAGCTTCCCCAGATTGTGATATGTTAGTTGGTATCACTGGAATTTGACTTTTGGTCAAATCTGAATTTTGAACAAATTCGTTTGAGTTTTTGCTATCGCCATTTTTCTTACATGTTATAAATTCTATCCCATTTAAAGGTGGATGTTCTTTGTTTGCCGTTGTTATGTTATTGGTAACGTCTGGACAAGATGTTGTAAAGTCACTAGAACTTGAATTGCACGGAACCTCCTCACTACCCCTCAGATTATTATTATTAATGTTTTTGCTCTCTGTGACACTCGCTGAAGAAATTGAGTCTTTTTCCTCTGATTTACCTTGTTGTGAAGATGAGTCTGAACCAGAGCTCAATTCATCTCCTTGACCAGCGAGAGTAGAATCTCTACTCGCATCAGAGCAATTAGAGAGTTTTGAGTCTGATTTTCTGAGTACATGTTCTTTGATGGGGATTTTAGTGATATCCTCATCACCGACGAGTCCAGAATTGGATCCCGCTTCTCTCAAGTGAGTGAGTATGGTTGCTGCCTCTTTTTGAGCAGATTTTAGAATGTCGAGATGGCCTCTGATGACGCTACAATTCCATGCAAAATCCCACTCTGCGTTCCCACTGATACTTATTCCAGATGGTGTACGCTTTTTGTCTTTCTTTTTTTGTTTTTTGGAACTAGGACTACCAGTTACGCGAGATGGATCAGAGAGAGCACTCGCCGTTACATTTAAAAGTGAAGGCAAATTCTGAAAAAGATAGTTTCAATGATATTAAAATATTATTACCGATGTTCATAGAAAGATAAATGTCTCACAACTACACCAAACAAGTTTAACTGACTCAGTATTTAACACGATGGTTTAACCATGTTGAAACAACAGTCCCATCGAGTCTTATTACATCAAGCCCCATTCACAACAAACTCAACAGTGTAATGAAAAGGGACAGCTTGAAAATCAAGCCCATTTTAACAACGTATAACTTTAAAAAAAACGATTTTAGGTAAGAAATGAATGGAAAAATCCAAATTCCCATTATAAATTTGGCAGTAACCAATGTAAATGGTTAGTTAATGGACATTCCTATTACTTCACAAGAATTCAGAAAACTTCACATTTGAAGATAATCAATGATATGAGACCGCATAGGCAGAATAGACATTTCACATCCGGTACTAGTGATATAAAGGCCCAACTTAGCAGTGAATGTTATAAATAGACCGATTTCCCTAAACAGATCAAAGCAAAAATGATCAAATAGATTTGTTAAACAATATTTTTTAACGAGATACACTCAAACAGGAATCGCCAAACTACGACCCGCCTAAGCATTTATTGCCACCCCATGCGCTTGTGGAAAAGTGTGAAAATTATTTTTATGAACATAAACTGGTAATGAGTTACTCAGCTTTGTCAAATAAATTTGATATTTTACGTATTAAATTTTAACTGAAGGAATTAAGTGCTTTCCTCAATTGCAAGAAAAAATATATAATGAGATATATGAATGAATGAAAAAATTCTTACTTCATGATATTTGAGAGCTTCTTGATGAATAAGCGACAAAGATTCCTGACATTTGTTTGCATTATCGACAACATATCTGGCATCATTGACTAGGGATTGGAAACCTGCCAACACCTTTCTCCACATATCACTTGATGAAGGAGGCTGGGTAGCCAGATTATAAATTTCCATTGTGGGGCAGTTATTTTTAAAAACCATTTTGAGTGCAAATTTCCCTGAAGCGTCTGTTTTTAAATTCAGACTTTCCGACGATCCCCTGCTGGCGATTTTTGAGAAATTATTTTTGTCTCGCATTTTAGGAGTTCCTTGCGATCCGATTCCGTTAACAGGAGAATATGAGTTTGGATTTTGATCCAAACTCGCTTTTCTAGACAATTTCTTATTGCTGACGTTGTTCTGTTGCGATTCCAAATTTGCTCGGAGTGCAAGATTTCTGATGCATTGTTTTACTGAACTCAAAGCAGGAAGGCCACAAACCTCCTAAAATAATGAAAAAGGATCAGTTTTTTAATATTCTAGTATTATATAGGAATATTATATATTTGTTCAAGAGAATATGCTCAAAGCGATGTCACTCACACTGTCATAAAAGATGTCTCATAGCATAATTATGGGCATCAATATTGAATTATCAATATATAAAGAAATTACAACAGCAACGACAAAATATACTATTAAATAACGATTACAAGCTCAGTTTGCTTTTATATTGTTACTTTTATTCATAACAATTTTCTTTAAAACTAGGATATTATGAAATTAACATAGACAAACCTTAAAAAAACATAGAGATTGATGTAAATTTTCCTTCATTTCACCAGCATCCCTGAGTGCAGGTGATGCAGTTTGGAACGTTTCGTCAATTTTTTTGACTCCGACAATTCGCATTGCTGCGGCACGTTCCCTCCTCGCTTGTTGTTGTTGCTGAGCTTTTTTGTTCTGTTTAAGTAGTGCTCCAGACGACGACGATCGTTTCTTCGATAATTTGAAAGACCCAGTTGAAATAGACCCCGTGCTCGATGGTGGCATCGGCCCCGGACTGCTAACGGTATTTGGCATGTTGGGCATAGAATTGGAATGAGATAGTTGCATACTTCCGTCTGTTACTGCGATGTGAACGAATAATGTTGCATCGTCGAGTGGTTCATCAAATATAGATCGCAAACGTAGATGCCTATACCCCGGCCGTAGACATTCAAATGGAATGGTATATTGACCTGTTGGAAATAATAATCTGCTGTTTATAAATACATACAAACTATCCACGGTGTTGAAAAAGAATTCAGTTTGAACATAAATAAAAAATAATGGAACTTAAGAAATAGAGAAAATAGCTTTTCAAAATTCAATATTTACTACGGTAGTTTAAATGCGAATTTGATTATTCCATAATATACACTTATATTACATTTTAAAAAACAAAATTTGTTTCATATACCAATTTACTTAAAAGATTTAGAACATTTAGCAATGTATATAAGTTGAATTGAAGTTCGAAATGAGGGGAAGTTATTAATCAGTTACGAACGTTACGGTTTTTAGAATTTAAATAAAGGCTTTCCGAGTAACACTTCACTTCAATACTTGCACATGAAGAAAATTTCTCAAATAAAAATTTTAGATTTGAATATTGAATATAATTAATTCCAGATCGATACAAGTATTCAATTCAATTTTACATCCCAGGTTGCAAGTCACAAATCAAATATGAACAGTATTATTTGCAAATGAAAATCCAACAAACGCTTTGGATTTCCGTAAAAGGAGAAATAAATCTTACCTATGAATTCATCCCCGATAAATTCATCATCGAGAACGACAAAACGGACAAGAGCCAGATCAGGCACAGTTAAACGAAACTCGAACGATTCATCGAAAAGTGCTGTTGAATTTCCCGATCCACAATCATGTGATGTTCTTGTACGCTGCTCGCTGCAATCTCCCATCATCCCGAAAAGTTCGATCAGAACATATGGATCGATTACATGACCTTTGGCACCTGAAACAGATAGAAATATCACAACCTGGCTAATGGCCAAAAATAAATAATCTATTTCTTTGAACACATTCTGAGATATTTTCGATATATTCTAAATTGAGTCATGTTCAGCACAAAGAATATATGAGTCAATGCATATTCAATGAGCTTGAATTGGGAATATGGGGAAGGTTGACTATCATACTAGTTTTCAGAACTTAGAACATCTTTCAGTCATACTGTGAGAAATTAATATTTTAAAAAATGATAAATTTGTCTTGAAACTTCTAAATTATCCCTAAATATTCTGGACATCTCTAAATTTGGCCAATATGACAATGATTAGATTGATGGATTATCTTGCTTCATTAAGTCCTAAAATATCAAACTAATGTACTAACTAACCTACTAACACCAGAATGTAATGATTGATAAGATATTGCTATTCAGTCAACATTGTTAATGTCAGATACCATTTCATTGTATTTCTTTTCATTATGGTAGACTAACGAGGTACATTCTATTCAAAATAAGTCACTATTTAATTTCACAAATAAAAAATAAGCAATGACAGTAAATAACATACCACCACCCCTTGGTTTGGGAAATTCTTGACCACTGATAATTCGTAGATGAAGAATTTTAGGTGCAACACTAGGTATGACATCGTTCTGTTGTGCACTGAAGTATGCGACCTACACATGAAAGTGAAAACACAAGGTTAATATGGTTGCCGGTTGGATTAGAGCAGTGGCTGCTTTAACTTCAGCTCCTTCATTTCTTGCTTAGTTTCCAGACGGAGAAGAATTTATTTGTTTTAGAGGAGGGATTTTTACTTCGCTTACATTATGTGCCCATAATAAACTATACAACGGCACAAATACCAGAAATTTCATGGATAGCGAAGGTAGAATCAAGAGTTCCGAAATAGGCAAAGAGGGGAATGTTATAAAAAGGTTGTAAACCACTGTATTAGTAGATCTGTATGCATTGACTGCGAGGATGCTGTAGCATGAATCAAAACACCTACCGTGTTTCCCCGCCAATATTTATTAATTAACCTATGATAAAAAGTGAAAAAAATCATTACCTCTTCCCTCATTATCGTTGGTTTGAGAACATAACCACAACCACCATTCATTGCAAATCTGCCATCATTGATGTCCATCATCAAACCTTTAACAATGTGAAATATACCAAAAATGATTCTAGGATCACATGTACCAAATAAATTGAAGCAGATTCCTGCCCTAATTATTTTTTTTTTTTCGTTTTTCATGGCTCTGTATTCTACAATGACTACCGAATGCAATTCATCTCAATAATGATGTATATATAAACATACAGGGTGTCTATAAAGGCTCATTACAGTCCTAAAAATCGCTGTGAAGAAAGAGATTTTCAATCTCAAATATTTATTATTATCAGCCTAAAACTGTGTTGCTCAAGTAAGTAGAGTATTGATTCAGAGTATGTTGCCGTTTCAGTTTACAAAATCTTAGATTCAACCGATTTCCATGTATAAATAAAGTTGCACAAACTGAAAAAAATTCAATCTCCACATAGACCCTTGTTATAGAAGTTTTCGGCTGCTTGTCTAGAACCAATATCCAGAGTGAAGGTGTGCAACTACCTAATTTAAAAAACAAATAAGGATTGCATACCTGGAGTCTGATAATTGAGAGATGCAATTTGAACTCCACAATTCCAATAATCCTGTGGATTGAAATTACTTGAATCAACACGTACTGCACTTGGATGAACTCTGGTAAGAAATCTGAAAATATGGACAACAGCATTGACACTGAAAAGTATATATATACAATAAATATTGAATATAAAAGCCACATATCAGATAATATTGTTAAGTATGGGTTAGTCTGCAAAATAATGATGCAATTAAAGTCGCAGATTGCGTTTGATTCTACTGTTTTAAGCATTTATGCTACTGTATTTAATAAAAAGATATAAACTATGCTTCAGTTTAATATATAAAAAAATTAAGACGGCAATACTTTGGAGACTGAGGATATTTTGGCCATGTGATTGTGAAGAGAAATACACTTCATGAACCTAATGCGATTATTATTGAGAAAGTGTGCAGTGAATAAGAAAAGTAGTGAGAAACAGAAATAAATTTTACTTTTTATTGAAGTTGACAAATTCTTCTGGTGAATTATTAGAGAGTTGAGTTGCTGTTCTTTCATGCATAGATGTGATTTCATAAAACCTGTTGAATAAATTTTCAATCATAATTCTTCACCAACTTATAAATTACTGTTAAACTCGATAACCAGTATTGGTTTTTCTCGTCTTCCACTATTTTGAACTCATTTCTACATTATGTATACTGGTTATATTGGTCATTTAGCCACCTTATAATTGCAGAAGTGCTTAAAAACAAGCCCACCTATCACATTGGTGAAATATGTTCATATGACATAAAATCTTTTGATACTATTTTAATCAAATAAAACTTTCCTAGTATAAATGTGTCCAGAGTTTGAAAAGTTTGGCCTGGATAAGGAATACAAGCAAGTCACATTTCAATAAGATATATGTTTCTCTACAACAATGTTTCCCCTTCGGGACAGAATTTTTCCCCGTGTAGAATATTTACATTGTATAAAAAATGCAAATAAATGAGTTTCATGTACAGTAGGGGAAGGATTAGGAGCTTAAAGATAGGCTAAGGAAGGAATGCATCAACGTGGGGAACAATCGCTCTATACAATTTAAAATGACAAATTCCCGAGCAATGAAAACAGTTGATTGTTAAAACATAAATTATGTCTTCAAGTTTTAATTCTAGGGTTGAACACTCCCAGAAAATCAATACTTAACAATAGATTCTCGGAGTCAATAAATGTACACAATTTAGATAATATTGTGCTATGATTGAGAAAATAGTATGAGATTTCACATTTATCCCCAGTAAATGAGAGACGAAAATACCATAAAGAAATATGTCTATCCAGTTTAAAGGTCTTTCAGGAAGATATTATATATAGGTGCTCTCAGAACTATCGAATGGTTCCAGCATGTATGTATTAGAGATGTACCGATACCACTTTTGTCGCCGATACCGATACCGATCCGATACCAGCTAAAAACGCCGATACCGATACGCCGATACTACAAAAAGGCCGATATTACCGATATTCCGATACCGATACTATGTAAGTATTACTTAATTAGGTGTGCTGTGTAGGGCAGACGGGTTAAAACAATGGTCTTTGAGCGTTGTTCATAGTACACATTATTTCAGATCGAAAAAAAGATATATCACATAATATGAAATTGATGTTTGGTGTTTGCTTCAACTGATTAAGATACATTGTACAGTAACGCTAGTAATCTCGGTGTTCAATTGAAACTCATAAGCCTGGATGTCCAATTTGAACTCAATATGAATATCGCGACCTTCGAATATCGTTATTCGAGTTTAAAAGAATATCGAATATCACCCACACATTCTAGCGCCGCCGTCCTACGTTCAAATTAAAAGTATTTTACAAATATTTTTTTTCGTGGCTAATCGTAATCGTCGACGCAATAAGTCAAAGCCAAATTGAAAGAATATCAATCAGCACCGACAAAAAGAAGGCCTACCTATAACCGTCGAGGATGTTTTTTTACTTTACTATTTTATAATATAAAATATTTTACAATCTATCATAAATTTTGAATTTCGGAATTTAGTTTATCGATGTCGACGGACTAAATGACACTCGTACTTGACGACAAACAGTCAGCATTTATAGCCGTGCCAAAAGTCCTTGTTCCGTTAATAAGGACCCCAATTCCACTGTATGATTTAAAACTGGGCGCCTAGTTGATTTTTGTTATGTGCTGTTTTGATATATTTCTTCATAATTAGAATTACTATGTAATATTAAAAATGTCAATATAAAAAATTGACTGCGAAAATAGCCAAATTAGTTGAACTAGTTTGGCTTTTTTTGTTATGTGCTGTTTTGATATATTTCTTCATAATTAGAATTACTATGTAATATTAAAAATGTCAATATAAAAAATTGACTGCGAAAATAGCCAAATTAGTTGAACTAGTTTGGCTGATAAATAGCTAAAAACACGTGAATCCTATTATCTCGCGGGGGTGGGGACATGTATGTCTCATAGCTCACGATCTCTCAGACAAAAAATAAATTAAAAAGTAGTATTCCAACTTATCTTTTAAAACATTCTGGACCATATCAAAAAGATGAATATATCGGAAATATCGGCCCTAAATTAACCGATACCGATACATGGCCGATACCGAAAAAATGACCGATATTGCCGATACCGATACCCGATACCGATACATCGGTACATCTCTAGTATGTATGTTGCCTGTTACACTTAACACTCATCCTAAAAATCCTATCGATGTATATTAATTCAGTTGTATTTTTTTCAACAATCAGATCAAAAAGATATCATATAAAATGACTTACTTCCTTGATTTACTGTGAACAAATAATAAATCGTTGTCAGACATTCGAACACTGACACATAATGACACAAGATCAGAAAGTTCTCGACATAATTTTTGTTTGGGTTTGATTTCTTCTTCTTCATCTTCTTCTATTCTCTTCCTACTCAATAAAATTCCAGGTCCGATAGAAAATGGTGATTTTACAGGTGATGGTGGAACCTAAAAATGAGTGTACGAGTTAGTACATCTTCGGAAAAAATTTTATATTTTTGCACTGAACAAGGCTAAAAACTAAGATTCAACAATTTTGCTATCTCTTAAATCAGGTGGAAATAAATCGATAATTGGTCTAGAGCAGGTGTATGCAACATTTTGTGTCGGTGGGCCATATAACCAACTTCAGACATCTCATGGGCAACAACAACAATTTCTTTAAAAAATCTCCATCTTATACCTTTTCATTTATTTCAGCTCCTTCATCTTCGCCACTGACTTCACCTTCATCTCCTTCCAAGTCAGGAGGAAGTTTTTTGCCTTTTATCAAAAATTTATTTCTCAGCGAATCAGGAGAAGGAAGATAGTCTGTATCACTTGTAGGTGGCTGAAAAAAAAAGAAACATGAATAAAAAGATGAATATCTACACTAACACACAGACCAGATCAGATCTTCCATATTTACTTCGTCTTGTTATGTTAAATTTACAACCCGTTTTCTGGTACGTATCGACTTAATTGCTTTAATCAAGATTTGGTACTGAAAAATGCACGTGCCTGTTACTTTTTTGCCTTACATCGGAGTGAGCATAACCTTGCTTTAAGCAAATTTTCCATACCAAAATATTTCATGATCTGGAATTGCATTCTAACAAAATTCAAACACATTTGGACAGAATTAGACAGTGAACATCTCTGGAAGTAACAATGAAGCTACCTTATTTATGTTCAAAAACTTTAGTTTCACAAAATCTGGGAATCTATTATTTCAACTAGAAAATGTGCTTTTTAGGAATTCAAATTGCCGAAAATTTTGTTTTTCTCTTTTTTGCAATTTTCACTGCAACAATAGGCACAAATCATTATTATGATTGATTGCAGTAGCCTGCAACAAATAACGTTTCTTTAAGTGTCAGTGTCAGTGATACATTGGCTGCAAGGTTACTGTATAAAGGGTCCAAATGACTATAAATTAGATCAGATGAAGCATTACAGCAAAAATCTTGTGTTGCAAGACACTCAATAAATCAAATCACTCAATAAATCATGATGGCGGTGATAACCAAACTGTACAACAGACATTCATAATACCACACTGTACATATACAATAACTATGATAACAAAATGCAGTATTACCGCTGTATATATTTGGTCACCGAGGATAGATTTCAGGACAGAGGCCATTACTTTTTGTTGCTCTATTGAACAGTGGTTTTCAATGCAGAGTATGACAGGATACGGAGAATTTTTGAAACTGCATTCTTTAATCGCTTCGATTGTTTGCTCGAAACTTATGCTGTGAAAAACAAACGTTAAATTTTTGGAAATGAGACTGCTTAAAAGTGATCAGATAAACATATGTAAAGATGTCCAAAATTGATAACTCGTACTATTTTAATTTTTGGATATGCAGTATCCAATATATTTAAAATTGGGTCATATTTGAGCAAATAAATGTAAATGCATAGAATAAGAGATTCGGATGATCCTTCACACTGCTAACTCCTGATTTAGGGACTTGTATCCACACTGTCACATTCAAAATATTGTATCGACAAGCAAAAAACTATAAAACTTCCAATATGCAAACTAACCTGTTGGATTGTGTATGACCATGCTTTATGACAGGTCTTCCTTCTGGTCCATCCCAACAATCTAATTCAATACATCTGCAGCACCTGAAACAGTATTGTAGAAATTATATTATGCAGTTCCAAAAATGCCATCAACTTGGTACGACAACAAAACTGACATTTAAATTGAATAAAATAAAAACAGATAAATTAATATAATGTGATGAGCATGGGTTCTGTTCAAATTCGAACACCGGCATGATTGCATAGTCTGCTGGGTGCAGGCCAACCTAATAACAATTGTCTCACCCAGAGAGTAGTAAATTGAGGGTGCTCCCGAAGCATTCGTACCAATATGGCGCACAACCTGAACATAGTATGTGTACCAGGTAAGGATTGTTCAGGTTGTGCATCATCTTGGTACGAATACTTCCGGAGCGTCTAATTGAGTAAGCAATGCAGAACCAAAAAGTTTCAGTTTATTTCAAAAGTAGTAGCTCCTTATATATATATTTATATATATCACTGAATGCTTGTATTAAACATTGCTCAGAATGATGGCGTGACATCAACATCATTGAATAAATGAAAACAAAATAACTTGTTCGTTAAATATCCCTATTGGGTTGAAATAAAACTTTTGCTCCAAAAAACACATCAATATTATTTCATTACCAAAATGCTTTCAGATACAACCGAAATAACTTTTGGATGAAAGGAACAATTTGGAATATGCCTAATATATTATTACAAAATAGAAATTGGGCAAAAAATCTGATTTGAACCCTGCACTATGGCAAGTGTTTAGAATCGTTAGTTAGAATAGTTTTGTTCGAAAAAAGTTTATTTTTGAGTAGTTTATGTGAAATATATCACCCAAAAAAGCCTTCATTTAATTGCAATAGATTTAAAATTTTGACAACCAATCTTCCCTTATATTGAATTTCCTGAATTTTCAAACTCATTGATATACATTGACTTCTATGTGATCCTCGTTAAACACGAGTCAATTAAGAATATATTCAATATTCCAAATATTATTTGGAATTGCAGATTATTTGAATTTGTTCATCCCATATTTTTCATCTATCAATATATGTTCTTCACTGACCCAAGTTTCTCATATACAAGCATATTGACATGTGCTTGAATAAAATTTACTGTAATCACCAAGGCTAATAGCCTTACTTAAAACTTATACACGAGTGGAGAAAAGAACAAACGCATGTTTGTTTATCATAAGATGAATGACGATTACTCAGTCATTTCACGTTCAGCTTAAATGACAGGAAGATATTATAGAGGCCACAGGTCATAAATATAAACCAACAACATGAAAGAATTTGGACCCATTTAGGTAGTTTAAGGCTTGAGTCAATGGTGTAACAGGAGGTTATGACATAGGAATATAACATCATTAAATAGAAGACTTAACCTTTTTTGTAAGATCAGAGTTGGCAAAAATAAAAGTGCTCCCGAAGTATGTGCACCAAGATGGCACACAACCTGAACATAGTATGCGTACCAGGTTAGGAATATCAGGTTGTGCGCTTTATTGGTGCACAAATAAATAACCTCCTATTTCATACGCATTCAAAATAATATTTTTGAAAACACAATATTGAATAGTTATTCTGAATAAGATTTAATATTCAAATAAATTACACATGTAATTTTACACAAGTATCAAATTTTGGAAAGAGAGAAAGTTAAGATTAAACCTGGTTTGATTGGTTGTAACACGCCAATTGCTTGAAGTGATAATTTGCAAAATGAAACTATTGATAATTATCCATAAACTCAAGAATTCAAGATATTGAATTTTGATCTATTCAAATGTTTGATTCGTTTTGGACAACCCTGATTATGATATTATGATGTCACTATCAAACAAATCTAGCTCTCTTCAATCAGCAATCCTTTTTGTCATGGAAAAAGAATCTGTAGGGATCTCTTATGTAATGGTATCACATTTGATAAAACGAATGACAATCAGTGACATTTCGTCCTCTTTTAAACAAATTTTTCAAATGAATTTTTCTATATTCTTTTGACAGGTGACAGGTTTATCTATTATTTATTGTCAGATCAAACATGATTTTGACACAAAAATAATGTATATTTCATTGTGAAAGGTTTGAATGCAAAATACTGAGTGAGAAACATGATGAATTATTTATCTCGAATCCATGAACTGGGAACAGGCAGAAGCCCAAAGAAAGCGCTCTTTTCAAACATGATCCATGGATAAGGCAACACTGTAGTCCACTCTATAATAGTGGCTCATACTTGGGTGTGTAATATAAAGGCAAATGTAGATTCAACTCAAACTGTAATTTTTATGTTGATCAAGTATTTTGTATTATCGACTGGGGGAATATATATAAATAAGTTTAGGATAAGTTTATGTAAAAACAATTATATAGTGCCCAATAGAGTATGTGACCCACATTTTTACATATTACATAAAATATGGAATTTTGAATCCATATCACGAATGATTGACTACATTCTACTACCGATATATAAAAATCTATTTCAAATTTTCCTATAAAATCAATTCTATTGACCCAAGATCAATTTCGATGAAATTTTCCAAAAAGCAACAAATTTTCCATACCTTAACAATGCACGAATGTAGGCACCGACATTGCTCGGACCAGAAAGTTGGTCTTCCATGAGGTAGGTGTTATGAGACGAAGCAATATAATAATGTGAGAGAGGTTGAGTCATGTCTTGACAAACCTGCAGGAAGATAGTGACGCTATTAAAGCTTAGATTAGTGGTTTTCAACAGGGGTTCGGGTGCATCCACCCGCCAGTCCAGTCGGGGGGGGTTCAATACTTTATTGACTTTTCTTGGCCTTATACATACAGAAATGATAAAGTTTCCAATGATACTTGAGTGAAGTTTCTCGCACGTTTGAACAAAAAGATATGACATTATTTGTGAGGGATAACAAAGGTCGCACAGGAGTCAGGACCATTGGAAAATGAGGTTTAATATGTAAGTGTGAACTGAAATGCAAGGTTCGAATAAGAAGAAGTGGTAGGAATTAAAAAAAAAGGTAAAGAAATGAACACAAAATAAAGAATAGAAGGAATGAGAGAATTTGAAAAGGGGAGGAGGGTTGGAGAGAGATGAGAAGTAATGAGAAAAAAATGGAGGGAGACAAAATAAGGAATAAGAGTGGAGAAGGTGAGATGGGGCGAAGATGGCGTAATAAAGAGTGGAGAAAAGAGAAAAGAACAGGAAAACGAGAAAAAAATAAAACTAATTCAAAGCGCCATCACCGCTACATAAAAATGAACTTACTTTTGCATGGGCAGGATCGAATATATTGCATTCTCGGGACATTAGATATTTGGTAAATCCATCGATACCAAATGCAGGAATTGCTTTCAATTCTAATGAAGGTTCGTATCGTTCAATCAGGTCCAAACACACCTCTTTCGTAACATCAGTTAGGCCTAAAATCAGAAAATCAAAATTGGAGAAAAAATCTGTCGGAACAGAAATGTTGATTATTCAGGAATGTCTCAAAATCAATTAATATTAATGTGTGGAATACTTGAATTGAAAATAATATCATTTAAAATCTTATCATTTCACAGTGATGAGTATGATCATAATCGACCTTCTGAAACCTAAAAGATCACTGATCATCTTATTAATAACTTCCTGCATTTCTTTGTTGAACATGACCCAATTTAGAATATAATCAATATTCTATATCCGGAAATTTTATTTTAGAATATATTCCTAATAATAGATTATTAGGTTTTGGCCTTAACCTAGAGATACTACGAAAATGAAAATGAACTTGTAGAAGTGAATGCTATAATAATTATTCAGAAGATTAGATAATGATAACAAAAACACCCAGAGATTGACAAAATCAAATATTTTACAATTTCAAATACATGCTTAAATAATAAATTATGGATTATGGAATTATGGAATGTCAAATAAATATTCTGACTTGTATGATATTCAACACAGAAATTAGCACTATAGGAATACGATATTACAGCAAAGAGAAAAAACTAGACATTGTTTTATCGTTTTTCGTTTTTTTTGTTATCGGTTCATTTTAATAAAGTACGATTGTCTGGGGCTAAATGCTCAAAAGGGAGACCCTGGATACCCCTATCCATGTGTATCACCTTGGTCTGATTCCAAAAACAGCATTAAATCATCGACTGACAGCCTGTCGTCTTTGCTTGCATGTCTCGCCAACAAAAAGTAGATTTCTGGCCTTGTTGTCACGTCCTGTTAATCAATAATATCGTGTAAACATTCAAACTGAAAATAATGTGACTGGCATATATTGCGGTTGTATTGATTTTTCTTAGCCATATATGTGAATTGTAACTAAAATTTTAGAACATTGCGTAACCATTTAATAGACCCAAATTTAGAATTTCATTAACCTCAGTAAACTCTGACAAAATAATATTTTAATAAAAAACTGATGAATTTTTTATTAGAAATTGCTTTTCAATTACCCAAGATTTGAAAAAAACACACAAATTGTAATGAAATCTTATGACAGCTTAATTGAATGGTCATATTTAATGAAATATCAATATAACTTTATTGCTACTTGCTTATACATTCCCATTGAATAGTGCGCATATATAGAAATTTCTCTATTTATTATAGATCAGTTAAAAAATGGATTTTTTTTAATGTTCGGGAAAGTTTCTCTAAAAATGGTTATTTTGAAATTTTTCACTGGCATTCAATGCAATCAATTTTCTAAATTTCCCTGATTACTTTAAAACTGCCCTAATATGGAGTTGAAATTCGTAAAAAGATCAGACAAACTTTTCTCCATCTCAACATCCTGATTTGGACGCTTGTAATTAAAAGTTGTAATATTACCTTGAACAATTCAACAAATTCATCTTTCGTAAGTCTTGTCCGATCTCTGTCTTTGAATCTTAAAAATTCTGTGAGTTTTTGTTTGATTCGAGTTTCTCTTATTCCGTCACTTAATCTCTGAAAAAGGAGACAAAGAAATTGTATGAACAGTAGAAAATATGAACATTTTCCAGAGTAAATCAAATAATTCAACTTGGTTTTCAATTTAGTTGCAGTAATCAAAAATTAGTGCCAAAAAGACAAATTAGATTTCCTTTAGGTATTTCGAAATTAGGCTCAAAGAGATTGTTATGAAACATGTAAAACAGTTTGTAGACACAAATTAAAAAAACACTCTCGAATCAGCATAAAAAATTTGGCGAAAGTAAATTATAGGAAGTATTATTCTGGGGTCAAGGGTCAAAAAAACCAGTCAACTTGTTTTAACACTAAGACTTTGGTCTCAATGATATATAGCAATATTTACAATCCTTTTTATTTTAACTGCAACGTCCAAAGTGAACTGAATGAGATCGGCTGAATATTCACAATTCTCATTCAATTCAACCTCTGTAACATATAATGATTTGTGAATGTTCCCTAATTAGCGGCTAATATAGAAATAAACTAAATTATTCCATATTCAGGAAATATTATTTCAAAATGTATTCTGAATAATAAATCACTCAGTTTTGGTTGAATTTGCGGTATACCAGTCCCATTATGTTGTTGATATTTTAAATTTTACATAAGGAAAAGCTGAACTGGTATTTCACAGATTTTATGAACAGCTGCGTCTTCCTACATCATTAGTATGTTTGCAAGCACAGTAATCACCTAAGTGTTCTGTTTTGCACGTGTGCGCATAAATAATGATCATATTATCAACCTATTACACACATAGGCTTTGAATTCACATAAGATGACAGATGTTGAAAATGTTGCGATTTTTGAATACTATAATATTATTATAGAATATTTATTATTTAAAACGTCTGCTTGTAATAATTTGAAGAAATAATGAGCAGTGCCCGAATAAATTCATCTAATTATAAATGATGTAACAAATATGATTCACTTTTTTTAAATTTGGCATGCAACTTAATGTTTTAACATCAAACATGGTACAGTGAACAGATACGAATATTCTAAATAAAATAGTCCTGGGTTTGTGAAATGTAAAATGATTATTAATAAGATATATCAATCAGCATTTACGAAATCTAAATCAACCAGTTAGGCCCGTTTTCTGAATATGACATAGTTATGTTTAAATGAGTTTCAATACAGTCTAAGTTAAGCAGATTAAAATTCTATTTTCAAATATTATTAGTGCAACGATCTAGAAGGCATTTGCTTGATGAGTTTCAACAGGATGCTATGAGAGCTGGTAGTTAGAACTAATTTTGATTGAATATAAGAGTCAACAATAAATTCAAAACTGCTTAAGCTGACAGGATTCAAATATATATAATATTTTATACTTTATTATTGGCGCTTCAGAAGTATGTGTAGTTGTGTACCAATATGGAGGTAACTAATTTTGTTGGGCTACTTTACATCAAGTTGTGTAAAGTAACAGAAGCCAATGGACAAGGGATGTATTCACTCGGCTAACACAGACAGTCCCCGAACTCGTAGTAGAACTAAAATCGAAATAAAATTAAGACCTAACCCTAACCTCGTACAGATACTATGGGAGTACCTTATTATTTTAAGACTGTTAAGATCAGTTATATAAACTATGATGAACACAAAAGACAAGGAATAATTATTTTGAATTCTATTCATTTTGAGCCGTTTGCATAGAGCCCTGGGTACTTTTTGTTATTATGTAATCACTAATTATCTGACCAGCTTTTTTTTCTGTTCATTGTATTTAGGGGTAGAATAGGATAAGTTCATTTTTTTGAGATTGTCAAGATTAATTGTGTAAGCTTTATTGAATCGAAAAGACAAGGAATAATCATTTTGAATTATGTTAATCTTGGGCTGTTGGCATTAGGGCCCTGGGTAATATTTTGTTTTTGTATAATCACTGATTATTTGACAAGCTTTCTTTTTTTTTCTGTTCATTGTATTCAAGGTTGTTAAGATAAATTATATGAGCTATGTTGAATTGAAAAAGAAATGGAATAATTGTTTCAAAATCTGTTAATCTTGGGCTGTTTGCATAGAGTCCTGGGTACTTTTTTGTTATTGCGCAATCACCAATTATCTGACCAGCTTTTTTCTGTCCATTGTATTTTAGAGTAGGATAAGTTAGAGGTTAGATTATGTTATCACATCACCTTCTATGTCATCCAATCCAAACTAAGATGAACAGAATCAATGAAAGAATATCGGAAAATTGGTGGTGGTGCAATAACAGGCTCGCACTGAGCGCTGTACAGACAAATATAGACATAACACCAATAAAATCAAAACAAGAATGGGTGTGAATGTATCTTTCAAAGTGTAATGTAATAACACAAAAGCTCTGCTGTCATTCACATCCCGACAAATAAACCAGAATTTTTCCAACAAATAAACCAGAATTCTTCAGAGAGCACAAAATGCATTAAAAAGGGAGTCAAATTTTTGTGAAAACGTAACTTTTGAGTATTTTCATAAATGAAAAAATACCATTTATAACCATCTTTTAAACTCTATCCCAAATAAAACAAGAGCGATAAAACTGTGGTGCTCTGAAAAATTCCCACCTTCAATAGTTCTAATGATTCTTCTTCATCTAAATAACCATCTCCATTGATATCAGCAGATTCAAACACAGAACTCAACCAAACATCTCTTGTGTCAGGACGGGTCTGTAATTCTTCAGGATCTTGACCAGCTAGCAGACAACGTAAACCTAAGAATAACAAGGCACATAAGTGAATCCACTAGAAAACTCAGATAAGTGTCCTGTATTGAATTAAAGCAATTGACGGATATATCAAGTCTAATGTACAAAACACAGGTGTAGGTGGTAAATCTACAGCAAGACTGGCAGACAACATGTCAAATGATTATCGTTGAGAGATATCAAGATAGCATCTATGAGATTTGGGGCAACCAGTTGGGCATGTTTTCAGCGAGTGACACAGTTATGTTTGAACAAGTTTGAGAGTAACGTAGGTGAAGAAGATGAAAATTAAAATTTCAAATATTCTTTATGCAATAATCCATAATCCATGGTCTGAAACCACCGAACCTGAATTTTAATATTTCTATTTTGAGTGAATATTCAGCAATAACAACCTATTTGCGTGAGATGCTTTTCTAAAGTGTTTTTAGTTTGCAATGCATAGCAATAATTGCCTGAATATATCCAGTAAGCTTCTAAAAGATAACACTATGAAATCAGCATTAGTTACCATAACACGGACAACAGTCACATGCAAATCTGAGATAGCCACCGGATACCACCAATAAAAAATAAACTAAAAAAAGTTCCAGAATATTCTAATAGCAATCTAGTAATTGGTAATATTTCATTCAATAATGAGTTAAAAATAAGTGTACTCAAAAATGCAATAGGCCTACTGCTTTAAAAATCATGATCACAAATATCATTGTATACGAGTAAATCAGGCTCCCTGTATTGAGAACTCAAACCAGAATAACAAATTTCATAGCATATTTTACGATTTTATAACATACACATAAAAAGTTATGGCCAAAGTGGATAATAGGTAATCTAAAATATCTTTTATTAAAATATAGAATATTGAATAAAATACTAGCAATTAAATTTAGGTATAACAAGCAATATGTATGTATTTATTTACATCTCCCAATTTGGATGACCGAGTTTCTACAAAAAAAATCAAATAAACCAAGTAATTCACCTGTTATCCATATGTTCGCTTCATCGACTGATCCAGCAATAAGATCCAAATTTTTATAATCTGAGTAAATAATAGAGAAAGCACATTCTTCTGGGAAATGTGATGATATATCAGATGATAAAAATAATTCTGTCGCTTTTCCTGGACGAACCTAGAATGAGAAAAATATCTGTTCATGAAATCGAAATTTTATTTGGATTTGTATAGACTATATCTAAGTCTTAAGTATCCGGAACACGCCTGCAATCACACCAACGATTATCTTGTATGAATTGGCAGATTTGAATTCCGTGCTTAGAAAGTGACGTGTCCCACTTGTTCCACGTTGCCCTGGGACAAGTGGGACACATGGAACATGTGAGACACGACATTTTTGAGACACCCAATTTGAATCCATATGGGGATAATTATGTGCAAGAGGATTGTTGAACTCCATCGCCGTATGATTACCTACGCCATCTTATCCCTCTTTCCCCTTCTCCAAGAGGAATATGTAAATACACTCCTCATAACGAAATTGATTTTTTAAACCACGGTATTATGCAATATGCAAAACTTGTCAATAAAAATTCAATTCACTTGTGAAGATATATTTTATAAAATACAGACCTATTAAATTTATACTGTATATGCAATTATCAATTTCAGAAGGCTTCTGAAAATTATGAAATGATTAGAAATTTGCAGAATAATCAATTTGTGATTGATCACTATCGCAATTAATTGATAAATTTAAATAGACAAACCTCTTTAATAGATGAAATATCTATTTTTGCTTTTCCTGAATCTTTCTTTGATGGTTCCCAGCGTAATGAACTAAAAATTAAATTATTAGGATTTATGTTAAAATGTGTGAAGAAACAAGAAATATTTTGGTGTTGAAATATATAAAAAAAATTTCTATATTTTTTGTCAATTTACTGTACCTGATATATCAACAAATTCAGATGTATGATAATATATTTCAATATTATTCGGAAGATAAAAATATACAAATGAATTTTTTGAATGTAAAAAGATTTTTTTATATCGCATTAACAATTTTTCATGAAATGTCACAATAGTCAAATAACATAAATATGATAATAAATTTGTTCAAGCCATAAGCTAGTATCTATAAAAGAATATTATTAAATTCTAGAATTCATATTGGATAGACTAGGTAAATCGCGAAGGTCAAATAAGTCAGCTGGGCACCTGATCTAAAAATAAAACAACACTAAAAGTTCACATTAAGCGTAAAATTTTCATTTTACTTTACATAATTAGTAGGTCAGAAGTCCTTCATATGACTCAGCTCCCAGGGACCCAGATAGTACTGTACTTTTAGTTTTAAAAATGTCAGTGGCCTATTTTCATCATCCTTGAATAGTCAAACTATAATTAATGGTCCCATGTGACACTAAAAGTCAAATTCAACAGAAAGAATCGATTTCTAGCTTTCTACTAATTTTTTTCAGAGAATTTGCTCAAACCAAGGTCACAAACGTACTCATTCAGAAGTAAAGAAAACTATATACCTGTAAGCGAATAAGAATCTATATAAGCAAATTCACGAACGACATGTTGTCATGAAACTAATATGATTATATAGATAGCTTAAAATTTAGTTCAGAGTCAGACCCAATCTTTGGATCCCAAATCCTTCAAAATAATAAACTATTTCAAAATAGACTGGAAATTTACCTTGTTGTAACATCGAACCAATAGAAACGATTATATATCCGAGCATTTGATCTCATTTTCACAAACTGATGTCCGCCCTGCATCATGCTGACACAGTCTGCTGCATTCTTGACTGGGGCTTCACTCGGTAATCGACTGAATGATACTGTCTTCTTACGAAGAGTTGGTTTTGAGGCTGGATCCTGAAATAAAAAGATTTATAAATAGTCTCCATTGCAAATTTTATGATATTTCTACCAAGATGTCCATAACGAATCGAATATATATTCAAATTGATTTAAAATTAGCTATTTTCGATATCTCATATCCTGGATTTGAAAATAGTTTTATTTAAAAAATTATCATATTAGCTACTCAATGTCTCCCAACATGACAAAGAAATCCTTCATACAATTCCTGAAAACTGTAAAAAATAGAAAATCATTCAAATCGCCGTTTATCTGCATCGTAACTGCACATATGAAATATTCATTGAATATAGATATTAACCTCTGTGTTCTTTGTTGAACATAACCCAATTTTGACTACTCATGTTCAAAAAATATTAATTTAGAATGAATTTGAAATAGTAGATTACTCGTTTTAATAACCATCCCTGACTTCCACCAAATTAAAACACATTCAGTAGTTGAATTTACAATGAATTAACTTAGTATGAAATGTGTCTTGTAGGATATAATTTAAAACTATTCTGGATCTGTTGAGTACGTATATCCTATCCTCGCATATAGGCTTATTTCGCATATGAGTCAACCCCCTAAATAAGGCCCTGAAATGGCAAATTTATAAAAATTCGTATATAAGTCGATCCTATAAATCTTATCGTGAGAACTTAGCATGGTTGGAATTGTAGCTGTTGGAATTAAGTTCGCAGAATGTCATTTCGTTTGAGTGCGATCAGAGTTATGTGCGTATATGTCGACTCTTTAGTCTTAGTGCAACCAGAGTTATGCGCGCATAAGCCGAATTTTCAGAGCGACCAGCGTTAAGCGCAGACTCTCTAGTTTTAAACTCGACTTATATGCGATCATATACATGTTGTTCATATCAACATTGAAAATTACCAGTAAAAAGCATGGCAAGTGGTAGATCTAAATTCAAGTTGAAACCACGACATAAAATACACTGAAATATAGATTCCAAAAATGGAAATATATCAACATTTTTCTGAAAACCATACCCATACTCTGAGAATAGATACAAAATTGTGGAGAGAGTGAAATAAGGACGAAGTCATTGCAACATAGTCATCCCAGTAAAATGCATTGTAATCGTGACTAATCACAGTGAATCACCAATCGCTGACCCATTGACTTGGCATATATGAAGTCACAGTGGTACAATTGCGAGAGAGGCTGACATCACAAATTATTATAACACAATACAGTCAAAAATACAACAAATATGGTTTTGAGCCGAATGAAAATTTTACCAAATTCCACACTATTTTAGCTACAGAGCTTGATTGTATGAAAATGTGTTCTTACATTTCCCCAATGTGTTTGAATAGACTGTGATCAAAAGTTATTAAGATGTTCACGAATCACGAGACATGGATTTCATAAAAGAAATTTTATTATTTTATCTTTTTTTCAATACTGGATATTCTTGGAAGTGCTCAGATTTATTTATATACTTTATAACAATAAAGTATATGCATTTGTTAACGTTCAATTTCATTCTGCACAGCTCAATGTTTGAAGTCAGTTGTTATTATGCCTTCATTAATAGCCTACCCAGAAATAACTGCTACTAACGAATGAGGGTCCTGGAAAATGAAGCAAAATTATGTATGCTTATGATCTAATTTCAATTCTGTGAATATATTGAAGTAATTAATGCACATGGCAATCCTTCCATCACAGTAATAACTTATTGATTAGTAGAGAACTGATCTCACAAGCATTACATATTCATGGGAATAATTTCCTAATGCATTCTTTGGTGTTTTCGCTAATTAAAATAAAACGTTCTGATTGGCTATCAGAACTCCAAATTAAAATGAACTGGCTAGATATTTTTTGTCTCAACATTTTGCTTCCAGAAGATATAACTATTTCTGAAAATCACAATTTTTATGAATTTTTTGTTTGTTACCTACCTATTGGAAAATACTGTGTAATTAATTGTGTTATTAAGATTTTTTACTGCTCTGCAGTTTTATAAGTCTCAAGCCTTGGTACGCTTAGAATGTGTACCAGGTTAGGGTTAGGCCATAATTTTATTCTGATTTTCCTTATATTAGTTCTATTAATAAGAGTTCAGGGACTGTCTGTGTTAGCCAAGTGAATATCCCCCTGCCCATAGGTTTCAATCCCTTTACACAACTTGATGTAAAGTAGGCTAACAAAATTAGTTACCGCCATATTGGTAAACATACTTTTGGAGCGCCCAAGCCTCTGTATCAAATGGCAAGAAACACCAAAGCTATTGTCTGATAAGTAATAGAACGAACATATGGAAGACAATAAGTTATTTTTCAACAAAAGCCTACTTATTCAGAGTCAAAATTCATTAAAAAAAATGAATTTGAGAACACCAAACTATTTTGATGAGGGCAATCTTTTATATAATATAATATGTAAGTTTTACAAATTTCAATTTAAACAGAAAATATTTTCAAAGCTTCATAACTGATTAGTCTCTAAACAAAATGTGAATTCTGGCAAATATTTTGGGAGAAATGCGTCTAATCAATCAAACAAAACTATTATCTGATTTAATGATGTAGGCTATAGCTCCTTAAATATTTGCTTTCAATATCATTAATCACTGATGGAAAACCGTGTCCACTTCTACATGTACAAAAGAATTTTTAAATTCCAGAAATATAACCCATGATTGAAACCCAAAAACAGTGAATTAATTGAAATCGTTATGTCCAGCACCTCAGTCCGGAGATAACAAATTACTGGTATAAAGATTGAATTGTTTGAGCACTACCTTCAAAGCTTACCATTTCATTGAGCATGGGAAAGTGACATGATGCAACTCCTACATTATAGATATAGCCATACTTGGATTTAAAATTTTTACATAGCTATTCTATAATAAGTTTTTTTCATATATTGATTACATCAGAAAAAGCAGTAACCAGGGATGTGCAAAATGAAATAAATTCAATATTTAAATTTCTCAACTTAGTAATACTTTAATTTTTGAATAGTTTCGCAGTATGATCAAAAAGGTCTGAAAACTATTATGATGTGGAAGCAATCAAATCAATGTTCATCTTAACTCATCATCTTACCAAATTTCAAATCTTTAATTGAATATGCATTACCTCCTATATGTTTTCTATTTGATATTACCTAATATGGAATATATTTAAAATTTCATATCGGAAATATTATTTTATTTTCAATATTATTCAAAATAGTAGATTATTCGATTTGGCGGCAGCAAATCCTATATTCAATAAATTCCCACTTTAAAAGAACTGCTACTTTTTACTTGCATGATGAACCAATGATTAAACAGAAAAGTTTTCAATTTACAAGGCTTTATTCTAGACATGCCCATGACAGGATTAAGAAATCGAAGCCACAGGCCACCAACAACGTCAACCAAATAGTTTATTTCAACATCATTAGATGAAAGACAAGTAGCCCGATACTCAAAACAGGAAAAAGTACTAAAATAGAATATATGCAAATTTGATCTACAGATGTTAGATAAAAGAGAAGCATGAAAATCAAGATAATATTGACAGAACCACAAACTTCAAAGCCATCAAGTAAGGCAGTGTGCAAAAAAAAGAACTTTGTTAATATTTAATGAGAAGCCTTCAAGGTTGCCAACTATTTCTTGTGGCAATACACTAGGTAAGAAAAACCTGCATATGTCTTCATCATTGCACACAAGTATTTAAGCCTGCGTTGTTAACTAATGCATAATTTATTACCTGCACAAAGAGATGTAGTATACTAACTATCAGGGGAACACACAAGTGCTTTTATGATTTAAAAACATCCAGTTGCTATTCCACCAGTTGTGCAAAGCAGTTAGAATTAGACCCGTAGGACAAAAGGAATAAGTTTCACCTACATATTAATAGTTAGTTTGTCTGTAAATGTGCTATTCCCTTAGGAAATCACAACTTTAAACTTAAGTGCTTGGTATATGAATTTCCATTTTTCGAACCGGCGGTAAAAAATTCACTTATAGCAATCACAGCAATTACCTAAGGTTTGCCACAGCAGTCATATTTATTACCATTGAATCAAAATATCTCCATATTAATTTCTAGTAACACTGTCATAAAATTTTGTAGCGGAATCCTTGAAGTTAATTTATCTTGCACATATGGGTTCGACAGCTAGCAATATTTTACTCCATGGATTTTTTTAACCCATCAATTATTTTAATGGTATGTACTACATCAGCTATATTTTATAAAGAAATAAGTCATAAGATAAAACAATTCAATAAAATCTTGCCTTTAGAATGGGCGTCAATTCCGGTAATTCACAGGCATCTTCATACTGCTCACCAAGTGAATTAAATCTCCTAACACGTTGTATTGCCCTTGCTAAAGATCGCCATGTTAACACTGTAGCTTGCGATTCGCTTTTATTTTTAAAAAGTCCAGATTTTCTCAGCATTCTTCGTTCGTTCAGTGTCGGCCTATTATAGGTATCGAAGTAATCCTCAATGTGTGGTTCCTCTTCCATTACCGAGGAAGGCGGCGATGCATTTTCCGAGTCTTCCTTAGAAGATGAATCGCTGCCATTTTGACGACCTCCGTTAGACGAAGTACTCAGTCTACGACCAACTAATGTACTTTCCTTGTCGGGCACAAGTGCGGTTTTCAACGGACCTAAGCTATCGGCTATGAGTTCATACACGTCGCCTGCATCTTGAGACGGAGCAACGTTATCAGTAACCACCGGATTAGGTGGATTTTGTTTATCTTTAATTACTACTAAAGACGAGTCACTTGCGCTACTACGGTTACTTTCTGAAGACGACGACGATTCGCAGGAGTTTTTGTCGTCTTCAATACCAACCACCGACGCCTCTACACTTTCTGTTTCACTTCCTCGAAAATTAAAATCGAAACGATTGATGGGAGACTGATCTTCTTCACAAGTGGGCGATTCATGTTTCAGAAAAGCAGGTGATGGCGGTCGATTTGCAATTTTTTGATCTTTATTACGGACGAGAGAGGTAAATTCTTCTTCGTGCAAAGCGGCTGCTACATCAGGAATACTTAAAATTTCATCGATTCTGCTTCGTCTGTGAATGATGGGAGAGTTGCAATATTTTTCAGATCGACATAATCGGTTCGCCAGCGACTTTTGATCCAAATCAACATAGTTTTCCGCGTCTACGTCACCATTATTTTGTTCCGAATCTTTTACTTGAATAATGTCGTCATCAGCAACGTCATCTTTGTTCATAACTTCAATTTGTACTTCCGATCCGTTTTGCTTCGGCGTTTCCATGACATAGCGTTATTATACTAAACTAAAACCAATACATAACAGTTCGGAGACAATTCACACAAAACGCTCTGTACAAATAATATAATGGATTAAACGTATTATAGGATTTATCATCCAATTATGCGAATAACGTAAGACAAGAAATAATGATCGCCTGGAATGCTCGCCACAAATAAGTAGCGCGTTACTATGCCTACATTACAACATTGCTTCGCTGAAAAAGTGCTATATGTCAACAACACTCGTTTATACAAAATGATTTTTCTTCTTCTGAGCCTATCTTGTAAGCGTAAGTTTAAGTCTTTTTTAATTATGCAAATGATTGATCGTGCACGCTTATTAAAAGGGACAAATATTTTTCTTTGTAATATTTAAGAGAATGATCAGTAGTGGTATAAATAACAATAACGCTCTATCTATGCCCCACACCTGACTGTGTATAGTGTATAGACATATAATAATTATAATTGTTTACTTTAAAGGTAGTCAATGAATAAATTTCTTATTCGCCAAACAAAATTATCGACCAGCAAGGGAGGAATTTTGTTGTTTTATAATTCGGATCGTATGCACTGATTACAGAATAAAAACGGCTATATCGATTGGATAAAAAGTCTTGCCTCACTCTTCCACAAATTTTATTATTTGTTGTTATATTATTTGTGTATACAGTGCGACTTTGGTCAAGCGAAATTTCAGATTATACATTTCAAGTGTACGCTGAAATATCTCTCTTCACTTATTCAATACGAAGATAGAAGCGCATTGTGCATCGCCGCGGTGCTTTCCAATTAGTATTTTTAGGATAAAGGAACATCAGCCATTACATCGTTAAAAATAGATTTGAAGTTTAAATTAGTAATATGAAGCATCGCAGCATAGGACCATACAGGGTAGGGTGGCCAAAAAACAGAATCCAGGTTATTTGGAATATATCATATAGAGAACATAAGCTTTGTGCAGAGCGTTTGTGCTGAGTCATAATCACATTGGACAGCCTAAAATATATCTTTCCACACTGATCAAATAATCTTTCTTTTGTTTTATTCGTATACGAAAGTGTCTCATTCTACACATTTTGATCAAAACCCACAATACTATAAGACTGTGTATTAAACTACTGCATGTGGTGCAGGCCACACTGCTAACGTTGCTGGCGGATTTCCTGCTTGTGTCACGCAAGCTTACGTCACAGGTAGTGCAGAGAGCAAGCATATACATCGCAGTTCACTTTCATAATTTCTGTAATTCGTAATTTGGTACTGTAACTGCTACTAATTTAAATGGCTTTGAAGGAGCATTTTTTGAATTAACGAATAATTCCGAGAAGTACCGGTACGTCTTCTCAATAAGCATACAGATCTGCCGTTCAGTAATGCAAATGGGCTTTCAGAATACTTTTAAAAAGATGAAGTGATTTAATGAACATTTCAATGAACCTAATTTAGTATGCCATAGCTTCAATTGAGTCTGAGGCAACAATTTTCCAATCTTATAATAGTTTCCGTTATCACAAGCAAATCAAAACCTCAGTAAAAATATGAAATAAACAATTCCATATTATAGAGAAGTAAAAACAAGTCATCGAATGGGGCCTGCTACTGGTCTTTTACACTAGACAGGTAGTGAGTATTGTAATGAGGAAATTCATCAATAGAAATAAGCGCTTGTTTGCGCCGGGCTCAGAATTTCCCAGATGACAGAAATAATATATTCAAATTACTCGAGGGACCAACGCAATATTGACATTTCAAAATTGAAGTTTATCGTAATCTGACATATTATCAGCGGTATATTGGTAGGCTCCGAAGAATGACAAGTATGTTTGTTACAATCGGTTGTGGTCAATTACATGGAGTACCGAGCGCCACAAATATTATTTATTTGGTCGCTGAAGGAGATTTTATTTCGCTACACATGAATAGACGCTGTTCTAAATTTTAAATAACATGTCGGGGTTTGCTTCGTGGGGATGCTCATAATAGCGACTTTTCGCGCCGTAATTACAGTATGCAGAGTTTATCCAAAGGTGTGACATAGATAGCAAAAAGTCAGACAAGGTCAAACAAATCGATGCAATTTTGTACCCAATTACAGTAAATACACTAGTATTACGACAACAAAAAGATGGAACAATACGAAACGACAAAAACGTGACTTGTCTGTCCTGATCAAATTTTCGATGTACCAATAAAATGGAAGGCTGAAAATACATGCAAATCTACAAAAAACACTATATATGTATATATTATATAACTGAGGTTTCCATGACAGAGATAAGACCCCAAGTTGTATTTAAAAAGTGGATATAATGATCCTTATATATAGTTACGATATCCTTCGCCTTCGTGCATGCATATTCGCTAATACAAACGCATATAAAAAGAAGTAGCGAATTGCACATTTATACTGCAATATTTTAACTAGTGACTGGTGGAATTATAATTGTACGGTTATGTATAAAAGTGTTATTGCCAAAATAAAATGCCAAAACTGTGAAATGAGCTATTTCATAACGCAAACAATTTTATATCATAAATGCTATAATTTGAAGCGATGATACAATTATCTAATATTATAGCTCAAGCCAATTTTATGAGCCACAACAGCAAACAAAATAGCAATCTCTCATATCTTCGAAATCGAATTGAATTGTAAAAGTAAATGCCTCTATAAAACATTACTTCTTTTATATTCCATATATTATTATGTGTTCATGCCAATTGTTTAAACATCACAAAAGAAAGAGTATATATTATGTGAAGTGGAAATATAGTATGTAAGCAAATCGAAAAAAAAAAATCGTAAATCCAAAACTTGCAATATCCGATATAAGCCAGCAAGTCGCGGAATGTTAGTCTAACGTAAATATTCAGTAACTTGGGCGCCTCCTCAGGACAAAAAAAAAATTGAGAAATTTATGCAAACAAGTGAACATTTACTCCCACGTAATTAGCTAAGTAAAGTTTTTTTTTTTTTTTCAACCTTACTTGGCAAGGACTTCCTCCCACATATTTGCGAGTCCGCTGAAATGGTACTCGCTCTCTCCTAACAAGAGTCTTAAAATTAGCTGCTGTTAGTAAAATTTTTCTAATTCTTTAACTTGCATCTTGCGTGGAGAATCAATTTTGCCTACCTCATTCAACACCAAGAAAGGCTATAAGAAAGTACTCATACTCGACGGACAAATGACATGGATAGCGTACCTGATTGAAAATTGCACCTATTGAAAATGACTGCGTCAACGAGTCATTAACATACTTTATGTAAAGTATGAATCGAATCAGCATTAGCTCAGGAGCCTAAAATTGGAAACCTCCTAAAGCAGATTTATCTATATATAAACACCCATACACTTCACTCGCGCTATTCCCCAAGTGATACACAAATAACTCGATACAACAAGAAGTTTGGAATGCGTACTTCGCGACTAAATCGATAACAAGCATTTTGAAAACTATGACTGAATGCCGCTGAACGAACGAACGGTAAACGCAAAATGACTAGAAAACTAGTGATCAATAAATAGTTCTCTGACACGAATGATGACTAAAGTTTAGCTTTTACATGACGTACCGGAAAAGCACCTGAGCAAGGCGCGGTTCTATCAATGAATTGAATGCGCTCATTTAGGACCCAAAGAACGAATATTGGTTTCGCAAGAAGTGCAATATTTTTTTCTGTCTGCCTATTGACTATCTATGGGCTAAGTATCTATAGCACAACCTTGGATGACATACTGGTCCATGGCAAAAAATTGATTAGAAGAGAAAGAGCAGTTACTAGCAGGCAGTAGAATGAAGCGGGCTTTTTAAAGACCAGGCCATTTTAGGCTTAAAAAGGTCAGAATTTTGATGCTTCTCCGGAACGTTTCTCAAACGCAAGATTTCAGACATACGCATGTTGGAGTTGAATAACTAATACTATCTGTTACTATTGTTTGAGTGTGTAATGTAATATTCACTTACTCTTATGGCACTAACAACATTGATTACAGTACCAGGCCATTTTAGGCTTAAAAAGGTCAGAATTTTGATGCTTTTCCGGAACGTTTCTCAAACGCAAGATTTCAGACATACGCATGTTGGAGTTGAATAACTAATACTATCTGTTACTATTGTTTGAGTGTGTAATGTAATATTCACTTACTCATATGGCACTAACAACATTGATTACAGTAACTGTGTATATGAGACTACTTACATCATGGCGTAGGCGCAGGGCAAGCTTGACGACTTTTTTGGTGCAGTAAATATGGTCCTAACCTTTATTACAGTACAGTTGGAACTTGGGAGTATTATATTACTACTAAGTCGCTTGGCCTGATTCTAAACTTCATCAATTCCAAAACAAATATGTAAGTACTCGAATACTTCCGTCAGTCTGATTAGCAAACAACACTGAAATTGTGGGGAGATATGGAATTCCTATTTGACCGGATCCTTACTATAAGTATCAAGCTGTTTTATTGAACTAACGATTGGCGAGAATAATAAGCGTAGGGAGACCTACCAATGATCCCAATTTAAGCAATTATCGTTTCTGTTATTCACAACCTTTATGCTCAAAGACAATGAATTTTGGTTTATGCGTTAAAGGCAACAATAAGTAGTAATGATAATCGATCAACATCTCTCATATCGATTCTTAAACAAACGAGCTTTATAAACTGATATGAAAAGCCCGTCTATACTTGATTCATTATGAACTATCGAACAATTCTAATCTCGTATTGTTAATCAATATATATATGATGGGTTTACCAGAGACATTATAGCATTGTGAAGAATAAGAATTTGTTTGTCGTCTGGTTTCCTTAACGCAATTATATTCAAAAAAGCTGTCAAGCCACTTACTATTCTCCATATCTAAGAATTGTGCACAACGGTGCTTTTTAATATGGATTTGTCCTTCCTATCCTAACAACATTGGTCCAAAGACATAATTACAGATTTACAGCCGTGGGAAATATTATTACCATTACCACAGTAAATCCATATACCCACTGATCACCTAACGCTGGTAACACAATCACTACAGCATGACTAATATTTTCAACAATGGTTTCTAAAATTCCTTTGAAAAAACGCATTG